TACGCCGGACCACTCGACAACACTGCTCGCTCCCAGAACATCGATGACATCCCGCTGAGCCACCAAGTTGCTGCCTATCCTGCTGAATTCCAGTACGAGAAGCTGCCAGAGCAGTCTGTTGCTCCAGTTGTTGTTGAGGAGACCGAGAAGAAGGACGAGCCAAGCTTAAAGTCCAAAATCACCGGACTGTTCAAGAAATCTTCTGCTCACTTCGACTATCCGATCTCTGAAGAGTACGCCGGACCACTCGACAACACTGCTCGCTCCCAGAACATCGATGACATCCCGCTGAGCCACCAAGTTGCTGCCTATCCTGCTGAATTCCAGTACGAGAAGCTGCCAGAGCAGTCTGTTGCTCCAGTTGTTGCTGAGGAGACCGAGAAGAAGGACGAGCCAAGCTTAAAGTCCAAAATCACCGGACTGTTCAAGAAATCTTCTGCTCACTTCGACTATCCGATCTCTGAAGAGTACGCCGGACCACTCGACAACACTGCTCGCTCCCAGAACATCGATGACATCCCGCTGAGCCACCAAGTTGCTGCCTATCCTGCTGAATTCCAGTACGAGAAGCTGCCAGAGCAGTCTGTTGCTCCAGTTGTTGCTGAGGAGACCGAGAAGAAGGACGAGCCAAGCTTAAAGTCCAAAAATCACCGGACTGTTCAAGAAATCTTCTGCTCACTTCGACTATCCGATCTCTGAAGAGTACGCCGGACCACTCGACAACACTGCTCGCTCCCAGAACATCGATGACATCCCGCTGAGCCACCAAGTTGCTGCCTATCCTGCTGAATTCCATTACGAGAAGCTGCCAGAGCAGTCTGTTGCTCCAGTTGTTGCTGAGGAGACCGAGAAGAAGGACGAGCCAAGCTTAAAGTCCAAAATCACCGGACTGTTCAAGAAATCTTCTGCTCACTTCGACTATCCGATCTCTGAAGAGTACGCCGGACCACTCGACAACACTGCTCGCTCCCAGAACATCGATGACATCCCGCTGAGCCACCAAGTTGCTGCCTATCCTGCTGAATTCCATTACGAGAAGCTGCCAGAGCAGTCTGTTGCTCCAGTTGTTGCTGAGGAGACCGAGAAGAAGGACGAGCCAAGCTTAAAGTCCAAAATCACCGGACTGTTCAAGAAGTCGCCGTCTCATCTCGACTACCCGACCTCGGAAGAGTACGCCGGACCACTCGACAACACTGCTCGCTCCCAGAACATCGATGACATCCCGCTGAGCCACCAAGTTGCTGCCTATCCTGCTGAATTCCAGTACGAGAAGCTGCCAGAGCAGTCTGTTGCTCCAGTTGTTGCTGAGGAGACCGAGAAGAAGGACGAGCCAAGCTTAAAGTCCAAAATCACCGGACTGTTCAAGAAGTCGCCGTCTCATCTCGACTACCCGACCTCGGAAGAGTACGCCGGACCACTCGACAACACTGCTCGCTCCCAGAACATCGATGACATCCCGCTGAGCCACCAAGTTGCTGCCTATCCTGCTGAATTCCATTACGAGAAGCTGCCAGAGCAGTCTGTTGCTCCAGTTGTTGCTGAGGAGACCGAGAAGAAGGACGAGCCAAGCTTAAAGTCCAAAATCACCGGACTGTTCAAGAAATCTTCTGCTCACTTCGACTATCCGATCTCTGAAGAGTACGCCGGACCACTCGACAACACTGCTCGCTCCCAGAACATCGATGACATCCCGCTGAGCCACCAAGTTGCTGCCTATCCTGCTGAATTCCATTACGAGAAGCTGCCAGAGCAGTCTGTTGCTCCAGTTGTTGCTGAGGAGACCGAGAAGAAGGACGAGCCAAGCTTAAAGTCCAAAATCACCGGACTGTTCAAGAAGTCGCCGTCTCATCTCGACTACCCGACCTCGGAAGAGTACGCCGGACCACTCGACAACACTGCTCGCTCCCAGAACATCGATGACATCCCGCTGAGCCACCAAGTTGCTGCCTATCCTGCTGAATTCCAGTACGAGAAGCTGCCAGAGCAGTCTGTTGCTCCAGTTGTTGCTGAGGAGACCGAGAAGAAGGACGAGCCAAGCTTAAAGTCCAAAATCACCGGACTGTTCAAGAAATCTTCCGCTCACTTCGACTATCCGATCTCTGAAGAGTACGCCGGACCACTCGACAACACTGCTCGCTCCCAGAACATCGATGACATCCCGCTGAGCCACCAAGTTGCTGCCTATCCTGCTGAATTCCATTACGAGAAGCTGCCAGAGCAGTCTGTTGCTCCAGTTGTTGCTGAGGAGACCGAGAAGAAGGACGAGCCAAGCTTAAAGTCCAAAATCACCGGACTGTTCAAGAAATCTTCTGCTCACTTCGACTATCCGATCTCTGAAGAGTACGCCGGACCACTCGACAACACTGCTCGCTCCCAGAACATCGATGACATCCCGCTGAGCCACCAAGTTGCTGCCTATCCTGCTGAATTCCAGTACGAGAAGCTGCCAGAGCAGTCTGTTGCTCCAGTTGTTGTTGAGGAGACCGAGAAGAAGGACGAGCCAAGCTTAAAGTCCAAAATCACCGGACTGTTCAAGAAGTCGCCGTCTCATCTCGACTACCCGACCTCGGAAGAGTACGCCGGACCACTCGACAACACTGCTCGCTCCCAGAACATCGATGACATCCCGCTGAGCCACCAAGTTGCTGCCTATTCAGCTCCCTCCGATATCCAGGTTACAGCTGAGTACGTCGGCGCTCTGGAGGAAACTCTTCGTCATCAGAATTTAGTTGATGTTGAACCTCACGATACTCTGGCTCAGTATCCGACAAGTCTAGGATATAACGATTTACATTCATCGTCTGGAGTTTCGCTGCTTAAATTCAAAGACAGCGGTTTATTCGGTAACACTAAGGCGGAAGATACGTTTAAAGCCACTCCAGTTTTGTCTTCCATCGAACGTCCAGAGGTCGATCGTCATATCTACACCAGAACAGAAACGGAAATTAATTATCCAGCTCAACCGATTGCCTCAATTCACACTCACACTGAAGTTCGCTATGGAGATTTTGATAGGAGAAACTTTTCCGACCATGGAGCAACTGTTAGCGATCCACGAGAAGTGTCGAACATGAGGGACGAAAAACGATGGACGAGTGAGAAGTATCCAGAAGAGAATGCTTACGAGGAACTCGACGTTGATCCTAAGAGAAGTTATTTGTGGTCGAAATACGAGACTGAGACATCAAGATTGTCTAGAAGGGACGCCCCGAGACAACAAACCGAACCGGACTCTCGTCCTGTGCTCGATCCTTCGGCCCTTGCCAAACATCACTCGTATTCCTACTCGGAAACGGAAACATCCAGATTTGTTCCGACTCAACAACCGAAAACTTCACCACCTGGCGCTTCCATAGACAAGCAGCCAGACTTTGACGTGTCATTCAACGTCATACCACAAGAGAAGCCGAAGGAAGAGCCGCTCGGATTCTCTGTATCCATCAGTGCGCGCAGTCCACTTCCACCGCTTACGATTGATGAATCTCCTCAACTCTTGTCAGTTGAGAATCTGATTCATTCGCACACGTCGCCACGCCAACGGCGACTTTCTCCGCACACCTGGACGACTGTTCGCGAAACGTCCGAAGTCAGTTACATCAAACGGGTGACTGTGACGAGCTCGACCGATTACGGCAAGAACGGGGCCTCTCTGAGAAGAGACAGGTCTCCGATGCAAGCAGTCCCCCGCCAAGTTCACTCGTTCCCGAACGCCTCGCATCAGGCTGCCAGTACAACATGCAGATGGACCACTTTCGATGACCCGGCACTCAATGTGCATCACCCAATCTACCCACCTTCACAAAACCTCTACAAAGCCACACCCAAAACTGAACGAGCTTCTTATCTGACGGTAAGCATGAGCAGCACTCGATTATGTATCCGATCAATCTTTTTTTTTCAGAATGGAGAGACCGTTGTCCGTCAGACAGAACGAAATGGAGCCGCTTGTCATAACGGCACCAATGGATCCACTCGAACATACGGCGAAGTTCGTGAGATTCACGCACACGATCGCACCGAAGTCGTTCGTGACGATGACGTCAGACGTCACCGCCGCGACGACGTTTTCACAGTCGGCACCCCGTTTGTCATGGGACGGGTGGAAGCCGACGAAAGGGGAAATGAGTATTTGAGGTGAGCGAAGAAGTGTTTTCACATTAATTAGGCTGAACTTTCAGATATAATCGCAACGATGAGCTACCGATGATTGAAGACGGTGCCATGGAATGCCGCCGATCGACCGTTCGCGCCAGACTCAGGCAAGCAACCAAAGAAAGCAGGCAGTGTGGAAAACATACAAGTTTTCAGGGAAATGGACGAAGTTCGATTGGTCGGCGAAAGGGAGGAAATCGAGCGTCAACGACGACCGATCCGCCGAGCCAGACAACGCGTTAGAAATATTTGCACCATGCTTTAGACACCTTCTCGAATCGAATTGCACCTTTTTTTTAATCATTTTCTCGCACACCAAACGCTTCAAAGTTTCATTGGAGTTGTTCCAACCTTAACCTTGTCTTTCGGTCGGAATGTTTCTTTTTTCTTTCTCTCAATGAAGTAATTATAAACTGAATTTGTTTCTGTGTGCTCCTTGAGCTTAGCACATCTCGCGCCGTCTCTCTTTATCTCTCGCTTCGCAAAAACAGCCGGCATCGATAATGGAACGAGATTCGGAGCTGGGTGCACGGCGGCGATCGGGAAGCGAGAGAGCTGCGAGACGCCGGCTCGGAGACAAAAGGGATATCAGTGCTTTGGCGACTACACACACACATATTACACAGTGTTACCCGACGGGAAGCAAAGAAGCACGGGCTCCGCGAGCAGCGAATCTGCCGATCTGCGTCTCGACGGCGAGCCGCCTCGCGACAGCCGCCTGAGCCTCCCACTCGGCTCTCGCGGGAAGAGACCTCTCCCCAGAACCCGATAGCCGCTCGGAGCACTCTCTCTCCTATTCGATACACTTCGGCAAATCACTGTGCAGGCACAGGTACACTCTGCAAAATATGGATGTGCTCAACGCCACCAACGATCTGCTGCCGTTACTGCCAGGTAAGCACGTTTCTAGACAGAGTATTCCGTTATGATCTTCTGATTTCAACCAAGGCTTTGAATTTTCTGAAAAGTTATTGTACATCATTTATTTCGTCTCAGCTGCTTCAAGTTGACTGAACTTGAGAATGCGGGAAAATTCAGGGTTCTGTTTAGTTTGTGCTCCATTTGCATTGTATTTCAAAGCAATTCCTCATTTTTGTCATCCGTTCCACTAGAAGCTTTTCCCATTATTCAATTCATGTTTCTCTCGCATCGTAAAACAATTCACCACCGCCGCAATATGCTTCTTCTTCCTCTTTTTCTTCATCTTCTTCTTCCACTTTTTGCTCCGACCGCCGCCGCCGTCTCGCACGTTCTTTGCGGTTTATCGCCTACTTTACATTTTTTGTTTCAATAAGTTCAAGTAAATCTTAAAATAGACAAAATTTCGCAAGATTAGACGTCCCGTCAGGTGCCAATGAAGTGGGGGTGGTCGGGGGAGGCCAATAAATGAGCCGCCGATCAAACACCACGCGGAAATTATTATGCGGGGAGAATCTGGAGATAATCATGCGATTCGCGTGTTGCAGAAGTGCAAGACGTGCTCAGCGAGGAGTTTGATGGCGTCGAGTGCAGTATGGGCGCAGGAGTCGTGCTCGCGCAGGCTCCCTTCAGAATGCCGTTCGCGCATCTCGGAAGACAGGTAAGCGGGCTCTAATTATTATCTTTTTTCACTCTCTTACAAATGTTTCTACAAGCGGCCAAAGAATACATAGTCTTGCGGATAGGAAAGAGAAATAGAGAGTTCCTCGTGCACGTCTCTCCCGTTTCTTATCTTTTCTCTTCGGCGAATCTTTGAAAATCGTACAGCTCTCCACACAAATATCGGGTTTCCCCCCTATCCCTCGCCCTCCTTGCCCTCCATTTCCACGTCATCCGAGTCTTTTTACAGGTCACATTCGTTCCGGACACGTCATGTCTCGAAGAGTTCGACGGCGCCAAACTGCATCGGATCAACTTGGGACCAGTTAGTTTCTTGTTCTTTTCCACTGTGTACCATACACTTGTCCCCTCTGTGTCCCCTCAGTTCACATGCTCTCTCTCTAACGCTCCGGGATCCGTCTCAAGAGATTCTGCCGCCCGGCGGGAAGAACGAAATGTCAAACAAAACGGGGGAGGCTTCTGAGCCAATAGCGGACTAAGTGAACGGCTAATAGCGGAAGATACGAGGGAAACGAGATAAGAGTAGCGATCAGTGCACTTCGAATGCGAGTTGATACTTTTCTGTGCTTCCTGCCGAATGGATTGAGAGCCCAGACTCGAGCCTTTTGTACTGAAAACTTTCACTACAAAGTTCCCCGTAGAGGTGTATTGCTATTACGAAATAATGTAGATAAGGTATGCAAACTGTAGAACTTTCGGATTTCTCGTTTTACAGAAAAGTGCAGTATTCACAGACGGAGAGCCCGGCTGCTGTCTGGAACTGATTCTCGGAGCAGGCAAGGACTGGAAAACTCCACTCACCAAACTGTTCACAAGAGTTTACCCGAACAAATGGGCGTTCTTCATTGCAGAACTCGAATCGGTACCTCCCTCCGTCCTCCCCGAGTGTCAAACCTTCTCAGATTCAGGGTCAAGCCACCTATCACATTCTCTCGTCGTCGCACGGACTCCTCAGCTCTGCAAGACGCGAAGACACCCCCGACTCGACCGAGCAGTCCTCGATGGTCAGCTCTCCGACTGCTTCGGTCTCCGATGCGACCAATTACTCGCTTTGGATTGTTCCCGTCACCAAAGTGTTCGCCATTCCAGCACCGAAGAAAGTGAAGGTGATCAGAAAAGTTATCAAGAAAAGAACTCCCACCACTATGGAAGGAACGAATGGAACAACAACGATTTCGAATGGGAATGGGCTTACAAATGGACATGTGAACGGATCGAGTCCGGAAGAAGCAGAGAGAAAGGTGAGAGAGAAAGCGCCTGAAAGTGTGAAAGACTCCGGCTAAAGATGACAAGTTTCCAGGTCCGTCTCGTCAAAAAGAAGCCGGCGGACAAGATTGAATCGAGCGGAGATCACGAGATTTCTCCATTGAATGACATTCCCAAAACTGAATTTGCCACTGTGTCGTCTTCTGAATCGATGAAAACAATTATCACCGGAAAAGACGAAAAAGAAGAAGCGGGTCCGTCGAATGACAGTTCGGACGGTGGAAGTGCGTCCGAACTGAGAAAGAAGTTGACGGAGAAGATAATCGAACAAAAGTTCGTTGTGAATGGAGAGGTTGGTGCCTGTTCTTCGCTCTTCCCTGCCCTGTCAATTTATAACATTCGAGCACCACCGAGCATCTCGCTTCACAACCCAATTAGCCCGTTCTCTCTTTGCAGCAACGCACTCTCAACGGCACCCCGTCTCGCGGCCTCGGTCGTTCGATCAGTCGCAGCAGTATGACTCCCGATCGGAGACTCGATCCCATCTTCGAGGACGGAAACCGAACACAAAAACAGTCGATTTCGGCTGCCATTTCTGCGAATCGACCGGCGATCACGAGGAATTCGGCAACCCCGCCGAGCATGCCGGTCAGTTCCGATTCCATTTGATTCATCTCTAGTTTGTTCTCACCGGAAAGTGAGGATCCTCGCTCGGTGGGCACTCAAATGTGAAAGTTTATGACAAGGCAGCCAGCCACTCGATCCGAAATGTCGTTATGTCCCTACCAGATGTCCGAGGTGGCGGACCCGAGTGAAATTTGTTAAATCTGATTGCGAGAAGCGGGGGAGTATGGAATCGTGTCTTGAATTCATTGGGCTTCTCATGAACTGGCTCAGACTGTACTTTTCTTCACTCTGTTCGTGTTTTCTTGAAAGGGTATGCTAGTCGGACTCTTATTCCACTATTTTTGACACTTTTCTAGTAATAAAGTTTCCAGAAACTGTCCGAGAAGTGTCTTGTCTCACATCCCTCAAAACCGAACATCCCAGTAATTGCGCTCCAATCCGTGCTCACCAAGTGCTTCTCCTACGAACACTTGGGCCGCCTACGAGAAGTCCATCCGCATTGGGATGAGATTGCCGGACAACTTCTGAACTCTGGCTATTACAAGTTGCTCGAGAGATCCGACAAACTGCTGATGGCTCTGCAGAGGAAGGTTGTCAGCGATCCGGGTCTTCATTACGCGACAAGTGTGCTCACCAACATCCAAGTGCACATTCTGAATCCAGTTGACATTATGAGAGCGGTTATTGATGAAGGTACGGATGAGAAACAATGAGAGTTTCAATAATGTTTTCTTAGGAGTTTGCTGCTTTCCATATGGAGTGATCCTCGACAAAACGTTCATTTTGTTGGATAAGGTGGAAGCGATGCTCAACGGCTCTTACGAAGAGGACGTGCACTGGGAGCCGGTGGCCAAACTTTCCAAGCAGGCAGCATCTCATTACCGTGGAAATCTGGAGCGTGTGATGGAAGAACGGTAAGCCCCTTTTCTGAAAAAGGAATAAGGATACGCGAGTGAATGAATGTCTCGGCGCCGTCCGTCTTTTCGCTCATTTGCATTTTTCTGTGTCTCTTTTCCATCCACACTTTCTCGCCACGAAACGGCTCATCTTTCTTTTATTTTGTGAGCTCTTCTCTTCTTCCGAAAGCAACCACCTTCTGGCCTCACTCATCCGGTCGGAATTTTGGATAGACGAAAAGAGAAGGAGAGAAGGAGAAAGAGGCAACGAGATTAATGCGAAATGTCAAAGAGCTCTTTTTGTGAGAACGAAGATTGATTTCAGAATGGGCGAGAACCTTCGGCTGAAGGCTGCTCAACGCATCATTCGACTCGAATCGTTCGTGGTCGATGCACAGGTGGCCAAGTTGGAGAAAGACACTTCCAAGGTGGGCGTTCGCTCTCGAGTTGAGTTAAACTTCTCAATGTCTTCAGGCAAAAGAGGATCTTCGTTGGGAGATTGATCAACTTCATCAGAAGAACTCGCAACTGCGCAAAGAGAACCGCGAGCTGAAAGCCAACCACATGCGTCTGGAATCCCGTGTGGAGGTGCTCGAGGGAAAATTCAAGACGTTGGCTCGGCTGCTCAGCTGAACTCCGAGCATTCATTTACGGCTGAAACGGGTGCGATTCCCTCGCCTTTCCGTAACTTATTTTTTCTTCCCCGTCGCAGTTAAACGCATCTAGTCTCCACCCCCTTTTCCTCCCATTTTACCGATTCTGTTAATAAATAATAATACTGTTTTATTTGATTGAAGAATGTGAGAGAGAAAAAGAAAACAAAAAGAAAAGTATCACAAAAATTGACATTAGATTTCGAGTTCGTTGTTTTTGGGAATCTGTAAGTGATGAAGAATGAGTTGGAATTGGAGGAACTACACGAAAAAGAAAAAGAATATCGTTTTTTTTACCAGGAGACGGGGGTCGGCTTGCCCAGATCCGTCGAGTAAATGCAGGCGAACGCGTCTTCGGAAAAGTCTGGGGGTGTCGTCGACGACTCCGTGTAAGATTCTGAACGTTCGCGGCGTATTTTTTCTTCTAACACAAGGTCATTTACCTGGAACATGAGTCATAGTGTCAGCAGGGACCACGAATTGTGGGGCCATCTGAATGGCTTCTCCGTTGGTTGGTGGGCTCGAGTAAGGATCGCAGAAGTACTGGACATTGGCAGGCGGCGGTTGAGGATAGAATTGTTGATCTGAAATTGTTTCTTTGATTCTCGGAGCCGACAAGTCCCTTTCTAAAGGACCCTTGACTCTAAGAAGCGTGACCAAAATATTATGGGTGCTCAAGAGGTCATCATCATCAACGGCTCTCAAGACGCCTTTAATCCCGATTAACCTAGTACATATTGTGCCGATCGACTTCTTCAGGACACCTGCTTTACGCCTGTTTTCCAGCGCGAGCATGCGCCCTTGATAATTGGTGTTGCGCAATCGGAGAATTTATCCCCCCTTGGGGATTAACGGGCACGGGATGTCTCACCGTTTGGGAACATGTCGACGATGTCGTCGCGTCGTTGTCTTCTTGATTGACGGTAGCCACCGTATCTCAGCTGCTTCATCCGACGTTCCTTGCTCCGACGATTTTGAAACCACACCTGCAAACGGCTCGGTTCGGGGGTCATTTTGAGGTCGAGTTGCAAAAAAGTGCTCGTGCCTTCTCTTTCCTTCTAATCTAGATAACACTTAAAGGGAAATTAAATGCTGCTCTCAATCGTGCATCGGGCTTTTCGCTCCCTTTTCCGTTTCTCCCCGCTCAATTCTCTCCTGACCAATTCCAATTGAATAAAATGACTAAAAGCAATTTCCTTTCGGTTTCCTGTTATCACTCTATCAGTCCCATAACTATATGAAATCCTCCCTCGAAAACAATACTGAACATCCTCCCTTCTACCGTAATCCCCCTCCCCTAACTCCCATTTCTTCTCTGCGTCAAGGACTACGGTAATTGAATTTGTGTGGCCGAGAGAGGGGAGGGCGGTCCCTTCTTTTCTTCGTTTTCCGACGCTAGCAGGTGAATTAAAGCGGGAAATGAGAAATGACGAGAGAGCGGGGCGTTTGGAGAGATGCAGGCACGCACAGACGTTTTCTTGGGAAGACAAAAAAAATAGAAAAGGACGGAACCTGAATGACTCTCATGTTGAGGCCCGTCTCGGCGGCAAGTTGTTCCCGGATGTGTCGCGTTGGTTTCGGCGTGGCGGCGAACGCGTTTTTCAGAGTTTCTAGCTGAAAATGAGGAATTTGTAAGAAAATGAGGTGCTTCGGCAGACCTGCTTAGCTTTGATCGTCGTTCGGGGACCTCTTCGTTTTGCAGAATTCGAATCGTCAGAGTTATCCTTCCCGCAATCACCTTCCACGTCGTCGAGGCCCGTCTGAAAGTTTTGCGATCAGATCAGATCCTGAAGAGCTCGGAAGGAACCTCATCGCAGGCATCGACATTGTCCTCCTCAATGTCGGAATTGCACTCGGATCCGTTGGATACTGTAACCACAAGCCCATCCGTCTTTGCTCTGTTCTGTTCTGTACACACACCCCTCCCCTCCTCATCATTTCCTAATACCAGTGTCCGCAACGAGATTATCCGCCCCATCCCTTCCCTTCCATTCCTTTTCTGTGCGGTAATTCGAACACAAAGAAGTGGCCGGAAGGAATGATGCTGACAGATGTGTGCCCCCCGCGCGGGTATACCTATCATCGTAAAACTATTCAAACAAGAACAACACATGGCTCATCCTAAATATGTTTTGAAGCCCCCGGATTAGGCCTGATGTCTTCTCTTTTCCCCCGCGTACCCGGTCTGTGCATCGAAGTCGGCGTCGACGTCTTCGTTGCCGTCTGGAAATCGCTTTGACACACGAATCGATTGCCTTCCATGATGTAGAGCTGCAAAAACAATAACATGCGTGGGAATCGCGCCTCGCTGTTCCCGAGCACGTTCATAACATTTTTGTGCCGAGATGGTTCTGCGGGGAGAGCTCGTTGGCTCGTGGGTCCTCGCGTAAACCAATTATAAAGTATAATAGGTTAGGTTAGGGGAGAGGGGGTCTGGGACGATGATTGCCGAGTGACAACACGGACAGATCCTAGGGGAATTGCAAGAAGAGAGAGGTGGGCTCAAATACGGATAAGGAAAAGAAGAAGGAGAAGGAGAAGCTGAAGGGTTAGGAGATAACATCTACCGGTTGGTGCCAATTCACATTTGCCAACAAGAGTTGCTCGCAGATCAAAGCGCTTCTATTAATTAAGACTGAGTTCCGACCCAATTCTGACTAAATCTGCGCGGAATTCGGAGAAATCTTACAACAAAGACATCTCAAGTTTCAAGAGCACAAAATTTCTCGCCGCTCAGAACATATCATAGGGACCACTTGTCGCATTGAAACGGTCACTTGACAGCTATAGTCGGTATCCATGCGCGCACAAAACATTTTGAATGGCAAGTAGGCGTGAAGCGAGCCACGAGCTCCCGAGAGCAGGTGCAAGTGACGGCCACGAGCACATGTCCGTGGCAGGCTCCAAAACGAAGAGAGCGGTGTGATTGGCCTGTTTTCCATTCGGAAAAGGTGTGAGAAACATTCCGGAAATTAACAGCAGCAGGGTCGCGGGCTCACCTGATCGCCAGTGTCCAATAGTCGCTGACAAATTGAGCATTGAAAGCATCGAATGTGGAATACTTTGTCGCGCGCTCTCCGCACCAGATCTTCTTTTTCCAGGTTCCCATCGCATCCGGCACACCGTTGACCGTACCGCCTGAAAGAGTTGAGGGAGCGTGTGACAATCGCGTACAAAAATGTCGAAACCCGTAGAACTAAGTACGCAAACACAGATACGCCAAAATGCAGAAAACTCAGAATATTGGACTCCTCACGGCGTTTTTTAATCGTTTTGTCAAATTTCCATGTCTCAAATTAATAGTTACTAAAGGGGCAAAAAAGGCAATCAAAAATGAATCAAAACAGTGTGCGCGTACCTCGCATTAGGTCCCGCCCATTTCTACGGAATTTGACATTTTTCTACGGGATTTGACTCCACGGGTTTTGTAATCTACGAATTTTCTACGGGATTGTCACACTCTCAGTTGGGGAATAACATCGTGTGAAAATGTTCGCTTTCTCATAGTAATGGCTGCCCAGAAGTTTGGGGAAATCAAATGAATTCGAACGCTCCATGTAATTGAGCACATTTTACGAGATCTCACCTGGAGAAATCATTTTTGCACAGAATGAGTCCGTCGCGACTGAAGCAGGTCATCGTCATCGGCGCTCGACAGTCGCAGCACCGCAAACACGACTGATGCCAGCACTTTCCGAGCACTGTGAAGACATATCTGGAAGTGGCAAGAGGTGTGTGCGTGAGTGTGAAAATGTGGAATGACATTGGAAATTCAATTAGGCGCGGGCTCGTGCCAAGTGCCCGAGTGGCTAAACGGAAAATAATCATAAGTAGTTAGTGGTGGTGTCGCGGGGAAAACGTGCGAAAGGATACCTGTCAAGAATAGGCTGGGCGCACGCGGCACACTCGCTGCCGCTGATCTCGGATATCTGCGGTTGGTTCGTCGAGGAGGGCATCATCCACGTGGAGTCGAGCAGCAACAGCGTGGCGGACGAGATCGAGCCGACGTCTTCGGCTGGCTCGCCTTCTTCTTGTTTGGTCTTCGGAAGATGATGACTGTGATGCGGCTTCTTCTTCGTCTTCTTCTTCTTCTCCTCCTCTCCGTTTTCTTCTTCTTCTTCTAGGGTGATGATGGACGAATGCATAGGAGGAGGAGACGAAGAAGACGGGCACGGATTACGGTGGAGTCTGAAGGCTGGGTGTTGGTTCGTGGGCGGAGCCTCGAGGCGACTGGCAGAGGCGACACAGACGAGAGGCAGAAGCCGGGGAGGGGGGAAATTACGAGGAAAGGCACACCAGGAGGGGTCGCTTCTGGCGCACGGCTCATCGTCAAACCGCTTTTTTAGTTTTCAGAGAGACGAGAGAGAGAGAGAGTGAGTGAAAAAGAGTTCTGAGTGCAAACGGGGCGAAGGGTAATGAATTGAGAGGGAAGTCAGTACTGTAGGAATGGAAATGGCAAAAAGAGCTCGGAATGAAACGCGATATGCTCTTAGATTTTGCTCATTTTGTCAAACAAGCCAACTACAACTCCCATATGATCCGTTTTTCCTCCGGCATCTTGGAAATTATCATCGTTTGCTTTCCCAATGCAGGTGTTAATGTGCACGTGCACTCTGCTATTCAATCACCTGGCTCTGGAGGAGAAAAAGTGTGATTTCGTCAAATAAAGTGTCTTGTACGCAGTCACCTTGCCACCGTAACCATTCCGCTTCTCACTGTCAACCAATTACAATGCCACGTGTCACATTACTTGTCTTAGACCACGGACTCATCTCGAACTTGTCATTTCTCTCTTTTTTCCGTTTACTTCCTCCCCGAACAGCACACTTTTTACTGTTTGTCCTTGCCCGTTTCGATCCCATTTCGGGCTTGTCACCTCCTGAAACAATGCCATTTCGCGCCGAAATTGCGAGGATTACTGTAGAAGGAGGCGACAGGAATTTAGAGGATTCGGAGGGCGGACAGTTCGGATGAAATTGGATGATGTTCTCGGATGAGAGAAGAAACGACGCGGGGGTTACGGTAGAGAACGTTTCCCAGAGAGTTGGGGTGAGTCAGACTTGATCGTTTTGATGACTAATATGATATTTGGGGTCTTTATGGGCTGCCAACCAACGGAAACTAACTCGGAAAAAAGTTGGAACGACGGACATACCGTAGTCCAATTCATCAACAATTTCCATCCGAGTGAATCCAAAGCAAACAAACCGTCCGTCTTCTTCTTGCCCATTTCATTCATCTATTCATCCGCTAATCGGAATTCCCATGCTCCACGAACTCGGTCATTCCTATCACCAATCTTCCCATCATTTCTGGGCGCCTTCATTCATTCATGGCCAACTCGTTGGGAATCTCCAAAGAACGCGGATGACTAATCGGCGGACGGTCGCTCGCGCGGCGTTTCTCTTTGGGCCGCCCCAAAACACATAAGGATGGATCGGGGCGACGACAAGCTCCATCCATCTTCCGAAGGTTGTCCGTCGCTGCGGTTTGCGCGCTCAAAAAAGCACGGACGAACATGTTGCGGCCGGCGCGGCGGGAGAGCGGAACATTTGCATTTCCGAACGGACGAACGAGGGACGCTTATTGTCGGAAACGTGAGAAACCGACAGAGGAAGAGGAAGAGTGATGGTTGAAATGATGGAAAGGCTAAGAAGGTGTGGTTGGGTGATGGGAATGGCATTCTTTTTGAAGCACTGACAGAATCCTCTCTAGAAGACCGCATTGAGAAATTTTGGGAAAAAAAAGTGAAATTAGTTGGATTTTGCAGTCTAAAGTTTGCAGAAACGAGCACAGTTCAACAACTGTTACAAAAAATGGGCAAAAAGTGACCCACCGGGGAAGTAAAACAAAAGGGAATGAGTCAGTTTGTGCCACTGACCAGAGTGTCCTTTTGTGGCCCGGGAGCCCTTCTCAAAAATGGCATCGGATGAAAGAAAAGACGGGCGGTGAGCATGACTCAGAAAGGCGAGCAACGGCTTTCTTATCGCTTCAATGGCAGTGGATTCAAGAGAAGAAGGTCATAAAGTTGGATGGGAAAGAAAGGTGGGCCAAGAAGGCACTATTCTGACGCCAAGAAAACGTAGGCGAGAGAGGAAGATAGAAGATGCGAGTACAAAATGGGCGAAAAAAGAGGAAGAGAGACTAGGGAGACCATAAATCTGAACGGCTCTGTGAATGTCGACATCTTCTGAGGAAGAGCCAGGGAAAAGGAAGCGGAATTGTCGGATTAAGCGAAAAGATCCTGAGGCAGTTGTGGGAAGAGGACGATTTCTCTTGCAGAATGAGAAGAAGAAGAAGGGATGCTGAGCATCGATAAGCTCCGCCCACTTCCTCTTAAAACTTTCGATTTCTCGAGACACTATTGTAACAATTTTGTGAGAGTGATGAAGGACGGAGACAGGAACCACAGAAACATGCGCACTTCTCGACGAAGCAATTTATTAAAATAAAATCTCAAGGTTATTATCATTCAGAAAAACTTACTAGGGAAGTGTTTTAGGAAGCACTTTTAAGAAATTTGAAGAAAAACTCTGGGTGGTACAATGGACTATGAGAAAATGTTTGGCGTCATTAGAATCAGGCCTGAGTTTATATGAATTTTTGAGGTTTTTTAAAAATTCATATAAAATAAGGTCGTGTCAGATTCAGACGACGCCAAACATTTTCTCATTGTACCATCCAGATTTTACTCAAGTGCTTGCTGAATACGCTTCCCTAAATAGTTAGAGTAAGAAAAATGAAGTTTAGATGACCAGGTGACTTGTTTTTATTGTGAAAGATCGAAACCAAAAGAGACCGAGAAGAAAGTGAAAGTGTCAGAACTGAAAAGGAAGCCGACGACGGGCCGAAACGAGTGCGTTCGATCGACGTTTGTGACCGCAAGGAATTAGAAGATTCGACGGTCACAAGTTCGTTTTCACTTGCCAGCTCGAAAATGTCTGATTCATTGTTACACTCATACTGCTTTCAACACTTACAGTAAGCACTTCCACTAATGCATTTTTGTTGCTTGTCTTTCTCATCCGTTACTTTAAACTTTGCAAAGTGCTCCTCCCTGTGAAAAACAGATTTAAAGAAAAAATAAATTTGAAATTTAAAGTTGCAAACGCGCTTTATTGCAAATTTTCAGAACGCTCGAAATTTGAATTTTGACTGGGTAGCCAAGCGCGCTCTTTCGCTTTTCATTTGTCGGCGCGAAAATTCCGGAACCCTCGAAAAATCATCTTCAGTTTACTCGCCATTCCTCTTGTCATTGTTCTCGCTCTCTTCACTTTCGCTCATATATTGTTTCAGATCAATCAGAAATGACTGGAAGCGAGTCCCTGTCCACCGATACGTGCCAGAAGAGTGGCTTCGATTTATCTGAGAGCATGAAAATGCTCAATCTCGCCCGTCCCTACATCCAACCGCCACCCGGATTGGGAGACTTGGAAAAGGTAAAAATACCGAATGATTCATTCCGAAAACTTCATTGTTTTCAGTCGTTCGTTTCGGATTTCCAATCCTTCGAATCGCAAGACCGACTGCTGAAGACGCTCATGTCGCAGACCGCCCGAAACGCGCTCGCCAACCAGGATCCGTGCACAATTCCAGACGATCTCCGTGAAGAATTGATGCGCCAGAAACGGAAGGACGACGCCTTCAAGACGGCGCTCTGCGACTCGTTCCGCCGCAATCAGACTTGCTCGTACGGCGATCAGTGCAGATTCGCTCATGGAGTCCACGAGCTCCGGCTCCCACAACACGTGAGTGCAGTTAATTGGAAAGTAGTAAATGGTTCTGTTTCAGCCACGTGGAAGAAATCATCCAAAGTACAAGACTGTTCTGTGTGACAAGTTCTCGACGACCGGAACTTGCAAGTACGGCACCAGGTAGACCGCACTCCTTTCCATCCGTTCTCTCCAGTCATTTCGCCCTTTTCAGATGCCAATTCATCCACAAACTGGTCAATCCGACTCTCCTCGCGCAGGCCAGCGGAATGATGGATACGTCGGCCAACGGCTTCAACCAGTCGCTGTTCATGCCGTCCGTCTCCGCCGACCTCAGCATGGACCTCAACCAGAGTCTTCCGATCCGACGTACCGATCTGGCCCGCGCATTCGCTCGCGCCAATCAGGCGGACAACGCAAACGACAGTGTGAGCCGGATGGCGCGCGTCTTCACCAGTCAGTTCAACCGAAACTTTGCGATCCCGGAGCTCCACCAATAAGCCTCCTCCGCCGCCTAACCATTTCACATTTTTGATCTTCAACATTACTCAATTTACTATGTCGACATATGGATTGCCTAATCAATTCCAATAATTTTTGGTCCCTAGGGCAATAATTTCCATTCTTTTTGATCATTGCTAACTCGCAGAATAACCCAACCCAGTCTACCATTTCCCCCCTCATCATCACCATTTTTCCCCCCTGCAAATTCCCCACATTCCTGAGTGTATCTAGTCTGTATGTTATTGTTATCTTGCCGCTGCCATTTTCTTCATTTTTTATGCTCTAGCTAAGTAGACTGTTAAAATGAAGCGCTAATCAGAACAAAAATGAGATAACATTTATCAAAGCGGAAATACATGCGACAGTGAGTGTGAAAATGAGATCAAACGGAACGTTGTCTCTGACAATTTGCCCGTCAACTTTGTTGCGGCTTTTCCTCTTCTGTTCTCGCCGCTTCCGGAGATCCATCCGGTTTCTCTTCGATCTTTTGTTTCTTGGTCTCCGGCTCTTCGTCAGTGGTCGGCGGCAGCTTCTTGCGGAATCCGAACACGAGGTACATGCAGATGGCCTCCCACTCCGACTTGGACAGAGTTCCCACGTACTTAGGCTGTCCTTCCGCCAACGAGGCGATCTTCGACTTGGCTTCTAGGTACTCTTCGTCAGTTTTACCGCTCAGATTCCGATTCGGGAACGTCTCGAGTCCCTTCATATTCTCCAAAAGGTGACGTCCCGGTTGCAGAAAATCGGGAATCGCTTCGGCAAAGTTTTTCACGTAGAGCAATTCCATGTCGAGCTCTTCGAGAAGACTGAAAAAAGAAAGAAATAAGATGATATTGCAGGAACCGAACTAACTGTTTTACGAGTGGGAAATGAGCGAGGAATTCGGGGCAATTGACCTGTTCGTCAAGAGAGAAATGGAACTTGGCTCCGAACAACGGAGTCTGTCCGTTTTTGAGCTCCTCGACGTTTTCGTAGGTAATCTTACAGACATCGTTGGCGAACTTTCCGTCCGTTCCATTCCGCACCGCCCATCTGGAAATTTAAAGAATCAGATTGAAACTTGTTTCCGTTCTAGCTCACACAATCCTGTCGGCATCGGGCAGCGTTCCGATGAACAATCCTCCCGGCTTCAGCATTCCGACCGCATTCTTTAGAAAAGTTCTTGCCGACGGCTCATCGACGAACGAATAATGCATTGCGAACTGGCAACTGACCAGGTCGAAGGGATCCTTGTTCTCAATCCGCTCTTCCAGATTATCCTGTTGAAAATAACAGTTCTTAAACGCCAAGAACCAAATCATACTTTGGTGCAGTCCGCGACGATAAACTGCGCTCCGAAAATGTTATTCTGTCTCATTTGGGAGTATCGCTCTTTCGCTTGTTCGATGGAAACGTCTGCGACGTCTGAAATTTGAATAGCTCAATATTCGAAGAGACTGTTTTTTCTTCCCACCAGCCATTACAACGGTCTTCGCTCCGGCTATGGCCCACTTTCGAAGATCTCCACCTTTTCCGCAAGCGAGGTCCAGTACACGCAGTCGTCCGACGTTGCTCTCCTCGAGACGTCGTTTCGCATCGTCTGCACTTATTGATTTTTTGTGTTATTATTTAAAAACGCGAACCTATGAGTTGACTCTTAATCCAATTGTTCATATTTCGCATAAAGAAAATGCGACTGTCTTTCCTGTCTTGGATTCCGGCCTGTTTGACTCTGTTGTAGTGATCGGCGACTTCTGCGGCGCTCATTTTTTCTGAACAAAATTTAATGCATTTTAGGATTAATTTTGTGCGGAAAATAGCGATGAGATTATTGTAAACCTAAATAAGTATATAAAATATTTTTCGAAAACGAAATTGAAAATAGGATAGTCTGGCCGCGGCCGCACGTGCAAAAAAACTAGTCCCTCCTTTCTCGGACTCCTCGTGAACAATCAATTTTTTTTTCAATTTTCGATTATTCTCCCATGTTTAATGTATTCAGAAGCTATATTCTGTCGTTCTTAACGCTGTCTGGTTCAGCATGCTTTCATGTTCACCTAGGTCAACAAAAAATGTTTATCTGCGCTTCTACGCTCAAAACAGGTTCTCGTTCAAAAATAGTTAGAATTTGTCCGTCTGCAAACTCATTCTCGCCAGGCAGCTAATCGTGTGCTGTCGTTCACTTCTCCAAAATTTTCCCCGCTTTCTCTCACCTCTTGTTCGTTATTCATTGCGTCTGCAACCCTCATTTTTCAGTCCGAAAATGACGAGTGGATTTGTAAGCACCAAAGAGCTTACGGAGGAGAAAAAAGCCTGTCAAGACGCTTGGGAAAAAGTTCGCAAGCCGACTGATCCTACATGTATGTTTTTTCATTGATTGCATAACGTGGAAACTCAATTTTCAGTGGCTCCGGAACCAGAATACTGCAATAAAACGTTGTTCGAGCAGTTAAAGGACAGAAAAGATGCGAAACAATTGGAAATCGACGAGGCCAAAAAACTCAGTGAGTATCACTGCCCGAATTACAACTACAACTACAACTTGGGTCTTTCAGAAAACATGGTTCGAGGAATCGACGAAGACGAAAGTGTGTTCCTGTCTGATCTTGACACCTCCAAACGAGTTGTGAAAATGCAGAACAAGAAGGAAGAGCAAGAAGTTATCAAAGAGATGACAGTGACTCAACACCTCGCCGCCAAACAGCCTCCCACCGCCCGACTCATTCTAAAACCGTCGAGTTCCGGTGTCGTCGCCCCTCCGAAGTCAAAGCAAGCCGCCATTTTGAGCGCCGCTATCAAACGGAAGTCCACGTAAGTTCATATTATCTCGGAATTGTTTGGGAAATTTAATCTTCAGAAGCGCAACGCCCGAGGAAAAGAAAGAAGAAGCCGCCGTCCCTGCCAAAATCTCAAAACCCGAACCAGTGATCAAACAAATCGGAGCGCTCCAAGCCCTTTGTGACTACGCGCCTTCGAGTGATTCTGAAGGCGACGACTCCTCAGACAGTGACGAGCCAGACACCCTTCCGATCCTCGTGACGTCAAAGCCGGAGAAAAAACAAAACAGCGGCGGTTGCGAGTGAATCCATTCGTCACAATTTCGCACTTTCCAAACTCCTTCCATCTTGTCTATAAACATCTGTGTCACTTTTTCGTCGCTTCCCCCACATCAAGGCTTTCATTAATAATCAATCAGTAACAGTAGTAACAGTTGAAGCAGTTCACTTTTTTGTGTTCCCTCTCTAATCTAACTGTCCCGCCCGTTCTAATGTACCATTTGATTGAAATGCTCTGACTTTTCCCGATATCTTCCAAATGTTCATTTCCGCCATGTTGGCGTCTGTTAACTTTTCTTTAATTGATTGTATGTGCATGCGTACTTCAGAATGAACAAAAGAGTAACAAGGAAAGCAGATGCGCACTTCCGAACAGGAAGTTCGCAGATTGGCTGAAGGAACGGAGGGCCCGTAAGGAAAATGGAGGAGAAGAGAGTGGGAAAGGGCGACCGGGTTAGCAATAGAGCGAGCTTGCTTGCTCTCTAGTTATGCTCCAGAATTGCCTCGATCGTGAACGATTTGATGGGCGCTCTCTGCTGTACATGGCAATTCCAGAAGCCGGCGGCCGTCGACAAGATGGGCGGCGACGTGTCGGATCCGGCGGATCCCTCCTCGTCCGAAGAGTCGTCCTCCTCGACCTGTAGTCCCATGTGCCGACGCACTTTCCGTTGTGCCCGACGTCTTCGGAAGTCGCCGCGTTCGAAATCGCGCACGCACGCCGGGTGCACCGCCCAATAGTGACCCTGAAGCGTCCGTGAATCTTTCCGTCACTTCACTATCTTCTCTTTCTCACCTTTCCGTTCGCAGCTCTGCCGGCCTTCACAAAACAGTCGTTCAACGAGAGATTGTGCCGAATCGAGTTCCTCCAGCCGGCGCCGCGACTTCGGAAGTACGGATATTCGGTCATTATCCACTCGTACACCTGAAAACACTCGCTCTTGTTCTGTTCCTCTCCTTTTCTCTTCAGTTACGTACCTCGGCCAAAACCATCTTCTTGTGCGGAGAAGACAGAATCGCCATGGCGATGAGTCCGATGTACGAGTGCTGCGGCTTCGGCTGCTGGCATTCGGGGCTCATTCCCGAAGTGTCGAGCGGCAGCGGAAGGAGCGGGAACAGCGAATCCTTGAGCGGATGGTTGGAGAGAAACTGACGGACTATCGCCTCCATTCTGGAAATATCAGTGGAGTGAGTGAACGGATGACTTATCAGCCGTCTTTTAATAGACTGATTCGCCGATCATCATCGATGTCAAAGGCGGGCGCAGACGATGATTTTGGAGGGAAGAGCTCAAGGAGTCACGAAACCAAGAAACATTATGCGCGTCTAGACAACTGGCTCAGGGGGCAGGTGATTGCGTAATTCACGGAAGAGGATGTGAGCAACAATCAGTTTCAAAGGGCGGGCGAACTTGGAGTACGCTTTGACCCACTTGCGATTACCATAGGGATCCTTACTTTGCAACAGTATCAGTCTGGATTCGGAGTACCTATCTTGAAAGTTTCAGACCAATTGGATTATATTATCTGGAGACGTAGTGGTTTCAAGCCGAAAAGTCCAGACTTTTGCGAAAACGTCAAACCAAGACTGATAATATTGCAAAGTAAGGATCAGATCCACAAAGTGCAAGTGGTTCTAAAGTCTTTAAAGCTCATCCTAGACTACAGTAATAGGAAATGCATTCATTCTGTCGATACTGTATGCTTCTTTGAGTAGGTAAAAAAGCAAAAGTTGAGGGATGGATGGAAATAAGGGGGCTCCTCTGCGGTTCCCGGAACATATACACCTATCATCGGGGGGACAACAGCCAGGCGGTGACGGGAAACAATTGTGGAGTAAAAGGAGGAAGAGGCACAAAAAAGGAGGAGTGGTTATTATTGGCAGCGGTGGTTCACGGCGGTTGATAAACAGGAAGACACGCAATTTCGGGCGAACCGAGAGTTCCGAGATCAACGGGCGAGTAGAGACACCTACAGTAGTCCGGAACGAACATGCTGGCAAATGGCGTGGCAACTACTGAAACATCTTCCTATCATGGCCGTCTGATGGGATTACAGAAAGACGGAAGCGATTAAAGGAGGGCCGTCCTTCCGTTCGAAAAAAAAGAGAAACGTTTCATGACGTGGCTACCTTCGAGAAGAATCTAAATCTAAATCTCAACTGACACATCCACCAAAAATACAATTTTCGTTTTCGAATTTCGGAACTCCAAACTCAAAACGGATATGTTTTGTGCAAAGCAGAGTGATACGAAGAGGAGATGACACGAGACACAAACGGATCGGTCGTTTGCGTACCTCGGGGAGCTTCACTTTCAGTGACACATTCTGCACTTTTCGACAAAAGTACACTCTGGATTCATCGCAAATTTAAATTTGGAACGCTTCACGAATTTGCGTGTCATCCTTGCGCGGGGGCCATGCTAATCTTCTCTGTATTGTTCCAATTTTAGTATATGTTCACGAAAAAGGCGACTTTCACCTTACCGTCCGTTTATATGGGCACGTCTAGAGGAGCGGACGACGTCTCACGGGTTCCGCCCTCCACTATACAAGGGGTGTCTTACAATTAGTAGGAGAGGCAGTCACAGTTCATTAAATCCAAATGTGTTCGGGAGCCGAAATGTTTTGGAGATTCAAATGGAAATCGTCTTTTTTGGGCCGTCCGAAAAGGACAGATGCACTAGATGAACCAGGGAAATGAGGGGCAGTGGTTTGAATGAAAATGGAATGGAGCACACAGATTAATGGGGGGAGGAGGAGGAGGAATTGGTGGCGAGAATGGGATGATAACGATGGGGCATGGGAATGGGAGTTTGAATTTGAACTCGAGATGAAATTGCTCTGAACAGTTCGGAACCCTCAGAACATGGACCCACGTGGCTCTGGTTCACTGAAAAGCTCTTCTAGAACATGATCTTGGACGAATTCAAAATATTTGCTTCATTTCCAGAAGTTCGGATTCCAATGCACTTCCAACCATGCTGGTATGATGTCAAACTCCAGCAAAATTGGTCAACGTGGCGAGGTAATGTTGAGAAGATTCGAGAGAAGCCCTCATGACGTGGCATTCACTCAATCCTCCACAGTTACCTTGCATTTTAAGTCATGGGGCTCTAACTTTGCGCGATAATCACTCTTGGTTTTCTCTTTCAAAGTTTCAGATTTTCGGAGGAGGGGCAGAGCGATTGGCATGTCCCCTGTCGATTTGACGCCGAAAAGCCTGGTATTGTGGGAATGTTCTGGCTTTTCGGCCTAAAATCTCTAAATTTCGAGACAAATTATCCGATCAGACTGAAACTTCCCATTTACACACTCCGGACTATAACTCATGATCATGCAAAGTTAGAGTCCGATCCGGTAATCGAAAGTGGGTCAGAAGACCCGCCGAGACTGGATTTAAAAGTTTTCAAACCGCAATGTTATTCCGACGCAGATGAATAATAAGTGCTTCCAAATTCGAAAGTAGAATAAAGAAACAAGTACATTGCGAAGATTAGCGTGTGTGACGTGGCATCACCGCACGAGACGAGTACATTTCGAACGCAAACAACTCACCTCTGCCGAATGCAAAAAGAGGCGGAGCCAACGGGGAACGCATGTTTTCGAAACAAAGAATTCAGATGACGTGGCATTCAGAAGTCTACCGTAATCCACCGGGAAAGCTCAAAAGGAAAACAGGGACAAACGACTGCTCGTTTTCGTCGTCGTCGCGGCGGCGGAGCACACAATGCTCATCATTCGGGCCCAACAAAAGAATCTCGGAAAGTGGGCGGGGCGTCGCTCATGAAGACACGAAGACGTCTTCAAAACGCAATTAAGGGCATACGGTAGACGGCCGCAAATCAGATTGCGTGAAGCTCTTGTTTGATGCGGCCAACACACTTCTAAATTGTCGTTGTCCCCTCCTTTCTATCCTGAATAGCACCTCAAATTGTGCCGCTTCTTACCCCCCTCATCCCGCATATATAAAGACCCTTGTCGAAATTTATTAAAACTTTTTTCGTTTTTAGGTGTGGGACCAAGCAAATATATAAGAAAAGGAGATAAAGAAGAGTGGGTCCGCGTTATTCGGAATAAAAATAATAAGTAAGAGGGAAATACGGAAAGTAGAATAAATGATGGAAGAGAGAAATAAATATTTAACGAGGAGAACATTCAAGATCATGGTTCACGTTGGAAATAAGGGAACAAGAAGACGTTGGTGACGGTGGAGCAGAATTTACGCGTAGTCCACACTGATCACGCGTCCCTCGACGGTCGTTCCAAACAGCGAGGCGCGAGCGCGGTCCGCATCTTGGAAACTGGCGAATCGGATTCGAGCCGCACCTGGATTGACCATGTCCACAGTATCCACCTCGCCGAACTGACGAACTCGGTCCCGCACAATCTGCCAAGTGTAATCGGTTGGAAGCTGCAAATTTTTGAATTTTCAATAGAATCGAAAAAGAAACGTTTCTTACGTTTCGGATGAAAATGACTCTCGATGGCTGTTGAGTGGCTGGGCCAACTCCCACTCCACCGGCTGCTCCGAACACGTCTCCGCCGAATCCAGCACCAGAACCGCCGAACGGTGCGTTGCCGAGAACGGATCTCGCAAAATTGGACTGATCGATGCCGGCCCCTCCTCCGAATGTTTGCGGGCCACCGGCTCCAAACGCTCCGCCCGCTGGAGGACCTCCAGCTCCGAAAGGAGCAGAAAACTGGAATGTTATTATTGAAAAATGCAGGTTAATTTTCAAATCTTCAGTAATTTAAAAATTACTAACACTAACCGGTGGTGCGTCTCCTGGGAACATTCCGTGGATATTGGCAAGTGGAGCTCCGTCAGCTCCGAGACCCATTCCGATGCCTTCAAGTCCGCGGGGAAGACCGCCTTCTTTCACTTCGTTTTCTTTCTCGAAGCGATCCATCTTGACGACAAGATTACGGTCGAAAAGACGTTGTCCGTTGAACATCGAGATGGCCTGCACTGCCTCGATCGGATGAGTGTATTGGATCACACAGACACCCTGGAAACAGAAGTTTGATTAAGAATAAAACGTCTAGTCTCAGATTACCTTGGTCTTGCCTTCTTTGTCAATGCGGAAATCCATCCAGGTGATCTTGCCGGCCATGCCGAACACCTCGTAGAGCTTGTCGGTTCCCACATTGAAAGCCAACTGGAAATTTGATTATTGTAGAGGAACTAGCCTTCTAAACCATCTAGAACTGGGGGTGGAAATGGGATGGAAATTTAAGAAAAGATGAAAACCCAATACAACTAATGGCCGAGACTCGAATTCATCGGAGAAAGCTGGTACGATCATAGTAGAACCCGGGAGATATATGAAACACGTTTTTAAGAAAAATGAACAGGTGAAGGGATGAGTGCGATGTTTGATAAAGGGTAGACTTCCCACCGTTGACTGCCAGAGGAGACTTCAGCAGACTTCCAAAAGGGTATGAGTTTCAAACCTACATTGGCGATGAAGATGCGTTCACAGAGTGGCGGTTCAATACTGTGCTGACGAAGGAACTCCATATTGAGACCGAACAAATCAAACGTTCCACTTCGAGCCGGACGTTCGAGATCCTTGCCAGGACCGCCACGTGGCCCGCCTGGACCACCACCGCCGGTACGAGACAGATAATCAATTCCAGTTTCCGCTTTGATGGTACGGAAGAACGCGGTCGGATCCTACAGAAAACAGAAAAGATAAGATGCTGGAGAGACGAAAGGCACAAGACGGACCCGAATCTCTTTAGCAATGATGCTTCGTCCCTTCCAATCGAACTTTTGAAGGTTGGCGACGCATTTCTCGGCACCCTCACGAGACTCAAATTCGATCACAGCATTGCCTTTCGGCTTGCCATTGCGATCCTCGAGCAACTCGCAGAACACCACTTCGCCTCCCTTCTCGCGGACCAAGTTTTTCAAATCAACCCAACGAGCCTCATAGGCAATGTTCGTGATATAGACCATGCGATTGTTCGCAGCAGCGTTTCCATTGTTGCCCAGACCTCCAGCGGGGCCAATACGATCTTAAGGAAATTGAAGTGAGGAAAGGAAAGACAGGAAGAGGTTGTAGAATCAGGAGTGAAGATGATCAAAACCGTACTTCTTCGCGGACTCCTCGAACGGCTGCGACGATCGCGTTTTATGTCACGCTGTCCATCACGACGATTCCTGTTCATAGTGAGCGCCTGACGGAAATAATGACGAATTCGACAAATTAATCGAGCAAGACAACAACGAGAAGAAAGAAAAATACGATTTCAGCGAATTTAGCGGCAAAATAGCAACACCTGATTAGAAATTGGCTGGCTAGTTATGGTAGTCAACAGAAGACTCGAAAAATCAATAATTTTAAAAATTTACAATTTCTTTACTTAAAAATTACTGCTTGACAATGAACCGACAGTTTAGAACCTATTTGCGAGCTGATAAAATTATGATAGCGCGCATTTTTCTACACGCCAACGGAAATCCTAAAGTGTTTAGGAAACGACTCATTCACCATCTCTTTCTGATGATGCGCGACCTTCCAACGGAGCGAATAAACTCTAATTTAGCATAATGTAATTTTTAAACAAAATTTCGGATGAGAAACGCTCAAAATCGACAGAAAATGCAGAAAAAGCGGAGACATATTTCGAAATTCGATTCGGATTGGCGGCAAGGGAAACTGTGCATGTTCGCGTGATCGTGGACGCACACCCGGCATCAGACTTCACGACAAAAAGACCGCGAAAGCGAAAGCTTATCCGTCAGTGATAAGCCGTCGAATATCCAGTCTCCAAGCAGTCTTTTCCGACACAGTTGCAATTCGGAATGGGTTTTTCGCGAAAGTCTCTCCATATCGTACAGCTTCGCTTCTCGCAGAATTCGTATTTTTTAGGCCACGCGTACATCTTCTCCTTTCCACATCTGTGATAGAATTTCTAATGTTGCAAGGTCCCAGCTAGATATTCGAAGACCTGGAGAGCGTTTCGACAGCCCGCCAGTCTCAGATTTCGCGGGCAAAGATTGCAAATAGCCAGTTTTTCTGTGAAAAAGACTAGTCTGGAGATTTTCGCATTCGTTGAGTGTTGGAGATAACAGGATTGTAGATTAGGTGCGATTTCAGAGAGACCAAATCTAGAGTGAAACGCGACTTCTTCTTTTTGTTCCACTGATAACTGATCTCTGTGTGTTCGGCTTCTGTCCCTCGCGGAGCGCATTCGCATACGTACCGTAATCACAGAGAACGATCTGGTCGTTCAACCAGGCTTTTAGCGTTGAAGTAGGTTGTTTTTTTGTGAATGGCGTTGACTTTTTCGCTGCTAACAAGTTAGAGTAGTTTTTTTAACTTTCCAAAATTTTTGCCTTACGTCGTTAAATGTTTAGGCTACATACAGGTCAGACATTCTAGATAGGTCGATTGTATAAATATTTACGTCCCTCTCCTAGTCATGCACCATGATATCTAAACAAATTATGATGTCTTTTGATGTGTGACATTAATGCGCTGACCTAGTAAGACCACAAGACACGAACTACATATGACTAACAGGGGTTCTGGTGCAATCGAAGAATGGCTCATCGCCTAGAATTACCCTAGTCACTACCTTATCACTGTCCGTGACGTCATAACTCTCCTCCTCTTCCTGCCGCCCTATCGTCGACCTCGGTCCTCCTCCTCTCGCCAGTCTCACCTCCTCTCTTCTATTCCTCTCGTATTCAACACACGAATCGTACAGAACGCGACGACTTCTCCATTGTCAAATAGTAACCGCGTGGAACCAGTTCGTGTCCTCCGGGGCATGAATGTTTATCCAGTGCGTCGGTCTCACCAGGCAATTTTCCAAAAGGCATCGTCTGATTTTTCTTAATTCTGCCACGAGACACACGTTTTGCCGAAGTCTTCTTCTTCGTACACTTCTGTCCTACACGACTTTCTCAGTACACTCAGTTTCGCACGTTTCTGTGCCTCTCACACGAGGTCGCTTATCGATGACGGCAGGTTTATGGATACAGATTCACGACGGACAAATAAGAGGCGGAGTGGAGTGTGAGTCATGCTCAAACATTCCTCATTCTCCCTTTCATTTTGTCGTGACGCCGTCTTCGGGAGCTTCTCCCTGCCAAATTAGTTTCCCGGCGAATGCGTCCTTTGAAAAGAATACGAGATGTTTCTCTTTTCTCGTTTCTATGGTTCACCCGATGAGTTCTTGTGCTCCGAAATAGAAAAGGGAGAAAGGGAGAGGAAGGGAGTCTTTGTGTGTTTGCCAATGGTAACAAAGTTCTGCTCCGCGGGGCCGCTCCAGTGTTTTCCTTCCGTCGCCCCCGGCTTATAGGCCCCTCTTGTGCCCGAGGAGGCGAGCATGCCGCTCTCGCGCACTCGCAATTTTGGAAATTGCATGAGCCTCTTCCTTCCCCGTTTTCCATTTCTCGGACTGACGGGGCGGATGGACGGGTGGCAAAATATTCCGCCGCCGCCGCCGCGTCGTTGCCCATTGTTTGCCCCCGTTTCCGAAGAGCCCGCGCAGGCGGCTCTCACACACATTCTCTCGGTTGAATTCAATTAGGTCAGCCAGTTGTGTGTGTATGTATGCTCTTTTGCTCTTAACTCTCACTCGGTTTGTCCCTCCAGCACACGCAGATTTTGACAAAGTGACCGATAGACAGGAGCAGCAAGAGAAAAGTTTGATAGATCAGAATTACATCAAAAGGATGAAAAGCACGGAGAGATCACATGTTTCAAATTTGTTGGGAAACCCTTCACCTCATGTTTCCGATGGGAAGCAACGCATTTATGCGATTCGTAATGTGAGCCTTCGGAGTCTCTCACACTTTTCTGTTTTGAGAACATTCCCCCACTGCTGATTTACCTAATTTCGGGAGACGTCTTACGTGCATTTGACGCATTCTCATGCATTTAGAATTGCTTCGGTTTGATTGAAGCCTTGCAAAAGACACCCCCACCTGTCATTCATAGAAATTACCGAATATAAGGGTTTTGCAAAAATTGAATTATCACAATGTTTTCTTCTCTATCCCCGTATATAATTAGATCAGCTCTCCGAATCGGCAAAAACTCAATGATCAGCTTCAAAAGCCGCTAATCAGCAGGTGGAAATAATAGAGAAAGTCTCGACTGCTATTTTAATATTTAGTAATAAGTCTTGTTTTGCCACTGCTCAGTTTCAAATTTCTTCTTGTTTTCCTTCCTCCTCTCCTCACAACTTTCCCATGTCCAATGACCGGAAACACACCGACGGAAAATGACGTTTTGTGCATATTTCCTCTCGGATTCTTTGCTTTTCTTTCATTCAACAAATTTCCTTTCAGATATGGGGTTAGGAGCCGAGGAGAAGAAACCGTTGCTGGTGCAACTCAACGGACAATACTATGATATCGCGGATTTCGCCACGAAACATCCCGGCGGTGCCAAGGTACGAAAAACAGTGGGAAAACGAACAAAACACGCAAGTTTCTCAGGTTTTGAACCGTCTGGCAGGCGAAGAAATTGGAGAGTACATTCGGGGAGAGAAGAGGATAATGGGAGTGAGGCACGAGCATTCGGAAGCCGCCTACAACATGCTCGAAAGGTACAATGTGAACGCGATCCAAAAGGTGAGAAAATATGAAAGAGAGAGAGAGAGAAGGATTATGGGTGCCACCATTGGGTGGAAATGGAAGTGAACAAAGGGAAAGAGTCATTGAAGAGTTGCAGGGCGATCCGCTAATCGAATCAAAGGGAGGAATGCTCTTCAAAGTGGGCTCTCTGGGCGCAGAATACTGGCATTGGATCCATCAGCCGTATGACGGTACTTTGAGGTAATACACTACTTTTCGAAATAATCTGGGGAGTTTGTCTAACCGATGGGGCGGATTATCCTCCGAACCTTGATTTAATCGGATTTCATCAACTTCTAGACTGTTTCATTATTCCAGACTATTCGATTCGGATCTTCTTGAAAGCATGACTCGAACGAACTGGTGGGTGGTCCCGGCCGTCTGGATCCCAGCCGTCATGCTCTTTTCCGTCTTCTCCGTGCTCTCATTCTCCGCCTCCACAGGTTAGTCGGCACAGAGTTCCGCCCGTTTCTTTTTTACCTCATTTCTTCTCATTCTCTCTTCAGACGCTCACTTTACAGATGTCTATAACTCGGTGCTCCTTTGGTCTGCGTGGTTCGTGATCGGAGTACTCACATGGACACTCACTGAATACAGCCTCCATCGATGGGTTTTCCACTGGAAACCGTCTCCCGACTCTCCAAATCAGATCCTCCTTCACTTCATGCTCCACGGACTTCATCACAAAACGCCGATGGACGGAGATCGCCTCGTTTTTCCACCCGTTCCGGCCGCGCTCATCGTCTCCGTCTTTTACATCGTCTACTCGAATACTTTCCAATGGTAATTGCAAACCCTTCTTGTTCTATTCTACTTCCCAATATTATAGGCCAGTTTTCTGTGCTTTTGGAGCCGGAAAGCTGTTCGGATACGTTATGTACGACATGGTTCACTACTATCTGCATCATGGATGCCCACGGCCTCACAGCAATATGCATTTCAGAAAAGTTTATCATCATAATCATCATTTCAAAAATTTCGATGTTGGTAAGTCAAAACGCCTTATAAATGTTTTCCCAGCGAAAACAAAACGTTTTTCTGCAAAATTTCGCCCTTAAAATTCAAAATTTGGCTACTTTCTCAATGGAGCGCGTTTGCATCATTCACCGCAATGGAATTCGAAACCCCCTATTTTCCGCTATTTTCGGCCTATTTTCTCGTTTCAGGCTTCGGAATTTCGACTTCGCTCTGGGATTATGTGTTCCACACACTTGGCATGGGTCCACTGTAACATCTAATCAACATTTATCACAGAAATCTCGTCATTTGTTATATTATGCTACGGCATTGTCCCAATTCCCTGCGCCTCTTCTCCCGATTCACTTCAATTTTTCTCGCTCTGATTTGTACATAGCTATTTATCGACTTTTTTGTCAGCAAACTCTCGTCTGTTCCATCTAGATTACTCGCTACTCAACTCGTGCCTGTTATCCTCATTTCGTACTGGTTTTCTGATCATTTTGTGATTCTTGTTGTTTTCTCTTCTGCTCGTTATTCATCCAGAATTGAAAATTGTTTCTAATCAAATGAAATTTATTGTTATTTGTCGGATTGTTTATCTGATAAGTTTATTTTTATGGTGTTTGTCCCGTTTTTATCGCTTTTCGTCTCATTGCAGGCTGAACGGTCAATTTTTGCAGAACACCGTCTCCCACCAACGGACAATGTTCCTGAGATACTTCCTTGACGAGAGCAATCAGAGAGTGTACACTTTGAAGAGAACTGGACCGTCCGGACAAGAGACTTTGACCGCCCATCCAGCTCGTTTCTCGCCGGAGGACAAAAACTCCAAGTACCGCGTCATCATCAAGAAACGCTTCGGACTCCTGCCAACCCAGAAGGCCAAGACCGTCTGCTAAAATGATTGTGTGGGAGTGGCGACGTATTTTGCGTCAAAAATTGCGCTCCTTCACACCTAACAAACCAATCAATTATCAACAAGTTAGTCGAACTTTTCTTCTATTTTTATCTCAGCTTTCCTATTCCAGGTATCTCGTCGTCGTATCATTGTCTCATTCGTTCTTTTCTTTGTCGGTTGGAAGGCATTCGGCTACACACTCAACGACATGTTCCTCTGGACTGTCGACGAGCAAACTATGCAAGGCCGATTCTTGACGCCGCAAGAGGGAAAAGATCGAAGGTTTGAGATTTTCTCCCTGGAACCAGTACCAATTGTTAGTTTTTCAGAGAGGCTTTGGAACGACAGCGAGACCCCAAATTACGTTCAATCACTCCACCTATTGTTGCTTCGAAATACGATCTTGATGACTAGTTTTCGTTCGCCCTCTTTTATCATCGTTTCCCCCAATTTCTCATTGTCTTTACTTTTTCTCATTGTTGTTCTCTTTGTTGTTGAAATAAAAATGAATCCGAAAGATTGGAAGGAACACGGAAGAGTTGTGTCGCTGAAAATACTTTATAAGCAGGCCTTCCTCAGATTTTAAGGCTTTTAGGGTGAATGTGCGCGTGCTTTATTGACTACTCGTTCGAGCACGACGGAGCACCGATTCACTTCTCGATCACTTCGCACATCGACAAAGATCTCGTCAACTTCAACTCGACTGGCCGAATCGCCCAAGTCATCGAAGTGATCCTGCCGCCCGAGCTGCTCTCCAGCCAGCTATCAGAGCAGCAACGCGTCGAATACGATATCAAAAGCCTTCTCGGAAACGCTGAATTGGTACTGGAAAGTCTAAATTTTGAGTTTGACGGTTTTATTTTGAAAATGAATGTTCAGCCTGGAGTCGAGCTATTCATCCGTCGATTCGTCACTCATTTCGCTCGGAAAAACACGAGAAAAAGTGCTCTTTTCGTTCTTGGTGAGAATATTTGCTAGACGATATTCGATGGGAATCTTTCAGGAATCGACCTAGATGGCATCTCGAACGACTGCATTGCGGCCGCTTTGCGCGCCCTCGAAAAACAACATTAGGTATTCACAAAGAAATTAGGAATGCTCAGTCTCCCATTTCTTCTAGATGCTCATTCTCCACCACCTCTTCAGAAACTCCAGCGAAAAAGAAGAAATCTACAGTCTTCCTCCCATCTTCCTCTTTCATAAATCATGTCAAATCAACAGAACGCTCCTCTTCCGATCAAAAAGCGGCTGCAGACGGTGGATTCGAAGAGCTGTATTCGTGGCAGAAAAACAGAGAAGGTCCATTGTTCGAGCTTTTGGACGGACCGCCATACGCGAACGGAGAAGCTCACACAGGACATGCAATCAACAAGATACTCAAGGATTTTGTGGTGAAGAGCAGAATTGCACTGGGCTACATGTGAGATTATTGATTAGTGCTCAGCGTGAATAGTGGATGGCGGACGGCGCAGAGAGTATTCTTGTGAACATATATCACTTTACCCATGCCGGTTTGCCTGTGACTGAAATTGGAACAATACAGAGAAGATTAGCATGACCCCTGCGCAAGGATGACACGCAAATTCGTGAAGCGTTCCAAATTGTTTGCTATTTTCAGAGTTCACTTCCGCCCCGGCTGGGATTGTCACGGCCTTCCGATCGAACTGAAAATCGGAAAACGACAAGGAAATTCTCAGTTGCGGACTCCGCTGGAAATTCGTTCCGATGCCCGGATTGTGGCAGACGAAGCGATCGGAAAGCAGATGAACGCTTTCCGGAGATGGGGAGTGACTGCCGATTGGCAGAATCCGTACGTAACGAAAAGCCCGGAGTATGTGGCCGCTCAGTTGGACATCTTTGCTCGGCTCGTGGAGCAGAAACTCGTGTACAGATCATTCAAACCAGTTTACTGGTCTCCGAGTTCGAATACTGCTTTGGCTGAGTCGGAACTAGAATACAACGAAAAACATCAGAGCACCAGTGTCTACTTCCGCTTCAAAATGATCGACTTCTCCGCTTCTGACGTTATCTGGCCGTCGCCTCCGCCTTCAAAGCCTTTCCAATTCTTCGCTCTCATCTGGACCACGACTCCATGGACTTTGCCACTCAACAACGCCATTTGTGTGTCTTCGGGAATAGAATACTCGGTTTTTCAATTTGAAGACGAGCTCAAGTATGTGCGAGAAGTCTTATGAACAACTCGCCATTTTATTCTTTCAGCAATCCGACATGCTCATTCTATCTCGTCGCCTCAAAACTGCTCAACGAGTTCGAAAAGTCAAGTGCGCGCAAATGCAAAGTTTTAGGAAAATTGAACGCGGGGAATCTGATCGGGAGACGATACCGCAGTTGCTGGCACAATGAACTTGCACTGCCGATCCACGAGGGAGAACACGTCAGCGATTCGGTCGGAACTGGACTGGTGCACACTTCATTCGCACACGGTTTCCAGGACTACGATGTGACAAGAAAGTGCGCAGTTTTGTTAAAATAAGCATTTTTCCAGGTAGCGTTATCGAAAGGAGAACGAGTTGAGAGCTTTGTAGACGCCCGTGGTCGCTACAGCCGACACCTCGGCCACGATCTCGACGGAAAGGAAGTGCTCGGCGAGGGACAGAGAGAGGCTCTCCGTCTTCTCAAACACGATATCATTCACATGGCCAAACACATTCACTCGTATCCGTACGATTGGCGAACGAAGAAGCCGGTGATCATCCGGAGCAGCGAGCAGTGGTTCATTGACGTGGACGAAATCGGAAGACGGGCGGCCGCGATGCTCGATGACATTGCAGTGTCTGCTGGCGAATCGGACCTCCGCGGAGCACTCAAACAACTCGTGACGACAAGAAAAAGTTGGTGCATTTCGAGACAAAGAGTGTGGGGAACACCGATTCCCGGGCTGATCGACAGAAACGGAGCATCGTACACGTCTCGCAAGCTCATCGAATACGTGGCGCAATTGACGAGAGAACGAGGAACGACGGATGTTTGGTGGGAGATCGGAGTGGACGAGATTTTGGCGAACGGAGACGTCAGAAGATCTTTGCAGATCCCTGAAGGCGTTGAAGTTACCAAAAATACAGATATCATGGACGTATGGCTCGATTCTGGACTCGCCTGGCACGCAGCCAAGTTAGATGATTCCGAAAGGGAACACGTGGCAGATGTCGTTCTGGAAGGAGTCGATCAGTTCAGAGGATGGTTCCAGTCGCTTCTGCTCACTTCGGTCGCTGTCCAGAACAAACTCCCCTATCGACGGATTATTGTGCATGGATTCTGCATCGACGAGAACAACAACAAAATGTCGAAATCGATTGGGAACGTCGTTGATCCTACAATGCTCACAGACGGATCTCTGAAGCAGAAAGCGATCGGCGCCGACGGATTACGCTTCTGGGTGGCTCTTTCCGGATCTGAAAACGCAGGCGAATCAAGGATCGGACCGAAAATCATTGAGGATGTCGATAAGAAAGTGATTGCTCTCCGGAACGGATTCCGATTCATGATCGGCGGATGCCAGGGGTTCAACGGAATCGAGCCGAACTTCCAGTTGAGAACACTCGACAAGGACATGCTACAGAACTGCGACGGCTTCGTGAAACGGTCAATCGGCCACTACGGAGACTTCAAATTCCGAACTGTGGCCAATGACTTGACGCAGTTTATGCAACGGAATTTCAGCACGAATTACGTGGTAAACAAAATCAAGAAAAGCGTCGAAATTGCAAAAATCTCATTCAGAAATACGTGCGAGATCGTTTGTATTGTAATCGAATTGGAAGTGAGGCACACCTCTCCGCGCAGTTTACTCTTCACAGGTTGGACGCTAAATCTGTCGACTTTTGCATCATCCCTTCATTCCAGAGTGGCTCACAACCTTGCTCACGTCATCTCCCCGATCCTCCCGCATCTCTCTTCCGAAGTACTCCATCACCTGCCCGGCTCTCACGAAAAACACATTCTCCGCTTGAAACTCGACCAACTGCAGTCGGGAGTGACTGCTGATTTTCAGCTCTTTGAGCACATGCAATTAATTCAAGAGATCCGAAATATACTGGAAACAACCGCCGGACCGAAGATTGACACGTCGAAAAAGGTATTGACGCACAGAATGAGAGACCGCAGAGAGATTCATCCTGATCATATTTCAGGGAGTTGTCCTTGGATTACCTCAGGAATCCGAAAAGATTCTGTCGATTTATAACGCAGAACTCCCGGAGCTTTTCAATGTTTCGGAGGTGAAAGTGTTCCGTACAAGCGATGAAATTACGATTGAGATAGTGGAAAGCGGAATGCGGTACTGCGAAAGATGCCGGAAACACACGCGGAAAGACGGAGAGTCACTGTGCGGACGGTGCGCAGAAGCTGTTGCTTTATAGAGCCCCCCCCCCCATTCATTAGTTGTTTTTGTTCAGTTTCCGTTCAATTTGTTATTGTTATAAAATGTCTAGCTACCTTTATTACTCTTTCAAAATAAGTGATAAGTATTCAAAGTGGACGAAATGCAGTGAAATGATTGAAAAATGGGGGAACTAGGCCAATCTAGCCATGAAATCTACAGATAACTGCCTGATCGCCAGGTCTGGAGATGCCAAAACGACTTGGGAAACTGCGGGCAAGAAGTCGGAAAGGTGCTCGCGGAGCAAGTTGTCGGCCACGTGGCGGAGAGGAATGAGGCAGACGTCCCGATGCGCGGCGAGTCGGATCTCGTCGAAGTCCTCCTTCTCAGAGTCTCTCTCGGAACAAGCGTCCGAATCATCGATGGCGTGCTGGAAAGGATTCCGACGATCGGGAATGAACGGCTTCAGTCGGTCACGATGCTTGTCGTATTCTGAACATTTGTTTAGTATTAAGAGCATAGTTGGATGCCTTTACCACTCAAAGCGTCGTCCACAAACGCCTGGGACACTAATCGATAGGCATTGTCCTCGTCGTTCTCCACTGGAACCAGGTGGAATTGCTGGAAACCTTATTCGAGTCTACAGTAGCTCTGCAGTAACATTCTACCGTAATCGCGTGCTCTCTTCCCACCAACGCACTCCGTCTCGTGCTCACTTCCAATTCCACACTCTTCAGGTCAACGCTTCGGGTTTTCACCGATTTTGCCACTTCTAATAGTACTTCAAGGTTTCTGAAAATGTTTGCTTTTAAAAGTATTTGAGAGTCGCTCACTTTGTCTTCTCAAATCTCCTCAATAAACTAATCGATTTGATGAGATTCGAGCTCACGAGCATTTTGAGCAGGTTCGCGTGCTCTATCCGGAGCATTCGGGAGAGCAGGCTTCCGACCGCTGGACGAGTGTCAAAGTCTGTGCTTGTCTGAAATGGGAAACTATCTAATTTGAATTGAGAATTCTTCTCACTTCAGAAGACTCATTGAGGATTCCATAAAGTATCGGGTAAATGGAGTCATCCAGTTTCGGATCGATTGGGACGGTGGAGCCGATGAGCGAAGATTTCAATTTGAGATCCTCTTCGGAAATGAGGAGAGAGGCGACGAGTTGAAGTAGAAGACAGTGCGTGAAAAGAGTGGAGACGATGGAGCACACTTCCAGTCTGAAAAAGAAGGATTGAACTTTGAGGGATTCGAATAAGAGTATCAATACCGATGAGTGTCTGCTCCGTGCGAAAGCATGATGAGGGCGACTCCAGAACTTAGGTCCTCTTCCTCCTGGCTCACAGCCTTTTCTCTTTGCGATGAGAAGACCTGAAGGGCTGCGACGAGTTGTTGGAAGGACATTTTGCCAGGATTGAAAGAAGTAACGTCTCCGATGTCCCCGTTCTCGTCAGTCGAAGTTCGTACGAAAAACGAGTTGAGAAGACGGATGTGACGGAGACTTTGCGATCTGAAAACACGAATTTCCGAGGGAGTTTGGGGAAGGGAACTGACGAGGCGGTGGCGAGGAAATGGCTGAAAATAGTCCACTGTTGAGTGGAGAAGCGAGACGAATTGTTGGCGATGAGAGTGAAATAGGCGGGAGCGACGGCGCACGTCTTGTCGAAGAGCACGCACTCAACGATGAGAGCACAAATGTCTCGGAGCAGGCGGTCTTGCCATGCGGACACTGAATAGAATGTGCTCTAAGTACCGTGTGGCACTCCACTCACTTTGCTCATTTTCAATCATATCAACGACGGTCTGCGTGCACGCTCCGATCACTTGTTTCAGAATCTTCACTTCGTCCACGTCGGGCCTTCGGATCCACTTCTGAACGTACGGAAGAATGACGGCCGACATGCACACTCCTCCGCTGTCCGCTCCCAAAGGTTTCGTGGAAATGTCGACCAGGAGACGGCCGATCATATCCAGCAAGTGCTTTTGAGTGGTCGAAGAGGAGGTGAGCAGGGTTCCACAGATTTGATCCACTGAAGGGAAGCTATGAGATGACACAGGAAGTAAATAGAGAAACTTACTGAAAGTCAGGAACAATTCGACTGCGGCGATCTCGTACGTCTGTTTATCAACCCACGGGAAGGGTCCATGACCGACTTCAATCGGATCCTGCTCCATTTCTACCGTATCCAAACATTTTGATCTCAGATCCGAACGATGCAATAAGTGATAATTGGGAATGTGGGGACTATTGTAGAGATAAAGAATCAACGAGTAAATGTTGGGAAGGAGACGGAGCGCTGCTGAAGAGACTTCCGAAGAGTCTTCTGAGTTTTGGAGCAAGTTGACGACGCACGGAACGCATTCGAGGATGCTGAACGAGAGAACGGACGGACTGTCGATGCGCAGGTACGAGGAGATGACGTCGATGGCACACCAGTGGACCTTTTCGTCTCGGGCGGCACTCACTGCTTTCAGTGATCCGAACAGCGGCTTCCATCCGGACCCGATTTTGTCGGCTTGCGTGAGCACCAGCTGGCTCAGCGCACAGAGCAATTGCTCTTTCGTTTCCTCCGAACAGCTTTCGGAGCACGACGCAGACTGTAAACCATCGAGGAATAGAAACACGGAGAATGAAAGAACAGAACTTACCTGGAACGGGACGATGAGGGTTTGGTTGAAGCAGAGGCCCGGGGACTCGGTGACCAGAAGCCGCGTGGCCACTTCTGCCAAAGCAGACGCGGCGATTCGGGACTCTTGATCGCACTGACAAACTTTTACGAAATGGGCGGAGACTAGCGGGTAAATGAACATTTGATGGATAAGCGGACGGTGCGAAAGAGTCGAGATGATGTCGGAGATCTGGAAAAAAAGAAGACAAAATGCGTGAACCTCAAAATACACAATCACATTGGGCAAACGCATTTCCGTGTTTCATCCGAGAATGAATATGAAACAAGCTCTCTTTCTATCTATTCTTTTTCGTAAGAAATTATGCTTTTTTTCAACCTTTTTTGATCGGATCCCTTTTTAGCGATCACTATTTCAAAAAAGTACAGTCATGACAAAGGGGCCGGCCTGAAGGCGCTGAACAAAGTGAGAGAGCAAGTGGCAGAGGAGATGCAGATTGCGAACATGTACAAAATGGTAACTTTCTTTCGTCCAATTGGGACCAACTCAGCTCGTTTCAGTACTGGAGCGAAGAGCGCGCCGAAGCTGCTCATAAGAGAATCGACGAAAAGGAGGACACATGTCCGAAAGATTTGGGTAAGAAGGAACGGGAGATCGTAATGTCGTTTTACGTGAGAGATGCCCAAATACTCAAAAGTTTTTTGACGGAAGTGCTCATTCCTCCAAAAAACGAAACGAATACGACGAAGAAAGAGACGAAAGGGAAGGAGGACAAAGGAAAGTTCGAGGGGATTGAGGAGGGAGAAGACCTCGGACAGCTCGTGAAAGTTTGGCCGACCTATTCGGAAGTGGGATGTGCCGAGTGTCGGAATGGAGAGAATGGGCCGCTCATGAATCTGTGTCATTTCGGACCCGGCAAAGCGTGGAAGCGGTCTGACGTCAAGAACGGAAATCCCGGATCGGAGTGCGAAAAGAGGAATGAGGTAGAGAGTGGAATGTGCGCGGACAGCTCGAAGGACAGGAAAGAAGAACCGCGGAAAGAAGCATTGACGTCTTCAACGTCTCTTCGGGATCCAGTTGCCCTTTTTCTTTTTGTATTCTCCCCATATACATTCTGATTTCTGAATAAATCAGAGCTAGGCATTTGCCAGCCGCGGCTTTTTTGCGGCCTGTGTGTTTTTTTAAACCAAGGGCAATGCCCAAACATTTTTTGGGTCAGATCGGTTAACTGGAAGTGTGCCAAAAACACAAATGCCCAGCTGTGGAATAAATGATTATTTACCCTTGATAAAAGTGAGACTGGAGCTGTGAGATGAACGTGCTTCTGAGCAGAGTAGAAGACTCGATTTTCGGAGGACGAGACGATGGCGACGCACAGATCTTGGAGAGCCGGAAGGCAGAGCTCGCGGCATACTTGAGAGTAGAACCTGCAAAAAATTTGGAACGCTTCACGAATTTGCGTGTCATCCTTGCGCTGCAGCCATGCTGAAACCGTACCGGATCCGTGCCCGCCCCATGCCAAATGAGGCGGTAGCAACTTGCCGTTTTGGCCGGCACCTTGCACATTGTGCGCCCCAAACTGGCCGACAATTTTTTTGAGCAAGGAGGGGACTCACCTGTCAACTTTGGCAATGAGCACACAAATGGCTCTATTCAGCGAGTGAACTGACAGCGTCGGCTCGTCGCCAAGAGCATTCTCGATCGAACTGTCCGCTGCATTCGTTTTCTGAAATTATTTTAGTACTGGAATTGTAATTATCGAATTCTAGAGAGAAATTTTCTGAACAAAACCATACTATGAGAACAAGCACAAGAGGATCGGAAAGTAAAAGAAAAAAAAAGCGATTTTAAATATGACACATTTCATTGTTAATAAGTCAGTGCACAGCGGTAGTTCCATTAGCGGTTGACGTAGAAATGGTTGTCGGAGTGGTGAAGACGTTCGCTCGGATCGTACTTTCCGGGATCACCGTGACCGTTGTGGCGACGGTACTGGCGGCATCAGTGGTGGAAGGTTCCTCAGTCGTTGGAGCTTTCGTTGTGCTCGCAGCAGTAGTTGAGGGTTGAACTGTCGAGGTGATGACGGTAGAGACTGGAGCTTCCGAAGTAACCGTCGTCGTCGTGTCCTGAATGTCGGGCGTCACTGCTGACGACGTCGCTGGAGCAGCAGAAGAGAAGGCGGTCGAAATGGCGGTAGAGGTGACCATGGGAGTCGCGGTTGAAGAGCCAATTGTTGATGGGATCGTAGAGGAAGTGACCGGACGGGAAATGACGGTTGTGCTTAGATTTACAAGAAACGGAGCGTGAATCTCGGGGACCACAGTGCCGTTGACCGTCTGATCCGGCACCAGATTGGTCGTGGAGGTTCCGTTCAGTGTCTCATTCCTAAAACACCGCATTAGAATCCGAGCGGAGCTAATTTGACTCACTTCTTGGCCGTCGGCTCATCATCGTCAACGTTCAAAAGGAACATGGCGCCGAGTCCCAGCAGAGCGATGACTGCGAGAAAGATGGTGATGGCTGCGAAGACGCAGCAGCAGGTGCGTCCCTTCCGACGGTCCTTCGTCTTCTCCGAATTTTTCTGCGTTCGTTCGCTCTCCTCCGACGATCCCGTCTTCGTGACAATCGACGGTTCCGATCGCCTTGGATTGAGCGTATCCGAGAAGCTCACGTTGTTCTTCGACGGGCGGTTCGACTCCAAATCCACGTCATCGTTCGCTTTGAGAGCAGGCGTGTGCGGCAGGAGAGCCGATGCCGGAGGTGGTGGCGGTGGGGGCATCTGACTGTCGGCCAGGAACTCGTAGTCGTGGTTGCTCTCGTTGTTGATGTTGTTGTTGTTATTGCTGGACATGGCGGCGAGTACTGGAAAAGGAGCGGTGCTTCTGAAAGTGAGAAAACGGACACTCACTTTGGTTAGTAGCTAGTAGGGAGAGTGAACGCGGGAATGATTGGGAACGGTGAATCGAACTGAAGAGAGGGCAAAGAAAAGGGGCAGACTTTAGATAAGGGCACGTGAAAAACAAAGAAGGGCGGCAATGAAACAAACAAGAGAAAGTGTTGAAAAATTGCTGAAATAGAGAAAAAAGAACATCGCGCTCCTCTGACTGCGTGCGTTTTCCTTCAACGCTAGCTGCTTTCTTTGAGACTTTCAAACTAATGTTCACTGTAATGACAGTTTCCACGTGTTGCTCTCTAAGCTCTTATTGCTCCCATCTCATTCATTTCGACTTCTTTGTAATCTTCCGAAACGTTTGCAAACAATGACCGAATCGCCGGTCTCCTCTTCCCGATCCGATTCGAAGACGTCGTCGTCGACTCTCGATCCGGAATACAAGGTGAAACAACGTCATCTGGATGAGACGCGCACTCTGTTCACCGACTACGACGTTGTCGAACAGAAGAAGTTGACTGCGTTTGCAAAGGACGCCGTGCAGACGGTTGCTGAGAAGGGCGTCGAGGCGGAAGACGTCTTCTTCCTTGTAAGTCATTCGAATTGTCGAGCAAGTCGAAATTAAAAGTTTTCAGGAAACGGCAAAGATGATGAAGGAGTCGGTGTGCTCTGGATTAGGCGACAAAACGAGCAAATGGAACATCATCGTCGGCAATGACTTTGGGATCCACGCGGACGCCGTCAAGGGATCCCTCGCTTTTTTCGCCGTCGGAGACGTCAAGTTTCTAGTCTATCGAACCAAATAACCTCATATTCGAATAGTTTTGTTCAGAAAGTTTTAAAAATAAATACCTCTTCTTTATCTTCCTCTTTCTCCTCAGTTTTCCGTCTCAAAAACTTCAACCTTGATGGTTTCTCGTAGCAAAGAGCTCCGTAGATGTACTTCTCGAGCTCCCAGACGTACTCGGAGCATCTAACGATGTGCTTCCAGCAGGCGGACGCGTGAATGGCAATTCTGGCCTCGTCGAGCACCAACTGCATCGCCAGAAGATGTTCTCTGGAGGTACACGTCGACTTCTGCTCACTATCCGCTGCGATCGCGTCGTCCCGGAGATCTTCCAGGCAGCAGGAAGTCTCCACGAGTTGCTCGAAGATCCACCCGCATCGGGACTCCAATCCTGAACACAAAAGATGGTAACCAACCGTAATCTCGGGAGCTCTGCCTTACCTAACACTTGTGCAACAGCACACAAATTTCGCATTCCGCATATCGAAACAGAAATCGCTTCTCGAATTTTCTCCCTCGTCTTGCCCTTCCCTTTCACGGAGAGGAACGTCGAGAGCACATCGATGATCATCTGCCACGCGGAGCTTGTCATCCATCGTGCCACGTGTCTCTCTGCACAATCATCCTTGCTACATAAGCCCTTCACAGTCGCCCTTACCTTCAGTCGCGTCCAGCTCTTCCTGTCTCATCTGGATTCTCTTCAACTTTTCCACATCCGACAGTAATCCTTTCTTCTGTCCATCAAAATCATTTATCACATTCTTGAGCGTTGGCGTCAGTTGATTCGGCGAGAAATCCGCCATTTTCAAGTTTTCATACACTTTTTCCAGCCATCCGATTGCCACGTGAATCACGCATCCCGATGTGAGCACGCACTTCTTGAGATCTTCCAAAGTGAACGTGTCCGGACGCGAAATGTAGCACAGCGAGGCGTACGTCGTCAGGTAAATTGCGTCAGTGTTCAGGAATTCTTGCTGAATCTTCGAGCGAGATTTGTAGGCGTCCGCGTGGACAGAGCAGAAATCTGAAGGATTCGAGAATGTCGTTGAACTCTGGAACAACACTGACTTGCGTAGAAATCCGAAGCGAATTGCAAAATGGCTTCGTCGACGGACAAAGTGTTCTTGGGAGCGGCGATCATGTCGAAACCCTCGGTGAACGACTGCACAAACCGTTTGGCAGTGTTCCGTTCGCTCTGAAAGTGTTTCAATTCATTGTGCTCACCAATTCACTTACACTTTCATCCAGCTCACTGGATCTTCTAGTCATTATCGGAGCAACTCTGAACTTTTGCTCCAACTTTCGAAGCTTTGCAGACATCGGATCATCCGTCGATGTACCATTGAACACATTTTCAGTCTCTTCGTTAACCGTCGAGATTTCAGATGTCCGGTCGGAGCATTTCAATGAGAAACTGTTAACAATTGTATCTTCCGCGCAACTGAACAACTCCGAGATCATTTTCTTTTCTTCATCGGTGAAAAAACGATGAGTCGCCAGTTGCTTCATTCCGTCCAGCATGGCCACGATCGTTTTGACGGCGTCAATGCTCAATTCGAGTTGAGGATTCGTGCATTCGGCGATGCACGTCATCAGCATTCTCCACAAAGAAAGGGACTTTGTCGTCACGCAACTTCTTGCGATCTTGCTCAGTTTTGAGCCATCTCCGAGGATCTTTCTGATGAGTTTGAGAGCTTCGGAACGTTGATCCAAACGAGGAAAGAGAAAGGCTTTGTGGAAGAGCGCTTCGAGAGAAGAAGCCAGAGAAGGGTCGGAGATCATGAGCCGGATCAGCTGGTCGACGATTCTGGAATTACATAGTCGGTAGACGTTCGTACCTACTGAAACTCACTGATAAAGTGCCCTCCAAGTGTGTGGATTCGTGATAACCGCCGGAGCCAATGCAAAGTCGATCTGTCCCTCGCCCACGGGCTCCTCGTTCTCTGGTGCTTTGGTCGATGAGCTGCTCATTCCTTTTTGAGGAATTCCCAACAATAAAATGATCAGCGGACACACTTTCTCCCTGCAATTCCCTCCTTCTTCTTCTTCTTCTTGTTCTACCATCTTCGAACTCACCACAACAAGTTGACAAATGGCTGATGGGAAAGAATTCTCAAGTTGGAAGTGGTCAGCAGGGCGCAGATTGCATCCAGAGAGATCAGACACTGCTCGTGGGAGCTGCTCATCTGCTCCACTTCGACGCACAGTTCCTCCAGAAGTTTTCCGACGTCCATGTAGACTGCGATCGCATCCTGAGGCGCTTCGCAGGCGGAGTATCGGTTGGAGAAGTAGGCGGAGAGGGACTGCGTGGTGGCTGCTCGGCACGCGACTCTCACCCGCTCCTCCTCGCTCTTCCCGTACAATCGTTTGTAAATCTGTGCATACAATATAAAGGGTAGAATCAATTCAATTTTCAATCGGACTCACCTGAACACACTGTTCCACGTCGCTCAAGGACACTTTCAGTTCGTTGCTGCACACCATCTCTACCAGCAACTGAAAGAGAGCGAAAACTCTTTGCCACATCACTCCCTTACCGTCACACATTTGCATTGCAGTTGACTCTTCCACTCATCAATGCCGGTCATCGAGTGTAAAACCTGGGACGGCAGGCTGTTCTGCGTCTCCTCCGTGATTGTGTCGTGATACGTTTGATCGCGAAGAAGTACCTGAAGGGTTACTGTAAATACTGTGAACTGAAGAGTCTATGTAAGTACCTGCACACCGTCCACCGCATGATGGAAGTGCTTCTCGGATCCGTGGTCGAAAGCGAGTTCGAAAGCGGCGAGACACTTTTCCCTGACATGAACTATCGGAACATCCTTCTTTTCGGTGAACCTTTTCAATGTTTCTGAACCATTTTATCTATTTGGAATTGATAACGGAATTGCGAACCTTTCGCCTGATTGATCGCTTCCTTCGAGGCCGAATGTTTGACAGAGCCGGCCAATCCATTGAGAGCCGCCTCCATGCAGAACTAGAAAATATCGACGAAAAGCAGCAAAAGAGGAATGCGAAGGGGCCGCTGAGCCTAAGCCCACACACGGCTTCGTGCTTTTTCTCCGTCTGTGTCTCTTCTGAAGAGGCGCACGTCATGCGAAACGAGAGAGAATAAATGAGATGGAAGGGTGGAAGGATTCGCGTGGATTCAGTGACAGGAAATGAGAAAATTGCTGATGACTGACTAGAGCATCACACAGAACAGAGCAGAGTTGAGCAGTTAGTTCTCTGGCTCAAAAAGGTGAACTTTTTTGGTGGAATACGGAATTCCGCTCAACTCTCTCACGTGAACCGAACTGAACTGAGCGGAATGAAAGCGATACAATGACATTGCTAACAATTTCAGAGACGGAAATGGAAGGAAAAGTGAGCGAAGATGTGGAAGATTCAAAAAAGACGGCGATGACGTGGAGAGCGCTGAAGGAGAGCACCGATCATCTGACTTTCTACTGTAACAGTTACGACGAAACGACGAACGCGCTGATGAAGTACCGAGAAAGACTGAAGGAGACCAGAAAGACCGATATGCAACTGATGGATCAGGTAGAGCTCGAATCGAGATTTTTGATTCGGAATGCAATGTTTCAGCTTGTCGACAGAACGATCGATTATGGAACAAAGTTTGGAGAAGTGGGCGTGGCGATGGACTCGGAAATCAAGGAGACGCTGACGTGGCTGTTCAAGAAAATCGGATGGACACCGAGCAGAGTGCAGGCGAACATCGGCTACACCGGCTACATCGACATGCTCATCCGTTACCGTGATCTGAGCAAGACGCTCGACAGAATTGAAGTTCTGAAAGAGAAAACGTCGGCGGAGCTCGAGGAAATGGGCAACCAGTGGAAGAATCTGAGCGATATGAACGACAAAATCGACGAGCTGCATTACCGCTTCAAACTTGTAAATGTCGCGAAGATCCTGGAGTCGAGAGCTCAGAAGGACGACCCGCTTGCCGGCTTCTTCTCTCTTCCCGTTCTCCTTCTCGGCACAATCTTCCACGCGGAGACCTCTTCGTACTACGCGTCTCTGCTTTTCCGTCTTTGCAAACAGATTCTCGCAGTGGCGGAAGCTGTGCAGTACGAGAGAGATTCCCGCAATCAACCGATCGTCACCACGAGCAATGTGCTCAAGGGCCCTTGTCGGAAGCTTTCTGTGACCAGTCTTTACGCTTCAACCCAGGTAAATACTAATTTTTCAAAGGTTTCCATCAAAATTCGGTCCAGATTGCCGACGGTAATGGCGAAGTGCTTGCTCCGGAAGAATGTATTCAGCCTATCGCTAAAGATAGTACTCTTTGTGTTGTGGAAGCCCAGAACGGAGAGAGCATCGCGCCGTCTGCCCTCTGCTTGCCAATTGCTAAAGACAGCTCGATGACTTTGGTTCAATAGCCATTTTTCTTCTCAAAAATGCACGTTCGTTTTTGTTCAGAATTCGAAGGAATCGCCTAAACCGTGTCTGGAAAACGGATCGCGCGCTCAAGATAGTACCGACAGTTTGATGGAAGGCCAGAACGGAGAGAGCATCGCGCCGTCAACCCTCTGCTTGCCAATTGCTAAAGATAGTTCGATGACTTTGGTTCAGTTTTCATTTCTCTGCTCAAAACTCCCCTCTTTTGTTCAGACCTCGAAAGAATCGCCTAAACCTTATTTGGGAAATGGACCAGAATGTGGAGAGAAAAAGAAAACGAATCAACAGACAAGTCGGAAATAGAGAAACGAGCTTCATGTTCTCCATTTAATTGTTGAAGTGAATAAAAGTTTTGAAACTGCTAGTCTCGAATTTTGTCTTATGTTCCAAAACGTCCTTTCCATTAGAATACTGAGCGAAAATCAATTATCACACAATTCGTGAAACACTTCGGATCTTAAAAAACATCTTCAATTTTTCAAAGATCTTCCAGTTCTAAACATTTTCTATTTAAAATCAGTTGAATTCTCTCGATTGCTGCGTATTTGTTAAAAGGCGCACGCTGTTCTGACGGCGGCAGGTCTCGCCACGCGCGCGCACAGAGAAGCGAGTGTGACCGTATACCCTTTTCCATTTTCCGCTGAGGCCTATGCCGATTTTTTACTTTTTTTTCTTGAAAAACAGTGATTTTCGTTTGAAAATGATTAAATTTTGATTAAAACAAGATTTTGAATAACTTTATCGATAGTTTCATAAAGCTCGACCTTTTCGTTATTTTTTTGCTGATTTTTGAACTTTTACATTTTCAATTTTACCGTTTTCAGTGGGTTAAACATGCCCGAGATTATCGGCAAGCTTTTGAAGTCCGACGGAAAGGTCGTCTCTGATATCGAGAAGCAAGTCTCGCAGGCACTCGTTGATTTGGAGACCAACGATGACGTCCAGAGCCAACTAAAGGAGCTGTACATCGTCGGAGTCAAGGTGAGTTAAAAGTTTATTATAATTTGTTTGAATAGTGATTTTACAGTAGTAAGTAAGTTGAAACTAGTTACAAAATAAATCAAAACTCATTGCAAAGTTTTGCAGGAGGTCGAGATTGGAAACAAGAATGCCATCATCATCTATGTTCCAGTCCCACAACTCAAGGCCTTCCACAAGATTCACCCAGCTCTCGTCCGCGAGTTGGAGAAGAAGTTCGGAGGAAGAGACATCCTGATCCTCGCCAAGGTACATCAAATTTTGCATGTTTATATTCATTGTATTTTTTCAGAGACGCATCCTCCCGAAGCCACAGAGAGGCAACAAAGCTAGACCACAAAAGCAGAAGAGACCGCGTTCCCGCACTCTCACCGCTGTCCACGATGCCTGGCTCGACGAGCTCGTCTACCCAGCTGAGGTTGTCGGAAGACGCATCCGCGTCAAGCTTGACGGAAAGAAGGTCTACAAGGTAAATTTTCATGAAACAAGTTTTTGAATTCATAGAAATAATGTGCATCTAAAAATCTTTGATTTGAAAATGGCCAGTAGATTCATTTCTTGGTCGTAAAAATTCCGCCGTTTTTAATACTTTGAGACACACTATTCAATGCTTTTTATTTTCAGGTCCACCTTGACAAGAGCCACCAGACCAATGTTGGACACAAGATCGGAGTTTTCGCCTCGGTTTACCGCAAGCTTACCGGAAAGGACGTCACCTTCGAGTTCCCAGACCCGATTTTCTAAACATTTTTTGTTGACTTACAATAAATTGTTGATATAATTTATTGTGAATAGCGCAGAAAAAAATCAGTTCATTATGCTAATTGTCAAGAAAACTAAAGTTCGTCGTGAAGATTCCTCTGTTCGAACTCGAAGTGGTACTCCCTCTTCTCCTTGCGCACTTTCGTCTGTCTAATGTTCAAAAAGGCATCAGCTTGTGCTGGTCGATCTGGTATCTGACTACAAAGCCAACGTGTTTGTGGAGTGTCTTTGAAATCTGAAACGATGCGAATTAGGTCAAATGAGTTTGGCTAGTTCACAAACACTCTTGGCACATCTCCCGAAGGCAGTGAATAGCATTGGGTTGCTCATTCAGTTCGCACCACTGAAGCTCCAAACTGCAGAATCTCTCGGGTCTTGTGATGACCGTGGCCACCTCAGCCAGCTGATAAAACTTCGACTTCATAACATTCTGGCAGCCGTCGTAAGTGAATCCGTGAGGGAAAAGAGTGACATTGTAGGGCTGGAAAGCGAGGCAGAGTTCGGCGCAAAGGTTGTGGAAGAGGTTGCCGCGCAGCCAGTAGTAGACGGCGTCGAGCATCTTCGGCTGCAGCAGAATCTTGTGGTGGAGCACATTCGTGATGGACATGCAGGCGGTGCACTCGAGGCAAACCACGGATTCGGTCAGATTTCCGACTGAAATGACGTTCTTTTTAGAAAAGAGAAAACGATTGAAAGACGAACCTTTGAGGGCGTAATCCTCGTCGCAGCCGGGCGCGATGGCCGTGCAAAGTGCTCTCGGTGACGGGATTTGCGAGTAAAACAGACTGGAGACGTGGAACTCGTCGTCGGTCGTCAGAAGACGATTCGGACGGAGCACTCTCGCGTGAACCTCTTCTGTGAAACGGTGGCAAAGCGAGCAGAACGGACCGGGATGCGCGGCGGCGAGCGTCGAAAAGTAACCGAACAACTGGTCTTCTGTGACGGAATTCAGGTCTGTCAGTTGATTATTACACACTTCCGATTCACGGCCCATGTAGAACTGAACTAATGGAACGATGAATTGGCGAGTTTGTTGGAGACTTACATGGAGAGTCTTCATGTACCACTGGAACGGATCCTCGTCTTTTGAGATCTTGGCGTGCAGTCTAACTGGCTCGAACTTCTTCTCTGTCTCTTTCTCTTCTGGCGTCGGATCAGGAAGCGGAGCAGCAGAAGAAGAAGAGGGAGCAGCAGAAGAAGAAGGCGGAACAGCAGAAGAAGAAGGCGGAACAGCAGAAAAAGAAGGCGGAGCAGAAGAAGAATCCGCGGGACCCGTCGTCGACGGACCAGTCGTCGTGGCAGCCTTAGTCGTGGTGGTCGGGCCGGTAGTGGTGAACATTGTGCTGTTAGGCTGCGGACAGGGTGGCTGGCCGTCACGGATCTGGATCATCTCTTGGAAGGCCGGCGACAAGCTGACACGCTCCGGTTTGAACGTTTTTATTCGGTGCTTCGAGTCGGAAAGCACGGAAAGAAGGCGGTCGATCTCACGGGCGGCGAGCGATTCGGCGACGGATTCGATTCGGAGCCGGCCTTCTCGCAGTGTTTCGTGACATTCTTCGTGCTGAAAAACATGCACTTTTATGAGAGAGACTATAGTTGGTTTGGGTGAGAAGCTTTCACTTCCGCTTCCATTCATATCAGGGCTTTTCCGATCGGACCCTAACTCTTCAGTCTTGGTTTGGAGACTCTACACTACCCAGACCGATTGGATTATCAATCTATTATTTTGAAAGTTAGAATTTCCAATTATCCCATCATTTTTCAAAGTTAGAAGGCTGATATTTATACTTCAAAGTATTCGAGTCACTCACAAATCCTGCATTCACGAGAGTGACAAAAGCCAACAGTGTGAGAATAAAATGGAGATTCATAATAGCAGGAATGTGCTCCGACCGGAGGCGAATGATTATCGAAAGAGGGAGAAAGAGAGCGGAGTATGGGCTGTTATCAGTTGGCAGTGTGCCGTCCGACCACTCTCCCCCCATTTCTTTGCTCCTTTCAAGTCGGTTTTATTATGCGAAACGGGCATGTCGGACACGTGGGTCTTTCTGAAACTGCGATGCTTCCGAAGCACAAAGAAATAGAATAATGAGCCGAAGGGGTAGTCTCCACGGATACATCGCTTCGTTGCCGGGCTCCGCGAGCAATTCGGCCTCCGAATCTGCCCGAAATCTTCATTTCATTCGCTCTCAAAATGCGATATTGCTTTCTTCTTCTCATCCCTTTTCTCGTTTGCCACGTAAATGCAGGTAGAGATGAGAGTTAGCATGTCCTAAGGATCAGAATATGTTTAGAAGACATTTCGAGTTCAACCACGGATGTCACAACAACTACAAGTGACGGAAATGAAACTGTCGGTACGGTTCGCGAAACAGTACTTGTCAGCAATCAGAGCTCTCGCGTTTCAGCTGAAATCTGCACAATGGAACAGATTCTCTCCGCGTTTGCAGATTCGAATTGCGAAAGTTTGGAAGAGGCCACGTGTCTGTGCGCTTCTCCTGCGACGACTACTCACGAGACTAGCTCTACTTCTCTTTCGAGTACTTCCCTCACAGAATCTACAGTTCGTACTACCTCCACCATGTCAACTGAGATAACTTCTGAAGGCACATCCACTTTCCAAAACTATTCGCTCTCCTCTTCAAGTGAAGCCTCAAACATAACGCTGTTCGACGACGGCGAAGTGGTCATCTGCGACCTGGATTGCGTCTTTGAAGATCTCGGATTGTCGACGACTCCGACATCGGAGACCACAGACTGGGAGTCGTTGATGCCGGACACGACGCCAATCTTCAATACGAGCACGATCATCGATGACACCACCACAACCACTTTAATGTATTCCGGGGACTGGGATTACAATGACACCACCACCACCACTACGACGACAACGACGACGATGCTGACGACGGAAATCGAAGCAGATCAACAAACATTCAACTTTGTGGACATAGAACAAACTATCACTCATCCAACTGATTCTACAATCTTTGCAACTACTACAAGTTCTGAGACGAGCACCTCTGTGTCGTCGTCAACTTCCACGAGATCTGCTTCCACGACTGCCGCGGCAACTGCGGGAAACATTGTAGACATTGAGAACATCATTACTCATCCGACAGCTTCCACTTCGAAGCCTACTACAACGACTTCAGCACAGGAGACGACGACGACGACGACTGCGAAGGGATTGGAAATAGTGGATGTGAGTGCCGTTATCACTCATCCAACGGTTGCCACGTCATCTTCGACCTCAACGTCCACGGCCACGGCCACGTCATCATCAACGTCTACAACATCGGAAATCGAGACATCGACAGCGCCTTGGACGGAAGTCGCGAAGGCAGCCGATTCCGTCACTTCAACGACGACAGATACTTCCAGCTCTTCTACAGAATCTTCCACTTACACTTCCTCTTCGTCTACTGCGACCACTGTAACGACTACAATCGATCCAGCGTGTGCAATTCAATGTCCGGATGGATACGTGGCTGGCAACTCGCTCTGCTTCCTTTTCGCCAATCTCACCGACATCAAATCCTATCAATCTGCTCTTTCTTACTGTCAAACCGTCGATTCTCGAAATCTTATTTCTCTCGAACATCTCCGAAATCTCAACGATCTGACGGTTTTGAAAGCGCAAAGCGAATCCACGAATTGGTACTTTGCCAATGGCGGCGGCTCGGTGACGGAGAGGTTCGACAAGGAAGCGCAAGTGTTCGATTTGACGAAGATGACTGCGTTGACGTCGCCCATTGCAAACACTGTAGGCCTCTCCGATTCTACTTCGAACGTCTCCGCCATCTGTGTGTTGCCACGTAAGGCGCTCTCCTTTCTTATAGATTCTCATCAGTTCTACAGAATACTGTAACGTCTCCCAGTGCTTCGTCGACGCTTCTCTGACCGTTCTCGGCTTAACGTCCACTCTAAGTTCATCTGATGACACTATTGAAAGCGGATCAACCACTAGGCAAATTCACTGAAGTTTATTATCTGTTTGTTATCATAACCTCTTTTCAGTATCACTTGCTCCTACACCAAAGCGGTGACTACAGTAACCTGTGGAACCCGAGGCAGCTTGATACCAAATCCAACTCAGATCTCGTGTGAAGGTAAATAAATGGATTACTGTAGTCTTAAGATTCTTTCAGCTGAAAATTCCTCGGCAAAGTTGACGAATACAACGGGTGAGCTGGTGACCAGTTGCTCTTCATGCTTCAGCAGAGGCACGGCGAGTTGTGAAGAGGTTACCAGCGGGAACACAACTGGATATATGTGTGTGTGCAAGAGCGGATACACGGTAGACAACCACAGCCACCCTCCCTCATCTGATGTCATTTCCGTTTCAGATGGCCACTTGCTTCTACACGGGCGACGAATGCACTTCGAGCACGTGCAACGGCAACGGGGAGTGCACCGATGTGCTCGGAGAGCTGCAATGCGCTTGTGAATGGGGATACAGCGGTGACACGTGCGAGGTCAACAAAGACCGCACGAACACGACCGACTCTCTGCTCACCCGCATCGGAAACTCGTTCACCGCCCTCCACTTCAGCGCTTTCCAGTCGTCCATGTGGTCTGTTCTGACGGTCGTCGTGAAGTCTGTCATGAAGTTGTATCTCTCGAACGGGCAAGACGTGGGATAACCGTGATGTTCACAAAACGTCAAAATTTATGTGTTCCAGGATCCACAGGAGACTCACCAAGCACTTCGTTCGATTTTCATGACGTTCGGCTCAACGTGCGTTTTGTTTTTCCACGATCCCTACCTGTTCAAACTTCACCTCGCCACCTGCCGAACTTTCTTCGTTCTCATTCATTTCTGCTTTCTTGGTGGTAAGTAAGTGGGTCGACATTGTCAAAAAATTTGGAACGCTTCACGAATTTGCGTGTCATCCTTGCGCAGGGGCCATGCTAATCTTCTCTGTATTGTTCCAATTTTAGTATATGTTCTCGGAAGAACAGAACACTCCCCGCACCGTCCGTTTATATGAGCACGTCTAGAGGAGCGGACGACGTCTCACGGGTTCCCCCCCTCGCTATATGCACACTGAGCAAAAAGGGGCCTACCCTGTAGACGGATTTTATTTCAGCAATGATCCAGTGGATGTTGGAGGGATACAATGCGAATCAAGTGGTCCGATGCGTGCATATGAATGAATGGGAGCGGGACTTCAAAGGCAACAGGGCCTGGGGAATCATGGCCGCTCCCCGGATGGTCACTCCGCTCATCCTCCTCGCTGTCGCCCTGGCCGTCGTTTTCCAATCAAGTGAGGAGTGTCTTCACATCTTCTCTAGAGATTCCAAATGTATTCAGACTGGTATCAATTGCCTTCCACGTGGACTTGCACCGGAGTCATCTGCAATTCGACCACTTCCATCTGGCTCACAATTCTTTGGTTTGTCATCTGTATCAACGTCGCAACTGCCGCGTTCGCTGAATCGAGCATTCTGCTCACCAAGTAAATATATTTTGGTCTAAAATATTTCAACTGCACATTTCCTTTCAGCCGTCGTCCACTGTACAACCTAAAACTCCGTCAGCGAATCGAGCGCGACGAGGGAATCGTCGACGGATGGACTGCTGAAAAGTGTCGACGGAACACCGTTCTGTGTGCGATCGGCGTCTTCCTTTTGTCTCTCAAGTGGATTGTCACTATTGTGGCTTCGGATAGACGTGAAGTGAAGGGATTGGGATGGCGAGCAAGAAGGGAACAGCCTGTCAAGACAATGTTTTCTTTTCAGGGCAGCACTGGGCGCTGCTACCGTCTACGGCATCTTCACTTTCTGCCAAGGACTCTACACGGATCCTAATGTGAGAAGATATTTCTCTACAAACTCGTTGACTCTCTTTCAGGTCTGGTCCGCAGTTGTCTGGACGGCAATGAAGGTCCTTCCCACTCGATTCGCTCCCTCTTACGATCCGATTTCAATGTGGACACGAGAAGAAGTGAAGGAGATTCAAAAGTATCCGAAGGGGCTGCAGGCACAGTTGAAAGACGAGATGTTCCCCCGAAACAAACGACTCTTCCTCCAACACAAATGGGACCTCCAGCTGAATGACAAACTGGCACGGGGAACTGGTCTGAACGACGGACTGCTGGAGATTCTTCGCACTGAAACGAACACCCTCGCGGCGAACAACGGAACGCCGTTTCAGAAGCATCAAATGCAAGAAACGTTTGCCGAGTTTGTGAAGATTGTGGCAGAGAGACCGCCGAAAGAACATCTTCTGGGAGTGAAGGCGAAGAGCGAAGCGGTCACTTTGTGCGCGGAGAAAGAGGACGGATCAGCGAGGGTCGTCAAGTTTATGCTGCTGCCGGGCATCGATCTGTTCGAGCCGGAGAAGACGATGGAGGAAGCTGTAGACGTGGCACAGAAGCGGATGGAAAACGAGAACGACAAGGAATTGTACAGAATTGCTCGCGCGGAGGTGGTCGCTCAGAACAACTTTATGAATTCGGCTATCAAGTTTAAGTATTACGGAAAGATCAAGTCCTGATTCTCTGGAAAGAGAACAATGAAGAATTTTGTTAATAATTACGGAAATATTTATGTATTTACACTTGCAAATAGCACAAAACGGAACGGCAGAAACGTACAATTAAATAAAAAAATTAAGGCATTCATTGCAAATATGATCACAGAAAATGGGAGGAGGTGAATTACAGGGTTAACGGTGGTTTCAGAACTAAGTAGAAAAAGGTTTGACAGTGTTGAAAGTGAAGAAAAGGCGGAAAGATAAAGCATGTCGAGAAGAGACAATCAGAGAGAGAAAGAGAGAGAGAGAGAGAGAGAGAGAATGAGAAACTTTGTTTCGAATTATAGTGAACGGGCAAGGAAACTTTTGAACTTTTCCGTTTAAATGAATATTATCGCGGAGGGTACTCGTTCTGGATGGGGCACAAATACTTAGGGGGGAGTGTCGGCAGGACATGTTCAAAACAGAAATGCTAAGGTGATATGATGGGTTGAATAGGTTAGAAATGACTATTATTGGTAGTGAGGCAGACCCAGCGAGGGAAGAATTGACGATTTCAAATCGGACAATTGCAGCGGCTGATGCAGTGGATCATGTGGATGCTGGGAGGGCGCCCCCGACTGTTGGGACTGCTGCAGCAGTTGATGCGGATGCGAATGACCGTTCTGTTGCATCGACCCGGGATCCGGTCCCATCTGGAAGTGCTGCTGGGGCGGTCCCTGGGGCACGGAGAGGTGCTGCTGCTGTCCCATGTGCCCCATCGAGTTGCCGTACATCATGTGCTGAGGCGTGGGTGGCGCTTGCTGCTCCTGCATTCCGCTAGGACCTTGGCCGAGAAGCGAGGGGTTTGGCAGATTGTATTTCTGAAATAGAAAACGTTAGACGGACGGTGGCTAGTTGAAATGTGCATGGTGAAGCAGTGAATGAAGAAGCAATGCTTACACTATAAATGGTCTCGATAGGCAGAAGTGGGCGGGGCTTGTGTTCGGAGTTCTGAAAGCACGGAAATAGCGGGCGACGAGACGAAAGCGATGCGGACAAACGTGCAGGTTAGTGCAAGTCAGTGCGAAGAACCGTGAGAGCTCAAACTCACGAGTGGATTCTCAAAGAGGTCCATGTAGTTGGAGCTGCTGAGCGCCTCGTCCAGAATGCCCTCCTTCGAGTCGATCATCTCGTCCTTGCCCTTCCACATCATCATCTCCTTCGTGTCCTCCTCCTTACACGTCGTCGTCTTCCAATGCGTCCTCAGTCCGCTCGGCGAGATGTACTTCTTGCCGCACGTGCCGCAGCTGTACGGTCTCTCGTTCGCGTGCAGTCTCTTATGGAGTCTCAGATGAACATATTGGGTAAACTTGGCATCACATACATCACACGTGTACGGCTTCTGTCCGTTGTGCAATCGCAGATGAGTCTTGAGGTTCGAGGTGGAGGAGAAGCGTTTGTCGCAGATGTCGCAGCGATGCGGCCGCTCGCCGGTGTGCACGAGGTGATGCTTCTGGAGGTGCGCGAGTTGGGTGAACTCTTTCGTGCAAATCTCGCATTTGAACGGACGCTCGCCTGTGTGAGTTCTGGAAATGAGCAAAATTAGAAAGAGTGGAGAAGAGTTCGCGTGCTCACCTGACATGCACTTTGAGATTCGAAAGCTGTCCGAATGTCTTGTTGCACTCTTTGCACGCGTATCGAGTCTTTCCGTTCTCCTGCTGTTGCACGTACTGAAACAACAACTTTTCCTCCGTCCACCCTCTTTCCTCACTCACATTAGGCACACCATTGAACGATGAATCATTGTGAGACGAGGCGGCATGATTCACGAACGGCAGCTGATGAAACGACGACGCGTGCCCACTTCCGCCGCCTCCGAATCCACCGCCCATACCGCCGCCGCCTCCAAACGCCGGAGTGGCGGTTGTGAAGAGCGGCTTCAGCTCGTGCTGGAAGTCCTGGCTACCGTAGATGGCCGCGTAGTTTCCAAAGTGTGCTCCGGCGGTGGCCGCGAGCACCGGCTGCACGTCGATCGGCTGACCGGAACGGCCGCCCGTGGCTGTGATCGTGGCGGTCTGCGCGACGGGAGGCACGAACATGGTGACATTGTCGGCGAGTTCTGAAAATAACGGAGCGAATTGAATACTGTCGAAACTGTAATAGAACTCTCAAGTACCTTTTATTCAGTACAATATATCGCAGCTACCAGTAGAACAATCAAAAAGTTGCCAACTGATAATTTACTCATTAAGACATTGAGCACATTTTATCAGTTGACAAGTTTTTGATATCTCTACCGACAGCTGAGGGATACTGTCCTGAATGAACGGTATTTATTGGGATGCCTTCTATCTATTCTTCGGTAATTGAATAACTCGATTAGTGATAACTTACGGCAGTCAGAATATAAAAAGTGGGACCAAAACTCGGACACATTCATTTTCGTTGGAGAGTGGTGAAAAGGAAGTCAGTTGGGTACAAAAAAGAGTGACACCTGCCCTCGGTCAACGGAATGTTATGATTTGCGAGAAAAAAACACATTAAGCATGTCTGCGTCTATTGTTTGCATTAAAAAAAAGGTCGCTTAGAGTAATGCGAGTTTAAATTCGAAACAAACGCACTTGTCAATTGAAGAGTCTTTCTTAGATAGTCCTTATAAACTGCCAACGGATCGAGCGGAGCCTGTCTGATTGGTGCCGAGAAGCTCGTGAGTCTTGTGGGCACCGGACGGACCACCGGATTCTGGATGACGTTGGGACGGGAGAACTCGACGGCCGGACGGCTGCAGCTCACTCGGCTCTTCTCCTCCACATCGACCATCTCCTCGTCGTTGTCGCTGGTCGAGGAGGCGTCCGTCGAGAGAGCATCGACTGGCTCTTCCACAGCGGTCAACTTCTTGACCGAATAATCGATGGCTACTGTGATGTCTGGAGAGGCGGCGGCAGTTGTGGAAGCCGGTGGAGCGGTGGGTTCGACAGCCGGAACCAATGGAGCTCTAGTTCGGACGTGAGGACTCGAGGAGTAGTTGAGTTTGCGGGAGTAGTCCCTGCTGAACCAAAACGACAATTCCGTGTTCGCCTCGATCTTTTTGACCGTGTAAAAGTAGATGTCATTGCCGACTTGTGCAGCCACCAAGTTCTGATTTTCGTCGTCCTCCGCAGCTGCCACGTACTTCATCCAATTCGAGCGTCCGTCGTCCTTCACACAGATCGTCTTGGTCAGCCGGCCTCCCGACGGAGAGAAGACCTTCCATTCTTCCGGACAGTCGTCGAACGGCACCTCTTCCTGAGCAGTCGTCCCTCCGGCCATTGAAGCTTCTGCCGGGCACACGAGCGCCGAATCCACGTCGACGAGACGGATTTCTCCGACGAGGGGACCGAAGCGAACGCCTCGGGGGATGTGATCGGAAGACCAAATTGAGGATTTCTTTGGTTTTTTTGAAGAGGATTTGAGGATCAGGTTCATGGGCAGCGAAGACTCGGCACGCTTCGGATTCGGCTGAAAAGATTTCGTCAAGAATCGCTCTACGGTAGTCTCGAGTGAAGCACACTTGCATCATCTTCGGCTATCACTCACCAAAGCGACCACCTTATCAGGTACGTGGAAGATGCACAGTTCGGTGAGACTCTCATCGCCAGACTGCTTCCAATCGGTTTCTGCCGTCGTTCCTGTAATTCATTCTTTCCTCTTCTTTTCTTTTCCTCTAATTTTCCCTTTTTGTTGCCATGTTTACCCTTTCGATGACATATGAGGAGAAAGAACATTCTGAGATAGAAAAGGGGGTGATAAGGTGATAAGCCTGACGGCGACGAAATTTGATAAGAAAACGAAAGAAAAAGAAGAGGTGATTTGATTTGATTTCTCTTCGTTTCAAGGATGGCCGACGGATCATTCGGAAGGCAAGAAAATGTAGAAGCTACAGTAACCCGTGGCTGACACTCTTCCACACTTTCTTTTTTGAATGTTTCAAAAAATGCTTACTCGGAATTCCTATAGTGGCCGAAGGAGGAGGTGTCGAAGAGGATGACGTGGCAGACGAGGCAGAAGAGACGCCGACGGAGAGCGGCGAGTGAGCCGGTGAGTGAGCAGATGAGAACGGCGCCGGCGGGACACCACCGTCCCCGTCGCCGCTTCCTTGTCCCATTTCGAGAAACGTCCGACGCGGGAATACCAGAGATCCGACCTGCGTTTAGGTGAGATCTGAAAGGGAGTGAAAGGCGTCTGCAAATGGGGAAATGATGGTGTCAAAACAAAGAGCAAGTGAGAGAGTAGGAGGCGGAAAAGGCGGAGGCGAGAGAATCAGGAAAACGGCGCCGAAATCGGAGGGAACCTTTCGGCGATAAGAGCAAAGTGACACGGTTTCAAAGAGGGAGAAAGAGTGTGCCAGACATGGAGAGCGCCGACAAGAAGAGCATCGGGTGACGGACAGGCAAGACACGGAGGTTTGGAGACGTTCTGGAGCAGAAAGTACGAAGAAGTACGGTAGTGTGAGACCCAAGAAGGACACGTCACTTTTTCGAGCAAAAAGATTTGATTCAAATGAAAAAAATCTGGGGGTGTGGGTGACTCCAGATGTATTTGTTCAGGGTGCGAGTCATCAGGAAGCCGACACATGTCGACTCTCTGAATGGGAAAAAAGCGGGGAAAGTTCTCATAAAGCATGGAAATCGAGAGGTTTACGGTAGATGGGTCAACATAAAACACATTCAAAACTATTTAAAATTGGATGAAAAAAGGGATGAACGAGGGGAGAACGATGTGTGTGCAGAAGGGTGGCGGACAAGCGAGAAAATTGCTGATGGTGGTGGTTCGGATGGACAGTTCGGCGACGAATTGAAAGCAGAGAATGGATTACGGTAGCTAGAAGAGGCGAGAGAGTGCGAGAAAAAGAGAGACGCAGAGTCATGGTCAGTCGTGGCGCCGCCCGAGAATAGTCGGCCATTCATCCGTGGATTCGGCGTTGTAGACGTCGCATGTAGGGAGAGAGGAAAAGAGAAAGAGAGGCAGAGGGACCGGTTTGTCTCCCTCGTTTTGTTCGCGCACTCTCTTGCATAATGGACGCGTCGGAGGCTTCGGAAGAAGGAGAAGGAGAAGAAGCGAAGAAGCCGTGGACCTGTTCTTGCATATCTCCGACGCAGATCCGCCAGAGAGACGACGTCGATGTTTGTTGGAAGAAAGTGGAGAGAAGGGAACGGGGCGAGGAGGGAAAAGTAGCCGACGGTCGGCGCGCGCGCGAAGGGGACAAGAAGCTTTCGTTTCTTTTTGAAGAAGAAGAAGAAGAAGCACGGCTACTACTGGCTGGCATTCAAATGGCTATTATAGGGAGGGACGTGTGTACGGTTCGAAACTAAAACGAAAACAGCTTTTGACCAGACCAATCCAATCGCAGTACTGAAGTTGTTTGCAACGATCGAGGAGGGACTTTGGATTGAGGATGGATCATTCAGTTTCAACACATTTCAGGATCATTCAGTTCAAGAAAGGAAGGTGTACTTGATGTCACTAGCCGCTCTCCTGACGCCATCCATCATCCGAACGTGTTTCATGTCTCATCAAAGGGCACAGATACTGTAGCTCCTCGACACCTTTCTGTTGCACTCATTCTTATTCCGTCAATCGTCCTCCTCGCGGATCCCCCCGTAATTATTATTATTATGAGGCTGTATCTCTTTTTCTCTCTCTCTCTGCCTCTCTCTTCCGTGTTCCCTCACGAATTGCACCTTTCTTTCTTCATCTTTTCTTCAATTTTTGGGGGTCAAGTTGTACACCGTCCCGATCTCTCACGGGTGGTAAAGAAGCAAAAGAGAAAGAGAGGGAGAGAGGGCGGTGGATTGCTGCGCGCGCGCCGACCTGTACCGACTGGTACGAAGGTGAAATCGCTCGAAGCGATAGAGGAAATGACTACGAGAATCATCATCGGACGGCGGACACTCACTTACGATTGTAAGGGGCGAAAATGGCGGCGAAGGTCGCGATGGGAGTGCGAACGAGAAAGTGCCACGTGGAGAAGAGAAGAAGAAGAAGAAGCTGATGGAAATCTAGAAGAGCGTGAGCAATGAAAGTTTCATCAGTGTTACAGTACCCCGGCCCAGCAGTTTTGAGATTTAAGCAAACTTTTCCTCTTCTTCAGGCTCGACCGAATACCGTACCATTAAAGCAAGCTAAACCATGTCTCGAGTTTCAGATCAAAAAGTAATTTGAATTTGAATCATTGGCCACGATCGGCGACACCACTTTAGACAAGTTTTTCTTCTAGAATTTATCTCAGACGAGGTGTAAAACCTCACAATATTTTCTAGACAGAAGGGCCAAAGTTGGCTGATGACGACGATCAGAAATCGGTGGCTTTCGGCTTCCTCGAAAAGAAATGTTGATAAAAATAAAAAGGTGCCGGTGATGGTGAGACGGCGACAATGAAAAGCGAAACGGGAAAAGCGAGAAGGGGAAGAGAGAGAGAGAGAGAGAGAGAGAGAGAGAGAGAGAGGAAGAAGATCCAGTCGGTGTGGTATCCGCGGAAAAGCGAAGAAGGCATTTCACTATCAATATGAAAATCGAAAAATTAGGATTGCGCGCGCGGCGAGAAAGGAAATGTTTTGGGAGTGAAAGAGAGGGAGAGAGAGAGACGCAGAGAGAGAGAAAGAGAGAGAGAGAGAGAAATCGTCGGAGGTAATAGGTTGGAAGGGAAGCGCCCCGATCGTGGTGGCCTTCACAACGGCGACGAGACGACTGTGAAGAGGGGGACTACTACTACGAATTGTGTATTCGCATTCGGTTCGCATTCACAGAAGAGATATCGTTATAGACTGGTTGAATCTACAATCTCAATGGGAATGAGCCTCGATCTTCGAGGAACTTTTTCGCGGTGAGACCCAATTGCCTCAACCTCAACCTCGTTTCGTTGCGAAGGGAGACAACAAGATCGAAATGACCTTGGCGCCATCCGAGATGCGCCCCTCCGGCCGTTTCCTCGATTCTCCATCTTCTTGGGTTTCCGAGAGAATCTGCTGGCAACTAGGTCATTCGGAACACAAAACAACGAGAGAATGCAAACGGAGACCTCACTTGCGTGCCAATTTGATGGACGGAAAAGAAAAAGGAAAAAGGGATCGAGAAAAGGAAAAGAGAGAAGGTTTTACTTGAAGAGATAAGGTTAAGTACAATTCAGTGAAATCAAGTAGGAATCGGGGACTCCATTGTGCATACATGCACCGAGGACATTGGAACAGCACAGAGAAGAGAAGAGAAGACATGGTCCCTGTGCAAGGATGACACGCAAATTCGTGAAGCGTTCCAAATTTTTCGTTAAATTTGCTTCATTTTTGTAGGTATCACTTCGTACGAAACCCATTATAAATCAGCAAGAGACGACACGAAAAGTATGACGATGATGATGATGACGAGGGGCTAAAAAGAGGGCGAAAACTAGAAATGTGTGACGGTCAGAAATGGACAGTGGTGAAAAAAGGGATAGGCGAGGAGAGACCAGTCTGTCGTGCATAATGGACGTTCTGAACGAACTGACCACTGCCAATCGTAATAATGTTTACTCGGAATGAAATAACAGAGGTAAATGAGCAAGACTTGGGGCACTTTTTATGGGAAAAGAGGATGAGAAATTAGTTCTACATGTATAGAGACTTTTCAGATTTGTTCAAGAGACTCTAATTCTTCTTCGTTGTCAGTTTCCTTCTGAAAACAGTCAATACACTTCTGAATCTGCTTCCGAATCCTCTCACTCTTTCTTTCCATTTTCTTCCGTCACCGTCTTCTTTGCCGATTTGGAGCTCTTCTTGGATCCCTTCTTGCTTCCCTTCGTCTCCAGATTCTTCTCACTTTTCGCCGTTTTCAGGGAATTCTGACTTTTCGCCGTTTTCAGAGAGGGCTGGCTTCTCGCGGTCCTCAACTCGTTCTTCTCACTTTTCTGACTCTTCTGGCTCTTTCTGCTCTTTTTCGACGAACTCTTCTTGACGTTGGAACTAGTGACAGATCTGAAAAGTGATCAATTGTGAAGGATCTGAAAAGTATAACAAACTTCTTGCTCTTTCCGCTCTTTTTGCTCTTCTTGCTCGAACTCTTCTGTGGACGGTCTTCACTCCGATTCGGATTTCCTTCTGATCGCTGGCTTCGATGGGACTCTTTCCGATCCCTCTCCTCCTCAATTTTTCTCTGCCGACTGCCCTCCGAGCGATTCGAGCCTCCGTCCCCGTCTTCCGCATCCTTCGACCCTTTTTTCGTTCTTCCACTCTTCTGCATCTTCTTGCTCCGAGCACTGTTCCTCTTGTCCTTCTTGCTTCGAGCGCTCCTCCGGCTCTTTTCTCTTTTGCTTTTTTTGCTCCGAGCACTCTTCTTCTGTCTTTCGCTCTTTCTCTTGCTTTTCTGCCGCTTCGACCGTTCCGAATCCCTTCTCTTCTTCTTTCTTCTCGAAGACTCTTTCATCCGTTCCCTTCGAGTCACTAATCGATCCGCAGTTTTGCAGCCGACAAGAAGCAACGAAACACTCGAGCAGACTGCCAATCCAACTGCTGCAAAGGTCGGAAACTTCCGGAAGGTTCTCGAACGGAAGAGCCTACCACACGACTAACGGAGCAGTTCAATGTCCATTTTACGGTCGATATGAAGAGAATTTAAACGAGTTCACTACACCTTCCAGATACAAAAAATGAAGGAAAAACGGATGGAAACAACTGATTAGCCAAGATTCCGATTCCGTGGAATTCTCTCGAGAACTTTCTTTTCTGGTTCTGATACGAGTAAAACGTAGCCAGGTGCATTAGCGAAAAGGAAGACAAGTAAATCATAAAACTCGTTTATTCTATGGGTTGTATTCGATAGGGAGGTTCTTGCGACGGACCATTCCGTCTCCCTGGAACCACTCGCGACGGAACTGCTTGGCGGCGCCATCCGGAGTGTTGGTCCACTCGATCGTGATGCGGTCGTTGTTGGTGTCCTCCTGTCCGAAGGCGAACGCGTCGCACGAGACGGCCAGAAGCACAGCCTCCTTGGGATCGAGCACTCCGCACGGCGGGTCCACTCCGAGACGCTTCATGTTCGTCGTCTTGATTCCGTAGCCGATGCGACGGGCCGACGAGTTGATCACCTTGATGTGGTAGGTGTGTTTGTCGTCGTACGGCGCGTTGAACACGATCTTCGCGTTCGGTTGAGTGGCGATATCTCCTGGTGGGACGGATTGGGCCATGGCGGTTGTTGAAGGAGTTGTTGGATAACTCTATGGAGATACTGACGAACACTCCGTCCTTTTATAGCCACTTCTTATCTCGCTCTAGATCTCCAGAGTTAAAATTTACAAGAACGAGTTCGTGGAGAAGCCGCGAAACTCGCTAACTGGGCTTTCCACGTGGCAACGTGAATAAACATTCAAATTGATAAGGACGAGTTCATGGAAAGTCCCCGAAACTCGCTAACTGGGCTTTCCACGTGGCAACGTGAGATAAACATCAGAGATGACCTTCCCAAGAAAGCCGACGTGGAAGCAGAAAACTGAAGATTCAGTTATTGTACGATTCGAACTGCCTAAGGATCATCGCTCTTGAAGACGCGTTCCAAGGAAAGAAGGAACAAAAATGACAGCAGCGACAATCGATGTCGATAATTTGATGAGCCGTCTGCTCAACGTCGGAATGTCCGGAGGACGATTGACGACGTCGGTGAACGAGCAAGAACTGCAATCGTGCTGCGCCATCGCCAAGTCGGTGTTCGCCTCGCAGGCGTCGTTGCTCGAGGTGGAGCCGCCGATCATCGTGTGCGGAGACATCCACGGACAGTACTCGGATCTGCTGCGTATCTTCGACAAGAACGGCTTCCCTCCCGATGTGAACTTCCTGTTCCTCGGCGATTACGTCGACCGCGGACGCCAAAACATCGAGACGATCTGCTTGATGTTCTGCTTCAAGATCAAGTGAGTGACACTTCAGTTCTATCAAACGAAGAGACTTGTAGGTACCCGGAGAACTTCTTCATGCTGCGCGGAAATCACGAGTGCCCGGCCATCAACCGTGTGTACGGCTTCTACGAAGAATGCAACCGCCGCTACAAGTCGACTCGTCTCTGGTCCACCTTCCAGGACACGTTCAACTGGATGCCGCTCTGCGGACTCATCGGAGCCCGCATCCTTTGCATGCACGGAGGCCTCTCCCCGCACCTCCAATCGCTCGATCAGCTCCGTCAGCTGCCACGTCCTCAGGATCCTCCAAACCCGTCCATCGGAATCGATCTTCTGTGGGCCGATCCGGATCAGTGGGTGAAGGGATGGCAGGCGAACACTCGCGGAGTGTCGTACGTCTTCGGACAGGACGTCGTCACCGACATCTGCCAGAAGCTCGACCTCGACCTCGTCGCTCGTGCTCATCAGGTCGTCCAGGACGGATACGAATTCTTCGCCTCGAAAAAGATGGTCACCATCTTCTCGGCACCTCATTACTGCGGACAGTTTGACAACTCTGCCGCTACTATGAAGGTAGCGCAAGCAATAGTTTCACATTTTCTGCACGGAATATTTTCAGGTCGACGAGAACATGGTGTGCACTTTCGTCATGTACAAGCCGACGCCAAAGGCTCTCCGCCAGCAACAGTCGGCCAGAGGATAATAGGAAGGCGTCTTGGAAGAGGGAACTAAAAGTTTGATAAGAATAAAGGGTCCTTTCCCCTACTTGTATTGAGTTTTATTAGTTTTGACGGAATTTGTTGCTTTCATCGGTGCTGAGAATGCGGAATTCTGTAGTGCCCCAGCCTTTATTGAATCAAAAAAAGTGAGAGGACAAGAGTGAGAATGGAAGTTCCGACGGTCGATCCTTTCTTCTCTTCCTTCTGTTCTCTCTTTAACGTACTGTTCTCCTTTGAAACCTTCGCCGTCAAGTATCTCACTTTTGCACAGACACCCGTGTACCCGCATATTTTGTCCGAATAGAACGCCACGTTCACCGTCTCATCCTGTCCGTTCTCGGTGTTCGGACGGCACGCGTCTCCCTGATAAAGCACTCCGAACAGGGTGATTCGCTCGTCGATCTTCCGGATCATTCCGCCTCCGCTGTCACCCTTCAACCAGATTACTGTAAGTAATTGGAAAACGAGTCCGACATTCTCACAAGACACGCCAACTGCTTCCCGGACACGGACCGCGTGCAGAACGCCTTCCGATCCGTCGCAGAGCACTCTTTCGCGTTCACCGATTCGAATCTCAACGGACCCGCCGAATTTCGGCCCGCCGCCGCTGAAATGTATCCTCTTTGTAGATTCGCATTGAATTCAGAAGACGCTCACGATCCAGTCCGTATCCATATATTCTCATTTTGACGCCTTCTTTCGGAAGACGTTCATCCTCGTGAGCGACACAAATCGCACGGATTTTGTCGTTGAAATTCAAGTTTTCCGAGAGTTCGACGATTGCGAAATCATCAACACGATTATAATTGTGTGGATCGTCGCAGTTTCCCGGCAGAAAGATCTGGAATATTCGAATATTGAAAAGTGGTCCCACGGAGTTGTGCCTTTCTAATTCGGATCTCTCTGAATTCGCTTTCGTTACAGTGATTCCGGTATCCGCACTCGACTCCCGGGTACACCACGAACATCTCGTCGAAGTTCCGCTCCAGCACGAGGTCCTCCGAGTCCCTGTAACTTCCTTTTCTTCTTCTTTCTCTCTCGCTTCTTCTCCCCGGCCCACTCATTCTCGCATTCCGGCAACGGTTTTCCGTCCGTCGTCCACTGATATTGTCCGTTTTTGAATTCGGCGAAGCAGTGACGGGCGGTGATGACGTGGCGCAGCGAGATGATTGTGCCCGTGCAGAGCCCCGGTTTCCCGTTGCGCACCTCCAGAGCCACGTTCCACGGAGCGTCCCTTATCCTCGATTTCACCCCTTTCAGCACCTTCCGACCGTACGCCGACCTCACTGAGTATTCAGAATTTGCTTCCGTTGTCATCGCAATTGCAGCTTACATTTCATGTCCTTCCCGCACGTTTCTTGTCTCAACTCATTTTCCTCGCTCGTCAACTTTTGGCCATATCCTACTGATAACAGCACGAAGAGTAGAAAAAACCGGACAAAAGTCCGCATGACAATTGGAAATGGTTGAAAACCACTTCTGGTTATCTCATTCTTTCGTCACGTCGGGAAAGTTGGATTATTCGTATTTAAATTTATTCGAGGAGGGAAGGAAGGAGGGAAGTTTGGAACCCGCGAAGAAGAAACATCGATATAAAGATACATATACGCAAGAAGTGTCTAGCCGGTGCGAATCTAGTTCAGAAAATCTGGAAATGGGTTGTACAGTGAAGAGGGCATCGGGACAGGATACTCCGGGTGAGGATGCTATACACAACAAAAGCAAGAGGAAGCGATTTAATTAAGATCCATCGGCATAGGGTGATCGGGAACGAGCGAAGCGAAGAACGAGGTGACGAACGAGTAGCAAGTGGCGATGAATAGTTGCATTCCGGTCTGTTGAACTGCCGGAACCTCAGCGACGGGCGCATCGGACGCAACAGTCGCGTCTCCTTCTGCCGGCGGAGCCTGAAAATAAAAATTCAGCAAATCTTCAGCAAAATAAGATGTGTACCGTATTCTCTCCTTCATTTTCTCCGTTATTGTTGTTGTTCACATGTGCTTCCTGATTGTTGGCAGGTTGACCTGCAGCTCCGGCCGGAGCAGGAGCCGCTGCAGCAGCCTGGGCTCTGTTACGAGCATGATTGCGACGAAGTTGGATGAAGTAGATGAAGAGCGCCGCGCAGAGAACGACGGCAAAGCGTTCGAACGAAGAGTACAGAAGGATTGCGGAGAATAGAAGAACGAGCTTGAAGATGCGATATGCGAACTCCAGAAGGTCCACTCTGCCCTGATTGTTGTTTCCGGCCTGATTGTTCCCTACATTCGCCGCCACCTCAACTCGCACCCGACCGAGTCTGGCAAGCCACGCGGCCGCCTGAGGCTGGACGCCAACCGGAGCAACCAACGGAGTCACGTGAGCCGCATTTGCCATCGCGTAGCTATAGTAATGAGTCATCAGTCTCTGATTTTCTTCGTACTGAGCCTCCGGTGTCAATCGATTGTAAGCCGACCAATACTCCTGCCAAGCAGAAATGTTTTCCACGTATTGGGAATTCTGCGGCAAGACGAAACTCGGGTTATGTCCAGCTGCATTCACATTTCTTCTGCGGACCTCTGCTGGCGCTGGAGTGGCTTGATATGGTTGTGCGATCACCAAATGGAAGAAGATTTGCTCTCCAGAGATGTGGCTTCTGAAACTGATAAGTTTTGTTAAAAAAAGACCCGATATAAATTTTTCTAACCTCTCTTTCAAAATGTTCGAGAGAATCATTTCATCCTGAAGGCAAGCTCCGTAGAAAAGTAAGCGTTGTGAAGAGATAGCCTGAAATAAATAATTGCGTTGAAAATTGAAAACTACAGTGATTAGAATGATGATATCTGAAAAATGCATCGTAGCGTTGAGGGACTGACCGGATGGTTGTCACAGCAAGATCTGACGTGCTCCTTGACCTGCTTGATGGTCCAGTTGAGCGGGCACGTGAACACGAGATCGCTTTCAGCCTGATAAGCCTGACGAATGGTCAATTGCACGTCATCTGGAGGCGAAACGGGAGCCGCGTCCGCAACAACGTCGATGTTTTCCGTCATTCTGAAAATGTAAAATAAGCGCTGAAACGACGTGAATTTATCGATTTTCGGTGTGAAAAGAAGAATAAGTGACTTTTGGGGAGTGAAACGGACAATTCCGAGGAGAATGGGAGAAAGTGAAACAGGTGGCAACGTGTTTTTATCCGAAGCCCGAATCGATCAATTCAGTGTCGATTTACGACACGTTCACTAGCAAGGATACGGTCGAGCGCCGGGTCTCGCCACGCTTTGCCGGAGAGAGTGCGTTGTGCGTGGAAGGGCTCGCTTTCGCCTGCTTCCATGGCAGTTTCTGCTCTGCAATATTTTAGAAATGTTTTGTTTTCGGTAAAGTATGCTTTTCATTAAAAGAACTGCAATTTTTAATTATTTGAAACTATTTTCACCTGAATATTTCTGAAGCCAAATGCGAAAGGTTTATTGTCGTCCTTGCTGCTGATAAGAAATTATAGGAAAAATCGAGAAAGCTAGTTCGTTATCAGTTGTCGCTTTTAAAAGAGACCCAGAGAGAAAAGATTTCACAAAACATCATTCCCAAAAATCGATTGCCTTAGCACACGTGGAATACGTCTCTCCGCCCCTCCCGCAAGCCGACGTCAGCTTTGTTTTGTCCTTGTTTTCTCATCTCGCAAATTTCGCAAACTCCAACAAACTGCTCTTGTTTTCAGATGGATATAGAGAGTTTCCTTCTCGGAATCCCTGTGGTAACACGGTACTGGTTCCTCGCCTCTACAATCGTCCCTCTTCTCGGCCGATTCGGTCTCCTAAATGCGCAATGGATGTTCCTTCAGTGGGATCTTGTCATCAACAAATATCAGGTACCTTTTTCAGTGAGAAATTTGTAAACGCATGTAGTTTTCAGTTCTGGAGGCCTCTGACGGCGCTAATATACTATCCGGTGACACCGCAGACAGGATTCCATTGGTTGATGATGCTGTACTTCCTGTACAACTACTCAAAGGCTTTGGAGAAAGAGACATATCGAGGAAGGTCGGCTGATTATCTCTTCATGCTCATCTTCAACTGGTTCTTCTGTGCGGTCAGTTTTTCTTTCGTCTTTGATCTCAATTAGAATTCATAATTTCAGGGTCTGTGCATGGCTCTCGACATTTACTTCCTACTCGAGCCAATGGTGATTTCCGTGCTTTATGTCTGGTGCCAAGTGAACAAGGACACGATCGTTTCATTCTGGTTCGGAATGCGCTTCCCAGCCCGCTACCTGCCATGGGTTCTCTGGGGCTTCAACGCAGTGCTCCGTGGCGGTGGCACCAACGAACTCATCGGAATCCTCGTTGGTCACGCCTACTTCTTCGTTGCCCTCAAGTATCCAGATGAGTACGGAGTCGATCTGATCTCTACTCCTGAATTCTTACACCGTCTGATTCCGGACGAGGACGGTGGCATCCACGGACAAGACGGCGACATCCGAGGACCCCGACAGCAGCCACGTGGAGGACACCACTGGCCAGGAGGTGCCGGAGCACGACTTGGAGGAAACTAATAATCTGTTCAGTAATTTATTCCACTTCTCTTGCCCCAATTTTCTCTTGGGATCCAAAATTGCATCAGCTACGAGTCATTCATTTTGTTGTCGCTTGTATAATGTAAATAAAACAGTTTCAGTTATGAACCTAATCAAATTCAGCGATCCTATGAGGCGACGAAGATGGCGACGTGAGATTTGAGTGGATGCGACAGCGAGAATCGAATCAACTCGTCTCTTCCCGAAGCACAAGAAGAAACTCACTTCGTCTTTGTCACCTTTTTCTTTTTGCGGCCGCCGCTCGTCCGTCGTCTTCCTCCTTTTTGCGGCGAATAATGATGCCAAAACTTCGTCTTTTCGGGCGTTTGGAAAAGTTTCAAAAATAAGTATGAAAAACGGCGGGAAAGCGAGAAGGGATGACAAATAGGCTGAGAGGACGACGAGCTCCCGACGGCTGAACCTAATGGCCCATTTCGGAGGAGAGCCACAGAAAAGGATAACTTTTCCGCGCCGCCAAATTGTCTCCGAAACGTTTTTATTGTTCTCTCTGAAAAAGGGAACTTCAATCACTTACTCAAACATTTAAACTTTCCTTTTCGGCTCTTTTTTCGTTCAGAACCACGTACTTTTTCGCGCCCACTCATGATAATTGCCGCAGAAAAATGTGTCCCTTTTCGGAGCAGAAAAGAAAGGAAACATATTGAATAGAGAGACAGAAACGACGCGTTTTCGCACTTCTTATAAGGGTGAGGATTGAGAAAGATCTTTCCCAATCTGAAAGTTTCGGAGTCATCGAAACTGCCCTCCGAAAAGATTCGTCCCTTCCGTCTCCGCCCGAAGATCATCTCAGCGAGCGAAATTTGCCGAACGACATTCTCGACACATGTGCACCTGCTAGTGTGCATAAACGACGTCTTTATCGGCCGGCAACCTTTGCACCAAAAACATGCTTTTCAGTTTTTTCTCCCTTGGGGAATGCCCTCACTAGGCGGCTGTCCCCAAACCTTTTTTGCGCCGATTTTTCTCGTTCAAATCCTGGAAATTTGGTATTTGCGCACAAAAATCGTGTTGAAAACTGTGAAATTCAAATTTGGCGGACTTTTGTTTGACGATTTCAAGTTTTTTCAGACCTATTTTGATTGAGAAATATTGTCGTACCAAGTTCTCCGCCCACATAACTCTCGGCTTATCGTGAACTGTAACATTTGATCTGCAAAAGTGTCTTTCCGTTTTCCCTTCATTTCACTTCTCACCTAGCTCAAAGAACTCTCTCTCTCTCTCTTGCTCTTTTCCGTTTCGCCCACCCATCCTTCTCTTCAGACCGTGACGTGTTTCTCTTCAATGACATCACCCACGCCTTCTGTTCCATCGCCTCTATCTCTTAATGCAATAAGCATTTTTTTTCGGAAAACGAGATGCAGCAGATTCCTTTTTTTTTGGGGCGAATTAATATGAATGAGAGCTCAAAAGATGGAAAAAGTTTTGGGCGAAACGAATCGGTATCAGATTTCATAGATGACGTGGAGTGTGATCGCAAAGCGCACCTGTTTGGGGTAGAGAAAAACGTCTAGAAAAGTACAGTAACCTCCATTCGACTCCATTCGATCTCTAATGGATTTGAGAGTGTCTGTTCGTCCGGCAGAGTCACCAAAAGTGGGCGTGGCCTCGTTGAAGCTCTTTTCTGTTTCTCCCTCTCGCTCCTTCTTCTTCTTCTTCTTCTTCTCCTTCTTCGCACTCACTTCAGAAGCGTCGCCGGCCGGAGAAGAAGAAGAAGAAAAAGAAGAAGGCGTTGAGTTAACATAAGTTCGTCAAAATACGCAACGACTGATTTGGGTGTCTCTCCTTCTTCTTCTTCTTCTTCTTCTTCTTCTTCTCCTTCAACTCTTTTTTATCCCCCTCTTTTCGTATACAGAGAGACCGAGAGAGAGAGACCGGCCTCATTTTGTAAAATGTGTACGCCACGTGGCACCATATTCGTTCTCAAGCGCCGCCCCTTTTGTGCTCGCCGAGCTCATTTCGAATGTATGTGTTTGTGTGCGTGTGTGCGACGACACTGATTATTACCTTCATTCCGGATGAGATACGGGTACGCAAAAAAGTAGGCGTCTGTGGTCGGCCAGAAATGGAAAAAAAGCAGAGCCGAAGAGATTCTCAGTGATGCAATCGTGCCCTATTGCACTTATTTGCAGTGAAGCACATTTTGATCATCTAGAATCACGTTTCCCTTTCTAAACTTCAAGGGATCTCAAATTGACTTCTTAGACCAAAGGCCGGCACAGGTTCTTCTCAACCTTCTTAGATTTGGACTAGAGTATCTTGGGTCCAAGTTTCAGGCCATTTTCTCAAAAACCCGGACATCTCGGGAGCAGATAAACCGATCGGCCTGAAACTTGGACCTAAGATACTTCAATCCGAGTCCAAGAAGCCCACATTTTGCCCAGTCCCTTGATTTCACGTCATCGTTGCTGCTCTCCAACTCCGTGCCGTGCAATTATTCTGATTCTGAAGAGTATTCTATATCGGTGCGCGTCCCTTTGAACTTTGGAGCCACGACTTCCGGTATCGCTCTAGCTCTCCCTTTCTCCAGAATCTCTTCTTCTTCTTCTTCTTCTTATTCTTTACAAAACAGCAACAATCTCTCTCTCTCTCTCTCTCTCTCTCTCTCTCTCTCTCTCTCTCTTTCTCTTTCCATTTCGATCCCTTTAAAATACTGAGCATAATCGTTTTGCTCTGATGAAAAAGGGAGAGAAAACCTAATTTGAATTGTTGAGCCGTCCTAGCTCTCGCGCGGCGCCAAAGCTCCTTTTGTTTTGAGAAGTACACGCCCGAGGGCGAAAAGTGGCCGCGGTTTCTCATTGGTCTTACTGTAGGTAGGTGTACCGTAATCTGATGAAAAGGTTTGTTTCACAAAACTTCTTCATTCCTGAAAAGCCATAACTTCTTATCTATTCTAACTTTTCCCCACAATCATGCATTTCCCATGAGTTTGCGAACCATTTTGAGAATTTGACCATTCAAAACTACCGAACCGCCTGACTCACCCTTTCTCTCCACGTCTTCTTATTGCCTATATTTGTTTTCTTCCGCCCACCGCTTCTTCTTCTTCTTCCCTTTGCCCCTTCTGAACTCTTTTGCTCCGCGCACACGAAACTAGTGAGCAAAAGGCAAAAACGACTAATAATTGAAAATGTATGGAAGAAAAACGGACGAAAACAGAGTATCTCTTTTTTGTTCTCTGCGCCCTCCGGCCCACTGTACTCTCTCCGCTTATCAGGGGGTCAACATGACATCAAAAACGGCTTGTTTTCCAGTTGATAAGGATGATGGAGAACACTTTGAGACCGCCCATCTGTTAGTCTTCTTCGTGCTCCGAGAGCTCACGGAACTCCATTCTTTGGGAGGAATGTTTGAGGAAAAGAGTTCTCATACGTATTGTGACACATGTCATCCGAGATTCTGAAGCATTTCGACGACGACGACGGAAAACTTATTCTCAAGTTGTGACGTCACAAAGCCGATTATTAGGTTGAAGATCTCCGTGTTTAGAAACAAAAGAATTGACTCATGTCGAATGGGACCCACTTTTTTGACACTTCCTGTAGCTCATTTTCACTTGGAAAAAGGTTTTGGAGACTCATTTTATTCCGTTTTCCGCATTCCGCAAACCCATATTTTTCCTTCCCCATTCTGTTTATCGTCTTTCGAAAGTTCCGGGTCTATTCATAAGCTCCGCCCCTGCCTAAAAGTACGTGTGCGCGCCTGGCTTCTATTCAATATTACTATTATTACTACTATAACCTCGAGCTGAAATCTCATATCGCTCCCCTTGTTTACCCCCTTCCTCTCGCCTCCTTTTTCTCCGTTTCTGAATGAACAACTTCTTCCTTTTCCTTTTTCTTTTCCTCGATAACTCTGATTTTCAGTGGAAAATATGAAGACGAGGTCGTTGTAGGGCACAATAGAGAGATAGAGAGTGCATGAAGAAGAAGAAAGAAGCAGAAGACGAAGAAGAAGAAGAAGAAGAAGAAGAAGAAGAAGGAGAAGATGCTCTACAGTCATGTCACACTTCTCATGCTTCGCGTCGTCGACGTCGTCGCCAAGACGACTGTTCAGCAATCGGCGCGCATGCTCGTCGCCGAGATTCATGGCGAGATTCAGATCGGCGCCCTCTTCCCGATCCATCGTCAGATCGCCGGATCGGAGAGTTGCGGCGAGATTTGGGAACAGTACGGAATACAACGATCCGAAATTGCGATGCTCACCGTCAAACAGCTCAACGAGGAACTTCCCTTTAAACTTGGCTTATCAATACGGTACCCTTCAAAGATAGAGAGGCTAGGGAAACTCTCATTTTCAGAGATTCCTGTTGGACAGAACGAATAGCCATGGAACAGACGATCGCATTTCTGCGGGAGGGCGTGGCGCAGTGCTCGTGCTGTCAGACGCCCGGGTGCAACAAGAAAAGCGTTCCCGTGGTGGCGGTGATCGGCCCAGGAAAGAGTTCGTCGACGATCGCAGTGCAGAACCTGCTGCAAGTGTTCCGAATTCCGCAAGTCGGCTATTCGGCCACCACTCCCGATCTGTCCGACAAGGAGCAGTTTGGCTACTTCCTGCGGGTCGTCCCATCGGACGTCTTCCAAGCACAAGCCATCAACCGTCTGCTCCACCACTACAACTGGACCTACGTGGCAGTTCTGTACTCGGCCGGTCAGTCCTCTTTTAGGCGCCTTCGCCGCGTGTACAACCCCCTCCCCCCTTCTCTTTGGGGGGGCTCTTCTTATGCCCTGCGGGTGCTTCAAGTGGAATCGAATTTGTGTCTATCTCGTTTTTGCCATCTGATGAAAAGAAGACGAAGAAGAAGAAGAAGAGGAGCCTGACTTGTGAGGGTGGCGACGCAATTTTTGCGAAAAAATAATTAGATTGTTGTATCTGAAGTAGGCGCTGATATGCGACGGCCGCGTTTCGGAAAAGAGGGAGGAGAGGGTGGAAGCATTTCGGAAAGGGATCAAAGAGCACCAACTTTTCAGGGAACTACGGAGAGAAAGGGTTCGAGAGTCTGGAACGGCTCATCGCCCACAGATCCTCGTCGGTCTGCATCGCCTACTCGGAAAAGATCAAGACGTTGGCGAGCGACGAGGAGTACCGGCAAGTGCTGAGCCGGCTCGACTCGCAGAACTCGCGGCCCCAGGTGGTTGTGTGCTTCTGCGAGGGAGCCTCCATGCGACAGTTCTTCAAGGCTCAGAAGCATTTGGCGGAGGGGAAAATGCAAATGAAACGGTTCCAATGGATCGGATCGGACGGATGGGCGGACCGGAATGACGTGGTAGAGGATTTGGAGGAAGAGGCCGAAGGGTCCTTTTCGATTCGGATCCACGCTCCGAAGATTCCCGGATTCCGGCAGTATTACACGGCGTTACATCCCGAGAACAACACGATGAATCCGTGGTTTCGAGAGTTCTGGCAACAGAAATTCAAGTAAGTTTCAGTTTTCCAGAAATACTTCAAGCACACTTTATCAATTTCAGTTGCCAATTCGCAGTTTCGAAAGAAGACAAGAACAACGAGAACATCAGAATCTGCACGGGCGATGAGAACATGGATGAGCAGTACAAAGAGGATCCGAAGCTGTCGCAAGTGATCAACTCGATCCGAGTGGTCGCTTTGGGGCTCAAGGCCATGTACCAGGACAGATGCCGGGACAACTCCACTCTGTGCACCGAAATGCTCTCGCGCAACGGCACTCTTCTCTATGAATATCTTCTGAATGTGACTTATAGTGATCAGTTCAAACAGCCCGTTTACTTCGATCGGAATGGAGATCCTCCGGCCTGGTACGACATTCTGAATTATATCGGAACGAAAGACCTGGACAACCCGTACAACGAGGTCGGTTCTTTCAAGTCCATCAATGATTACGGCGTCGAGGAGTTGGACATGACCGCCAGAAGCATGTTCTTCGACAAGACTGAGCTGCTTCCCGAGAGTGTTTGTAGTCGACCGTGCGGAGTTGGACAGAGGGTGAGTACAGTAATCCTTCCCTTCCACTTTCTGACTATGCTCTTTGCAGCAACGAGAAACGATGGCATGTTGCTGGATTTGTGAGTCGTGTCTCGATATCCAGTACGTCAACAAATCCACGAATCAGTGTATGAACTGTTCGCTCGGCTCCTGGCCGAATGTGGACCGTTCCGGCTGCGACGAGATAATCCCGGAGGTGGTTTCGTGGACCTCGTTCGGTCACATCCTCGCTCTCGTGCTCGCAGTCACCGGAATCATCACCAGTATCGCCACGCTCGTCGTCTTCCTCCGCCACAATTCGACGCCGGTCGTGAAGAGCACCACGCGAGAGCTCAGCTACATCATCCTCTCCGGACTCGTCGCCTGCTACGCCGTCTCGTTCGCCCTCCTCGCAACTCCATCCACTTCGTCGTGCTTCATCACCAGAGTCATCCCTCCGATCGCGTTCGCCGTCGTTTACTCGGCGCTTCTCACGAAGACCAATCGGATAGCGAGGATTCTGGCGGGCAGCAAAAAGAGGATTCTCACGAAGAAGCCGCGCTTTCTGACCACGTTCTCGCAGGTCGTCATCACGTGGATCCTCGTGGCCGTTCAGTGCGTGATAGTGGGCGTCGGGTTGATGCGCGATTGGCCGGATGCCACGTACGCCAAGTACGCTCTGCCGAGAAAGCTGATTTTGGAGTGCGACACCGAAACAAAGTCCTTCCTGATCCCCTTCTTCTGGGACTTTTTCCTCATCACTCTCTGCACATTGTACGCGTTCAAGACTCGAAATCTGCCAGAGAACTTCAACGAGGCCAAGTTCATCGGGTTCACAATGTACTGCACAGTCGTCGTCTGGATCGCCTTCCTCGTCCTTCACATGGGAACGACGCACAAGGCTCTCGTCATGAGCTTCTCCTATTCTCTGTCCGCTTCCGTCGCTCTCGCTCTTCTGTTCTTCCCGAAGCTCTACATCATTCTGATGCATCCGGAAAAGAACATTCGAGCGTCCTACACGACAACAAAACTGATCAGGTGTCATTTCGGAAACTCGCAAGCCGCCTACGATAGCACGAGCAAACAACAGCATCTGGGATCGAAGACCACCGCGAGAACGTCAGTGCAAAGCGGTTCAGCGAGGTTCGATTCTTGTTTCTCATCAATTTCTCCTAACATTTTCCCGTTTCAGTAAGTCTTCAAGCATGGGCGGAGGGGTCACCCGGACGGCTTCTGTGCACGTGCCAGTCTCGCGAGGGAGCACGCATTCGACGGACGTATCCACACAGACTGAAGGTATTGTGAAGAGTGAAAACTGTTCAATACTAACTAAATTCTATGCAGCAAGCAAATTTGCAAGAAGCTTCTCGATAGTTGGTCGGAAGAAGCAAGGACTCGAAGATGATGTGCAGCAATTGGTGGATGCGTGCAGGAGATATCAGGTGGGTCCGGCCGCCCGTAGAACCATTCGAAAGGGTCACTTCTCTCAGGACGAGAAGATCAACTCGTCGGCTGCCAACTTGCTTTTGGAAGAAGCGGAAGACGAGGTAGGGGCCCTTCTGGCCGATTCGATCGAGAACAGCATGCGGACGGTGCTGTCGACGGTGGCCGCGAAGGCGGTAGTTCCGCTGGTGCCAATGGTCACCAGCGCGCCGCCGCAGGAAGATAACTTTGAACAGGTACTCCCATCCCATCCGAACTTTCGTTTCAATACTTGATAAGTTGATTCTTAATCGTCAAATCTGTCTAGACATTCAAAAGTTCTAACACGCTTTCTTTCCAGACGAGACCCGAGTCTGCTCTATCCTCTCTCTTGTCGGTTCAACGTTATTTTCATTTTTTTTCCGCTTTCACACATCCTCAGTTCTCTTTGCTTGGCCACTGATTCAGTTCGAATAAGCTCGCTTCCTCGCCCTTTGCTTACTTTCGGTTCTGCCTGCACCACCCCACCCCGTGGCTTATCAGGGGAGCGAGGAGCCCGTGCTCACACTCCTCCTCGCCCCGCCCCTTTTCCGAAGCGAAGAGTTCCGATTTCAGTTGCTCCGCAGTCGCGGTGTTCAGCCGCTCGCCTTGTCCCAAGCGACTCCGTTATGAGTAGCAGCAGCAGCAGCAGTCGCGGTCAGCTGAGCCCCGTCTCTTCGGTCGGCTCCGGCTCGCCGCCGAGCTCTCCGTTCCACGACATGTGCGACGAGGAGTTGGCACAGATCTCCGTCCGACAGCTCAATCAAAAACTTATGGTGAGTCGAAGAGCACTTGGTACATTCTTGGGCAAAAGGCGGTTTTAGGGTCAAGACAGAAGTGTGGTGTTGCAATGGAAACAGAAGAGAAGAACGCTCAAGAATCGGGGATACGCGTTGAATTGCCGTGCGCGACGCGTGCAGAATCAGGCACAACTGGAGACGGACAATATTCGACTTCGCAATGATGTAGGCTACCGTAATCCTCATTATCCTTGTTTACGAACTGTTTTTCAGCTGAAAGCCGCCCAAAATGCCTTGCGAGAGGCTCAAAGTCGTCTTCTTTACTACGAGAATCCGACGTGCTATCAGTACTATCACGCCGTCTTCCCCATCCCGGCACCTCCGTCAATTGTCACGTCTTCCGATTGCTCCGCCACGTCATCATCCATCACGCACCAGATTCCGTCGGATCCAACGACTAGCGCGTCCATCCACACGATCAAGTTCGAAACGGAATTCAAGTCTGGCTACTGACTGAATCGTTCCTCTCAAGGATTACAACCCGTCCTTTGCTATTACTCTCACTTCGTCTCAATTTGTATGTACCTCTGAAATTGCTCCCCTCTTAAAATCATCTGCTAAAATTGCCCCCGTTCTCTCGTAACCAAATGCTCCCGATTCTACACTCACGAGTTCCGTCCCCCATTCTAGTCATCAATTGTCCTCCCAGTCCGACTAAAGTTATCCTTTCCCCCGAATCAGCCCGTGTAGATCACGTCTTCCAGTTATTCGAATGAGTCAAGTACCGGTAGCCCCCCAAGCAAACCACTTTGAACACCGAACACATTTCTCACAATAAACTTTTTTTTGTCTTCTTGATTATCTTCTTATCAAATGTCTTTTCCGATTATTAGATACATTTCATGCAATTAAATTGTCTTTGAATTGCTTTTTTTTGTTTTTTCGAGTTGGTGACGACATCGGAAGGGGGAATTTTTCAACGTCGGGACGTGACCGCATTTTCACGTGAATTTCAGAACTTGAGCGATAGAGCGTGATTGCCTCGATACTAATGGGGTTATTCAGGCTGTGAAAAAAATGATTTTTTTTCCGTTTTTTTACGTCAAAAAACCCAATTCAGCGGTGTGAAAAAACGGAAAACAAACATACGCTGAATAGCCCCATAAAGCAACAATCGGTATTTGCAACATTTTCTGAAAAATATTGTCTGATTGAAACGCTCTAGATCAGCTCTCTCGTATATCCTTCCGTTCTGGCATCATTCTCAGTTCACAGAACACTACGTCGTTTCCCTTTTTTCTCTTCCCTATCGGCCTCTGTTATCAGTGCTCCGGGAGTCGTCTTGAGATAACTGGACGCAGCTGCTCCGCGGCCGTCCCTGGTACCGACTGGCACCGCCGTCGTCGCCGCCGCCGTTACCGACCTTATCAGGAGGCGAAGAGAAACACGAAACAGCGAAAAACTTGTTTATGCTAACATTTGGAGACGGGGAGAGCGGAGAAAAGGTGAGCGTGGAGACCTAATGGATTCCGGAGGGAGGATGTGTTCGTTCATTGCGAAATCTGCTGCTTCTCGGTGGCCGGTGATTCTCCGTAGCCGAGCTTCCGCCATTCCTCTTTGTCCATCAAACCGTGCTGCATTCGGCACTCGAAGTAGTCCTTTGCCACGTGGCGACACTCACTGTTCTGCTGCTTCTTCTCGTGCAGACACACCATGTAGCTGAAAAGAACCGAATCTTTGGCGAAGGACATCGTCATTTATCTATTTACTTGAGCATTTCCAGTTTACAAGTGCCCTCGTGATCCAGCGGGAACGAACCTTTCAGCGGCGCACTGACTGTGTTAACTCGGATGAACGGGCCTGTTTGTGACATCTGAAAATGAAGATCTTAAGAAGAAACGTGATATTGAAAGGACCAGAATCGAAAAAGAATTAGGAATGAAACCAGAACCGAGACAACTTCAAACCCCGAAAAGCGTAACGTTTTTATTTTGCAAAACAACAAAAAATATAGCCTAACAAAACACCTTTTGAATAATAAGAATTCAGTAATCCTTGCCGCTGTCTTTCCGCATTTTCACATATTTCTCCCACGATTGAACGGGAATCGCGGGCTCCGGTTTGTTCTTCTGGTAGTACTCGTAAATGTATCCGCACGTGATGGCCATCATCAGACTGGCGCCGAGAATCGCCGTCTGGATCTGTGATTTGGCGACCATTCGGATTCAGAAAAGACGAAGAAATCAATCGGTTTCGATGTTGTCCGTCGAGGAATCGATTTGTGCCCAACGGCGTAGATCGCTTAGTTTTAGACGGGTTCCCTGAAAGATTTTTCTTCAACTTCTTCTTTAGTGCCTGCTCACAATAAGTTGTCCGAATGAAATAGAGTCCTCGACCCAGTAGTAGCTGGATGCGATCGTCGGCCAATTCAAGTACAGATATTTGCGTTTCTCTTCGCTCCGACGGACTGTGCGGAAGGCGGCGAATCCGAGCGCGGCGGCCGTCACTTCGAAAACTACGAAACTGAAAATTCCTTTGCGGAGAACGCCCGCCAGCTGAAAATGCTCAATAGAGCACTGCTTCTTTACTTGTTGTCTTCGATAAAAGTCCGGCGAAACGGTAACCTTTCAGCAGTGGATTCTGACAAATGGATTGGAGTTCCGACACAAATAGATTTATTGTTTGCCTTTTAATGAAATCAATAGGAAAAAGATAGACTTGTTTGCTGCGGACTTTCGAAATGGTAAGAGGCGATGATCGTTAAGAAAACGGAAAAATAGGAGATCCCCCTCAAGTCAATGACTACAAAACATTCAAGGCGTTCGGCAAGAACGCTCCACTGAACACGGAGCGAAAAGCCACGGGGGAATAGATATTTAGCAATGGGAGGGGAATGAAGAGAAAAAGAGAGAGAGAGAGAGAGACTACAAAAAGCTGAAGGGCGGGAGGAACTGGAGGATTTTAATAGAACACAAAGATTATGCAGACACGCTCTGAAATAAGGGGGAAAATTTATTTTGCAATTATCTACTCACGGTGACCAATTTTAGGACAAATAGACGAGCAGAAACTGGAACTTAATGAAACAGAAGGAAGTGGAGGAAAGAATAGAAATTTGCTAGGAAAAATTGAGGAATGATCACAAAAGAGTGATGAGTGGAAGCTAAAGCAGAGAAAAACGGGAGAGCAACAGATTTGGCTGAGGGTCGGAGGGAACGGTTCGGGAGTGAGAGACCACTTCAGTTCTTCTTGAATCGCTTCTGCTTGGTCTTCTCCCACACCGTCTGGCGTGGCTCGTTGAAGCGCTCGACGTACTCGTAGGCGGGTTCCATTAGCAACTCGGTGCAGTTCTTCGAGCAACGACAGCGAGCGAGTCCTCCGGTCGGAATGACGATCGAACCCTGCTTAGGAGGAGCCGGATAGACGTAATTGTGCTGTGGAGGCAAGTTCTTCATCTGAAGGTTAACGCTAAAAAAGAGCAACTAAGTGAGAACTTCATACCATAGCGTCGACCATCTTCTTCAATTCAGGACTCATCTTCTTCTCGACCGTCGCCGTTCCTCCGCCAGAAGCTCCGCCGGTAGTCGTTACTGTCGTCGTGACAGTGCCCGAGGAGTCAGTGACGGACGTGGTCGACGAGGTCGCAGTAACCTCCTTTGTTGTTTTCTCCACTATCACAGACTCCTGGGTGAGGCTCATTGGCGGAACAGACGTGTGATTCGCCGCCGAACCTTCCGGAATTGATTGGGAAGTGACACTATGGGGGTTGTTGGAAACAGGATCGCCCATTGAAGCAGTCGCGTGGAGGGGCATCGCCATCGGAGTCAACGAGGAGGCCAACTCAGAGAGATCCGCGATGGGCGTAATATTTTGGTCAGGAACAATTTCGCTCGGATGGACGGCGTATGGAGCAGGGGTTTCGATCACAGTGCCGTTTACGACATTCTGGACCACTTTCCGACTCTCACCGCGATCACGAAGTTCGGCCCACTCCACGTAGTTCGATGTCGTGTCCTTGCGCCATTTGAACGCCTCCGCCTCTTCGAGGGCCATCTTCACGGTCTCGTGCATCAAGCATTTCCTGAATGAAGCCGTTGTCGTTTGCCTGTTATAATTCACTTACGTGGCCGTATATCTGTCCATTATAGCCTGAAGACTCTCCAGAACGAACGTCTTCGTTTCGTTGAGATGATGGAAGCTGCTCGTTTTATGGAATAGGTGCGTTATGACCGAGTGCATTTTCTCAAGCTCCAGAATCAGCAGACGAATAGTGTTATGGCACTCGCATCCCTTCGGAAACACCGGTTGCAGCAGCTGGAAGCCGTAGTGAGCAGCCGTCACCATCTTCGTCAGATGGTCGTCAAGCTCCTGTTCGGTCGGCAGTTCGAAGGGTTCAGTCGCCTCTGTACAGAAATCAATAGAAGGGAAATGAGATGAGTTGACGCACTAGCATTCGTTTCCTCTGACATTCTTCTGTTATTGACCTCGTTGAAATACTCGAACTCTCTATCGAGCGCAGCCAAATGTTGCACACATTCGAGCATGTCGCAGGCGGCGATCGTCGCGTTTTCAATGAATTCCTTCATACAATCGGCCTCGCTCATTGGCTGCAAAACAGGACGGATGGAATCGAAACGGAAAAATCAAACGAATTACCATGAAGTCTTTAGTCATCTTCAGGTCGAGTAACTCCTTTTTGTCACCTTCCTTCGTATCTTTCGGCTGAAATCGAGGCAATTCCAGTTAGCCCAGCCCTTACTCTAACTCACGAATTTCTTTGAAACACGGCTGAAATAGTGGAGCAGACCAGCACCGAAGCAGCTTTGCAGCATCTCAACGGTGTCCGTGAACACTTTCTCGTCGAACGGAACGTCCTTGTTCCACACGTCGCGGACGAGTTGCGCGGCGACAACCGTCGGCGCCTGGCCGATGTCTCTGTTTTTGAATGCGCCCGAGACGACCTCTTTCAAGTAGCCCATTGCTTCGGCATGCGACGAACATTGCTTCAGAATCAATTCGGAGGCTGAAAGCGTTGATGTGAATCGAAAAAGGATAGGCTTTAACGTACGTAGCGCCGAAGGATCGTTCGGTTGCAGGGCGGCGACGAAGCGTGGGATTTCTGCAGACAATTCAGCGAACTGTTTCTTCAGAATCTTCTCCTGCTCCAAGTAGGCGTTTCGTGGCGAGACTTGCTCCGCCAGCACAACACGAGCCATGCCGTCCGTGACCGCGTACGGCAAGCCATCCTCCTCCTCCTCCGCTTCTTCCTCTTCCTCCTCTTCCATCTCGTCTTCCACATCTTCCTCGTCTTCCGCTTCCTCCTCATCCTCATCTCCCTCCTCATCCTGAGTATTCTGCTCCTCAGGATCTTCCTCGTACTCTTCTGTTCCTTCTTCTCCGTGCTCGTCGTCTTGAGAATCGCCCTCTTCTTCGTCGTCATCCGAATCGACCTCGTCGTCTCCCTCATTCGGAAGAGCGGCTGAACCAGTAACAGAGTTTGGCACCCGCTTCTCCATCTTGTGGCCCTTGCTTTGAGGAGTAACATTCCAGACATAGTCATGGTTCTGAAGTAAATGTATTTAAATTAATTTAGCCCAGAAATGTTTCGATTACCTCCACGTACAAGAACGCATTAGGATCGTTATGGACGAGGCGAATGAAGGTGTGGAGCTGGCCGGTGGTCGTGATCGGCACGTACAGCCCGTTCACTGAAGCACAACTGTTTCATTCTGATGATTTTTTACTCATTACAAACCCGAATAGTGCAACGAAAGGGTTTCGTCGTTGGTGGTGTGGACCAGGTAGTTGTAGACTTCGTCGTAAGTCACCTCCACATTCGGGCGGTACACGAGACGCTCTCTTACGTAGAACGTAAACTTCTTCTTCGGCGTTCCGACGAACATGTAGTTTATCGCCTGATTATCAAAACTATTCACTTTCTGAGCCTTCTCTTCTCAGACCCACCATAATATTGTCCACCTTGTTCTTCTGGCGCTTTCTCATCCCATTGTTGGATGTTTTAGGCGGTTGCGACATCACCATCGTAGGCATGATGACTGTAAATTTAGAATGGCAAACTTTATTATCTTTTTCGGGGAAAGATAAAAATGATGAGAAAAGGCCCAAAAATCGATACGATGAGTGAAGCTTTCAGGGGCTCCCGCAGGCCAGTTAGTAGGTTTTCTAGTGTGCAAAAACAAGGAGCATGGATGGAAATGAATGAAAGACGCCAGTAGTAGAAAGCAAAACGAAGAAGATCGCTCCTCGACGGAAAATCGAAGCCTTGAAGCCGAAAGGGAGCTGACGGCGACGTTGCGTGGAAGAGCTGCCGTTTCGGCCGCCGACCGCCAAATCGTTTCGCAATATTTTGGCGGCGGTTTCAACAGACAATTTTCTTTTCCAATCATTTTCTCTTTTCTAAAATTTTGCGCGAAACTGAAACAAAATTGTGTCTGAACAATTACAAGAAGACCAAGCGTTGAAGATAGATAGAATTTCGCTTCTTTCCAACTTCATACGCGTTTATTTTTTGGATGCTTACGTCATTTTTAGAGTTCCAATAGTTTTATCACTTTTTAAACTCTTTTTCGAAAGGTGAACCCCGGTTGTTGGAAAATTTTGAGGCACATGAGCCCGCAAAAACACTTTCTTTCCTTTCTAGTGCCCCGGTTTTCCGTGATCGTCAGTTAACCTAGAATAGTCATGAGATACGAAGTAATTGTTCTCCCTCTCCAAAATCGAACATTCGGTTATTTTTTTCTGTAATCTCTTTATCGCTCCCTCCCGCTTTCCTTTTCTCTGCTCCTGCTTGCCCTAGCTTTTACTAAGATTCTATAAATTAAAAAGTCGTAGAGTCTGCTTGAAAATTGGGCTTTTTACTCGAAAACAATAATTAAAAACGACGAAAGGTTGAAAAACACAGAGATGCAAAGTCGGCGTCTCTCTCTTTTCCATTATCCCTCACATGTTGCAAACGCGCTCCATTGTGAAGTCCATATTTTGCTCGATTTCTCAATACTTTTTGGCGAATTCCCGCGTTTTTTAGACTGATTTTGTTGAAGATACACAATTCTCATTACTCAAAATCAACAATCTCGTTTTTCTTTTCAATATTTCTCGGTTTCGTCGCTTCAAATCATGTTCCTTTCAGAAAAATGCTCATCAAAGTGAAAACCTTGACCGGAAAAGAAATCGAACTCGACATCGAACCAAATGATAAGGTCGAGCGAATCAAGGAGAAGGTAATTAATTAATCTGATCACACCTTTGCTTCAAATCAATATTTCCTTTTCCAGGTCGAGGAGAAGGAGGGAATCCCGCCACCACAGCAACGTCTCATCTTCGCTGGAAAGCAGATGAACGACGACAAAACCGCAGCCGACTACAAAGTCGTCGGCGGATCCGTTCTCCATTTGGTGCTCGCTCTTCGTGGAGGATTCTAAAGCGCTGAGGGTTGTCAGGAATGTATCGAGCGCTCATAATCTTAACTTTTATTCAATAATCGACTTTTGTATTTACGAGTTGCCCTCCCGAGAGACACTCATCTCCAACTTTTCCACCTAAGTTATTTCTTTTTCTTGTTTTAAAATTTTCTACCCTACCGCAATTCTAAATTCAACTTTATTTATAAAGTCTGGAACACGAGCGGCAGTTTTTGTATGCAATTTCAGCTCCTTCATTCATTCTCTTCTTCTCTTCTAATTCACTAATTCCAAGTCCCTTTAAACTGAGAATCGGAATAAATCGTAAGCAAAAGCGTCGAATATTTTTTATTGATGGTCGAGGTTCGACAAAATGAATGCAGTATACATGTTGAACATAAACGAAATAAGTGGGAAAATCAGTGGGAGGTGACAAAAAAAGTGAAAGACACGGGCATAAAATAGAAGGGACTCGTTAGTTTGAATATATTGAACAAGGCAAAAAGGTGTTATTGAAATACATACACAATGATACAGATTAATGACGTTATCCAGGATGTTCACTCGTCGTCCAGCAATCCGGAGGCGAGGTACTCGATTAGGTCGTCCACCGGCGCCGCTCCCATTCGCAACGGCGTCATCTCGTCCTCAATATCGTATTCCACGAGAATGTTGTATTGTTCTGCTATCTGCACTCGCCGGTTCATGCATTTGACCGTCTGTTCCAGCTCGATGTACTAAGAAAAACAGTTTAGCGAGCAGAAGTGTTGTCGGTCAAACTCACTCTGTTCCTGGTGTGTCGGCCATTCATATCAAGTCTTCCGGCGTTGTTATAGTAGGTGACCTGCATCTGCACGTGCCGCTTCCCTTTAACCGAACACGTCAGCGTGGCTCTCGACGTCATCAGTCGCTTCTCGTCGAGTTCCGGCTCCAACTCTCCGTACTCCTTGCATTTGTCAGTTTGAAGACGTCGCGAGTTACCCTGGAAATTTTAGAACCTTAGAGATTTTCCAGTGGTGATTCAAACGAACCCCCGCTTCTTTGAGCATGGCGTGAACGACACCGTCCGTCAGTTGGAATCCGTCGTTCTCCGCCGTCATCGTCTCCAGAAGACTGAAAAGTACTCGGAACGGCATGTCGATGGTCGTTTTGATTGCGAATCGGGCCAGGCATTGCCCTCTTTCTCGTGGCTCCGAGAGCAACGACGTCTGAAAAAATTCGCGTATTTGTGAAGAGTTTCGACTGGAACAGTTTACCAAGACGAGGCGAGAGACGTCTTCGATTTCGAGATGTCTGCACTGCATCGCGAAGAAAAACGGTCGATGATTCGGATGAAGGAGCACGTACTCTATGAGCTCCATCTCGCTGCCCCTTGTCGTGTGGAACCATCGTTGGCTGTAGTAGTCGTAGCGCTCTTTGCGAATCTTCTCGATCGGAGTATTCTGGATCACATGGAGCACTTTGGCCGCTTCGTCACGAATGATGCTCGTCGCCCTCTTCGCCACCAGCTTCGGCGTTTCGTGGATTCGATGAATCGGCCGATAGTTGTTGCCCTCGGAGAGAACGACGTCTTCTCCGGCCTCTTCGATCACGTCCTCCTTGCAGCGATCTGAGTGCTGTGGCTGTAGCAGCGAAGAACCCGCTCGGACAGTCTCCACTTCGTGCTTCTCTCTTTCCACGTCCGTCGCGCTCCTCACATATCGCGTCGTGATCATGTCGCGAAGTTTGTCTCGGGATGAGGACGCCATTCTGGAGGAGAGAAAAACTGATTGATAGCCACTATCAGAAAATGTGGGAACCTAAAAAACCAACCCGAAGCGAACAGAAATGTTCAGAGAAAATATGCCATTGCAATTCAGAACTTTTCTGAAAATTATTGCGCCAGCGCGAAGAACAAATTACGGTCAAATGATAGAAATTGTGGCAGGAACCGCATGATGAAACTTGTGCATGCGCCTTGAAATTGGTGTCGAAATTAATCAGACTTGTGATCCTGAATGCCTTTATGGGATCATATCAACCGGCCCGGAATTCAATTAAATAATTCAAAAATAGTTCAAAAATGAAATTTTCATTCAAAATTGTAATTTCTTCTTGACTTCTTTTTAATTAGCAGTTGACATGATGCATTTTTCTACCAGAAATAATTCTGAAACGGATGACATCAATGGGAACGGTGAGAACGGGACGCCGCGAGCTTCGAAGAAATTAATTCGCTTGCAGACTTCTCCCATAAAAGTCCATAAAGGCGGGCGCATATTCTAGCAGTTATCTTTTTTTTTCTTTATTTACCGTAAAAACGTAAACAAGGGCAGCCTTTAAGTGAGACAGTTGGAAAACGGAAAATTAAAAGAAGACCAGAGAAAGAAGAGACAGAAAAGAGCGAAAGAGATATGTGGACAGATTTGATTAGGAGCCAGCCGGACGGACCGTTTCAACTGTCATTTGAGCGTCGTTTCTGAAATCATCACAATAATTGTAGGGTTACTGTAATTGACGGGTTCTCCACTATGACGCAATAGTGCACATTGTGCATAGAATATTTGGGACAAGGATTAGGCACGGTATGAAGGAATGGGATGGGATAACGGGGGGTAATTGGCAGTTGCACGAAAGAGCGCACTTTCAGAAAGAAACGGACTTTGGACACGAAAGCGGAATACATCACGGAACTCACCGGCTCTGCCTTTTCAAGAGATCTTACGGCATCTAAAACGTGGATAATCCAGAACACTTAAAAAAGGAAATTGGCAAAATTTTTATGAAGAAAAGAGAAGAAGGAGAAAGACGAAGAACAACACAGAGGAAAAGAGGAAAGAAACATGTTTTCTGTTTCTCGGTCGCTGAGAATCACCCGGGAAGTCTTGCTCACACCTGCTTCCTTACCACTTGCCGTTCGCCCGAATGCCATCTCAAGTGCGCCTTCAAATGACTGCTTTTGTTGTAGACTTTTCCGCATCCGGCAATGTGACAATTGTGCACTCCACGTTTCCGAGCTGCCACTGATTCGGGTCCTGCAACGAAAAGTTATTGGGTTAGTATTCCCTTCCTGTTCTAAAGCTCAGACCCCCCAAAAATACGTCACTTCCTTTTCGCGCACGTCCCGATCGTATTTCCTTCCAGATCTTATCCCCTTTGCGCGTATTCATCGACCGATTCATATCATCCGTCGGCATCTTTTCGTGCTCCCAAGAGCCGATCTATCTTTCTCGTTCACGCCAATTATAAATGTATCAGGAGTGCTCCCTTCCCTTCCGATGAGCCGTTCTGATTAGATAATTTAGCTCCCGGTAGTTGGATATACGGAAAGCGGATTAGCTGACCAACAGGTGGGTAGGGAGAAGGTAGGTAAACAGAATGAAATTAGAGAGGGAAAGCGAACGATTCTGAGAAGATTATTATGAAATGGAGCAATTAGATGTCCGGCGGATTATCAGTAAACAGTTATTAGAGCGGCGGCAATAACAAATTAGGATTGAATGATTCGAGCAGAATCCGCCGTAATATTTCCCCGAAATTCCGAGTCACTTCCAACCGAAATCCTCTCAATTCCATCAATTCACGCGCTTCCCCTCGCACGCCTTCCATCAAAATGTGGCGGCTCCGTGACTCCAGCGCGCCACGCATAAAATGCGTTCTTCTCAAAAACGTCGAAAAACGACCAGACGTCTTCTCTCAAAAGTGACACCTCTGAGAAGACGAAAAAGGCGAGAGAGTGCGAAGAAAAGAGAGCCGCAGAGTAATCTTGCGTGTTTAATTGAACGCTTTCGTAAGGAAAACGAACAAAACGGACGGAGGCGGCGACGACGACGACGACGGAAAGACGAATCGATTAGATTCATTGCCCTTCGACACGTTTCGGCATTACAAAGCAATCATGGTTTCTGAACTCACCAAACTTCTCGGCTTCTTGACAGTTCGGACACTCGCACTTGTTCGTCGTCCGGGCCGCTTGATATTTTCCCGCCGCGGCGCTGGCTGACGTTGAGATTGTGGCCGGAGTGGTTGAGTTGCTCGAAGGTTTGACCGCTTCCAAATGACGTCGTTGTGAATAATTCTGAAAGTAAAATGTATTACTTTTTAAAATGCCAAAACAGTTATTTTCCGCGTACGTCAGTCCGATCTTTGAGCTTTTCGATAGTTCACTGATCTCATCGCACCTTCCCCAACCCATCATTATGCAGCTACTTATCAGCTGAGAGTACTAGTACTACAATCACTCTCTGATATTTCCCATTTCCCCCAAGTACACCGATATTTTCGCTCGTGCAAATGTCACCAAATTGCCGACAGCGACACTATTTCTGCTCCGATTCGTGCAAAAGTGCACAGCTTTCGACGAATTCGTACCTTGGCAAGATTCCTCTGCTGATTGGCCATTGCATTTGTGAGCGCTGATTGTGTGACGGCCGCCGCAGCGGATTGGGCAGCGACTGCGGAAACGGAAGAAGAGAGGAGTCCGCCGAGCGGAGTGGAAGCGAAGTAATTCTGATAGGTGTCGGCGGCAGAAGCCGCAGTCACTGACGGGTACAAATGGTGCCAGTTTGTCTGATCTACCCACCTGAAAACAAAGTGAATTCTGATGAGCGAAAAGAAAAGAATCCAGAAATGAGAGGGTTCGAACGTACTATAATTAGAAGGACACCCATAGAGAATCTATAATTTAGGCTTACACAAAACTACCCTCAATTAAACAATTTCTTATCCGGCACTCACCAATTTGGCGTTGATAAGTACGGCGAGTAGGCGTTCATGTCGGTCGGCAAAAGAAGACTGTCCGACTTGGCCGGCTCCAATTTCAATTTGCTCTCGATATCATACTTGTTGACCACGCCGACAAGTTTCGAGAGTGGCGAGTCGGTCATTTGAAATGGGACCTGAAACGGCGGGAAAATTGGAGGCGAAAAGTGAGAGGGGGGTTGAAAGTTGAAAAGGAGCAGAAAGGCGAGAACTCACTGGAAAGGGAAGTGCCGCTGCGGAGGCGTTGTCCGTTGGATTGAGCATTCTGAGAGTCGAGAGTTGGGAGCAATTTGGATCCAGTCTATCAGATTAAAAGGAGGCTATCAATTGGATGATTTCGACGGCGAGACGTGAAACGAAACGAGTGAGCGAACGTGTGGGCGGAGCCAGAAGCGAGAGAACGAGGAGGCCACGCCCCTTTTTCGGACTACGGTAGTGGGGAAAACAAGAATGATGCGGACGGACGAAAGGGGATAGCGGAGAGAAGGAGCGGGCAATTAGGCGGCGGTGGGCACAAGGTGACGTGGCAAAAAAATGAGACAACGAAAAGGACATTGAAAGTGATAGGAAGTGATTTTGGAACACGACCAGAAGACGAGCTCGTTCACTCCTAATCCAGCTTATGTCATCGTGACGACGTGAGTCCAGATGACGTGGCAGCCGGTCAGGTACATCGGCGGATTAATTACAGGTTACGACACCTTATGCCCAGAAACGCGCTTGAATTCGATTCGAAGAAGCAAAACGAGACTTGAATAGTACATTTTACGGTGAAAGAAGGAGACAGAAATTACAGGGTTCTTTGGTTTCTGGAGAAGTATCTGCAGAAGAATTCTAGAGGGCTGGCAACTTGTGACTCGAAATGGCAACAGATCCTTTTCGCCCCATTCCCGCCAACGACCTCCCATAAATCTCCCCTCGATTCTCCATTTTTTCACACACAATTTGTTCCCATCTTTGCATCGTTTTCCACTTTTTTGCGACTGGAACGATTCTCGAGCAGCCTTCCACCCTGCCCGTTCGGACCGGTATCTATCTAAAAAGGATGCGCGGTGCGGGGAAAGATGAGCACAACATCTTGATAATTGGATGAACGGCGGGCGGCCTCGTCGCTTTCAAGTGTTCCCAAAACGATTATCCAATAACATATGGAGCAATTATGAGCGAACTGAGACCGCTGCTTGGTTACGGACTGTTGCACGCCTGCTCTTCTTAGCTAAACGGACAATATCACGGGGAGAGAAACGAACGTGCAGGACGACGGGGGCGGAGTGATAGTCGTATGACTGCGAAGCGGAAAACAAAATGGGGAAATGCCGACTAATGACAAGGTTCGGAGACTGCGCTCAGCTGCGGCGGACCAGAAAAGTTCGCACTGACGTCTGAATCTTCACGTCTTCGTTCTCACGCACATAACGGAAGTTTGGCGTCCGGAAATTGGCACGGAGGTGAGAGGAGGAACGAAAGAACAAACCGTCCTTTGGCGGAAGACACACCGTGGGAAACGGCTGGAAATGGAGAGGGATTCGAAATCTTCGTCGCCCCCAAAAGTCTCATTTTCCCAAGCAGTTTACCCAATTCATCACCTCCTTCTATTCCGTTCGTTTCGGAATGTCCTTGACAGGTCTCTGTCCTCGAATCGCTTGCGTAAACTCTGCCACCTCGGCACGACACTTTATGGATGGGGTCTCTCATTTGATTGGATAATCGAGAGAGAAGGAAGAGCGTGACGGGATCGATGATATTATCAGTCTGTTGGAAGAAAGTCAAAGGACCGTACTCCAAACATTCAAATGAAAGCTCCTTCTCTCCGCTCCTTGTTCATCATTTTCCGCAGGTGTTCATGTTCGGGTGTGAAATGAGGCAGACGGCCAATTGATACAGGTGTCTGCGTGAGTCAGTCAGGTGGCGCCCTCTCTTTTCTTCGTTCCCTTTCTTTACTAATTGGCGACACCTTGAGCGCGGTCAGTTTCATTCCCAACAGCCGTAGTCGCACCAACTTGTTGGGCCTATCCGAATTGAGTGATAATTATGGGGTTACGACCTGAGGACTTCGTCTCGAGACCCAACAAACGCCTCAAAAGTTGGGAAGAAAGGCGCGAAAACGGTGTGTGCGCGTGTGATAATTAGAGGGTTTCGTGTCGTAATTGAGAAGAGAAAACGATTATGACTTTTAGAGAAGAATCTGGAACGAAGGATTTCTGGGGGAAAGGGACAATGAACACGACATACGGTACGTTGTCACTTCCGTCGATCACAGCCGTTAATCCTTTCACAATGTTATTCTGACACCTCTGTTAATCCGCTTGCTCAACACGGGTTCTCAGGTTACTCGGGGCTTCTGAACAGGTCCACGAATCCTGAGGAGTCTAAAGAGAAGAGGGATATAAAACTGTTGTCTTCCTTCTGCAAACCTCACTTTTCAGACCTTCTTCGTCCGATTCCAATGACTTTCTCGTCGATCTAACAAATAGTGTTTAGATATCAGCTCATAACTCGATATTTGAACATTTTCAGATAAAACAGTCAATCACAAAAATAATCAGCGCAAGATTTTGAACATTTTATTTGTTGACAGCATTCTGAAATAATTATTGGTTCCCGAGATGCATGTCTCGGAAGATAGAGACATTCCTGAACGACGTCTGAGACCCAAATGTACTAATTTTGGCAGAATTCCTTTAAAAAACATTTCACGGAAAGCCCTTTAGCACTGCCAATTTCTATCTGAACTCACGTGGCACCCCAGCGTCATTTCTGCTCCCGATTCTCTTATCTCTGCCCCAGATCTATGCCTATAAAGGGGAGCGGTTCCGCCCAAAAGAGCATCAGTTTTAACTGCGACTCTCCTCGTACGACGAACAACACGAGCAATGGGCGACAAGTCGGCATACATGAGCGCTGGCGGATATTCCTCCGGCTACATGGGATCCAACGCCTCCTCTTCGGGATACGCCCGTGAGGAGTACGCGAGCGGCGGAAGCGGAAGCAACAACCAGTCATCCGGAGGCGGTGGAGGAGGAGGAAGCGGCGGCGGCAACCAGGGACAAGTCTTCAAGGCTCGCACCGATCAGTCGTGCTACCTGGGACCATCCTAATCGGAGCGACGACGCCAATTCGATCATCCTTTGTGCCGAATAAATATGTCTCTTCTCACCTGTTTTTGTTTTGAAATCTCCAGAAAAGTCCGTGTTGGTCCTCCGGTTCCTGGAGTACTCTTTTTGTTTCCATCCGACTACTTTTTGTCTCAAATTAACCCCATTAACTGTTTTCGTGTCGGTTAATCCTTTCGTTTGTCGCACTCTAAACGTTCCTTCCGTCTCAAATATCATCCAATCGCTCAACTCCTGCGGCTGTCCGCCCTCGCAATCGACGTGATGACGTGATGAGGTGCTGAGCATGTTCACTTGATTTATTAGCAGCGGAGGTTGCGCAAGAGAAACATGACAAAACCTATGAATGATCTAAACATAATATCAGAACGATTATTAAGAGGCAATGTCTGAGAACCTCGAAATTCGCTAATTACACCAGGTCACTAAAAATTCAGAATGCTTCAATTTGTCCCATATTATACCTAATGGGTACTTACATAACAGTGATACATCAGACAAGTTTTGGTCCGGCTCCGTGGTCCCTAATCCGATCACGATCCCAAAATAGGTCAAAACTGTAACTAATTTCAAAAAAATGCTAGCGTCTCAGACTTAACGCCATTCGATTTCTCGCATCTTTTTAAGCATTTTTTATGTTTTGTTTTATGTGGTGTATTTTAGCTCATCTACATCCTGCTGACCGCCATGCAGAAAGAGTTGCTAAATACGAAAAAAATGAAAATGAACTGAAATTTGATAAACTTGAATTTCCCATGAAAATCAAAGATATTGATAAATTTGAAAAGATGAATGACCTTGTCGTCAATGTTTTTGAATGTACCCAAAATGGCATAATAAATAGACTTCGACCTTCACGAAGAATCTCTAGTGATACTGGTGAAAATAAAGTCATCAATTTACTTTATCAGCAAAATTATTTTGGAAACTCTCATTATTCCTTATTCAAAAATCTTTATAAACTATTTAACAAAAGAGGAGAACATCAAAAAATGTTTTGTGTAAAATGTCATTGCTATTCGAGTGCATCGGTTCGTCGTTCGGTTGATCATCGGGCGAAGTCGAGGCAGTTGGGACGGTTGTCGGCGGGTCGCCGGGGTGAGGCGGCGGCGGAAGGTTGGTGGGCATGAGGCGATCTCAAACTTGGGTAATTAAACCGAAAAATATATAAAAATATATGCGCTTCTCGGCCATTTTATTTTTTCCGCTTTTTTGCCGGTTTTTTTTCCAAAAATTCACGGTTTCTCCCATTTTTCAGTTGATTGACATTTGTTCGGCACTTACTTATTTTTTCACTGCTAAAAAATTGTTTTCATTCAGTCGATACAAAGTGCCAAATGAGTGGTTTCCGTGGAACAAGGGCGATTTTATCGCGAAAAAACCGGAAAAAAGCGGAAAAAATAAAATGGCCGAGAAGCGCATATTTCTAGGCCATTGGCGCTAGGCCACGGCTACAACTTCAACTGCATGCCGTTTCGTTCATTAGCATTTTTGAGAGGCAGCATTTCACCAGTGTATGAGGCAATAAGAGAAAATTCAAACAGTCACAAAAAAATCAAAAATTTTTTGTGTTCCCTGGTCCTTTAATACATAATTTTTACACAATGATTCCTCTAAAAATAATTCAAAAGTTAGCACATTTTCAGGTTGCCATCGAAAAGATTTGTGAAGATGTGATACTATGCAAGTAGTCTGCTTATAAGCGTGCACTCTGGCCCGACCCAGCCAGCCCGCCACTCCATTCCTTCTATCTATTGTAACCATCTGCTCAATGAACCGTGTTTGAGTTCGTGTTTCCGAGTTTCCCTTGTTAATGGAAAGTCTTCACTGAATAAAGAATTTGTTCTTAAGCTTTTTTATTCGGGCTATAACAGATACATATATGCGTTTATAAACAATAAATTTAACAATTTCTAATACAAATGTAATGAAATAATGCAAATCGTGAAACAGTCTACTGGTTTGCAAGCAGCTTGCAAGGCTTCCAAGCAGAAAATGCATGGTGTATACGGAGGGAAATGGTGATAAATTCATCAATCATGTGATCAACTTCTTTCCTATCTATTGTCATCTTTGCATCAGGACTGCGACGAATCTCTTCAAATTTGTGTCGATAAATGGTGCGAATGGCTGGAATCCGCTTGTCGAGGAACGCAATGGCGGGAGGGAAGCTTTTCTCGTAAAAGAATTGGCTGTCGAGTCTGCGCATCTCACTTTGTGGCTCTCTCAGTGTATAGTAGGCCTCGATGGTGGGAGCGGTTGCAATCTCTTCTTCGCTCGGCTCCTCCCTATAGTTAGTCCAAGGCCCAAGTGGTGCAAATCCGAGCACGTCTCGCAACTCTTCCAGGCCAATAACCTCTTGCGCTTCGAGGACCAAATTTACATTCACAGTTCTGGCCAATCTGTGCCTAAGTATGTCGCCCGATAGCAACTCGTGTTCTCGATTAGTGAGGCAGGTGGTGGCTATCTTCTCCAGCTCGAAGTTCATGTCGAAAGGGGTAGATGGCGTGGTCGCCGACGCAAAGACATGTGTACTGTCTACTGGAGCAGCGGTCGTTAATGTAGAGATGGAAGGGGCGCTGCTGGTGCTCCCTTAAAGATACAAATGTATGTATGTGTTCATGTAGACACCTATTTTAGTCAAGCACATGACACATGCATCTTTGCAACCGTCTATTCTAATTATTATGGCGGCCATACCTGCATGTAAATGGGTCGCAAGGCTGAGACAAATGCTGAGTATTTTCCTCATACATTCGACTGAAAATATGTAGTGTATTAATGCATTTACGTAAGAGAAGTACGTGTGAATTGTGCAGCGAAACAAATACTAACCGAGAATGCAACAATATTTATAATAATCTATAAAAGAATATAATAGGTGTGGTTATTTTGAAACAGCCACCAGATTGAAATAAAGGAAGGAAGAGAAAAGGCATCATTCGATCGACCTATTTCTCGCTCACAAACCGACCCAATTCTAGACGGAAAGTGGAAGTCTCCTTCTGTCACACTCTAAACACGCTTGGATACAGACAATTAGACTACTTCAAATGAACATTATCCTCTTTAAAAATGATTCATTTGTTAACTTTGATCGCTCATGAAAAGAAATTAGATTAAAACAATATTCACTAAAAAATTAAATTAAAGTAAAGACAACACAACTTTTTGAAAATCACAAGTTTCAAGCATTTTCAAAACTAGATGACAGACAATAACCACAAATATGTGTACCGAATTCTTGTATTTGAAATGTTGAGCATTCAATTATATTATCTATCTTGATTCTTGATTTACCATTATTTTTGAGATAATTGATAACTTCATGAGGAGGATCTAATCCTAAAGAATCGAAGTAATAACTTTTTTCTTTCATCTTCTTCTTATAGCAAACCCAATGAGTATATCCTTATTATTACTCGAGTCAAGATTCACAATTCCGACTTCCTGGGAATTTATCTTATCTGGAAGGTTGTCTCTCATAAAAACACCTCGAAAATTCTTGATTTTTAACTCATTGACAAGTTCTTCGAGGTCAAGATTTTTTAGACTTGGTAGGTCTTTCTGGAGACTAATAGTTGTCATTGAAGTTGTCATGAAAAATATTCGAAAAATGTTGAAAAATGAAAAATGGGCAAAATGGTCTGAAGGCTTTTTGACTTTTTCAAAAATGATGCATTTTCTGGAAGTTAAGACACAAAATTAAGTTGTCTATGTCCAAAATTGATCAAAAACTGCAGAAAATCAAGGTTGGGCAAAAAGCTGTCCCAGCGTCAACATTTTATATACTACTGGTTATGTTGTTGAGGACTTCGTCTCGAGACCCAACAAACGCCTCAAAAGTTGGGAAGAAAGGCGCGAAAACGGTGTGTGCGCGTGTGATAATTAGAGGGTTTCGTGTCGTAATTGAGAAGAGAAAACGATTATGACTTTTAGAGAAGAATCTGGAACGAAGGATTTCTGGGGGAAAGGGACAATGAACACGACATACGGTACGTTGTCACTTCCGTCGATCACAGCCGTTAATCCTTTCACAATGTTATTCTGACACCTCTGTTAATCCGCTTGCTCAACACGGGTTCTCAGGTTACTCGGGGCTTCTGAACAGGTCCACGAATCCTGAGGAGTCTAAAGAGAAGAGGGATATAAAACTGTTGTCTTCCTTCTGCAAACCTCACTTTTCAGACCTTCTTCGTCCGATTCCAATGACTTTCTTGTCGATCTAGCAAATAGTGCTACCTGGGACCATCCTAATCGGAGCGACGACGCCAATTCGATAATCCTTTGTGCCGAATAAATATGTCTCTTCTCACCTGTTTTTGTTTTGAAATCTCCAGAAAAGTCCTGGTTCGTCATCCGGTTCCTGGCATACTCTTTTTGTTTCCATCCGACTACTTTTCGTCTCAAATTAACCCCATTAACTGTTTTCGTGTCGGTTAATCCTTTCGTTTGTCCCACTCTAAACGTTCCTTCCGTCTCAAATATCATCCAATCGCTCGACTCCTGCGGCTGTCCGCCCACGCAATCGACGTGATGACGTCATGAGGTGCTGAGCATGTTCACTTGATTTATTAGCAGCGGAGGTTGCGCAAGAGAAACATGACAAAACCTATGAATGATCTAAACATAATATCAGAATGATTATTAAACGAACGAACGAGCGAGAGAGAGAGAGAGAGACCCGAAAAAAGCCAAAAGCTTGAGAAAAATGGGGAGATGGCAAACAGTGATCACTGGCAGAATCCGCAAGTTCTGGCGCAGTCCTGACGCATGTAGATGGATGATATCTCGCAAACGCGTGGATTTCCGGCCAGCCAAGATGCACACCACGCGGACCGATCCGAGCATCCAACACGCGACGGAGACGGGTCCTGAAGCTTGTCATTAGTCTGAAGGACCGGCCTTGCGCTTACTGCTGGGCGCTGAACCACAAAACTCTGTCCCTGTCCACTGTTTGAGGATCCTAAAAGTTATGCGTTTCTGGAGTTCAAATAAACGGCGCAATGAAAGTGAGTAAAAGTGTCATAAAGCATGCTTACTATTCCGAAACTGTAGTGGTCTCTGCTGCGAGAAGCTACCGGGACGACGGACGAATTGGCGGCCTACTCCCGGACGACGAGCACTCTGCACATTCACAAAACTACAGTAAGAACGAGAGAGGGGGCAAAAGCGGCCACGGCGCCATGCTCACCGTTCTCGCAAAACTTCCTCCGCTCGGCCGTCGAACGAACGCAGGCAGGGCACGAGAAGCTGATGTGACGCCTTCAAAATCATCGATGACGACCTCGTTTTCGTTCGGAACGACGACAGTGACAAACGCTGGCTGGGGAAAGTGAAAAGCTGGCAGAGTGGGTGAGAAAGCGGGGGGCGGTGATGGTGCATCGGTGGTCAGGGAAGGCGGCAAAGGCGTTGTGGGCTGGGTGGGCAAGAACGTTTTGATGGAGACGAACTTGAAGCGGCGTTTGCCAAGCTTATAGAAAGCGTCAAGATGTGTGGGCGTGGTGGTGGAAAGTGGAGTGGACTCGGTGACGATAAAGATACTTGAGAATGGCGCCGTCGTCGTCGGAGGAGGAGGAGGAGGAGGAGGTGGAGTTGTTGGGGCTTCTGTTGTCGTGGTCGTAGTTGTAGTCGGGGGAGGTAGCGGGGAAGGTTGCCACGTACGCAAGTTCGAAGCGATAGGATCGGAAACTGAGAGAGAAATGAATTGCATGCAGCGGAAGAGCGCATTCCGGAATCAACGAAACGAGAGGAGCAACGGACTTACCTGCGTGATCGGCGACCGCTCTCACGACCACCTTTATGCCGTTCCACGTTTCTCTAGCCGTCGGCACCAACTGATGTTGGTCAAGAATGAAACCGTCCCACACTGAATTGGGTTTAATCCAACTATCCGAGAGAAAAGATCCTCTTACCGTCCTCTCCGGGTCTCAGCTCAAGCAAATAAACGTATTTGATGCGGAGCGCTCCCTTCGCCCAATCGTCCGATCCTCCCGATGATGGATCTGAAGGAGACGTACAACTTTGTCTTCGTCTTCTCGGACTCACAAAGAATATCCGATCCTGTTCCGAACTTGTACTTGGTTCCGAACGTGTTCTCCAGCGCGGCCACCGCCGCTCTTCCTACTCTTTGCTGAAAATGTTCGAGTGAGCTCAAGGCTCTATTACATTTCGTTTACCAAGTCGGCAATGTCGGCGGGGACACTCTTTCTCTCGTGGGAATACGGATGGATCCACATTTGGGAATACGTGTGAAGAGTTATGAATCCGTCAATTTTACCGTTCAGTTCAGGAGACGTCAGGAAGTTTCTCATTGATCTGTGATTGTGATTGTGATTGCGATTGTAATTGCGATTTCGATTCAATCAAAATTATTTAATTCAGTTTAAAGTACCTGGACTCAGCCTCACTGAACGCCGAACTTCCCTGATAGATTTCCGAGCATTTATCCGTACTTGACCCAGTTTCTGTTAGAAAGTGTCCATAATATTTTATTGTTCACTGAATTGCTGCTAGGTACCTCCAAAGTGCCAGTCGTAGTTTCTGTTCAAATCGACTCCTCCGCAACATCTGTCCCGGTACCAACGGTCTTTTTTGCACACGACGCCAGCACGATTCTTGCGCCAGAGACGGATCTGAGAAGGCGATTGATACGGGCGTTCTTCTGTTTTCGGAGATCTCACCATCGGAGACACATCGCTTCTCGAGTACTCGTAACCGTCCGGGTTGGCGACCGGGAGGATGTAGAAGTTGAGACGGTCGACGGCCGTTCGGATCAGCGGATCGTCGTCGTAGTCGGCGATGAGCTGAAAACAAACGGAATTTTCGACAAATCTGCACTAGACTCTAGTACCAAGTCTGTTAGCATTTGGACTAACGATTTGGTTTGCAAATCAGATCATGGGAGCCGATATTCGGTATTCATTATTCAACTGTACTTAAGACTCTTCTTCGATTGTCAGACACAGATAATTCATCCAAATATTCCTACTACTACTATTTACCCCAGTCTGAAAGTGATACGAGCGATGTCTTCTGCATGATGACCGATTGGGGGCCATCCTGCAAAGAACGTCGCCCGTATCTAGGAAGAAGACTCACTCTGTCTATGAACCACAAGGCGGTATGCACGGCGGCCCACTCTCTCGCGTGGATCCCTCCGTCGATCCAGAAGATTCTCTTATCGTTTCGCCACACCTGGCTGCCGATCTTGATCCCCTGAATCGGGCGGCCCTCCTCGGTCGTTCCCATCGTGAACACCTTCGCTCTTTGCGGGTACTTCCGTTCGATGTCTCGCATCCAGTCAACGATCGTCTGATAGCCGTGGTACTCTCCGAATTGGTACTGTAACATGAACAGAACTCGATGGGTCTTTTATCGATCTTTTTGCTTACCCTCGCTCTGTTGCCTCCTTCGTTGTGCATTCGTTTCGAGAAGAGCATTTTCGAGAATCTCGGCGGCCCGTGCTCCTTCTCCATAATCAGTTTCTGCACGTCATCAATGATAACGTCATAAGTGATGTTCGAGCTTTTGAGCACTCCGCTGAGCCATTCCATCTTGTCCTCGTCCACCATTATATCGGCACGATGACCCACTTTTGAGGGAGTTTGCCAGAAGTCTAGCTGAAAAAGAGTTTGGTTTGAGCATAGATCTGACCCAAATAAGCAACGTACGTCATGCTGAGTCTTTGCGTGAATCTTCCGAAGAGCATTCAGCTGGAGGACGTCGGCGGCATGAGCACGGAGCACTCGGAACTTTCTGCAAGGATCCGCTTGATCGAGTCCCCAACCAAACCAAACTCACGGTGCTTGCTCTCCGATTACTTCCGCTCCGGTGAGCCCAATCCGAACGAGCAAAAGAGCCACGAAGAGTGCGGTGGCGCCCGTTTTCTTCCGCTCCGTCATTACGTCGTTCCTCCTCCCGTCGTCAGCTCCCTCGTCTTATTTCTGTTGCGGTTTTCGACGGGGACTGTAAAAATCGGTTAGCAGAGAAATTGTGGTTTTCGATATCATTTACTACGAGAACTTCCGCATTTTTGTGATTGAGGAAGGTGAGAGTGAGAGAGAATTAGAGTGAGAGAGAATTAGAGTGAGAGAGAATTAGAGAGAGAGAGAGAGAGAGAGAGAGAGAGAGAGAGAGAGAGAGAGAGAGAGAGAGAGAGAGAGAGAGAGAGAGAGAGAGAGAGAGAGAGAGAGAGAGAGAGAGAGAGAAAGAAACGTAAAAGGGCAAAGAAGAACAGAACGGAAATTCGGGAGGATCGGGAAGGAAAATAGGGCTGTGATTTTGCCATGGCAAATCGGAAAGTGGGACGATTCGTCCGTCTCTTATCAATTCTACGTAATTCACTTCCTCATTTCGTTTCTCTTTTTCTCCGTTCCATTCTTTTTCATTATCTTATCTCTGCTATTCCAATGTTGCCATTTGGATCATTTTGCAACTTTGACGGCGTCGAAATGCAGTCTTGAAACCAATGAAACAGGGGAAAAGAGAAAGAGAACTGTAGCTATTGAGCTACCGTAATCTATACCTTATTTTTAAGTCAATGTATATCAGCTACGGGTGGAGATATCAAAAAGTGATAAACTGCAAAAACGTGCATAATGTCTTGTAGAAAATTGTATCAGTTGATAACTGCTTGATATCTTACCTGGCAACGGAGAAATACGGTCTTGAATGAACGGTATTGGTAGTGCCCACCTATTACAGTATGATATAGCTCTTCAATGTGAACCTACAGTACTGATTGACACAAAGAAAATGAATAATCAATTGGGGGGAAAGAGGGTAAAAGTGAACGTCTTCATCAAGTTTGCCTTTCGTTTTGCTTTCGTTTTCGGATGCGCAATCCTGGAACGACTACTCGTTTGCGGGGCCAGCAACAACTCGATCATCGCACGCTTTCTTGTCGTCTTTCCACCAAATTAGTAAGAGACCGTTCTTCTCAAAATGTGAAAAAAGATTAAGAAGAAGAAGAAGAAGAAGAAGAAGAAGAAGAAGAAGGGGGTGATAAGGAAGCAATTGGAGGGAGATTTTAACGATGATCAGTTCATTTTACACTCTGCCAATTGCAGGCCGGCCCCTCTGACATCCATTATCTTTCGATATTTTGTCTTATTTGTGTGACGGGGTGGTGGCCAGTTTCATTTGAACTTTGCCACGTCATCTGATGAGTTATTTCAGGCTGTTTTCGATCGAGATCACGTGCAATTAAGAAAGTGTTGATTGATCAGAAACTTTTGGGTATGGAACCCACTTTTGATGGGATCACTGTAATTGGTGTATGCTTGCAAAAATGGAAAGTTCAAAACAAACTTGTACAAAGTTGTCTGCCCAGTCATCAATCGTGTCTAGTACAACTTTCAGCCATGATTTCTGAACATTGCCCATCCATCCAAACTACAGTCAGAATGCGATTTTCAACGCGAAGGACGCACTCGGTCTTACACTGAAACTGACCCCGAAACGGACAAAAACGGGGACGAGACACCGTATTTCTCATTTCTCATTTCTCATTTTCGGTTTTTCAGAAATGGTGTGAGAAGGGGGGCGTTTGAAGGACACGAAATGAGGAAAGATGAGAGCGAAACCGAGACAGAAGCACTTGAAATGGGCAAAAAAGCGAGGGGGTGTTTGCTTTTTGGCTGAAAATGTTCGGGATGGAAGGGGGGGAAGGTGGGTGTCACTGTTTTAATCGTTCACTTTTTATATAGAGGAAGAAGCGGTTTTTGGTGTTTTCTTAGTAGAACAAGTAGTGTGATAGCCAGGAAGGATCATGAAATATTGCGTGGAAAAACGTACGTATCGTTTGCATTTTTATGGGGAAAATGGCAAAATACTGGGGGTCGGCCCAGAAGGTTCTCAGCCAGAAGTGCAGAGACTTCTTTGATTTCGACGCACAAGGCTTCAGAGACCTAAATTTCAGAGGTCAGAGGCTCAGAAGCCTGTTATATTTGAGACTTGAGAAGAATGTTCCTTAAGATCAGATCTTTGCACCGTACAAGTAAAGATACAAATGTAATCAACTTTTGGGGCCTGGCTGGGCGTTGACCTACAGTAACCGCTAGTGAATAGTTCAGAAATGTGGGTCTTGCAAAGAGTACTGTACCTTCCTGCCGAAAAGAAGAGGAAATGTCACCTTCGTTTTCTTCTTCGGCTTATCAAGCGACTAGCCTAAAATAATCGTGTCTTGAACCGCCGGGAATGGGCGGAGTCTGTTTCACTTTCAGCGAGTCAAAATGACCTTCTGAAAGTGAATCATTCGTGAGGAGAACACAAAGAAAACGAATGTTTCGGCGCCGCGAAACGGAAATGAAATGACCTTACGGTTATGGTTTCGGGCAGCCGGAATGGAATGGAAAATGAGCGAGTACGGCAGTTGAAGTGAAACGGTTATTGGCATGGCACACTTCACCGGGAAAATGTTATTTGTCAGACCGAAAATCAAGCAAACGAGTAGTGTGGTGTCATGTTTATGTGAACGGCTGACCAGAACACTATATATATCAGTGACAAGATGATCGACTATCAGAAGATGTGCTAGCGAAAACAATCAGATCCTGTCCTTCTACTGCCAAATGTTGACCACTTGAGAACGGAAAATTCGACGAAGAATACATTAAAAAAGGAGGAGGAAAGTAAAATCAGCAAAAAAGAGATCAATGAAGAGGGGAGGACGTCGTCGAGGAGACGATGATGAGAGGGCAGCTGCAGCGGAAAGCAGACGACACAAAAATTCTGCCGTTTTTTGCGTTTTCTTTCCCGCTGGCAAACTGGATCTACTGCTGCCGCCGCCACGATCGGGGGATGCCGCCTGATGTCGGTGAAGGAAAAGTCCGAGAGAGAGAGAGAGAGAGAGAGAGGAAAAGGGGAATACGGAACACTTGTAAGCACCTTCACAGGAACTGCATAGGTCAAAGAACTTCTGTGAACCATTTTGAAAAATGTATCTCGAAAACTAATGACGCCTAGTCACGCTGCGCAGCCAGGATGAAGGCGTGACATACTGTAGTGTTAGGGATGTCACAAAAATCAGCTAAAGCCCATCCATCGCCCGAGGCACTTTTGTCCGAAGTGGGCGTGGAAAGTTCGCAATCGCTCTCTCCTCGTTCTACTAATAATTCATTGTGTTTCTCCCATAATAATGTATGCAAAGAAGATGCCGTCGACGCCTTCTTCTTCTTCTTCTTCAAAAACTTTTCATAACCATAATCGTTTCGAAATGGCCAATTGGGCAATTCGCCAGTCTCGAGAGATGTTTATCCGAAGGACGGGATTACGTGGGAGAAGGCGTCGGGGAAGAAGAAGAAGAAGAAGAAGAAGACGAAGGAAGGGATAAACTGAAGTGGATGGGAGTGGGAGACGTCTGGAGCAGAGCACAGGTCACGGTGGCTGGAAGTAATATATCCCTCGTGAACCGAGTCGCCCTAGATAGAATGCATATAAAAGTAAGTAATTCTATCGATCAAATCATATTGTTTTCTTTTCCATCAATTTTTCTTAGCTCTGCGAGAAAGCGAAGATCGACCGAAAATGCAAAAAGGTTCTTCAGTTTCGTGGGTTCCAGCAGAAGTTTCAGCAGAATCGCCGCCGCTTTTGCAGGCGTCCTTCAATCGAAAGAGAGGCGTACTTCCATGGATTTTTGCCGCGCGAGGACGTTAAAACAGTGCTGAAGGGCAACGGAGAGTTCTTGGTGCGGGTGACGGAGCCGCGGAAGGGCGAGCCGCGGTCCTTCGTGCTCAGCGTCTTCCACAACATTCCGGTCAACGTCGACGAGGACACTTGGGTGAGCGGCCCCAACTCGGAGAGCACTTGGAGAGCATCACTTTCAGATTAAACACTTTGTCATCAAGCACCAAAACGACAAGTTCTTCATTGAGAAATCGTCGTTCCCGACAATTCAGGAAATGGTGGAGTATCATCTGAAAACGTGCGACTCGATCAGAGAGGATGTGAAGATCTCGAAGCCGCTGGCACGTCAGCCGTGGGAACTCGATCACGAAAACATTGAAATTCTGAAAAAGCTCGGCGAGGGAGCGTTCGGAGAAGTGTCGATGGGCAAGATGAAGTTTCGGAGGAGCGGGAAGGTGGTGCCGGTGGCCGTGAAGCAGGCGAAGCTGGCGAATCTGACGAAGGACCAGATCAAGGAGTTTATGGGCGAGGCGAGAGTGATGCGACAGTTCGCGCACCCGCACGTCGTCCGCTTCTACGGAGTCGCCGCCGGCCAAGAGCCCCTCTACATGGTGATGGAGCTCGCGTCGAATGGAGCACTCGACAGCTACCTCAAGAAAAATACGGATCTGCCGCTCGAGAAGCGAAACGAGATGATCTTGCAGGCAGCGTGGGGCCTCGAATATCTGCACGGCAAGCCCGTTATTCATCGCGACATCGCCGCCCGAAACTGTCTGTACGGCGACGGTAAGGTCAAAATTTCCGATTTCGGATTGACGCGGTCCGGTGTTGTTTATCAGGTGGGAAGGTTGCTCGACGTGTACACACGGAACGCTTTTTTCAGGCCGATCCGAACAAGAAGGCTCCTATCCGCTGGCTCTCGACCGAGATCATCCGCACGCGCGTCTTCTCTCTGAAATCGGACGTGTGGGCGTACGCGGTCATGTCCTGGGAGATCTACAACGACGGAATCGAACCGTATCCGGGGATGATGGTGGCCGAAGTGGCGGTCAAAGTGCAGCAGGGCTACCGCATGGAGTACCCGGCCGCCTTGAACCCGGACGTCAAGGCATTGCTGGTGAGGAAACTGAAAAAGAAGGGGATTGAAGTGCTCTCTTTTTCAGTCGAGATGCTGGGCGGACGGCGAGAGCGAGCGGCCGTCGATGGCCGACGTCGCTGTGGAACTGCAAAGATTGTGTGGCATCCAGAGACCAGACTTCGCGGCGCTGGAGGCTCAGCTGAGAAAGGAAATGCTGACGATGAACAACATGACGCAGCGGACGCACACGCGGAAGTCGAAGGATAAGGCGAAGGCGAGAGTGCCGAAGGGAATGTGATCAGTTCCGAAATACATAAATCATTTCTATTTATTTATTTATTTTTTTAGTGGGTGTGAAAGAGGATCTGACTGGTGTGGGGGCGCAAGAAATAAGCAACCGAAATGGTTTGTGGCATGGTCAATATGGGGGACAAAATGGGTAGAATAAGGCATATTAGTCAACTGAATGAGCAAGGTTAGCGGGAGAAGCACAGAATGGGACGCGGATTAAACAGAGAAAGGAGTGCGGGTAAAAAGCGATTGAAATGAGTACATGTATGATCTTTAGGCCTGAGCAGCAGCCTCTGCGGCCTCCTGAACCGCCTTCCTCTGCCGAGCCGCCGCAACTGCCTTCTTGATGAAAAAAACGCGGAACGCGTGATCGTTGGACAGAATTTTGAGCAGATCGTCGAGCGGCATTTGCAGAGCCGTCTTCAGCATGTCTTCCCGCTCTCCGGGCTTAGACTTCGGGAACAATTCGGCGATCTTTTCCATGATTTGAGGACGGTGCTGTTCTTGCTGAAAACGTTTCGTTTGTCAAGAAAAGCTATTCACTCTCACTCACCCCTTGATCGACTTTTGCACTCATCGCTTGAGATGTGGCTGCCGCCACAGCCGCTGCTGTTGCCGATGGAGCTAAAACTGCTGCCTGTGCAGCAAATCCAGGAAGAAGGGCTGCGGCCACTTGCGGAGCATACGTGTGCGCGTAAAACTGGGATCGCAGGTACGCGTACTGACTGAAGAGCGCGTGCATCTGCTGATACACCAGGGACGGAATATAGAACGGCGGAGTAGTCGTGTAGTTCATCTGCATCTGTCTCTGCAGGGTGCCCTGCTGCACTCCCAATATCTTCGCAACATCGTTGGTCTTCTGCAGTGTGACCGCAATCTGAGCGTACGCGTCGAGCGCAAAGTAGTTGGGCACGAGGTCGGTGATTACTTCGGTGTTGAACTCGTCCAGATTCTCGTGATATTGCAAGTAAAGTCGGTTTTGTACTATGCTAGCCACTTCCCGGCTGGGTATCCGTTTCGTAGTGCCCGTTTTATCATTCACCAACATCATATTACTGTGGATCAACGGCATTCCACTGTTCGTAATGCTCAATCCGTTCCTGATCGAATCGTTCATTTGAGCAAAGTGGTACATTTGATAGGAATCGATTATTTCGGCGACCATCGTGTACCCCTTCCGCTTGGCTTTCCGTGTCTCTTCGACGGCTTTCAGAGCGTCCGTCCAGACAGAGTAGGACACCAATCCGAACTTGTTATCGTCGTCCGTCGCCGCAAAAATCCTACAAAAAAACACAGCTCCATATTGCTGGAATTTACTGCAGAGGTTGGCCGACGAGTAACTGTCGGGGATTCCGGTCACGTGGACGTGATAGGCGCCGATGAAGTAGTCCTCGGGCTTAGCGCCTGGGCCCGGACAGTACTGGTCAGTTCCCCATTCGAGATCGTACTCTTCGGTGATCGCCGGATAGAGATACGAATCGTAGAGCGGTTCCGCGGTGGACGGGTATTTCTGAAGAGGCTCAACGTTGAATATTTGCAGTGAACAAGCGGACTTACCATATATCTGGCCTCCCTAAGTGTTTTTGCACCGATATTATCTTTCAGAGGATGAGTTGGCGAAAGGGAAAGGAAGACGGTCTGGCTCATAGAGTACGGCGAGAAGACTGAGAAGATGGGCGTGTCGAGACCGGGCTTCTCGAAGTTGGCAACGGCCGTTCCTTTCGACGTTCCGTCGGCGTATCGCTCGATTCGAACCACGACGCGGCCGAGAAACGAAAGGCTCTCCTCAATTTTCTTGGTGTCCCAGGTCGGATCGACATTGAACGGCCGCATGATGACACATTGAGCGGGCGCCGCACTCCGTGGTTTCAGACGATCGTAGTGCTGGATAGTAATCTCCCGATCGTTGATCAAAGTTCCATTCAAGTTCTTAATTGCTCTCTGCGAGCTTATCTCGTTTGTAAAGTGCACGATCGCATCCTTAGTGCCTCCGTTCCTCAGATCGACGTACATCTAAAATACGTTTTATTTTCAAGTTCAGTTTTTTAGAAAAGCTGCTTCTTACTTGTACAGAAGAGACCTCGCCACAAGCTGAGAATATCTTCAAAACTTCTTGATTTGTAATTGTGGGGCACAATCCCGATACGTTCAACTTTCCCGCGTCACAAAATCGAGTGGAGGCGCCGAGTTCGGAGACTATACAGAAAAGCGGTTTTCCGTTGTTCTGTTCCGTTAATGTCGGGAATTGTTCCATGGCTTTTTCGGCTGCAAAAAAGTCGAATCACTGTGAAAAGCGGTGAATACTAACCTTCTTCTAGTGTGGTGTACTTTGCGTAGGCGAATCCTTGAGGCTCTCCAGGACCGGATCCGAGAACGCGGGAAAAGATGAGCTCGCCGAGCGGACAGAGCATTTGCCAGAGCCGCACGTCGTTGATGGAATCGTCGAGGCCGGAGATGAGCAACATTCCATCGGTTACTGTCCACAACGGGTGCACCTTCCGCACCGCCGGATCCATATCAAGGTCTACGATTAGCTGGAAAAGAAATCAATTGTCGTCACGGGAGACATTGATCGGAAACTCACTAATTGCGGCCTATTGAGGACGGGAAGCATCCCGCTCATCGCGTATTGTGGGTCCGCACCCGACATGCTTTTTGTAGTCTAAAAAGTGCAATTGGAGCGGCCGAAATCAATTCGAAAGGGCTCTTTTTGGAGGTGTGGTGCGAGACAGAGCGTCGGGGAGAGACTGCGGCGAATCGAGAGACGCAGACGGAAAACGAAAGAGAAGGGAGGTCGGGGGGAAGGCGAGAGACGAGCGGAGGACAGTGTGTACGATGCGATGGATGGACGCGAGGCAAGCGATAAATTGCTTGCTTAAAAGTGTATCGTTTATTGTAAATAAAACAATCTAAACAATCTAAGCATTTCCATTTTTGAACTCGTCATTTTTTGTCCGTCTCGATGCAGTAGACCTTCACGTCTCTCATGGATCCTCCTTCAGAATTGAACACTGGAACGAACCACGTGTCATTGACGTTACGGATTCGAATGTTGTATTCTCTTTTCGGCTCGATGAGGCCGGTCTCGTGCCGATAAACCGCGTCGATCAGGAAATCGTCCCAGATCTTCGTGACCTCTGCGTCGTTGCGGCAGACGCTGTCCCGATGATCACGGTAGAAATCGTTGGTGACGACGCTCGTTTTCGGACCGAATTCGAGTGTCATTCGGAGGATGATGAGGTCGTCGGCAGAACTGAACGATTGGAATGTGAAAGAAAAACGATGGATTTCGGCGCTTACAGTTTATCGCAGAACATGGCGTTTCCCTGGTATCTCTTAAAGACTTTGTCGCGAATCGGCGCCGGAGGAAGACGCGTGGCAAAGAAGACGTGCTTAAACTTCTGCGAAATGCTCTGCCACTCCTTCGGATCGACGCCTTGCCCGAAATTCAGCGCGTCCACCACCACAACTCCGTTTCCGTCGTCACCGATTATCTTCTTCTGCTTCCACTCTGCCACTTTCCTGCCCACCGCCGCGTACTCCGCCGGCTTCACAAATCCCTCCCTTGTTCTTTTCACAGAATCGTCAATCCGCCTCTTCAGCTCATTTAAATCTTTTTGGGAAACGTACGTCTTCTTCATTCTCAATGTTTTTCCAGTGGGCGACACGTGTCCTCTCTTGGCGTCAAATCTGCATTCCGTTACTTTTGCCGAACAGAAATCTGTCACTTTCATCAAAACGTTAAGGAAATCGTTGACGTCCATGAAATAATGATTCTTGAGAAGTGTGTATTCCATAAAAACACGAAACGCTTCTTCTGGTGCCACTTTTTCCTTTTTAACGACTTCCAAGTACCACTGAATGTGATCGTAAAGGTTAGCGGTCTCGTAGTTTTCGAAAAGTATTTTCCGAATGTTCTCAAACTTTCCTTGATTGAGTTCTCTTCGGAAGTAGCACAAAACAAGATCAGACTGCAAAATTAGACACATTTTTATCAGAATTGCACGCTCCCGCACCTTGTATAGACACTTTTTGAAGTCAGGCATCGACTCGGAAGGGAAGAGTGACCGAAAAAAGAGATCTGCAATGAAATTCTCGGAAATGAAAGTGCGCTCCATCGCCAACCTTGCTCTTTCTTCATCATTGGCACTTTACATTTCTCCATTTTCTCCGCCAATTTCCTCAATTCCTCCCGTTTCCGCACGTCGCCAATCGCGTGATAAACGACGGCAATATAGCGCATTTTGACGAGACGCGTTGCTTCTGCGCGAATTCCCCGTTCCGGCTCCTTTAAAATGTGCCCAACGTTCTTGTAAACTGTGTCATCAACGAACGCATTACACCTATAAGAAATACTTTATTGAACTAGCAATATTCACTCTAAAATGAGAATCTAAACCGTAAGACTTCGGCAATCAGCGACTGCGAATCCTCGGGGACAGTCGGTACGGAAGGGAGCTTCAGAAAAGTGTACTTCGGAGACATTTCGAGAACGGACGGCTGCGGAATCAGCGAAGAAGAGTGGAGCGAACGAATGAGTTTATTCGCCCAACGCATTTTTGTCGGCAATGTTCACTCCTTGGTCGGCCAAACTCTTCTTGTACTTCTCGAACTGGTATTTGCGGATGAAGTGGTTGACCCACGACGTCGGGCAGTTTCCGTCAAAGTTGGTGCGCTCGGCGCGGCACCCCTTTGTCGCCTGCAAAAGTCTCGAAATCTTCAGTGGCCTGCCTTCTGATGCCTTACGTCTTTCTCGCTTTTGCCCTGCTCCAGAAACTTCTCCACACAATCCACGTATTTATCTCGAGCCTGAAAACAGTGTCCATTTTCCCGGGTGGGACCGTTGTACTCACTTCGTAACACTTTCTGCGTTCACTTTTGAGAGTTGGCTCTTCTTTGCTCATTTATCTGAAAGCCAGAAGTTTTTGTGTGAAAATTAAGAACAAAATAGAAGTAAATAACGAAAGGACCGGGCTACGAGTGACCCTCACTCAGAAAACGTCGAACAGTTTACACGATGATAGAAGTTTCATAGAATTTGAATGTGAATAATAAATTACAGAATGGTAGAATTTTGCGGAAATATACAAAAACAGAGATATGCAAACTGAATAATAATGGGTGAAAACGGGCAATTGAAAGAAAGAGGAAGAGAGATCGAAAAATGGAATCATGAGGAGGTGAACGATAAAAGTTAGGACAGATCAGAGGGGCTCTCCTTCCTCGGCGGCCGGCTCTCCTTCGTCCACGATGAAAGTCTGCTCGGAGCACCGACCTGAAAACGGATAAATTGATGGGTCCGAGTGGTTCAGATCTCGCACGTACCGACTGCGAACATGGAGATTAGAGCGGACGCGATGGCAATGATGAGCATGGTGTACTCGAACGAGGAGTCCTCCATTAGGTACAGATTGACCGACTCCACCGTGTAGACCGAGTCCATCCACGTCGAGTACTGCTCGTTCATCTCTTCTTCCTGAATTCTCGGATCCAACGCCGGCGACACCATTTCCTTCTTCACGATCGCCGATTTGAGGCAGCTGAATTGGCCCGTGTACGGATCGGGTTGCCAAGTGTAAGTGTACATCTGAACCTGCGCTCGATTTGTGTGAGAATGCGACTGTACGCTATGCGACTAACCGCTTGGAGTTCTTGCAGGTGCGAGCAGCTCAGCTCGGTTTTCACGTTCAACGTGTCCTTGTCGCTACCGAGCGCGAAAATGGTGAGCCAATGGAGAATTTCGGAGAACGGATTGTGCGACTCCATTGAAATGTACGTCGATTTCTCGTCGAATCCGTACGAATCGAAGCGTTTGTAGTAGCGGCTGCCGTTTAGTTTCTGCATGAAATCGCAATCGAACCAGAAGTTGGAAGTGACCAGACAGTCGAACATAGTGGAGATCTGAAAGAACGCCAAAGAAATGTTTTCGGGAACGCGATTCTCGTACTAATTGCTTGTCGACTTTCGCCACGACGTCATCTGTCTCCAGTCCGACGTAGTCCGCGGCTGCCGCGAGAATGGACGTCCCGACGGCTTCGATCTCCTGAATTGCCTTCTCCCGTTCGTCGCTCGTCCACGCGTTCTTGTCGAGCACCGAATTGAGTCTCTGATAGTCGTATTTCTCTCCGAACGGAGCCAGCACGACGGCCTGAACATTCTGATTCACTTTGGCGAACGAATGCCATGACGCGGGTGGAACTCTAAAAGAAGATATTACTTCTAGATAGTCCCACATAAGCCATCACCCACCTACTCTTGTCGGTCGGCTTTTCCAGATCAAATGCGTGGCTCCGAAGTCCCCTCTCGATTCGATCGATGACCCTTTCCATCTGCGTCTTGTTTTTCGCGTACCTCTCTCCATCTACATGTGCATAATACTTTCTCCCTTTGGCTACGCCCACTTGCTGCACTTCCAGCACGTAGTCTAACTCGTTCAGTCGGATCGGCTGGATGTGCGAGTACTCGGTGTCCGCCACTGGAAACGTTCCCTTTCCCATCTGATAGGCAGCCGCTCCGCTTCCGATGTAATCAAGCGATTCGCCGTTGAAAAATGCGAAGAAAAGATTCCGTTTCGACGCCTCCGACGCTTTCGTCCATTTCTCGATCTGTGTGCCCACCGAACGGGCGGCCGCAATCACCGAAATGATGGAGGTGAGAACGGAGACCTCGCCGGCGGACACCTCGGGGATCATCCCGAAGCTGTCCATCCGGGCCGTCACCATCATGTACCTGTTCGTCGTCGTTTCGTTGACAGTGCTGGCGGCCACGGGCGTCGGGAATGCAAAGATGTTGTCGTTTCTGAGTGCAGCGCAAAGCTCTGGCGGATCTCTGAAATCAATGGATCTGGTTGAACTTCCCTGGGAATCACCAACCCGCTGTCGATGTTCATCTGAAACAGTTTCGCTTCGCTTTTTCCTCTCCGATAGCAAATTTCCGAGTTTCCGGCGGCTCTGTTCGCCAATCGGAACGTCATTCCACAGTACGGATATGCGACGGTCTTAGCGGCATTTTCAGGAGTGTTGAACATGGAATGACACTTCCGAAGCACTTCGAGATCCGCCCGATTGTTGATGAACACCATCTGGAAGCGCCAATCGATTCGCAACAGACCGTCGCGCAATATGGCTCCGCGAGCATTCGTTTTCCGTTGACAATACGATTCGTCGCCGTTTTTCAGATAGTAATCGCTGGCGGCGTTCGGACACTCCGAATCGTGCGATTCTTCGAGCTGTTCGTCGTTCGGATGGAGCCGCTGGGGCGGATCGAAGAGCACGAGTCCGGCCGTGCAGTTAGACGACTTCAGAAGGGAAATTGTATCGCGACGGATGAGATCGACGGGCAGAAGGACCCAGAACTTTCCCGAATACGTCGGAAACGTCGATCGATAGCACGTTTCGAGGCTTCGGAAATCGTCATGCGAGTCTATTCGCACAAGAAGTCCGTTTTCATTTGATGACGTCGCTGAAAAAGCAAAAAGAATGAAAATTTGGAAATTTTATTCAGAGCGCTTTTCACCTTGACATCCGAACTGATGCGTTTTATTGAACATCCGATAGCAGGCATTCCCCTCTCCGACGTGCAAAGATCGGAAGACTTGCTCTGCGAACGCGTCGGCATGAGCTCCGCCGAGCAGAAATACTACTACTAGCCACTGCATTCGTCACCACAATCAACACCGACTCATCCGTTCTGTCTGTCTAAATGAATACATTCCTGGATTCTCGAAATCAGAACATTTTAGAAGAGAAAGATATTGCAGTGTTAGGTAACCTAGTTTTTTCGTCCGGAATCATTGAAAATATGTAAACATTTATGAACTCAACAATTCAAAAACAAATAATATTTATGCAACAATTCCTATGACTACTTCTTCTTTCCTTTTTTCGATTGGACGTTGGCTGTCGCTGGGAAGTCCTTGCCGGTGACCTTCTTGAAGTTTGCCTTCAGAGCCAGCAGTTTGTTGATGGCGTTAGCCGATTCTTGCTGAAAGAAAACAACATTTAATGAAAATAACAGCTAGAATTTACCGATTTCGGGTCCTTCGCTTTGGCATCTCGCACAACTGCCCCTTGATTCTCGATCTCTTTCAGAAGTGCAGCCTCGTCCACGGCCGGAGCAGCAGCTGTGGCAGCGGCCTGAGCTGGGGCAGCCGGAGCAGCTCCTGGTTTGTAGTCGCTCCCAGTCGCCTCTTTGTACTGCTTTTTCAATTCGAGAAGCTTGGCAATGGCGTCTTTTGTCGCTTGCGACTTGGCATCCTTTCCTTTCAGATCACGAACAAGGGTTCCTTGGGCCTCAATCGACTGGGCAATGGCGGCTCCACCGGAAGGAGCGGAAGTGCTTGGAGCAGCAGCGACGACGGGAGCTGCTGGCGGTTGACCTGGCTTGTGATCGCTTCCGGTCAGCTCTTTGTACTTCTTCTTCAGTTCCAACAGTTTTGCAATGGCGTCCTTGGTCTCCTGAGACTTGGCATCCTTGGTCTTCAGCTCACGAACAAGGGTTCCTTGAGCGTCGATTTGATTGTACACATCTACTGCAGATCCGACTCCGGATGGAGATGGAGCAGCTGGTGGCTGTCCCGGTTTGTGATCGGCGCCTGTTACCTCCTTGTACTTCTTTTTAAGCTCCAGAAGCTTCGCAATCGCATCCTTCGTCGCTTGGCTCTTTGCATCCTTGGCCTTCAGGTCACGAACTAAGGCTCCTTGAGCATCGATCTGATCGTAAATGTCGAGAGCGGAAACGGATCCAGAAGCAACTGGAGCGACGGCGGCGGCAGTTGGAATTGGAGCTGCTGGAGGCTGTCCTGGTTTGTGATCAGCGCCTGTCAGCTCCTTGTACTTCTTTTTCAATTCGAGTAGCTTGGCGATGGCGTCCTTTGTCGCTTGCGACTTGGCATCCTTCCCTTTCAGATCACGAACCAGATTGCCCTGAGCATCGATCTGATTGTAGACGTCGAGAGCTGCATCCGAGCCAGAAGCAGCTGGCGCCGAAGCAGGGGCGGCCGGAGCTGCTGGTGGCTGACCAGGCTTGTGATCCGTTCCAGTGAGCTCCTTGTACTGCTTCTTAAGCTCCAGAAGCTTGGCGATGGCATCCTTGGTGGCCTGGCTCTTTGCGTCCTTCGTTTTCAGATCTCGAACGAGCGTTCCTTGGGCCTCGATGGCTTGGTAGACTTGAAGAGCTCCAGAGGATGACGATGACGTAGACGTGCCGGCAGCTGGAGCCTTTTGAGTCTTCTCGGCCTCCTTTCCGGTGTGTCCGTCGGGAATCGCAATGAGAAGCAGTGGAGTCTCGACGCCGCTGAGTTCGCTCTTCTGGTTGTACGGCTGATCGCAGATGAAAAATCCCTTTCTCTGGATTTGAATGATGTCGCCCTTCTTGACATTCTTGATCGCCGGCTCTCCGACCAACTTCGTGTAGTGCACCGAATTAAAGTTGATGAACTGCTTCCAGTCCTCGTCCTTTCCGATAATCGCCTTGCTGATGATGTGATCGTACTCAGCAGTAACCACTGGAATCGTCTTGCCCGCCTCGGCGTTCACGTCTCCCAGCCACGTCACCTTCACCGTCTTCTTGTAGTCGGTGTTGTCCAGTTGGAGAGTGGCGGTGATCTTCGTGACGACGTTGCCCTTCTTTTCGATCTTTCCGATCTTGATGTTGCCCCAGTTGACGAAAGTGACAATCTCTCCGTCTCTGAGAGCAGCGGCGTCGACTTGCTCGAGAAGAAGCTTCTTTCCTTTGTGGATATCCTTGCTTCCAACATCGGCGTTCTGAAAATTAGCTTCTTCAAATATATTATAAGGAAAAATGGCTTGCCTTTGGATGAAGCGAAACAGAGCTCGTCTCGTCGGAGATGGAGTCGGTGAGCTCGATAGGGACCAACGGAGCAGTTGTTTCGAGGGCCGTATATCTGAAATTGTATTCGTTTCTTTCCGAGTTCTCCGTGATTTCAAAAAAAAATTACCTTGGAGCAACAGGATCGATGACCTTCTTGTTGAACGCCCAGATCTTGTCCCATTCCATCATAACCACCGATCGGGATCCTCCTTGAGCGACAATGAACTGTTTGAGTCCGTCGACAGTCAGTCCTCTTCTCATGACTCCGCGCACAGTCGGCAGTCTCGGATCGTCCCATCCTTCGACGTGTCCCTCATCGACGAACCACGTCAGCTTTCTCTTGCTCATCACCGTATTCGTCATGTTAAGACGCGCGTACTCCCAAATGTACGGCCGACGAAGACCGAGCGCGTCGCAAATGAAGTAGTACTGATCGTCGCGATCGTGGTATTCGGTGGTACGGAGTGCGTGAGTGACGCCCTCCACACTGTCGACAATAGGGCACGTGAAGTCATATGTCGGGTAGACCTTGTATTTTAGTCCCGTGCGCACGTGTTCCTCCGGCTTGCACCGGTAGATGGTCGGATCTCTCATGGCTCCGTTGTTCGACTTCATGTCGATCTTGATGCGCACGCAGCAAGTGAGTCCCTTCGCCGTTCCGTTCTTCATCTCCTCCCACAGCTGCAGATTCTTCTCCGGCGCATTCATTCGGTTGCGACTGTCCTGTCTCTCCTCGCGCTCTTTCCTCATCGTCTCCGTGTCCGTGTCGTCCACGTACGCCTTGCCCTCTCTCAGAAGCTTCTCGCACTGCGTTAGAAGCAGTTCGAAGTGATCGGAAGAGTGCGTCCATCTGTCTGGAATGATGTTGAGCATCGCGAGATCCTCCATGATGACGTGCTCGAAGTGAGCGTTCTCCTTCGCTGGATTCGTGTCATCGAAGCGCATGATGAGTTGTCCCTCGAACTCCTGCTGATAATACTGATTGAGCAAGGCGGCCTTCGCGTGGCCAATGTGCAAGTATCCACTGGCCTCTGGCGGGAATCGGACCACGACCTTTCCTTTCTCAGCTCCCGGCAACTCCACGAACTTTCCCTCGTCCTTCTTCTTCTCCTTTCCGGCGGCAGCTCCTTGAGCAGCCCCCTTCTGGGATGGAGCAGAAGCTGGGGCAGCCACTTTGTAGAGTCCGACGAGGTTGTGAGCAGCGGCGACGGTCGGCTCTCTGAGCACTCGGTCCACGATGGCGGAGAACTTCTTCTTGAGCTCCGCGTTGTTGTGAGCCAGAGAGAAGATTGCGAAATCGACGGCCGTCACATGATCCAGAGTCTTGGCGGGAAACTCCTTGTCAAGGAGGACGGACGGATTCTGAACGGCTCCGGCGACGATGTTGAGGAGGTTGTCGATGAAGGCAAACTCTTCGAGACTGGCTCCGAGGAGACGTTCGGCGTGAGTGCTTTGGGCAATGATTCTAGAGATTTCGATGTCATTCGTCACCTTCTCTCCGTCCCTGAAATAATCACATGTTAATGCTAAAACCGTGGCGGAAGTGCTCACAAATTGAGCTCCAAACTCTGTCCATCGGCGAATTTCACCGACTTTTCGAGAGAGAATCCTGAGGCGGCCAACGAAAGAAGAGACGCGTACGGCGGCAGCTTCCGGTCCGCTTTCAGCACCAACTCTCTTTTGATAGTCATTTCAGACTTTTATTTGTTACCCTGCAAAGTGTTCGTGAAAAAGGGAAAAGCGAATGAGAGCACGGAGGGATTAGAAAAGGGCCCACTGGCACAATAAGTCTGGTCCTTAAGCCCATTTCGGGTCGGCAATATTGTGCAAGATTACACAAGAGAAATGAAAGCAAAAAGGAGAAAAAGAGGGAAGATTCTGGAGTGGGGAGGAGAGTGTGTGTAGTATTTCACAAGATTGGCATGTGTTTGGCAACTAGCAAGATGACAGATTGGACTACTTTCACGAAACGAACTGCGAATTCAATTACTTCACTCTTCGCCCGAATCATATGTTCAGAACACGTTCCGCAGTGGTTGTTCATATTTCAAAGACCGGCTCTTGCGTCAATTACCCGTCGAGATCACGCAATCCGCTACACCTGACCGGCGAGCTTATCCAGTTTATCCATTGTCTTCTCGATGAAAACAGTTGAGGCGTCAGTGCGCAAGAACAGGTTGTTACGTCTTGCATAAAAATGCGATTGATAAGAAGAAGGGAAGGATTCTGAGCGGTGCTTCCTACTGATTTCCTCATTCACTTCTTCCTCGACAACTGCGAGATGCGTCTCGTTAAACCGCTCTTTTTGGTGGTCGGCGTCGCGATCATTAGTGCTTTTGCTCAACGACCAATCTTTTTCCGTGTGAAACGACAAGCCTATCCGCCTAATCCGGCACCGTTTAAACCGAGACAAGAGGACTACAATCTCCCGCCATTTTATCAGGTTAGTCTTCAAAGAACGACTACTACAAACTAATATATTTTTAGCCGAATCCTGGCCGTGATGCTTCATCGCTCTCTCCCCTTTTCCCATTCCACAGTCAGTACAGTAACGGATTGGACATCAATCCGGGAACTAGGGTCACTGTCGATGGAAATTTGAACGTTCCACTCATGGGATGGGGAATTTGGGACTATAAAGGTGGAATTAAAGTTGGACGCCCGAATACACGAGTCGGCTTCGGATCTCTCAATGCTCCGACCAACGTTCTCGGCATTTCCGGAGACACCATTGCAGCTCTTGCTCGTGACGGAACATTCCAGCAGTCTAGACGTGAGCTCGAGATATCAGAATTCGTCTGTCTACGAATCGGATAACTTTCAGAGAACGTGCCGGCAGTCCCCGTGGCAGTACTTCCCGGAAACTTTGTCCCAGTCCGTTGCCGCCCTCCAATGTGCAATCCATTTGTGCACAACATGGCATTCGGAGTAGACGTCGAGCCAGGAGATGATTACCTATTCGACGGAGGATTCGATTTCCCGATCCCACTTGCTCCATCTGGAGTCGGTGTTCGCTTCCCAATGAGCGGTGCCGTCAACGTGGGAACAGATCCACTTCTTATCACTTACGGACACGGAATGGGGCCTGTCGAACCACCAGGATTCAAGTCGAAGAAGCGATCGGATGAGGACGAAATCCGAAGACAACTCAAGAACAGCTAGTTTCTCTCATCTGTATCTCTATGCTATCTCAATTTCAAGTGCAATTTCTTTTCTTCTTTGTGACGGGTCGTTAGCCTAATAAACATTCACCTATTCTTCTTTCTCGGACTGATAAGAAGCGGCTAAGAACGATATCCCGGTGAGATCAAGTTTTGTGATTGAAAAAAGACGGGATTGCGAGGAGGTGATCGAGAAGCGGCTATTCACTTCTCCTCCACAATTCCATGATATCACCTACTCTAATTTTACTTTCATCTTTTCTACTAGGAGTTCTAGTGATTCTAGGTAACACTATCACGTTTCTTTCATCAAAATCTATGTCTCCAGGAACATGCCAAAAATACGGAGGAGATGAACCACTTGTGATTCCGGTCAAAGGGCCTCAGGCCATGTTCCCAGCCCTTGTGACTGCAGACAATTTCCCACTTTTCCCATTCACTGACCAGTTCAATACTGGCGTTGAGATCAATCCAGCCAACAAAGTGGTAAGTGCACTTTTTCGAAGAAAAAACATCAATTCATTTTGAAGAGTATGGCCGGAGACTTGATTGTTCCCATTCCCGGATGGGGAAACTTTGACGTGGATGGCAACTTATACTTCGGGCGCATTAACACTGACGTGAAGGTTGGATATCAAATCAGACCGACTAATCATTTGAACATCAAACCGGAGACTCTGGCTCTTTTGGGACAGAACCCAGCATTCAGAGAGGCTAGAAGTGAGTTCTGAACGATATATTTAAAATTCCTTTACACGCTTTTGCAGAGAAAGCAAAGGAAGTGATTGTGGGAAGAATTCCGTACGGTTACGAGCCGATAAAGTGCAAACCGCCATATTGTAACCCGTTCGTTCATCACGCGGGAGTTGCCGTCGAAGTTGAGCAGGGAGATGACTCCTTCTTCATCGGAGGTATCGACTTCCCGATGCCGCTCGGAGAAAATGGAGCGGGAGTCAGATTCCCGTTGTCTGGAGCCGTCGAACAGGTACGACTAACTATTATGCAAAGCCTTTAAGTTGCGTCTTGTAGGGAACGTCTCCATACGCTTACGCGCACGGAAACGCCTTCAATCCAGTGTCTCCATTCGATTTCCGAAAAATCGATAGCGATGACGTAAAGCCGGATTGGCCGTATGCACCGGGATCAAGAAGAAGAGCTCCGGAGAAGAAGAAAATGTCGGACGAGCAGAGGAATGAGTTCTACTCGAAGTTTTACGATAAAATGCCACAATAGTTGACTATATGGGTCTAATAATTTAATAACTGTAATTATAATAAGGATTTGATGATATAAAAACCTATATTGGAGCTTTTCCTTAGGGAAGGATGATGCGATGCCACGTTACAACAGAATCTTGAGAAAGAGCGCATGAATTCCGGAAACTAGAAATTGAAGGAGTAAATAAAGTGTAATTGAAAATTGGTTTGAAAGCTTTTCACTCGAATAATAACAAATTTGTGCGGAAAATTGCAGGAAAAAGTCTAGAATCTTAATTTTTATGGAGCTACGGTACGCAAAGTACGCAAACATCGCGAGTCAAAAATGAACTCTTATCGACCTAATTTACGCCTTTTTCGTCCTCGGATTTTTACAGAAAAGACTTTCTTTTTTAACATTTTCAGACATGGATTGCTGCAAAAAGAAGCGATGCAAAAAAGTGCCAAAAAGAAAATCTGATAAGATCGAAAGAGTAATTCATTTGGATCCGGATGCGTTGAGATGTGAGTTGATCTGGTCTTACGCATTTTGTGAATTTGATTTTTCAGACTTGAGATATCAAATCGGTGGCAAATACAAGACTGAACGGCATCTGTTTCTGAAAAAGGATTCGTCGAAGGAAAATTCGCTGATTGTCTCCAATATTCCCGCGTTCGTCGGAGAGGTTAGACACTTCTTCACTGTTTTCAATATGATTCTATCAAAACTTTCAGGAGGTTGTTCTGGCGATAATCAATCAATTCGCTCCGTTTGAAGTTGAAGAATCGTTCGTCCAAAGAAGCAGTGCGGCGGACAGCTCGTTCTCGCAGGGACAATTGACGATGTCGATCACTTACGAAAAGCCAGAAGCCATTATTCAGGTTCTGGCACTCTGTCAAGATGTCGGTCCGTTCACTGTCACCGATTTTCTCGAAGATCCCGAATTCCCGTCCGTTCTGAAGGACTCCATAAGCCTATATAAGAAGCTATTTCCGTCAGAAGAGCAAATTCAAGAAATGGCCGAGGCGTACGTTGAACGGTACGATGTGGAGCAGGCGGAAGCGAGAAGAGAGGCGAAGAGGAAGTACACGGAGCCGGACGAAGACGGATGGATCACGGTGACGAAGAGCAGCAAGAAGATGGCGAAGTCGGTGAAGCTGAAAAAGGAGGAAGTGCCGTTGATGGGTGGACTCAACAACAAAAAGAAGAAGGTCGATCTCGCCTATTACACCTTCCAAATCAAGAAGAATCGCCAAGAAAGTGAGTTGTTTATGAAACTCGCGCAATTATTGCGGTGTTTGTTTCAGAGGCTCAAGAGCTGCTCAAAAAGTTCGAAGAAGATCGGAAACGTATCGCTCAGCTCAAACAGGCTCGCAACTTCCGGCCGATGTAATCCTCAGAGTTTTGCATTTTTTTGTTATCTTATTGTTACTGTTGCTGTTGGTTCGAATCGAATAATATAAGTTTCATAACTTCAGAAAAGTTATTTATTGTCAGTGCAACAGTTCCATCTCTTAAGTTCCCTTTTTTGTTTTCCTTCCCGGAGTTTGCAGCGCCTTCGGTGCCGCCGCGCTCGGTCTGTTCACTGCAAGCGAGGGCTCTCTTTCGATTGACGGCTCTCTCGACGGCTTCAGCGCATTCTTGGCGATCTTTTTGACGGGCGGCGGCGCGGCAATCTGAGCTGGATTGGGAGAAGCGAGCGGAGGTTCGGCAGTTTCCTTTGACTCCTTCGTCTTCTGAAATTGACAATTTCTAAGCTCTTCAATGGATTTTTACCGTCGCGTCAGGATTCGACGCCTTCTTGGCTCTCTTGGTCTTCTTCTTCAGCTCCTTCTTCTTGCCCTCCTCCTCTTTCTCCTTCTTCTTCTTCGCCGCCACCTCCTTCTTCCGCTTCTCCTTTTCCTCCTTCTTCTTCCTTTCGGCCTCCTCGACCTCCTTCTTGATGCGATCCTCCTTCTTCCTGTTCTCCTCGGCCTCCTTGGCCTTTCGTTCCTCTTTCTTCTTGTTTTCCTCTTGCTCTTTCGCATTCCGCTCCGTCTCCAACTCTTTCTCCTTTTCCTTCTCTTTCTCTTTCTCTCGCTCTTTCTCATCGGCTTCTCGTCTCCGTACATCCGCCTCTTTCGATTCTTTCCACTTCATTATTGCCGACTCTCCGCCCCACGAATCGGGAATGTATTCGGGGAATTTGAGCATCGACTCGAGGACCATACGTTTCGCCTGAAAAGTTTTTTAAAAAACAATCGTTAATATTCCACACGTCTACAAAAGTGAACCTTCGGAGGATCCGACATGAACGCGCGCAGCTCGTAGTCCACGACCACCGATATTTTATCCGAAAACTGTCCGAGCTTGGTCATCGAAACCGTGAAGATATTGTCGAGAATGGATATCATCTTCTCCGACGGCATCTCGCGATCGTCCATGAAGTAGACACGGATCACTCGGATGTCGTCGTACTTGAACACTGCCGATTCGAGCATCTCCGTTTTCGCGAACAGTTGCAGAAGGCGTTGCGCCAGTTTTACGCTCTCCTCCTCCGAATTGAAGCGCTGCGCGGCCGATGGGTCCACTTTGTTGTACCATTTGAGTTCGACACTCGGCTCGACTGAGACGAACGGCCGGCAGAACTCGGCGAAGTCGAACACTTCGGCCTCTTCTTCCGTGATCTTCTTCGACACCGCCCGCTTCTTTTCCTCTTCGGAAAGTGATGAAAGGAGCACGTCGGGAGAGAGGAGGATCGGCGGAGTCGTGGTGGATCCCTGAACAGCCGAGAATCAGAAGTGTACTTTGAAAGGACTCACTCTCGATTTGAGATCCAAGTAATCGCAGAACATTTTTCGTAACTTGAAATTGCGATCCATTCGTTATGCTCTTGTTGCTTTCTTGACGGCTAATAAAAATATGAACTGAACAGTTTTGAGATTTCGATTGAAGCTCAACGCGATGAAAAGATCTTATCACTCATCATTGACGTCTATTCAGAGGTCACGGAAAAGTCGAGCTGGATGCTTCAAACCACTCCACACATCTCCAAATCAGATAAACGGATCGGTCTGAAATTGGACCCAAAGTACTTCAATCTTGCTTCAGAAAGCCTGCAAAGTTTGGGTCCGATCGGATAATCGCAACTGGGCCAAAAGTCCGGACCTGGCTTCGCGGTTAGCCGTATGAAGCTGCAGTAAAATGAGCCATTCGGTGCCCTGTTCAATTCGCTCTTCTGCTCACTCCAACTCGTTTCGAGAAGTCACGATTCCCTCCGTGCGCGCATTGTCCTTCCCTCCGCACTTTCTGTTTGCTCCCCACCACTTCTTCTTCTTCTTCCGATTCCGTCCGAATGCTCCGTCCCCTTCTTCTTCTCTTCCCTTTTTTCCTCGTCCCTTCCGTTCTCTCCACACAATGCCACGTTTGTGATTCGTTTCTCGGCTACTGCGATCTCGACGGCACCAAATGCGTCGGTCCCAAGTGCTCCCGACGGACTGCCCCCATGGCCAGTGAGTTCTTTTCCTCTTTGGCTCTCTTGAATTAGGCTATTCGCAGGCGGATTGGTCCGTGAACAGAGACTGTGCGTCCCGTCTGATTCCCCAGTCGGATGCAGAAAAGCAGTGTTGTGGGACGAAGTGGAAGGCACCGAATGTGTTTGCGAGGGCCACATGTGCAACTCGATTCACCCGCATCAATACCTAATTGTGCTTTCTCTGGTTGCCTTCGTTCCTTTTATGATATAAGAATAACAACACAAATTTTTTATATATTTTTTTTATTTTAACATGAATAAACAACACAAAGTGGAGTTATTCAGGGGTGTGGGGCGGCTAAGCCAACCACAAACAAGTAACAAAAAGGGAAGGGGTGACAGAAAAGAAGAAACAGAGGGATGGCTTAGCCTTGAGGAAGAGGTACTCATTGAGTACTTTCGATGACAAGTTATTGCTTCTGGGCAGAAGTGAGAACCGACGCGGCCTCGTCGACCTTCGAGCGGAACAACTCGCTGTCCTGGAGCATCATGATCAGCTCGGAGTTGTCGATTTCGAGCATCATTCCCGTGATTTTTCCGGCATCCTTGTGTCCCGGGTACAGCTTCTCAATGAGAGCGTAGATGCGCTCTCCGAGCAATTGCTTTTGCTCCTGGAAAATGATATACATATTTTCGAACCATCGTCTAGAAACATACCTGTGGAGCAGCAGCAGCCAACATGGCGGAGGTGAGCGGCTCTTGTCCTCCAATGACGATTCCTTGCGACTTCTGTTGCTGGTACTGGTATGGCTGTGGTGGGGCCTTCGGTCCGGTTGGTCCAGCTGGTCTCTGCTGCTGCTGTTGCTGTGGTGGTTGGCGCTGGATGTTCTGTTGTGGTACTCCAGCATTCGGGGCTCCACGGGGTGGTCCCTGCATGCGGACTCCTCCCTGAGCGACCTGGCTGTACTGTTGCGGCTGACCGCGTGGTCCTCCCTGCTGGTTTTGCGGCCGACCCATGCGGTTCTGGTAGACTCCCGGTCCCTGAGCCATCATGTACTGGTTTTGGACTGGGTATTGATTTTGAACTCCCCAGCGTCCTCCTGGACGAACCATTTGTGGTGGCCCTGGGAATTGACGCTGCTGAAAAAACATTATTATTGAATAATCTCCTGTCAACAATCAACAAACCTGTTGCATTGGGTTGGCAACGTAGTATCCTGGTCCTTGCTGAGTTGGGTTGTACATGCTGGCTCCCGGAACGTTGTTGTGCATTCTCATGCTAGCCAGGCGCTGCATGTATTGCGACGCAAGCTGAGCACGGCGATCTTCCTTGCGCTGAGCAAGAGCCACGTAGAGCGGCTTCGAGCACACCATCTTCGAGTTCATCTCAGTAACAGCGGTAGTGGCTTCCTCTGGCTTCTCGAAGCAGACAAATCCGAATCCCTTAGATCTTCCGTTCTCATCAGTCATGACCTTGGCACTCGTGATGTTTCCGAATGTCTCAAAGTGCTTCTTAAGGCCTTCATCGTCGACAGTCTCATCGAGGTTCTTGACGTACAAGTTGACTCCTTGGTACTTCTGCATGCGCTCGACCTTATGCATCTCATGCTTCTTCTTGAGCTCAGCCTGTCTCTCGGACTTCTTCTGAGCACGGCAGACGTGGAGCTTGAGATCAGATCCCTCGATGATCGTATCATTGAGAGCCTGGACAGCCTTCTCGGCTTCCTCTGGTTCGGCAAAAGCGACAAATCCGAATCCCTTAGATTTTCCTTCAGCCGAGGACATGACGGCACAGCTCGTGATGGTTCCGAATTTGGCGAACAACTTCTCCAGAGAGTCTTGGTCGTAGTGATCTCCGAAGTTCTTCACGTAAACGTTGTTGAACTTCTTGGCAGTCTCTCCAAGCTCGCGAGTGCGTTGGGCGCGCGGCTGGAACTTTCCAACGAACACTTTCTTTCCAGCGAGCAGCATGCCGTTGACCTTTTGGATGGCGTTCTGAGCAGCCTCCTCGGTTTCAAAGTGAACGAAGCCGTATCCCTTGCTAGATCCCTCATCGTCAGTAGCAACCTGTACAACATGAATTCAAGGCGGTTAGTCTATGTTCTATAATCAACTTTACCTTGCACGACAGGATGTTTCCGAAGAGCGAGAAGGTATCGTAGATGCTCTTGTTGTCGATAACCTTGTCGAGGTTCTTGATGAAGATGTTTCCAGCCCCGGAACGGCGCATGGCAGGGTCTCTCTGGGACCACATGATTCTCATCGGCTTTCCGTGGAGAGCCTCGAAGTTCATGGTATCCATAGCACGTTCAGCTGAAAAAAACATTAATATAAATGAAAGGACATGATTTTACTTACCGTCAGCTGGTTGCTGGAAATTGACATAGGCATAGCCAAGCGAGAGACGAGTGGCGTTGTCTCTGCAGACGCGGATGGAAAGGACAGGCCCGGCAGCGCTGAACTTCTCGAACAGAGTAGACTCGTTGACGTCCGGATGAAGATCTCCGACGTAGAGAGAGGCCATAGTGTAGGACGAAGTCGATCCCGGGTTTTGTCCTGGTTGAGGAGCAGCAGCGCCAGCGGCGGCAGCAGGAGTAGCCATGTTCATTTCCATGATTCTACTGAATACAAGAATAAGTTCGAGTAGACAGATAAAACGCTTGCTTTTTTTTCAAAACACGAGAATGAAGTGTTTTGGTTTAAGGATATTCACGAGCTAAGTGCTGAGGCAAATAGAACGAGAATAGAATATATAGAAAATACCCGAATGCGGATGGAGACAAGGACGGTGTCTAACGAGCACACTACGACTTGAATGAGACTCAAGAAACGAGCAACAGGGGCTAACCAGTAAGCGCTGCGGTTTTTGGGCGGAGCAAACGAAAATGAGTGGTGGTTTGCCCTATGGGAAGACGAGCGCGCGCGCGGAAAGGCGGCAGATGGCGGATATCGATCGGAGCGCGCACCACCCAGCGGGACTCATGAGGGCTGTGGCCTATGGGAAGCTCGAATTCAAAAATTTTCGGGAAACAAAGGAAAGGCGGACAACTAGCGAACAAGGGAATGGGAACACCGGAACACGCAAAAATTAGATTTCGAAATAGGACAAAAATCGATAAAACTCACGCTTTGTTGTCGGATCGGCCGTAGAAATAATTTTTTTGTAGATTTTATGGGGGTTTTTTTTAATTTTTATGGATTTTTGAGCAGTATAGTTGGGATTAACTGTCCTTTTGCTCAGAGCCAGGAGAACTCGGATCCCAAAAACCGGAAAAAGAGACACGAGAGTTTAAAGGGAGGCAGAGGAGGCCTGACGGGTCTCGCCGCGATTGCGCCGGCCACCGTACCCATCTCGCGCTTTTGGCCCAAAACTCGCGTATTTTTTCATCATTTTGCTCTGTTTTGCCCAATTTTGCAATAATTTTGCAAGAATTTTTTTGGAAAAAATTAATTCAAACATTTCTTGCAAGCTAAGTGCCGCTTTTATTTTTTTCGGCTACAATTTTCCGTGGGATGACTCGATTTTCCGAGAACAAATTTCAAAACAAGATTGTCCTTCAGCCTTTTTTCTCACCGAAATTCGGAGACGAAGAGATTATCTTTCGTAAGGCAGTTGATATGGTCTGCAACGTGAGAAAAAAGTGCGAAAAGTTCGCGAAACGCTCCTTTTTTCTTTTCTACGTGGAAATTTCCTAGTTCACGCGTTTATTCTTCCAGGTAAAATCATCATGGCTCCAGCTGCTAAGCCACAGGTTAGTGAAGTTGCTCTGGAGTTGATCTTTCGAGCAGCGATGGAGTAATCCGGAGCTCGAATGATTGATTGAGAAGGAGTAAACTTCTACTCATTCGGTCATGGGTTCTGGATTCAATCGCTGTTCCGGATAGCTCTACCAAGTGCTGAGATTCAATGTCTCGTGTTCAGGTCAAGAAAAATGCTGAGAACATCAACTCTCGTCTTTCCATGGTCATGAAGACCGGACAGTACGTCCTCGGATACAAGCAGACCCTCAAGTCCCTTCTCAACGGAAAGGCCAAGCTTGTCATTATCGCCAACAACACCCCACCACTCAGGTAGCACTTAAATATCATAGCCCCATCATTGCTTATTTTTTACAGAAAGTCCGAGATTGAGTACTACGCCATGCTCGCCAAGACCGGAGTCCACCACTACAACGGAAACAACATTGAGCTCGGAACCGCCTGTGGACGTCTCTTCCGTGTGTGCACCCTCGCCGTCACTGATGCCGGAGATTCTGATATCATCCTCAGCGTCCCATCGGAGAGCGCCTAAGCTGTTATTGTTACAATAAATTGTTGAAAACAGAAAATGTTGTTGAAACCGCATTTTATGTGGTATTTAGGGGAAGGAAAACAAAGAGAAAAGAAACAATTTAACGCATATCGGGTGGTCCTTTCGTGACGCTCTCCAGTTGTGCTTCGTAAACAATGTCTCTGATAGCCTTCTGAATTTTGAGCCAATGCACTCGATCCTTGTATCCTACTTCCTTCAACGGAAGGTAAAGAGATCTGCAGAACTCCATGAACTCGTCACTTGGCGGTGAATCGTCAATCTTTTCCTTTTTGGATGCCGGACCCGTGTACATCTCGTACGGTTGTGATTGTTGTGGATGGGGCAGTATCGGTGTCACGTGCATCCGCTTCTTCATCAGATACTCTGGATTGATCGGCACTTCGAGGAACATCAGCGCGTTGAAGAACTTCCATTTCGGAGGAATCAGACAACCTTGCTGATCGTACGTCAGTTTCCTGCGGGTCTTCACAAACGTATCCTTTAGATTCTTCCAGTGTTTCTCGATTTCTTCGACTGAAACAAGAACGGACGGTTTCCGACTGAAAACGAGTGGCTCACTTGTGATGGGCGGCTGGAGGACGAACTGCTGGTTGAGCAGGTCGGCCACTTCCCCGAACAGGCTTTTCCTGCCCTCCGTCGTCACCTTCTCCCTGCTCGGATCCCAAAGACTCGGTCGTTGGGCGATGGCGTCACACATTGCGTAGCGTACGGTGTCGGTCACTTGCCGCATCACGTACTGTGCTTCATCCTTCGGACACCCCGAATTGCAATTCTAAAACTTCCCGCACATTCTTTTCCCGTTTTCCCAAGGACTCACGGGTGGCTGGTCGAGTGACATGAGATGCGAAACCATTTGGTTCGGCGGACCGCCCGAACTTCGTTGACTCCATTGGTCCATTCTTCTGTATTTAGAAGCAGCAAAAAACGGCGGCGCGGCGGCTATCGCAAACGTCCAAAATTGATCGCAGCGTCGCGTCGCGGGCAGCGCTGCGTGTGCGGCCACGTGAAATAGTGTGCGTGGCGAGGAGGGTGCTTCTCTCTAGATTCTCTCTTTATTATGTATCGGAGGAGCAAAACAAGGCACGTACTGGGACGAGGGAGGAAGAGCGGGTGGGACTCTGTTCAATTATAATACAACCGATATAATAATGGCATCTTGTTGTCATTTAAATACAGACCAAAACAGCTAGAAGTCTACAAGCTACAAGTAATTCTAACATCGGTATCACACAAGTGATAGGGGGCAAGAATTCTTCTACTGGGTCGGACGGTAGTGGAGTGGGTGCTCGCTGGATATCATCGGAAGCGTCGGCGAATGGACGTTCACACGGCACGAGAACCGTTTTCCGGCAATGTTGATTTCGAAGAGTCCAGAACTGACGAATTCAGGCGACACTCCGAATTCCTTGTTTTCTACGTAGCCGATGCACACCTGAAATCATGACTTTTCCGTTCAATTATTCCATTCCCCTCAGCGATCATTTCCATGTGTTTCTTGTCTCTCATTCACTTTTTTGTCTATTCTATTGCCGCTCTCACTCTCATCTTGTCAAGACTGTTGACGGATGGATACCAGCTGTCCGAGAGGACAATGTGCAACGAACGGTGCTAATGAGGTCCGAGCTCTGTAGAGTCGGCGACCTTCCCGGAGGCGGAAAGAGATGACGTGGCGGGGTCAAACGAGATGCAACGTGGCATTTGAACAAATAGACGGACAGTCATTTGTGGGAAGGCTGGGGCCGATGACGGTGCGAGTTGGATAATAATTGTGCTCTCGCGGGATTACCCAATGGTTTGGGATCGGCAAACAAAATAGAAAAATTATTTCGCTTTACCTGGCAGCCTAATGTAAATCCATAGGCGGCCGAAGTGGTCAGCCCGACGGGCCGTCCGTCTTTCAGAATCGTCTCGCCGCCCTGCGGCCACGGATCCGTTTCCTTGTCGTGTCCGTCGACGAGAAGCTGCACGAATCGCTTCGAAACGCCTCGTTCCACTTGCTCCTCCAGCGCCTTCTTTCCCACAAAATCCTTCTGAAAGACTGTCTTTCGACGTAGATGAGCGGGAGCTGAGAGGAACCTTGAAATCAACGCGGAACAGTCTTCCGCACTCGACCGGCGTCACCGTCGCGTTGATGTCCTGCCCCCAGTAAACGTAGAATTTCTCTATCCGCAACTGTCGAAGGGTGTAGTAGCCGGCGTGCTGCAGACTGTACTCTTTGCCCGCTTCCACAATCTTTTCGTACACATTTTGAGCGACCTGAATGATTTTATATTGGCAACTTTGGGGGGGAAGACGATGAAAACCTCGTTGGGAATGTAGATGACCCATCCGAGTTCTCCGCAATGCGTCACACTGATCGCCCGGATTCCCGTCGCCATGCCAATGTTGATCTCCTGGCATCGGAAAGTCGGAAAATCAGTGCTCGACATCGAGAGTCCCGTGATGTCGCCCATCAGGTATCGCGAGGAAGGACCGATCAGGTCGAGTGCCGTGTAGGCGCCGGTCACGTCTTGCACGTGCACTCTCGCCTTCAGAATCGCCTGCCACTTTTTCATCCACACGAGGACTCGCTCCTGCTGGATAGTCGGAGCGACCATGAAGAACTTCTTCTCGCCGAGCCGACTGAGCGTGCAGTCCGTCACGTAGCCTCCCTTCTGATGTTGCATTCCCGTGTAGACCGTCGTTCCGATCGGTTCGTCGACGTTTGCCGAGCACAAGAATTGCAGATACTCGACCGCATCTTCTCCCTGAAAACGTCCCATCTTTCCGAGCTCCTTCCCTGCTCTTCCCTACCGTAATATCGTACTTGCTGAAGCTGCTCATGTCCATGAGTCCGACCCTTTCTCTGCACGCTTCGTACTCGCTGGCCACCCTTTCGAACCATTCCGGCTTTCCGATCAACGAGTCCTGCCCGCTGTTCAGTGCGTTCCGTTCCGTTTTTGGCGACTTCTCGAACCACAGCGGCCTCTCGTAACCCATTATTTCACCGAAAACGGCGCCGGCGTCTCTCAATTGATGGTAGATCGGAGCCATTCTGAGGTTTCGCGCAGTGTGACACTGATGCGAATGATAAAGATTCGCGTAGGTGAGTGCCGCCACTTCCGGAGTCCTTCCTACCAGATATTGGCTGTTCGCGTGCAAGTCTATGAACCGTCCCACATCGACTCTCGCCACGTCCGCCGTCGTGCTTTGCGACTCGCACATCAGCTCGCTGAGCACTTTTCCAAGTCCTCCGGCCAGAGAGAGACCCTGTCCGTTCATTCCGCACATCACCCAGTACCCCTTTGCCTGACTGCTCTCTCCGATTGTCGGCAGTTTGTCCGGAGTGTAGGCCTCCATTCCGACGATCAAATCGCCGTGGTTGCAGTCTCCGAGCATAGGGCATCGGGAGATCAGCTTTTCGAGGTTCGGATCTGAAAAAAGGAAAATGTCAAAGTTCCAGATGAAGTTGTCAGACTAACCGAACGTATTCCAATCGGGTTCCGGGTGTTGCCAGGGAGTCGCCGTTCCAGTCTGTCTGGCCAGCGGACGCACACTTTCCTCGGCGAATCCGGCACAAAGGGTTTTGAACGAGGTGGTTCGGAGCATCACGTTTCCGTCAAGGTCGTTGAAAACTGAAAGATCAAAAGCGTCAGACGCCAGATTCGGAAGGGGAACTCACTGGGCGTCATATCACTAACAGATCCGGTCGGAAGTTTCGAAGTGTGTATGTACGAGTACGTGCACGGATATGCGGCCGTTTGAACGTGCTGATGAGGCAGAGCTTTCACGAGATGACTGCCTGCCCACTGGAAACTAAAGGATTCGAATTGAAAGTTCGGGAACACCTACAATTCCGGCCGCATCCACAAAATGACTCGTTTCGATGAATCCCATTTTCGTGGACACTCCATACACCTGTTTCTCATCTCCGATGTGCACTTCGAGCACCGGATTGCTCTCGTAGACAAGTGCACCTGAGAGGCATCAGAAAAAGCTTTGAGGGGTACTGTACCTACCGTAGTCCTTGGCAATCAAGGCGAGGTGTTGGCAGAGGGCCACCGGATCCAGAGCCACGTCTTCCGGCGAGAAGAGCGCCAGTTGGACGTCTTCGGTCTGCAGGAACGGCCATCTCGCGAGCATTTCACTCTGACAATCGAGCAGTTCGACTTTGTCGTTATGCACAATTCCACGCGAATACATCCTCCGCAGAAGGATCTCGTTGGCCATCGTTGAGGCGAGATACGTCCGGCCACACTTTACGAAGCCTAGACCTTTTTGAAATGTGTGAAAATTACAGATTCTGTCGAGAAACTAACGAAATTTGCACGTCCTTGCCAGATACGAATAGAGCTCGAGAGATTCCTGAGCAATCGTCTGAAGGCTCGTGTCTTGCCAGAAAATCGGCGAGGAAACGAGTCCAGCCGAGAGGCCAGTGGCTCCGGAGCAACCGATTCTGAAAAGATTCAATGTCAAGCTCTGAAGTCGGCGGAGAATATTTACTAACGAATCTTTCTCCACGAGCGCAACTCGTTTTCCCTTTTTGGCCAGATGGTAGGCGATCGAAGTTCCAGAGATTCCGCCGCCACAAACCACCACGTCAGCATTGGCCACTGCTCTGAAAATGCGTCACTTTGTGCACAGGACCGTTTTTTTCCTTTTTCGCCCACGTCGTATAACTTCTTCTCCATCGCGCCAAGCGGTGAGCAATCATCACATTTATGTACAGATGCCTGAACTCATTCCATCGTGCTCAGAATTCCGTGTAAAAAGTACTCAAACGGGACTGATTACCCTTTTTGTGTGAGGAAAACAAAATGATAGAAGTGTGCGCGGATGTAACAAATTTTTCAGAATTTTTCAGAGAAGCAAAAGAGAGAGAGAGAGAGAGATAGAGAGTCAAAAAGAAACAGAATGTTATACAATCAGATTCAGAACCAATCGATATCGAATTTCAATCGAATGGGGCAATGGGGTGAGTTAGAATGATAAATTTGGATACATTGCTGATTCTTGAAACTTTTTCATAACTTATTAATATTTGAAGTTGATTAGGAAGTTTGCGATCGTTTCATTCGATCCAGGCGGATGATCTTCAGTAGACGATGCGTCCGAGCATCAGCGTGAACCGTTTGGACAGGTCCGAGTTGCCCATTAAATGGGCCAGGTTCAGTCCGAGCAGTGCCACGTTCTCGAGCATCACCTCGTCGAGTTTTCCCTCCGAGAAGATCTTCAGCACGCAATCGTAGGCCTTCTTGAAGTTCTTCTTCCGCATATAGGCAATGGCGGCGAGCATCCACGCGCGGTGCTTCAGCCGATGGCTTTGCGTCATGCCGAGCACGCGGAGCGAGTACTCGATCGCCCGGTTGTACCGTCCTATTCCGATCATCGCCTCGGCCTTGTAGGTGAGGAGAATGGTGTATTCGTCCTGCCACTCTGTCGATTTGTCGTATATTTCTACTATGTAGTCGATGGTTTCAATCGCTTCTCTGAAAATTGAATGGAATGATAGCTGAATTTTTGAGTCATCACACTCACGTGTATCTTTTCATTTTGAGAAGCAGGAACGAATAAAGGGTGGCGGCCGCGAAATGCACCGGCTCCCGATGCGAATTTTTCGACAGTACGAACGTAAGAAGTAATGCTGCTTCGGCGAATCGCAAGTTCATGTCGTCGTGGCGCGGTCGCAACTCGTTGTTTCTTCGCTGCTCCGAAGAGCGGTAAATACGAGGATGATTGGCGAAAAGCCGCGCGTAGATGTCGGTGAACTCCCACGTTTCCTGCAAATCCAGTCGTTTAGAGATCGTTTCCCAGGGGCGCATACCTCATAAAACTCATATACGAGAGCTTCCGAGACACGGATCCATATGAGAATGTTGGTATTCAAGTAGGGAATGCACGGCCGCAAAAGTTCGAATCCTTCGCGGTAACGACCGTCGTGATGAGCCTCGAGTCCTCGATGGTAGAGCTGCAAAATCTCATGAAGGGGCTCATCCTTGGGTGAAAGTAGGTGGAACAGCTCTGGCGGGCGCTGAAAGAGCATTTGAACTTGAATTTGTTAATTGCGAACGGAGAAAAACGCACTCCGCACACGCGCAGTATGCTCAACTGCTGCTCCTCGGATAGAACGATCGGCCGTTTCTTGAAACTCTTCTTCATATGACTGATCCACTGCGACGCCATCGTCGACGAAACCGTCGTCGCGGTGCTCGAAAGGGCTCCGGTTATTTCGCCTTTCCGCATTGACTCCATCACGGCGCTTAGTGGCCCGTCCGATGGCAAACTGTCTGCCATCATGCGAAAACATTCGGAATCGGTCTCAAACTGAAAAATAAGACTTTTTTGGCGGCGGGAGAACACATCGGAGATCAATTCGAACTTTGCAATCAGACCGCCAGACTTTTTGAATGTTGCTTTTTGTTTTTCCGCGCAGAAGACAGATCAAAAGTGTGTTTTATTTACTTGAGAAATTAAAAAATCGATATATCCAACTTACGCTGCATGATCCTTCGTATTGGACAGAATCGTGTTCACCAATTTCTGAAAATCAGCCTATTTGGTTAGTACCCGTTCCGACTATTCATCTGCAAACCTCCGAAGACCACTTCGATTCCAGACATTGCTGATTGAGGCGGCAGTTTCGATTCCGTCTTGAACTGATGAATTTTGACTCTGAAACGTTTATTCATTTGATTTTATGCATTCTTCCAATGAAAGCAACAATAACAAGTTTAACGGATAAATTTACTTTTAGAAAGTTATTTTAAAACTCAAAGAAAGGTTGTTTTAGATAGTGCTTTGCAAGTCTCTGATTGTAAATCCAATATTTCTTATTTTAAAAAATCCGATTTGGCGAGGGTTTTTTTCATTTAAATCAATGAATTAATGATTGTTTGAAAGCGATAAACAAAAGACATCTGCACGGAATAAAAACCCGTGCGAATAGCAGTCGGAGGGCTGTCGCCGCATTCATTCGTATTACACAAGCTGCAGTCGTTCGATAAATACTCGGCCAAGGGCCGTGAACTTGGCCATAGTCTAGGCCACCGTCTGCGCAGAATAAATTCACTGACTTTTCAGTTCTTCTGAGGCAGCTGGAATTGATTGTGTGCATTCAACAGACAATTAAAAAAATACTATGTTTTTGGTTGTTTTCCTTGGAAGCCTATTAATCAGCGTTCTGCACAAGTTTGCCACATAACCGGGCGGTGAGATGACCGGCTGTTTGTATGATTTTTTGTGTTTTACCCTTTTTCTTGTTAGCAGCCTGAAAATGAGTATTTTGTAAACACATGTGTAAAATTAAAATTCCAATTGCATATGTATGATTCACATACAGTATATCATATGAAGATAAACTTTGAGGAAGCAGGACACACTTTGAAAACCTGGAGGAAAACTGTTCCAATATGTATTATTTTGATAGTTTTTTTTCGGACGGCTAAATACAGCTTTAAGCAAATTTTGCAATGATTTGAATTCTAAAATCGCTTTAAAATTTATTTCAGACAGTTGCTATGAGGATTTAGGCCAGCGGCCGTCAATTCCGGAAATTCTAGGCCATCACTATAAATTGTTTACTTTTCGTCATAAATTCGTGATAAAATAAACAAAATCACATAAATTCCCGTCATTGATTGCAGCCTATTTGAATGGAATGAGCGAAAATGGATACACGCCGGTTGCCGCCACCCGAAGACAACGACCGACGCCGGCGGAGCGATCGGGTGCAAACGTGAGCTCGGCGATCTTTGATTGTAATGAAAACCACTTGTTTTTCAGTCAAATGAGACGGGTCTCCTGATAAATGTGATCCGATCTTTGACATCGTCGGTATCTGAAGATCAGAGAGAAGTGGAGAAGTCGCGGCTTGAGAAGGGATTCAAAGAGTCCGGAGCACTCATTGATCGGCTTGTTAAAAGTAATTTTGCAATATTTTTGTTTTTTCAATATCGAAAGCTTATTTTAATTGTCTTTAAAGTTCCACTACTAATCCATAATTTGAGTAGTACGTGAACAAACTACAAAACCTTTTCAGACCATCAACAAGACGTCGAAGAGTGTTTAGTTTCTTTTCGAGATGTTTCCGCCAAAATATCAAGTACGCCTACCTTTATTTTAAAGTAAAAATGCGTTTCTTATCAATTCAGACTGTCGAGAACGAATTCACAACGTTCGGAACGCGCTCCACACCGTCAAAAGCCTTCTGGAGCTGCGGAGAGACGATTTGAAGAAGCTGTGGCACGAGAATGCGCAGCAGAAGTCTGTCTGCGAAATAATGGCAAATTTGTGAGTAAAACCGAGAATAACTCACAAAAATTGCATAATTAAGAGAGGAGTTGAGAGAAGCGCCCTCTAAAATCGAAACTTTGATCGCCAAGGAACAGTTCCAACTGGCCGCCGACACAGTCACCGAATCCAGTGAGTTTGAAGAGGAAAAAGAGAGAGAATAGTTTATTCTCCCGATCGGGCTCATAAAATGAACGACGATCGAGACGGTCACATAAATTTTGGAAAAAAGAGAGCGACAAACAAAATATTCTTTAGGAAAACTGATAAACGGCCGTCTATCGCGAATCGAAGGACTTTCGCAGTTGGCCGCTGAAATCGAGCGATTCGCCCGAATTCTAATCGAACGGATCAATGACACACTTGTGAATATGCTGGTCGTTGAGCCGTTTGAAAGACATGTAACACATGGAAAACTAGAATTTTTGAGAACTATTTGAGTTTTTTTTAGCTGCTGCACATAATCCGAACGATTCCGGAGCAACGCGTTCAGCAGAATCCGTACTGCTCTGCAATTTTCGCCAAATCTCGAAGCGGATTCTTCAACGAGACCTCAAAATCTCGTATTTTGTCCTCCGTCGAAGCGCTTTCGACGTTGGAAGAAAGGAATTGGGATATCGATCGGTTGATGCTGCTCTGCAAGAATATGATTGACAAAATGGTCAGGAAACTGCCTTCAAAGTATTCTGAAGACGTCGTCTAATTCCAGATTGTGAACACTGTTCAAGTGATGAAGATCGGCGCAAATATCGACGAAAGCAACGAAGGAGACAGCACGCATCTGAAGCAGCTCATGCAATTAGTAAAGCGCCTTTCGGATTTCTTTAATCTTCTGATTTTCTTCCAGTTGTCCGCTCAATTCGACTCTTCTAGTCAGCAACACGTGGAATTCGGGCTGCTAGTCGAGAAAATCCTCGGGAGAAAGGACGTAGTGACGTCGTTCTGGCGGTCTGCGCAGTCCGCGTTTGAAGTGGTCGTGTCGGAGCACTTGGACATCAACCCCCTTCTCGAAAAGCAGAGTGTGCACGGATCGAGCCGGAAACAGCTCTTCCGGTTCGACAACACTGCCTGCGCCTCCCCGAGCGCCAACTCTTCTACTCATCGAGTTGGTCATCATTTTTGAACCATGTGAATTGTAATTTTAAATTTTCAGACAAAAGTGGTGATTTGCAAGCCGTCGGCGTACAACATTAAAGTGATCTTCCCGATTCTCAGTCGATTGATGGAGACGACGGAGAAGAATATCAACGATTCGCCGTGCGAATTGCGACGATTCATGCATTCGTTTGTAATGGAAGTTTTCGTCGAACGGGTGAAAGGAGAGCTCGCCGCGCGGATAGACGGTGCTCTGAGGGGAGGAGAAGCCGTCCGGGTGACCACTAATAAGGTAAGAATCACAATTACACCTTCACAATCGACTACTTTTCTTTCAGAAGATTCTTCCCTCGTGCGAGAAAGTTCTGACGCTTTGCAAAGAAGTGCACGATCTGATCGTCAGTATCGATTTATACGCCGACCGATTCGCCGCCCTCTGGCTTCTCGTCCTCACTGATTACTTCAAGAACATGACGGATGTGTACGAGAGAATGACTCCCACTTCCGCGGCCGTCGACGTCACCGCTCCAGACGCCCTTTCCTCCTCCTCCTCGCGCCGTCCGAAACTCTCGGCCGCATGGACTGCCGACGACGACATCTCACGTCTTCTGATGAGCCTTCCCAACTGGAACGCCGCCTCCATTTCTCCAATGACCCCGGCCGTCGAAAGTGAGCAGGACGTCGGCGAGCGCAACAAAAGAGAGTCGGAGATTCTCATTGGAAATCTTGGAACGCAGGCGCAGAACAAGTTGAGCGAGGGCGATCTGATAACTGATATGAACGACATCAAAATGTTTGCAAGCCTTCATGAATCGCTACGTTGGTTCAGCGATGAGATCCGAGAGCTCGTGCATTCTCTTCCGGCGAACGTCAAGATGATGTTGGACACGTGCATGGTGCAGGTGCGACTGAAGGACGGACAGATGATCGACAATGTAAGCGTGAAGGGAAAGTTGTCTCAGAGATGATCCATTCTTCCAGAAATCGGTTCCATCTGCCATCGAAGACTGTGTCCGTCGTCTCGAGTCGATCGCCGATTCGTGTCTCCTGCTCCTTCACATCGAGATCCGCGTCCATTGCTTCTTCCACCTGGCACCCCTTGCCAAGTACCGTAACGCCTCCTCGCATAACGAAGTAGATCCGGAAGTGGTCGCTCTCGGAAAAGATCTCCACCAGTTCCATGACAACCTGAAGGACGTGCTCTCGCCGACTAAGATCTCTTACGTTTTCGACGGACTCGGACATCTTTGCGCCTCGATTTTCATCCATCTCAGCCAGTTCATGCCACGTTTGACGGAAGCGGCGAAGAAGAGAGTGTGCCGGAACGTGTGGGGAGTCCAGCAGAGACTCTCGCGGATCACGAACCGAAGAGAGGCGGATCTGGACAAGGCGCGGGCGTTCTTCGATTTGCTGCTCGACAATGATCCAGACGGCATTCTGGCGATCATTCCGGAGAAGAGGTTCGCATTCTCCAGAGAGCTCTAATCTTTCTGTTTCACTTTCAGATCGCAATTCACTCCCACCGAGTTGAGTTATCTGCTGGCGCTATCAGTTCGAAGCGATAAGACGCTGGCAAGTCAGCACGGAGCACTCGATAAACGGCAGATGATACTGAACTCGATTCTCCAGAAATCCTGATTATCTCTCTTTCTCTCCTCTAGGCGCTTTCCTTTCCCACCTTCTCTGTGATACTTAAGCCCCGCCCCCGCTCCTTCCCTCCCCCAACCGATTACAGTCTCAGAGTGAACAGTACATACTGTCTGTACGATGCTTCTCTACGTGTAACCCCTTTAAATATTTATCCTTTGTCTCTCTCGCAAAATCTTCGTGCCTATAGATACTTATGAACTTGTTCAATTTATTGTTACTCCTAATTGAGTTGTCAATCTCTAAATACTATCTCTTCCTTTTCGTTGGTGTAAGAGAGGACGAACAACTTGTAGATTAATGGCTCAGAATCTCGTGACTGACGTCGCCAACTTCGTTTCAGACTATCTTCCTCTCGGTAAAGTGTAAGTCTAGAAAGGGGTTTCGGTCGGATAACGTGCTCAGTCTCTCCAGACTCAATCCCCGGCTCCAGTCCCAATCGGCCATTGCTCCGCCGGTCCCACTCGTCGACATGTCTCCGCTGATTCGCCTCGCCGGACTTTCCGGAGCGGCCGCCATCTCACTTGGAGCCTACGGATCCCATGGTCGGTTTTCCTTCGTAAAGGATCCGTTCTTTTCACTTGGTCTCTCGGAACCGTTCCGAAAAATACGGCATCACAAAACCGAAAACGGAAAATATTTTGATACCAAATACTGGGTAATTTTCTCGATAATTACTATTTTTCCTAGAAATCAGTTTGTTTGCAAATCAAGATGAAAATGTCAGTTTTTCGGTCATCAGAATCGAAAATCCGATGAAACGAAAAGACGGTATTTCAGTGCTGCGCGATGATCCGTCGATCGAAGAACGTCGTCGGACGGCGTTCGACACGGCGTCCCGCTACCATCTGATCCACTCACTGGCCCTGCTCGCAGCGCCGTCCGCCCGTTTCCCACTGGTCACCGCCGGCCTCTTCACCTCCGGAATCGTTCTTTTCTGCGGACCGTGCTATCATTACAGTATCACCGGAGCGGAGGGCACCCGGAAGTACACTCCGATCGGAGGAGTCACCCTCATCATCGCCTGGCTTTCATTCATTCTCTGATTCTCCGAAAGTGATTGTAAAGTTGAAAGTTGCCATTATTTAACAATTCATCACAGCTGTGTACTTGATCGTTTCAATTCAGAATAAATTAGAAATTCCGCTGAATTCAATAGTCTCAATTTTTACTCGGTCGATACGATACAACATAAAATCGGTGTTTTTTTTTAGAAAAAGGAACAAAAGGTGATGATCATCGGAAGGGTTGAGTAAACTAATAAGAAGACACAGGTCCTGTCGACTTATGACATAAAACAAATGGAATTAAAGGAATATTTCAGAAAACATTAATCGGGCGATTAGACCGGGAGCAATGGGATTTCGATCAATTAGGTCTAGAAATAGAAGATGAGCATAAAAATGGTGAGAAATAAAATATATTCACAAGATTCACTATTAAAATACAAGCCAAAGAAAGAGAAAGAGATCAAAAATCGAATGGTGACGTTTGACGCGTATAGAACAGAACGTATCCTTCTTTTCCGGCCCTCTCTGCGACCTGTTCTACTGAGGACGACTCCACGGTCGTATCAGAGCACATCTTCCAAGCGTTGCACGAAAATTCCTTTGTGTAAGCCACATAGTGTCCTGAGCCCGGCTCTTCTCCCTCATGACAGATGACAGCGACGAGTTGGTAGTCGCTCGGAGAGGGACAGGGCGCACGAGCTTTCTGAAAGCATCCCACGTTAAATGATCCGTACTTTCTCTCACCTCGAGCTCTGTGACCGTAGGCGACGACAACGGATCGCCCTTTTCGTCCGATCTTTTGCGCTTTCGATCGTGACGAGGTCTGGTCGCGCTATCCTGCGTCGGTCTGTACTCTTCATCGTCCTTGTTCCTCTTCTTACTCGCCGGCGGACCGTCTTCCTCGTCACTCTCCTCCTCGTTCCGTCTTTGCTGTTTCATCCGTCTCCGGTTACTCTTTATGGTTATCACTGGCTCGTAGTGCAAGGCCGTATTGTTCAGATAGATAGATCCGCAGCTTTTGGTCGACATCTCTACAAATACGAGTATTCAATGTGAGCTGCAATCTTCTTCATTACTTTCATCACCTTCATCCAGATCTTTCGGCTGCGTAAGAACCCATCTGTCGGGCAGGCGCGTGTAGACATCCACGTTGCACAATGTGGCGAACGCAATGATTTCCGTCGCCGTCGCCCATTCTCCAGGGACCTTTTGTATGTCCATGTGTGCATCATAATCTTCGCAGTACATTTCGAATGATTTTTTTTTGATCTCCATAAACTCGACCAGTTTAGCTCGAATGCGTTTATGGTGTGTTTCTTTGCCAGTTAGACACCATGAAACCGCGCGATAAAAGCAATTTCCGTCCATTTCGATCGTCTGTAAACGGTCGGGCTGGTCAAGTTTGTCTATTTCACCGGTCGGCAGCGCTCTCAATTGTTCCAAATGTTGGCTGAAAATGCAATTCACACACGGATCGGCCGATTTGAACTCACTCCAATGCGGCATCCAACGGCTTGACGTGCAGAACCTTCAGTATTTCCGTGATCTGCCGTTTATCCGTTAACAATTCGAAGCGATACGGCTCGACGACCAACTCTTTTTCTACAACCAACGAGCTATTGTGCCGGTCACTGCCACCATTGAGGCCATGAACCGAATTCTCGTCGTTGTCGTCGTTCTCTTTGTCCTCCGCCGGTATCGCCGAATCCCTTTCGTCTTCCTCGGTCCTCTCAAGTTCGGGATGTTTCACTTGGGTGGAACGCAGGCAGGCGGTTTTCAGGGAGAAAGATAGGTTCACTGTGCACTTTTTCTTTCGGAAATTTTTGTTGACGTGCTCGTATCTTTTGAGGTTAAGTATCAGGCATCTGGAAAAGAGAACGGAGTGGAAGTTGTCGCGATGATTGTAAAACTCACTGAGGTAACGAGACGACTCGATCGCTGGTGGAGAACACGCCGTGGCCGCAATTCGGACATTTCCTCTTCATCGCCGTCCACTTGACACATGACGACAGCATTTCCTGGACGTACAGTCCTTGGCTGATCTCCACGCCCAAGTCGAATCTCGTCTGAGTTTCGCTTCCGGCTTCGTATTCACACATCTGACAAACGTAGCGTGTCTGCACTTCCATTTGGAACGCGGCGGCGGGATTGAGGCCACAGATCGAGGTTCCGAAAAGACACTTCTCCAGATCATTGTTCAACGTGACGTTGTCTCTTTTTGCGACTAGCACCATCACATCGTTGATGATATTCAGGAGAACGAGTAAGAATTCGTGCGCATCTTGTTGAGTCTCTTCTGAGAACGGCTTGTGGAACGCGCCGATGCTGTAGCGAAGTGCTCTAAGTTCCTGAAAATGGTAGCGGTTGCAGCTTTCACGAGATTCCTGAACTCACTTCTTCCTTGAAAGGTGCCGGCAAATAAATTCCATTTCCAAACGGAGCGTACTCGCGTGCTCCGAGTGTGTTCATCAACAGCAGAAACTGTTGGAGCACAGATGTATATCTGTCCTTGTCTCCCTCTTTTCTCCATTCGATACGTCTCAGAAGGTTGACCCAGGTATCTTTATACTCTTGGTGTTCAAAGCGGCGTAGCAGGCAGTTTGATCTGACAAGAAATGGAATGCAAACGGATAACGCCTGCATCGTCGCGTTGAAATAGCACGAGTTGGACGGGTTTGCCAACCTGTAATTTATAAATTTATGGTCTTTATTCACAGCAAGAGCTATACTTTCGATTTTCCGGGTATTCTACACAACCTGCATCTTTGGAATTCAGTTTGCGTCTACGCGGTGTCGGCGGCGTCATCGACATCGCCGGCTTCTGAAGTGGAGCGGGCTGCTTTTTCTGGTAAGTCGGAGTGCTCGGAGTGCTAGCCTTAATCGGGTTTCTTTTCGGATGCGTGCTCGGCAGTTTGAGCAGATTCTCACTTCTCACGGAAGTGTCACTGCCCTCCTGTCTGGAAATCGGCCGAGAAACAGTTTCAGGACTCGGAAGGGGTGTCGGTTCGGCTGACGGCATCGTTACTACAATCGAAGGGATGAGCGGTCCCGTCTCGCTCATGAGGCTGTACATGGGCTTGACGTTCTCCCGTCGGAACGTCTCATTTCTCTCGTTTCGCTTGAGTGTCGGAGTTGGCACCTGCGCTTTAGTCGTCGAAGGAGTCGCTACTCTGGACAACGGCGGCACCGGCGTCGGTCTCCTGGAGACATCGCTCTGCTTCTCTTTCAACACCTTTCTCCGTTCCCCTTCTTTCTGGCACGATTTCTTGTTGAAAACCGATCTGCTCGCGAACGGATCTTCGTGGAGAAGACTGCTCGGAGGCCAAACATCTTTTGGCTTTTCCGTCCTGGGCTTTTTTTTCAGTTCTACAATAGACGAGCTATAGAAAAAACGGGGAGAAGGCGTTTCTTACTGTCTTTGTTGGCTTCCAGCATGTCGCTGAACTCCTTCGCCACGTATTCAACCATGTTCGCGTGGGGAGGCTCGAATTTCACCTTCAGCTGTGAAGATCTGCAGCGAACATTATCGAAAATCGTTATCCGTAGACTCACCCGTGGTTATCCGGATGGTCACGATCCAGTTCTAGTGACAATATCACATGTTTCCCACTCACTATCGTCGGAACTTTAATTTTTCGCAATACAAATTGCGTGACACAGAACTTTGTAACAAGATCGCTCGGTGAGCGGAAAACTAGGCAGTGCTTGTCTTTGTCGAACGTCAATCGGCGGCATTTGTGATTCACGAGCACGCCTCCTTTTGTGGTGTACACCAGATCGACCATCAACTCGCCCATCTGGAAAATGGATCATAAGCTTTAAGGAGCAAAGGTGCGTGAAAAATGTATGCAGAGAAGTATTTTTGGACATTTTCGGATCATTTTCGGATTTTTGGACATTTTCGGATTTTTGGACATTTTCGGATTAGGGACCTAATTTAGGGTATTACAAATATAACATTCATTTCTTTGCACGACTATCGCACTTTAAGAAATGGGAATTGTGCTAGAAAGACTTTAAAAGAGAGCCATGCGCTAGAGGCGCACAAAGCATGGAAACATTGCGGAATTTGCACGTGAACTTAGTAATCTCTCAAAAAAAAAACTCTTATCCGAAATCTGATCTATCGGGAGTTCTTCTCGAGGGGGAAAATTCAAATTCAGTTTTATTTCCGAAACAACTCACGGCGACTGGCCTTCGAGCGCTTTTCGATTCACATCAAGTGAGAAGACAAGCGAGGAAGAAAAAAGAATAATTGCTTTTAGCTCACTAAAATGGCGCACGTGGAAAGCTTCTATTTGGATTCCAATCTGGAGCACGACGCCGTGGCACCACCAATCACGGAGCTCGAATTGGTACAAACTAGGCGATACATCGCCAGATCTACTCAAAATTGACTCGTTTCAGATGGAAGCGGCCTTCATTGTCGACAAGCCGCTCAACGACGACGTCATCAGCCGCGTCGTCGCTTCGCAGCTCACGTTCGAGAAGGAGAGCCAAGTAGTCTCGCAGTATTGCGTCGCCAGCGAACCGGAGCTCAGAAACCCGAACCTGCTAGAGATGAGCAGCTCGATTCTCGACAACAACAAGTACTTCGCGCCGCCGCCACGTGTCGATTTGTCGCAGTACGCGTGGCACACGGACATCGCCTCGTCGCATCACCAGTACGCCCAGAGCCCCAACATCTATACGAACGACTACATGACCAGCGAGCCGTCGGACTACGTGTACATGTGAACGAGATACTTGGAAGCTAATAAAATGACGATTGCTTTTGATTTTATAGATTCTGAGAAGAAGTCATCAAAACCATGTGAAGAAACGGTCAGTTCAAAATTACATTGACAATCTGCAATTGTCGTAGAGTCAAACGTATTGTACGCAGTGGCTCTGCACCGCTTACCGTACTCCGTATTTTAAAGTTCTAAAAGGTATTTTGAAAGGAAGCAAAGCCCTTCTTTCAAACTCAAAAAACAATAATTCAAAACGTTTATCACAGATTTTCAGTTATTGAATGAGTTGCCATAAAATAGATCAAGTTCAGGTGAAAATTGACAGTTACAATTATTAGGTATTTACAAATGAGCTTAATCGGCGTCAGAGTCCTCCAGATATTCCGCATATTCCGCCTCGTTCACCCGATTCTCTTTCATCGCTTTGTCCAAAAGAGCGGCCACGTCGGCGTCCTGCAATTCACGCGGCTTTCGGATATTTTCCGGTGCCCACTCACTTTCGTCACATCAATTGGCAGTTTTTGGTCCTGGTTCCGAACGAACGGATTAGCGGCGGCGGCGAGCAGGAGCCGAACGCACTCCGCGTGGCCCTTGTAGGCGGCCGCATGAAGCGGCGTGTCGCCGAGCTTGTTCTGCACCGAAACGGCCACTTTGCTGTCTTTGAGCAGCGCGTCGACAGCCGCCACGTGTCCTCCGTGCGCCGCCCAATAAAGGGGCGTGGCTCCCGACTTGTCGAGCGAATTGACCGACACTCGCTCGCGGAGGCACTCGTTCAGCATGTCCAGATTGCCACGTCGCGCCGCCTCGTGCAGCGGATTCGGCAGCTCTTCCACGTTCTCGCTGATCACTGAAAAGAAGGGAAGCGTTGCTTTCTCCCCAGTAATCCTTCTTACCGTAATTGGCGGGCACAAGGCCCTTTTTGCCTCCGATGCTCGCTTCGAACCAGTCTTTGTTCGGCTGCTCGTCACTCACGTACATCAGATCACCCTCGCTGAGCGTCAGTTCTTGGTCCTGCAAAAAAGAGATGGCCGAAATGAGCGGGACATGGAATAGCTCACAGATCTGGCCTGGAAGTCGTAGAGAGCTCTGTACACTTTCACTCTTCCGGGCTTCGGAGCCGGCGGGGGCGGAGCTTGCGGACGGGCGGTCGACATTCTCAAAAACCGCTGAAAGGGGAGAATAGTGAGATAAAGAGGGGGATAAAGTAGGCAAAGTACAAGTCTTGCACCAAGAAAAAAGGTGATAGGCAACAAGAAGTAAACAACTAGGAGGACCAATAAAATCTTCATTACTTTTGATGAGATAGAAATATAAAAAAGGGAGAGGGGGTAAAAAAGTGCAAAATTGAGATTGAAACAATTCATCCGTGCATCTCATTGAAATCATGGACAAACTTGGCGACCGAAGCATTATCCGTTCGGGAAAAAATAACTTTCAGATGTGCTCCTCTGAAAATAAGTGTTATATTGGTCATACATGTTTAACAGAAAATACAATAAAACGAAGCTTGGAAAAGCGTTTTTTGAAAATTTGTTTAATTCTTTTCCACTGGGCCTTATGGTTGCCGCTGGTTCGGAAATTACAATCCGACCGCCGGATCGGAAAAATGTTTTGGCGTTTTTCAATAATCTCGCACCTATGTTGTCTCCGTACACGGCTTCGAGTGTCGCGTCGAGGCTGTCAGTGGCGCACTGCGAACAATCGTCCGAGAGACGTTTCCTAGTCATCGGAATACCCCCGTTCTTCTGTTTTTGTTTAGAATGGGGGAAACTAACGTTTCGCTTGTGTTGCTCGCTGAGCTCTCTGACACGACTTCATTGTTGTTAACCGAAGTGGTGGTCGGTCTTGTGAACGACGAACGATCTTTGTGGAGAAGGCTTCGAGAATCTTTTGACTTTTCGGCCCTGGACTTTCTGATCAGTTCTGAAATAGAGAGACGCTATCAAAAAAATGAGGAGAAGACGTTTCTTACTGTCCTTGTTGGCTTTCAGCATGTCGCAGAATTCCTTCGCCACGTATTCAACCATGTTTGTGTGGGGAGGCTCGAATTTCATCTTCAGTTGTTTAGCTCTGAAGCGAACATTTATCGAACATCGTTATCCGTAGACTCACCCGTGGTTATCCGGATGGTCACGATCCAGTTTTAGTGACAATATCATATATTTCTCACTCACTATCGTCGGAACTTTAATTTTTTGCAATACAAATTGCGTGACACAGAACTTTGTAACAGAATCGCTCGGTGAGCGGAAAACGAGGCAGTGCTCGTCTTTGTCGAACGTCAATCGGCGGCATTTGTGATTCACGAGCACGCCTCCTTTTGTGATGTACACCAGGTCGACCATCACGTCATTTTGAGCTTTGGGGTCTGCCATTGCTACCTGAAAGGACATTTTAGAAAACATGGAAAAAGAAGTATCGAAAAAAAGTGAAAGGTAGTAATTTCACACCAAATAAAAGATGTCAATATGGAGATAAAATACAACTCTAAATGGACCGGTGAAGTTTTTATTATACTCGTCAAAGGGAGAAAATGTTATGCGTTAAAAAAGAGATCAAAACAGGAGGAGAAAAATAATATAAAATGAAGTTGTGGTTCAAGACAGAAATATTTCAGGCTTTAAAGTGCTCGAGGAGCATCTCGTCTACAGTTTGTTTAAATTTTTGCGCAAAGTTCGACGGTGAAAAGAAGGTCACTCTCAGCTGTGCTTCTCTGGAATCAGACAGTATTTGAAAAGATAAACTGCACTTTACAAACTCGTCATTCTCCTTCTGGCTCTCATCCAAGTCGATGGAAACGACCAGAGCCCCGGGCGGATCGGTCGGCGCCACTGTTACCGAATCCTTCCGGAATTGTCCGACGTGGAACTCGTGCTGTCCATGGAATCCTTTGAATCGAATGCATTTCTTCTCCTTATCAATCTGGATCTCCTGCTTGAACAGAGTTGTCATTCGGCCGTCTTTCCTCACGATCGACACTTCCACGTTATTGCTATCTTTGGAATCAGCAAACGGACTGACGTCCACTTCGAAGCACGCCTTTTTGGCTGGCGGGGACTGTTGGCCTGCCGGCAGACGGGCTCTGACCGCCTGCGGTTTCAGAGTTTGGTAGATGTTGCTGATCATTTCTGAACATCCATTTTCTTCAACAGCTCGAAAAACTACCGAACCATCTGAATTGTTTTCGAGCATCGCGTTGAATCTTCTGACGATGCTCTCGACGATTTTGAGCTGATTCTGCTGGAAACTCAATCTGACCTGGAGATCTCTGAAAATGAATCCATCCCATTTCAAGAATGCTCCGCTACTCGGTACAAACCCATCATTCTTCGGGTCGTTTCTGTTCAAATCGAGCGAAAGTTCGATTCTGTTCACCAGATTAACTCTCGGCTTCGTCAGTTGTTTGCGCTGGAACTGCAGAATGTGGTACTCCTGAGTGACTCCGCCCGAATTCAGAATTTGAACGCTCTGTTTCACGCTGTTCATTTGGAAACGATGGTTTTTGAAGCATAGAGTCGAGTTGTCCTTGCGAACGATGAAGGCGTCGACTTGGATGCCGGTCATCTGAAGTTAAAATGATGGGGTTGAGTGCGAGATTACAGCCGGATTACAGGGGAGGCGCGGAGCATTTGTAGGTAAGGAATTCCGGAAGGAGCGTCCCGATAAGTGGGTCTGACAACCATCTGATCTGCAATACTGTCAGTTGAAAGATCTGCAATACTGTCAGTCAGTTATTACGGTTGGAATCGGTCTTTTGAAGACCGGAAATCGACTGGAACTGCTGGAACGATATCAGTTTGCTCGGGTGCACCGGCCTTTGTGCACTTGTGCTCTGATCCGCCGGCCTTTTCATAGAATATCGGACTCTCGCAGATGCGGCAGCAGCAGGAATGGTTTTTGGGAAAGAAGGTGGAATCTGTGTGGGAACGGAGTAAACTGAGTTCTGGTTCAACTGTTGATGGTTCAGATTGCCGACAAGAGTCGCCCGATTCATGATGCTCGGTGTACTTGCAGCTCCTTCGGAGAACGGAACTCTCTGGATGATAGATCTTGGGCGGCTCACGGGCGTCTGCTGAAGCACCTGCGGATACGGAGTGCTTCTGGATGGCGTCGTGCAATAGGAAGCTCCGGAAGCTGTCGGGCTCGTCCACATCTCCGGCATAACGCGACACAATCCTGAAGGTGAAGTCACAGACGGATTCGAGGTAATATCTTCGGAAGACATTGCTTTTTGAGCACTGTGCGGCTGCACCGATCGACTAGACGTCACGTCCAAAGACTCGCTTTTCTGAGGAATCCCCGTCGGATCAATGCGGAGAGGCAGCGACGAAGTGCAGGCGGGTTTTGTCTCGTCGGCAGTGTAAATTGAAGCAATTTTCTGAAAAACAAGCTGAATTTACGAAAATTTTTCGTAATGAACACACTTGTTCAGGGAGCGGCTTAGAGCCTAATTTGACGGACATAAGCGAAGATTCAAGCTTTGCTTCGGGCGTGGATCCTTCGAATGGATCTATCATATCGTTGACGAACTCGACGATGCGCTCAGCCGCATCCAGAAACGGCGGTTTGAATGAGATGTGCAATTCGCGACCGCTGAAAGCGAATTTCTCTTTTCCGCTCGTCACTTCGAGCCACTCACCTACACGCCGGTGTCAGTTCGATGATTACAGTCGACTGACCGAGGCTCATGAACTTTATCGGGTCGCTCACTTTTTTGCGCTCAATCTCGTTTTTGCTGTACTTCAATACAAGGCCATTCGGTCCGACGAATCGAATGAAGTGGCGGTTGGCATCGAAAAAGACGCCTACTTCTTTGTAGTTCAATATATCGCCTCTTCTGTCGATGACATTGAGCTGTGCGGCAGCGACTGGCTTCTCAGGAGCTCCAGGAACAGCTGGAGAATCCCTTTGAACATATGAGGTTGCTGGTTGTTTCGGTGTGCTTGGGGCGGATCCAACGGATTCGGAAGTGGGGCCGATCAGTTGGAGAAGGCGGTTCAGCAGCTGCTCATTTCTATCCGCCGGTTTGACAATGAGAAGAATCTCTCTGATTCTGAAACCCTTGAATTTCGAATTGAAAACTTCCCTTCTTAACCCAACCCTCTCTGATTTTCCGGCTTGAATTTGAGGACAATAGTGCTCTGATCGACCGTTCGTGGCTTGTAGTGTCCCATTTGTCCGATTTCCTCTCTTCCGTACTCCTGATGAAAACCATCGGATCCCTCGAATCGGATGACGTGTGCGACAAAGTCCACGTCGACTTTTACCATGTTGTGGTTTACATGTCTTCCATTTTTATCAACAATCGAGAGTATAATCGTGACCTCTTCCTTGCCGTTCATTTGTAGACTATTGGGAATTGTCTTTTGCACTGGTTTGACGTCAGAAACTTTAGAAGAAGTCACGTCAGTGGTCGGCGTTGCACTCACATCGGAAGAAGCGCTCTCTGAAGTCTTCTGCTCTGAAGTAGCTGAAGTTGACGGCTTCTGAATGGGCGACGGGTTGAAGTAGTTCAGAATGCTCGAGTTGACGCCATTTCCGGCGGTTTTGGATGCTGGTCTAGCCTTTTCATATGGCACCAGAGGTCTCCGGAGCGGATGTGAAGCGGGCGAAGTGGCTCCAGGAGACGCTGGTCTGAACGGAGTTTCAAAAGAAATATAATGCGGCTGTGGCTGCACATTTTTCTTGTACAACATCGCTTTTATCGCATTTCCCAGCGGAGTCGATGTATTTTTCTTTCCGTGCAGCACCTCATCGAGCATCTGATTAATCGCTATCACAAAACTGTCGACGAGGAAACTGTTCGGCGGCTGGAATTGCAGCTTCAACTGAACATCTCTGCAAGATTCAGTCCTTTTCTGCCCTTTTCCCGGCTATTCCTACCCATCATTCATTTTGTTTTTCGCGTCCAATTCGATGAGAATCGTCTGTTTTTGCGTTCGGCACTGGGGTCCCGACAGATTCACTTTTTTGGGTGCGAGTTGTCGCATATGATAGCTGAGAACCGAGTGCTGCGCCTTGAATTCGACGCGTTTTTCCGATTGATCCAGACGAACTTCCACATTTTTCACCTCATTGTTCTTTTTGTTTTTCCGGACAATTTCAAGATCGACGGCGATACAATTCATCTGAAAGAGCAAATTAAAATAGAATGGGAAAATAAGTGGGGAAAGATAATAGATTGACACCAAATTAGAGGTATTTCAAATGGAAAATGGGAAATTTAAAAAAAAATACTGAAAAGTTTATCGAAAGCAATAGTAGATGGAACCAGTAATGGAATATTGAGATTCATGGGAAGTAGAAGGTGAGGGGACCGTGTCGTTCCTCGCGGATCCGTCGGATGTGCCTGAGGCAAGGCATCGCTTTCGCAAACGACGGACGGATCCGTTCCTGGAGAAGAGGTCGAATGTCTGTTTCCAAGAAGAACAGCAGCGTTGGAAGACGGGATTTGGCCTTGGATTCCTTTAAAAAATTATGTTGAGGAGACTTTGAATCGGAACAAAACCTGTTCTCTCCACAGATCGAGTAATTCTCTGTCCAATCTGGTCAGCTGCTTGTTGCTTTTCCCGAGAATCGCGCTCTTCTTCATTAGAAATTCGTCCATTTTGTTGACAATCTCATTCAAACTGTCAACTGTGAACCGGCCGAGCTGATATTTTGGAATCGCTTTGTACTCTTCTTCGGTGATTAGCGCCACAATTCGTGCACTGCTGACTTCTTTTGTTTTCTAAAAAATATACTGTCAAAGTTTTAAAACGCTTCAAAACGCACAGTTTCTGGCTTTTTTGGTGATTGTTGAGTTGTCTCCGGTGTTTCGATGGGCTCTTTCTGCTCTTTTTGCATCGTTGCCTCCAATTTCTCCTCTTTTTTCTGAATGGCAATGCCGAGCAGTGCGTGGAGCGAGTCCGGACAGCAGTTCATGCAGGACTCATTGCAACTGAAGCCCAAGTTTTTCTGGGCGATCGAGATTTGTTCGAGTTTTTCACTCATGCTCTTTAATTCGGTATTCACCGCATTTACCACTGAAAAATTGTAAAATCAGCCAAAATTTTGAAAAACAAGAGCTCACTGGTATCGAAAGTCGGAATAAATTCTTGATACGATCTAAACTTGTCGGAGCTTTCTCTTCGAAAAAGTTCGACATAACTAGCCATTCTGAAACTCAATTAGGTTAAAATTGATTTAATTGTCCAAAAATCGAAAAGCCGGCTGGAGCCAATAAAAATGAGTCATGAATTCGCGCCTTTTCCAATTCGGAATAGTCCGAGAGGAGTACACTGCTTGCTGCTCTCGATAGAGCGCACTTGCATTGTTCGGCCACGACCGCGAAAAATTTTCGTTCGACTTTGAGCGGCATTTTGATTTTGATTTTCTCTACCGTGCTCCGCCAAATAATGCTCGAAGACGAGTACGATTTGTTTATAGAAAATGCGAAAAAAGTTGCTGAATTACATGAACAAGGTTACGATGTAAGACGCATCGCGTTTCCAATACTTTCTTTGAAAAATTCGGTTTCAGGTGAGAGAAATGGCTGCGGACCTCGTCAAACAGGCGAATTCGATCGATCCGAGCACGATTCCGTCCACTCTCGACGGCTGCAATCCACTTCTCCTCAGCCAAAAAATTGAGGTACACTTTTGAAGTGGAATTTCGAAAAAATATTAAGTTTTCAGGAGATTTCCCGGCGCGAAAGTCCGTCCGTTTCGCCAGTCGTTCGCCGTCGAACAGATTCTCGAATTTCAGATAATCTAAATATGAACACTAATGATAATAAAGTAAGTGAATATAAAGCTGTCAAATTTTTCTGAAAAACAATGCTTGCAGCCTGCATACGAAATTTCTCCACCAGCCAATTCTAACGAAAACACGTGCTCCCGCTTCCTTCTTCATGTTTTTATAGTCGTTCTCATTCTTTGTGTCATTTACTATCTGCAATTACCGCCGCCCTGTCCTGGTCCTGTCTGGTAACAATAAAAAAGTGTACAGAAAACAATCGAAAAAACAAAGCTTCATGGGTCATGATGATATGAAAAACACGCGTTTTATGCTAAGTGGGGCGGAGAAAATGCTTCGAGAGACATGAAAAGAACAGTGATAAGAGAATTGAAAAAGGAACTATGAGGTATTTAGAACCGTCGAAAATTGCATACAATGAGATCTTTCACTCATAGTTTGAGTTAAGATAATTAGAATTAGCAAAGTCTAGAATAAAATGAAAAGTTAGAAAGGTTCACTGACGTTCGCCGCGCATTCGTCGATAATCTCACTCGCGCGAGGCACAAGTTCAGCCAACATTTTCCTGAAAAAAAAACAAATTATTTGTGTAAAAAAGTGATAGGAAGTGTTTCTACTCACAGAAGACGGAGATCTTGTTGCGGTTGGTAAACCAGGTCTTTCATGATATCGTTCGTCTGGTCTATCACAATTTTTCTTCGATTCTCCTCTTCTATCGCTTTCGTCTCAATTTCTGAATGCGACAGAGGCGGATAGACGTTGAACAGAATGAGCTCCTCGGACGGATCTTCGTCGCGAACTGGTCTCTCTCGATCGTGATCCCGAGACTGAAAAGTTAAATTTACTAAAAAAGAAGCAATCTCCAATTCTTACCACTATCAATTGGCGACACTTGTGAAAATGCGAAGCGGTTCTGTTGCCGTTGTACGACTGGAATCCGCACGCGCACGTGTGAAGAGTGTTTCCCCACGCCGACGTGTCGTGTCCGAGCCGTTCGGCGCCGTCTTTGCACGCCACTTCGTCGTTTATTCTCTTCCCTTCGGTGGTTTCGAAGAACGCCTTCTGCGCCATTTGCAACCTGTGCTTTTTCGAGCCGACCGCCCGCGTATTTATGACTATCTCGGTCCGTTCGACCACATTCCACGTTCTTGTCAGCGGATCATGGTCCTTCTCGCGGTGCTCTCTCCACCGCGATTCGTCGTTGAACTGAAGGGCGCAGCTTCCGCAACGCCACTGTTTTCCGTATGCGTGATCTCGCATGTGGTTCATAAACAACGTCACTTCGATGCGTTTCTGACGGCGGACTGTGGGCACGAGCTCAAAGTGTTGGAGGCAGATTGGACAGACGAGTGTTCTGCAAAAATGAGTTCTTTTTGAAGTTGAGCTGAAGTGGAACATACTCGGTGCTGTGCCGTTCGATGTAATGCTGGTAGAAGAACGCGCGGACCGAAGTACGATACTTGCACTTGGCGCACACGTACGGCGACTCTCCCGGCTTGTGCTTCAGCATGTGCGAACGGAGCACCAATTCGGACTCGAGCTGCAAAAATAAATCATCGCGCTTTCGAATTAATCGTTCGAACGCATTCACTCACATCCGTCTCGCAGATGTGGCACAGAGAATTCGGGCTTTCTTCTCGCGACAAATGGCATCTCGTCAGGTGCTTTGTCTTTTGGAACGCCGTTTGGAAGAGCGCATTGCAGTACGGACACGTGTGCATTCGCCGCGTCTCCAGTTTGCTATTGTCCGACAGCACGATTTCCGACCCGTCGGAATAGATGAAACCATCGCTGGAAACGAGCTTTTGGCTGACACCCGACGATTCATCTTCAGACCCTCTCTTGATGGTTTTCGGCGCCGGTAAGGGCGGCGCATCGCTGACGACGTGGGCCCAAGCGTGGTTGATGGTCCCGACGGCCCCAGAGCAGAGAACGTAGCATTTCGCCGAGTTGAACGAGCACTGAAATGTTAGACAAATGTAATGTTTTGTATTGAAAGCTGGTGTCTGCTACTTACAATGAACTTTCCGTCGATTCTCTTGAAGTTTCTCGTCGACCTTCTGTTGTGGTCAAATCCCTCCGTCGCCTCAAACATGTAATGCCCGCTGTACTTGAACTCTGCCTGATTCGCCGCGTTGGCTCTTGTCCGCGACGTCGACGCTGTAGTCGTGGGAACGTAGTTGGAGCTGGCGGCAGGCATGGCGACAGGAGACGATCTGTGTATTGAAGAGTTAAAAAATGTTCGAGAGACCAGAATTTTACCTTTTCTGAGTTCTCAACCCGGTCGCACGTACTGAAGCGACCGCCGGAGACTGCCGAATCTCTCCTTCGACTTCGCCGGACCGGAGCCTTTGATTTTTGTTGTAGACGTCCGTCAACCGCCTGATTCCCAACTGCTCCAAACTGATCTTGTTGACCGCTCCGATGTGCGCAGTCGCCTGTCCGCCCGCTCCCGTCGCCGACGTTCCCGCCACTGCTGCCGATGCTCTGTTCGCTGCGCCATTCATACTGCAAATCGGTCTGTTCGTCTCAGGGGCTCTAGACGTGCTCGGCGGCTCTTCATACGTCCTGGGAGTCATCGGAGGTCTCGCCGGCACCGAAATCCGGGAAGCGATCGGAAGTCTCTGTGGCGGCACCGCTATCACATCGTCGTCGCTGTCGGAAAGAGTGATCACTTCGGCCATTGCCGTCGCCACTGCCTGCAAGCGACCGGATAGTATGGAGAACGGAGAGGGAGGCGGAGACAAATCCGTCCCGGAATCGATGCGTCGATCGGAAGGACGGACGGATGTGGCGAGAGGGTGAACTGACGGCGCCGTTCCTGCGGGCAAGGAGAGACGCAGACAGTGGTTTTATGCGGCGGGGCGCGCTTTCGTGTTCGGCAACAGAGCTCCGAGAGCCGAAAACTGTGAGAGGTCAGACTGTGACTCGGCGAAAAGAATGGTGCGTTTGCCGATTTGGCACTACACCGGTTCGGAATTCTATGAATCAAGGTCATATAGGAAACTTTTCTCCTAGAAAAAAATTATCTTCTCGAAATAGTTTTATCACATTACTTGAGAAAACGCGCTCTATCAAACATCAAACGCCTTTGCGTGCCCGCGACACGGTTGGCAACATGCCAGTTTTCAATTTTTCTTTTTTTAAAGATGCCGTAGGCGACGGGCAACCAAAGTTGTTGTGTAACGCTAGCGCGCTCGTGTTGCAGAATTCTTCCACCAAGCCTCATATTTACCAAGAGTATTGAACAGAAATCGGGAAAAATAGGCCGAGTGGAAAACTACAACTGTTTCAAAGTCCGACCGAAGTGTTTTATGGGCTCATTCGGTCGGGAGCAAACTCAATTTAAAACTGTCAAATTTTTCTTAACCGAATGAGCTTATAGCGGAACGAAGAAAGTTTGAAACGGTCGAACCAGTTACTGTTGAAAAAAAAAGTTCAACATTCGAATCGGAGTTGGCAACGAGCCAAGGACACGCCCCCCAAACAGTTTTCACTGCAACTGCCGCACGCTGCTTGGGGGGGGGGGCGTGTCTTTGGCTCGCTGCCAACTCCGATTCGAATTTCGAACCTTTTTTTTCAACAGTAGCTCGCAAAATTCAATCGATAAACGCGTTTTTCGCTTCGCGATATTTCGCGCCCGTGCCCGCAATGCGCCTTTAATAATCACAGTAGCCATTCGGCGCGCATTCGAAAACGCCGGCAAAAATGAGGACACAGAGAAACAAAGAGAACGACTGTTTATTGATTGAAAAGAAGACAAAAGAGGGCGGCCGGCTGGACACCTGGTTAGGCACCTGTATTTTGACAAGGAAAGAAATTGAAGGAAATGCTAAACAGACCTGAGGGAAAATTATTTGAAGATAGAATGATAGGTTTCAGAGATTCTTTAATTTGAAAATCGGGTAAAAGTCGAAATGATAATACGATATAGCACAAAGTGAAAGCGAATAAAAATCGGGGGGAATTTACACTTTTTCGTAGCTGGGATGAAAATATTTGGAGCGATCCGCTTTGCCGTTTTCGACGAGGAACGCGTATATCAAATCGAACAAATAAAGGGGAATCCCGTCGCGTTTCAGCATCGCGGCGCTCTGAAAAATGTGCGATTTGTTTTATACGTGTCGGAAGCGCGCTCCATTGCAATTCACAAACCTGTAGATTCCATTCGAAGTTTTTGGCGGCGAAGACCATCGTCGGTCGATGAATGGGCAGCTCTATGTACTCGGAAATCGAAAAGACGGCGGCTCCTCCTGCTTCGAGGATCGACGTGATCGACTGCGTGCTTCGGTCGTCCGCGTGGATCACGACTCTCCACTCGGAGAATGCTCCGTTCTGCCGCGATTCCATGCTCACCGAGTGAGTGATTGGCATCTGAGCGACGTGATCCCGCCACATCGAGCACACCCTCGCCAGCTCGCGTTCGATTTTGTTTGCACCGTTCGCCAGCTTGCCCGTCCTCCATTCGAACGGCTCCTCTTCGAGCCAGTGCCCGGCGGCGACGCTTCTCGTGACGTAGTCCGGAGTCAGACACCATCGGCCGGCGGCGATCGCGCTCAACGTCTTCGGGACTCTGCCGAGTTTGGCGGCGACGAGAATGGAGACGTCGCTGTTGAAGTTGCGGTCGATGATGCCGCCGAGTTGGAGTATTCCCTCTTGAAGCTCTGCTGATTCCTGAAAACATTCCAATGTCGAATTACTGGCACTTTGGAACACTGCTCACTTGTTTGCTCAGATCAGAAATGCTTAGCAGGAAGTGCGGATGCATTGCATATCTCCGATTGAGCTCTTCTTGATGCTCCTGATTCTGATTCACGAACGTGTCACTCATTGGCGGGAATCTGTCGACACTTCGTTGGAGAACCGGCGTCTGAAAGCACATGTTCCGTTGAGAACAATTCATTCAAATTTCTCGCTCACACTAGAGACCGTCCTTCTGTTTTCCGCCACCACTACGCTCGGTGGACGGAAGATCGGCTCGTCCGGCATCCTTCCCGTGTTCACAACCGCCTTCCGGAGAATGCTTCCGACACGAGACGTCGTCATGGATTCTTGTGATTCTGGAGGCGGCGATTCCATGTTGTTGATGATCTCACTTACTCCGTCCAAGTGCAAATTCATCTTGTACGGCTTCCGGAGATCGGGGAAGTACGGATTCACCATCGGACTGAGCGGCTTCCGATTCTCGTACTCCATCGGCGCCTCGTCCACGCGATCCCTCTCATCCTGCTCTTCCTCCATCTCCTGAGTCACGTCCTTCTCCCGAAGACACTTCATCCACACGTCGTCGTCCCGTTCGAATCTGCCCAACGGCTTCGTGTCGTCCTTGTATAGATGCTGGCCAATCGGCTGCAAACGGCATCTGCTCACGCTCGAAACGATCCACGAGAGGTCGACAGTCCGGGAACGGGCCGCCGCCGACACTTTGCCCGGATCCATCATCACGATGAATGTCTTCGGATGATCGGGCGAATCGACGACAACGCCGCCGTTCGACTCGATGATCGCTTTGACGGACGTGCGGGCGGAAGGATGTTCGGAGACGAGGAAGAAGCGAATCTGGTTGAGCGGCGGTATCGGAGAGCGGGGGAGCGGGACGAAGAGCGCGTGATCGCACACTTTCAGACGCATCTCGTTAGCGATGCACGTGCACTAAACAGAGAGAATGAGTTCGGAGAGTCTGGGAGACTCACAATGTACAGATCCGTGACGACCACATCGAACGTCAGCAGCTCGTTCACGGGCGCCGTTGCTCCGAACACCACGATTTCGGCCTTTTCGGTAACCTCCTCAATCACCCCTCCGCTCTCCACAATTTTCTGTTTCAACTGCTCGGCAACTGCCTTCCCAAGGCTCGAGTGGACCGCATACGAACGGGTGCTGAAGGATCATTTTGAAAAAGAAAAGTACGGGGTTGGAGGTGACGTACGCAAAGATGCCTTTGGCTTGAGTCGGAGGAGGTTCCGAGTAGCTGGTGAGGGCAGTTTTGCGCGATCGAGTAGACGCGGTGGACGGAACTGGGACGGGAGTTTCAGAGGAAGGCGCCGCCCGTTGCGACTGAGAATCGCCCTCCTGGTCCGACCACTCGTAGCCCTCGGGAGACACGACCTGTCTCTGCTTGACACACTCTTCCACCCAGTGCACGTTCACGATCGCAATGTCATCCCGCGCGAGGAACTTCCGAATGATTGCTTTCTCTTGGACCGTCGGCGCCACCACCACCACATTCGTCGCCGTTTCGATCTTCGGCACGCGTGTCGCGCCCGTCGCGTCCAGGAATCGCCGCCATTTCTCCATACGATTTTCCTCGACTCCGCACACAAAGAACATGCAATTCTGGAAAAGAAGAAATAGTGAAGAAGGAAAGGGGGAAGATCACTTCGAAAAGATCATTCATTCCACCAATCCGTTCTCGGAGCTCATCAATCGGATCGTGTATGGATGTGGCTGTGACGCTCTGATGACGGACTAACGGAACTGCAGGCGGGACACTGAAAACGAGTGGGAAGGTTTGAAAAAATACATCAAAAGGATTATACAAATTGTCGTTTTTCCTTGCAGATGCAGTGAAAGTCTGTTGGATTGTCGACGAGGCGACGATCGAAGTGTCCAGGGAACGACGGACCGAAGTGGTGGCGGATATGGTCGAGGCGGTGATCGGAGTGAGCACGGAGCACGAGGCGTTGAACGTCGAGATGCTCAGACGACCTCCGCGGCCGGAGATCGAGGAAACGTCGGGTCCGGTCTCGGTCATGTTGGCGTCTCGTTTCGGCGTCGAAGATCGAATGTGTTCGGATGCCAGATATTTTGGATGGTATTTTCTAAAAGTTAATCTATTTAGGGTTTCAATTTTTAAACTGATCCGCACGCTTCATCAATGAGATGGCCGAGATCGATGCACTTGCGAACCCATCTCGTTTGCACCACTTTGATCGTCTTCCATTCCATCGCCTTCTTGTATTTCTGACTGTTCGTGCAATCCGTCACCAGATGCGAACTCTTCGTTCTCGACATTGTTCCGGGAACCTGTCCCCCGTGCTCCTGTATCAATTGGATCAGATTCGTGCGGTCGAATCCGTCGATCGAGGTGATTGCCATTGTCTGAAAAGATTATAGTTCGATGGAAACAAAGAGCAGACGATCCGCTCACCAGTCCCTCGAACACTCTCAGTTTGTAGGCGTCGACGGCGTCTCTCGTGATCGCACTGAACTTGCCCATCGCCGTCTGCGACTGCTCCCACATCTCGTCGATCCAATCGGTCCGCATGACTCGGATCGAATTGCTCACCGCTGCCTTGTACTTCTCCGACTGTTCCGCCCGTCCGCACACCAAATGAGTCGTTTCGTGGAAGAGCCCTTCGCTCACAACTCCGCCCATCCACGCCACCTTTTCCCGTAGTTCTCTCTGTAATGTGCCCATTTTGTGTTAATACTTTGAGGATCTTTGCAGCTTTCGAACCCTTTTTTCCTGTTCCATACACGAAAAAGTGACTTTCGCTCCCTCGAAAACGCTCGAAAAGACCGGATGATTCCAGAGGGGAAGCTGCTTCTCTTCCTCCAGACATTCGAAAACGATCGGCGTGCCGTATAATCTGAAATGCGACAAATTTCCAATTTTCAGAAAAAGAAACTGGCAGAAACCTCAGTTTTCGTTCTTGGAGTTTCCTGAAAAACTTTCCGCGAAAACAGGGCACAATGAAAAAGTCGTCGGAAGAATGAATGCGTTCGACCGTGTCGACGTCCGTCCATTCGGGTAGAAGCAGTGAGTCATGAGCCACCTGCAACTTTCCAGTTTATTCTTATTTTTGGGGATTTCCGACCTTGAATAGGCCCTCAAACTCTTTATTCTCCTGCTCGTTCGCTTCGGGAAGTCGGAGAAAGAAGAGCGTGAACGGCGAATCCATCTCGTCCTCTTCGCAAACCACCGACTCGTCGTGCATTCTCTGAACTCAACGTTTTTCTTTTTTCTTTGAAACTCCCTAGCTCACCTCACGACTTCTCGCCTTTTTGGGTGCCGGCGGAGCTGACATTTTGTGCTGAAATTGGGAAATTCCGTTTGAAATTTAAATTGCATGCGCTTCGCGGGAGCGGGAGGCAAAACTGTCTGATTGTCTGCGTCTCTCGCCGAGAAGTATTCATGGGTTACACCACAATGCATGCAAGAATAATAACTGGGGAAAAATAATATTTATTATAATTCAAGTTCAAATATACAATTAATTCTGTTGTTTTTCAAGGCGAAAAGTCTGTGCTCGGTGACGAAATCCAACCGGATTTCCGTCCGAATCGAACTCGAATTGATGATAAAGTTTGTCCGTCAATCTGTCTGCCACAAGAGCTCTTCCGCCGATCGGACACTGGTGATACACCCGTCCTGACGACGTCATTTCCAGAGATTCTGGCTGAAACGGATGATAAACGAGCGATTGTCCGACTCGGAGCCGGTCGGAATTCCCGTCCAATTCCGTGTAAACGAGCGGAGTGTCGTCGCACCGCAGAAAGTTTCTCTCGATTCCGCACAGACTGACCCACGGAAATGTGTCCTGCAAGTCTGCTCCGTGGCTCCGCCCCCGATGCTCCTGAATACCTGATACCGTCCCGTTCGATTCTCTTTGATTTTCGCAAAGAAAAAGTTGAGAAACTGAACGTCTTTATAGGCGGCGGTGAAGTTTTTCATGCGCGAATCGTCGAGGAACAAGAATCCGTGATGGCTGACGTAATAGAAGTATTCTCTGAAATCCAACCGGGTTTTCCCTTTCACACTGTCTTTTACGATTGCCGAATCTTTCCGTTGTACTGGCCTTGAGTGTAGAGACTTCGGATCAGCGTCCTCATCTTCGAAATGAGAAGTATTTACAATCAGAAAGTTAGAGAACTTTGAATTTTAAATATTTTGAATCGGTGTTGTATCCGTCAAAATTTGAAAGGGTAAACAGATAGTAACGAAATCTACATTTATTCACTCTTCTGACTGAAACGAATACAAAACGGTAAGAAAAGAAAAAAAATTTTAAATGAAAAAGGAGAGTGTTACGAAAGAAAACTCAACACATATCGTTCTAAAATTCAATTAGAGGAGGAAGGTCGAAAGGCGTTTAGAAGAGACGGAAGTCCGATTTTTTGCCCTGGTCCTTGTCGAACTCTGGATCTTCGGCAACCTGCAAAACAAGCATTATATAACCATTTTTGACTTATTTTTACCTTCTTGTAGTACTGCCAATCCTTGGAGAGCGGCTTGTCACCCTCGAGCGGCGACTTGCTCATGTAGAACTCGTATGGCGGCTCGTAGCTCTTCTTGTCCTGGTAGAACATTCCCTTCTTCCAGAACGAGTAGTCGAACTCGCCGCTCGCCAACTTTTCCTTGTGCTCGGCGAGCTTCGCGGCGCGCTCCTCCATGATCTCCGGATGACGACGCTCCCAGATCGTTCGGTGCTTCTGCTTCATGTAGGCGTCGCGCACGTCCGACTCTCCTCCGAGCTCGCCGTACTTGACGAAGAAGTTCAGCTCGTTCTCCTCCATATCCTCGATGACCTTGGCGCACGGCGAATGGTCCGGATTATTGTAGAGCATACACCGATCGACGCGTTGGCGAAGCGTTTGGAGAATGAAGCCGTCGACCATTTTGTCGAGACGGTACTGCTCGTTCGCCTCGTAAAAGCAAGCCTTGTCGTTCACTCCGCACTCGTCAATTTCTGGCACGCGCGTCAGTTGACGGTGGTAGTAGGGCAGACGGTTACGGTTGTTCAGCGGCTCCACAACCTTCTCTGCAACCTTTTTTATGTGGTTTCAGCCGGAGATGAATGTTTCAAACCTCGAAACCAGGTGGCCGGGGCGTCGAAAGCTTTGTGGGCGTAGTAGCGGAAACGCGGGTAGATGGATCCTCGCGAGTCGACGTCACGAACTTTCCAGTAGGCGTCCCACGACGCCTTATCGTCCGCTTGACGCTGTTCTACCAAGCTCTCACCCATTCTGCAAAGAATGCGAGTTTAGAGAATGCAGAATTGGAATGTCAGATTTGAAAGTGGAAATACACAAATAGCGATGAAGACGCTTGAAAGGCTGAGATTAAAAAATTTTAAAAACACTTCTTCACCTTTTTCAAAAACAAAACGAATCAACAAAAATAGATAAAACAAAAAGTTTAGGTATTGACGGATCTCGTGTAAGTGTTCTGCACCAGTTCGATCAAATCGTCGTCGTCCGTCACCAACTCTGACTTGACGATCACCTCGTGAATCTTGATGATGTCGTCCGCCGACGCCGCGTTGATCCAGATTCGTCCGTTCATTCCGACGGTTATCTCAAACTTGAAAAACTTTCCAACGGTCTGCAGAATCTTGCACGACGGATGGATCAGCCGACGGCAGTGGTTCAGTGCCACTTTGAACATGAATCCTCCGTTCAGCTGCCCCATTCCTCTCGCACGTTTCTCGTCATCCACACACGTCAATTCTGCCTCTGTACGGGGCGTCGTGTCGAAAACAGAAGCGTAGATGATGTCGCCAGTCTTCAGATTCGGGCGATTCCGTTTTGTGGCTCCTTCGAAGTTTGTGAAGTTGATCATTGCGTATTCAGCTGTGCCGATATCCAATCGGAAGAAATCGCCGGTTTTCGACGTCACGATCGCAATCACTCGGTCTCCTTCTTGAGGTATGTATCTGAAATGAATCAATTTTTTATGAAAAGTAATAAATTCAATAAAATACCTTCTGCTGTGCACATTGAGCCAAATCTTGTCCTCGTCGGCGCGGAAAACTCCTGGCTGAGAGGCGACTTTTGTGTCCCCTCGAGAGTTTATTCCATATCCGATAATCGACGAATCACTAGACGATGGCTCATTTATCACGTCGCCAGGCAGGTAGACAGTCATTTCTAAAAGTGAAAAGGAATGAGCTTGAATAAACAGAATGCCAAGCAGATATAGACGGTGTATAAGCATCAATATAAGAAAAATAAAATAAAATTCTTCTTTGAAAAATTAACTGATTTAAATTGATGTTGTTGCAGGACGCAAGAATACCGGAACATTAAAATAAAAAAGAAGGACGGCTTTCGGCAGTGTGTGTTTTGACGTGACGGTGTTTGCAGAAAACAGGGAGGCAGCAAAATGTCGACCGTACTCGCTACGAAATAAAAAAGAAAAACAGCAAAATTCCAGTGTTTCTAGCCAGAAAATATCAAAACGCAAATTCATTTATCAAAAAAACGTATAGCAATTGAGATTTTCTCAAAAACCATAACAAAGAACTAGAGAATATGGGTCTTACGACAGCTACACCACGTAGAATACTTTCTAAATTACATTTTCGAACGTGGCAGTCTGTATTATACAATTTTACACCACGCAATCCACCAATCCATCACCGTTCGCCCAATCACTCTTCAGTTTGACTGTTCTGCTGTTCCGTCGATTCTCAGATGAAGGTACTTTTCCGTCAGGCAACCGTCGTAACGGCGTTCCATCGCCAACTCACTTTCAGTGCGTCTTTCTGTTCGCCGTGCTTATCGGCTCCGTCTTTTGCGTCGAACGCGACTTCTCCGTGCGTGTCAAGGGACAGTTCCTGTGCCATGACAAACCGTCCGTCAGTCTGCCGCTCGACATTTACTACCAATCGAACATCAGTTCGTTTCTCCGTCTGCCACGTGGCATTCAATTCTCTCTTTTCAGTGCTTTACCCCGATTACATGGCTCGGTTCACTGACGCGGAGGGCAAGTTCGATCTGGCCGCCAACATCAAAGTAGATGTACGTGAACACTCCCAGAAGATGTTCCGTCTCATCCGATTTATTTCAGGAGTACATGATCGATCCGTACATTGTGTTCCGTCACGATTGCTGGGAAAGACCCGAAATGGTTTAGAGAAGTCGAGGATTTCAGTGAAAATCGGACTGTTTCAGCCGGGAAGATGCAAGCGGAAGATCATGTGGAGGATTCCGGGAATGAATGTCACTGCCAAGAAGGTGCCCGAAGAGAATAGAGTTAATCGAATGCAACGCGACTTTTCATAAAGTTTTCGACTTCAGATCTTCAACATCGGAACCGTCGACTTGCGATTCAAGCATGAGCACGAGGTTCGCACTATTTGTGGAATCGGCAAGCTCTCAAAGAAATCACCTGAATAAAGAATTTCCCTCTCTTTCCACCTTCTCCTGTTTTTTTGTCCCCTCGAGGGGACTGGGCCGAGCCCGGCAGCAGTGCAACGCCGGGACGACCCCTGGGAAGTCGGAGCAAGCCCCGAGCCTTCCCTCGATTCCAAAAATCATATAACCTTTATTACACTCATTCGAGTGTATACCGTAGGTTAATACGATAAGAACAGATACTACACTGCCGGTCATAATTATAGGTTCACTTCAATTTTTCGAATATTTCGAAAACTAGGCGCTGTATTCAAAAAAGTTCTTAAGGGGATTTTCGGTCACCCAAAGTACCACAAATGTACAAACGAAACCATTCGACTTCAGTGAGAAATTTTCCAAAAATCGTGATTTCTCGAAAAAGTGACTTTAGCGGTTGGTCATAATTATAGGTTCACCACTGAAATTAGCCAGAGGGTCAACTGAATAATTTTTAATTTTAGCCATAACGTCTTCTAAGACTGATTATGACCGTTTTACATCGATTTCCGACAAGCTTCTCGGTTCCCTGATTTTTTGAACCAACTTTCATTGAGTTTTGGGTCAATCATAACTTTTCGTCTTAAAATCGAACCTAACTTCGGTTTTTTGGCCGGACGACAACAGGATCATTCTGGAATGAGTATTTAGTGAGGTTTTGTGAAGTTTCATTGAGAATCTACGAGAATTTGATATCTTTCTAATGTTGAAGTGCTTTGGTCGACTAGTCCCAAGTAAGTTTACATCTGGTTTTTGCTCAAATTTGGAGCAATCTCTGAGAGACTTGACGGCAACATGAAGGACCCAACCAACAATGCACTTGCCAAGTTTGGTACGAATCCGATCATTCTGACCAAACTTCGGAGACGGTTGTCAGTTTCGATCCTTCAAAAAATGCAGAAAAATTTCATGCTCTGGATTTGCTCGGGACTAGGGGGGAATGAAAGGCCCTATAAAGGGGTAAAAAAACGCGAAAAAAAGGTTTCATCTCTGTTTTGGTGTTTAGCCGAGATATGATCAAAAGTATGAAAAAACGGTACATCTTTTTTTCGAAAAAGTCGCATCTCCGTCAATTTTTGAGTAAAACACTCGGTAAAAAAAGGAAAAAATGTAGCTAATGAGATGGTCTTTAAGCATACAATTGATTATCTTTGACGAAACAAATTCTTAAAAATAGATATTCAACAAAAATATGAAAACGTTTGTACTTATGTACACTATTTTGCGAATACAGTTTGACGGGACTATCACCATTAGATTCAGCGTCCAAAATAAGGGCCGTATGCAAAAATTTTGCCTTGGAAAATCGCTTTGACGGAAAAAAAGTTATCGACAATATGCTTTGCCCTTGTTTTCTTGTGGTTCTGTCTGTTTGCTAGCCTGTATCTCCTCAACCGGTAGAGATACCAAAACGTTGTCAACTGTAAAGTTAAAGGTACATGTCCAAGCTATAAAACTTTAGTTGAACGCTTTTTTTTATCTCTACTCGTTCACAAGTTATGGCCGTTTCCGAGTGATCACTCTAAAACTGATATTATCGAATTCAAGGAGTGGTCCTACAATTTCGGTCTCAACATAAAAAATGCTCAATAAGAGGCTAGACATCAAATGTCGTTCAGCCTGTGTTGATCCGATCTCTTTCGAAATATTTTATGACTCATGCTTGTTTCGAACACCCTTCTCTACTTGACGGTAGAAGAGTCACACTTCGAAAGAGATCGGATCAACACAGGCTGAACGACATTTGATGTCTAGCCTCTTATTGAGCATTTTTTATGTTGAGACCGAAATTGTAGGACCACTCCTTGAATTCGATAATATCAGTTTTAGAGTGATCACTCGGAAACGGCCATAACTTGTGAACGAGTAGAGATAAAAAAAAGCGTTCAACTAAAGTTTTATAGCTTGGACATGTACCTTTAACTTTACAGTTGACAACGTTTTGGTATCTCTACCGGTTGAGGAGATACAGGCTAGCAAACAGACAGAACCACAAGAAAACAAGGGCAAAGCATATTGTCGATAACTTTTTTTCCGTCAAAGCGATTTTCCAAGGCAAAATTTTTGCATACGGCCCTTATTTTGGACGCTGAATCTAATGGTGATAGTCCCGTCAAACTGTATTCGCAAAATAGTGTACATAAGTACAAACGTTTTCATATTTTGTTGAATATCTATTTTAAGAATTTGTTTCGTCAAAGATAATCAATTGTATGCTTAAAGACCATCTCATTAGCTACATTTTCCTTTTTTTACCGAGTGTTTTACTCAAAAATTGACGGAGATGCGACTTTTCGAAAAAGATGTACCGTTTTTTCATACTTTTGATCATATCTCGGCTAAACACCAAAACAGAGATGAAACCTTTTTCGCGTTTTTTACCCTTTATAGGGCCTTTCATTCCCCCCTAGTCCCGAGCAAATCCAGAGCATGAAATTTTTCTGCATTTTTTGAAGGATCGAAACTGACAACCGTCTCCGAAGTTTGGTCAGAATGATCGGATTCGTACCAAACTTGGCAAGTGCATTGTTGGTTGGGTCCTTCATGTTGCCGTCAAGTCTCTCAGAGATTGCTCCAAATTTGAGCAAAAAACCAGATGTAAACTTACTTGGGACTAGTCGACCAAAGCACTTCAACATTAGAAAAAAAGATATCAAATTCTCGTAGATTCTCAATGAAACTTCACAAAACCTCACTAAATACTCATTCCAGAATGATCCTGTTGTCGTCCGGCCAAAAAAACCGAAGTTAGGTTCGATTTTAAGACGAAAAGTTATGATTGACCCAAAACTCAATGAAAGTTGGTTCAAAAAAATCAGGGAACCGAGAAGCTTTGTCGGAAATCGATGTAAAACGGTCATAATCAGTCTTAGAAGACGTTATGGCTAAAATTAAAAATTATTCAGTTGACCCTCTGGCTAATTTCAGTGGTGAACCTATAATTATGACCAACCGCTAAAGTCACTTTTTCGAGAAATCACGATTTTTGGAAAATTTCTCACTGAAGTCGAATGGTTTAGTTTGTACATTTGTGGTACCTTGGGTGACCGAAAATCCCCTAAGAACTTTTTTGAATACAGCGCCTAGTTTTCGAAATATTCGAAAAATTGAAGTGAACCTATAATTATGACCGGCAGTGTACACTTTGATCTTAGCTAATAAGCCGAAGAAGCGATACCGGGACTGTGGGAGACCCGCTCTTAAGGCTGCGCATGGACCGACACTTCACGGGCGCGCGTTCGCCTGAAATTATAGTATGTCTTTGCCCTTTCGATTCGACATTTGGAGAGATAACTTCAATCTTCCAAAATAGTTAGAACCGGTTTCCCGATTACAGGGTTACTGAAGACAAAAAATACATTTCAGATGCCAAACCCAAAGAAATGCAGCAATTTTTCTCAGAAAATCTTAATTTTGAATGACGGGAAAAATGTTCTTGTTGAAACATGTGAGGTGTTTTCCTTTGTTTCGTAACTGGTGCAAGTAGAACAAAACTATCGCTTGCGAGAACGTTCAGCATGCGAACATTCTCTGGCCTCAAATTGTCTCCTCTCCCAAATGCTCTTCTCCAATTTATAAAACTGCTCAGAGGAGCAGGCCACTACGGCACCAAAATGAATCGGCGCCGCGCGGTCATCAAGCTCCGAAAAGCTGCTTCACGCTCGCGACCCGCCCGTCTCCCGTTCATCGCAGTTGGCATCTCTACCAATTTGATGGGAATTACGAGATACACACTGCAGAAATGATTCTGTATAGTATGGTCTCGATAAAAGCAGCGCGGCCGGCCGCCTTGTGTACGGGAAGCAGCCGACAACTAACGGGTTCCGCGCGCCGCTATGTTGTCTGTGCGCCGAGGCTCCGCCCACTTTTCTGACTCTCTGGCGCGAAAAGTTTCTCGTTACTGGTTCTGTTTGCGTAATTGCAACTGCAACGAAAACAGTCCACAAAAATCATCCGAATTTATTTCCGAAAGTAAAATATACATTTGTGTGTTGCTTCCGAATACATTCAAAATGAAAAAGAAATTTCAGTATATAAAATTGGTTCGAATACCGAAGCAAAGGAATGCGTTCCTCGGAACATTTGTGGAGGATTCCCGGACTGTGGAAATCCCAAAAATCAACATGCTTAAAGGGGTTTAAAAGGCAGGAGGTATCTGGAAAAAATAGGCTAAATATGGAGAAAAATTCTAAATTTCTTTAGACGATTGATAGAGAATTGAGTATTTTATCGATCGATATTAGTGCTTCGAAATACGATCGAAAAATAGACACAGAATGGACGACGGGCGCGTCGTGAATCTCTAAAAAATGAATAGGGTAAAGTGGTAAAAGGAGGGAGCGAGGAGGGAGAGGACGGGACGGGAGAGATCTACCCGAGTTTTTTGAAAAACATAGAGTATTCAAGAGAATAGCGGAATTTAGACATGAAGAGCGAGGGGAAACGAGGCGACAAGAAGTCGAAATGTCAAAAGATGACTAACCCAGAGAAGGCGGAACGGGGGGAAATTAGAGAGGAATCCAAACGGATCCGGACAAAAAAGGAGGCAGCACAACTGATACATTCATTTTATTCAGGCACTATCCCTCCGTCTTCGGCGGCGTGTACCATCCAGACTTGGCGTGAATCTGCTGCAGACTCTTGAACGATTGCTGTGCGCGCGCCAATGAATACGAAGTCGTGTGCTAAAAAAAGAAACGTAATATTCCAGAGGGGAACCTCAAAATGCTCACCTTCGGATCGAATGAAATGCGAGCGCGTCCCTTGACGAGCGTGGCGGCGATCTGCAGTATGCAACTCTCGATCGAGTAGGCCGACGACCATCCCTGCTTCGTGAGCAACTCCATGCAAATGGCGCCGCCGCTGAGCACGAATCCCTGGTTGATGTGCGGGGCGACGACGCGCACGAACGGCGGCTCGAACGGGAACTTCTCGTTGAACGTGAAACTGAACAGCACGTGGTCCTGCTGCTGCTCCGTCTTCAGCTTCTTCATGTCGTCGAACAGCGGGCTGTCCTGGTCCACTTTGTGCAACTTGACCCACCACTGATACAGGTTCTCTTCCTTTTCCAATTCGAACGAGTACACTCCGTTCTTGTAGTGCTCGCTGCGGTAAATGTCGCGGATCTCCTTCATGAGTCTGTCGGTGGCCGTCACCGATCCTTGCACTTTTCCGTCCAGATGCTGCTGACGATTGACGCGAGAAACCTTGTCCAGCATATCGAGTCCTTCTTTCGGCACGCCGACGTCCTGCTGCGCTGTTGGATCCTCGTCGGCCATCTCGACCATCTCGATGTCTCCCTCGCCGTCGTCCTCCTCCTCGCCCTCGTCTTCCACTCCGTCTGCGACCATATCGTCATCGATGGGTTCCGAAGACGTCTCACTGCTCATGTCGCTTCCTCGTCCCTCGTCAACGTCTTCTCGCTCTGGCGGCGCAATCTGCGGCAGTTCGCACGGCGTCTGTACTCCGTAGAACGAGCAGAGATCCAGTACGAGTCGGTGCACCTGATGGAGGATGTTCGTCGACTCTTCCGTCTCGGTGAGTCTCTGGAGAGCGGCTCCGACGGCCGGAACGTCGTCCGACTCGGAGAACCAAATGGGTGGCTGACGGGGGTAGTTCTCCTGAATGTTGGCGGTCATCATGATTCCCTTGTTATCGGCGGTTATGAACTTCATTGACAGCTCGTCGACCGAGGCGCTCATAATCTGTAAACTTTGATAATCTTTCGAGTTCTTGGATGCATTGTTTACCTGAAAACGCCCGTGCTTCTTCGGAAACAGTTTCTCGAGCACCTGAATGTCTTCCTTCAGTTTTCGAAGACATGCCATTTTGTCTCGATTCTCGCTACCTGCAAATCAATCGATTTCGTTTCGTTCGATGAGAACAAGACTGAGGAAAGACGAAGGGAAAAGACACGTTGCTACGTGGCTTTTCCCTCCGCTTTTCTCTCTCTCCCTCGATACGCAGCGCGCCGTGTCGTCTCTCAGACGGCCGAGGCGGCGACTAATCGATAATTCGGAGGGACGTGTGCGATAGAGAACGAGAGAGTTCAGAGACGCAGGCGCGTAGACCAAGATAGAGAAGAGTGTGAGGACGGCAGTGCCAGTGGAAACTCGTCTTAACGCCACACATGAAGAGCGAGGGAGAGAAAAAGTATGGGAAGAGGTGGGCACGCAGACGGAGAAAGGGACAGAGACAATGAATGGAAGGAGTCGAGAGAAGAGGCTTCTGATGGGGACGGAGACCGACTGGAAAGATGATCCTGTGAAGTTCGTGATTGATGAAAGCCTAGAGTGCATCCGGCTAGACGACTACATTAAGTATTCAAGCCACTCTGTTTTTCGATAAGACCATGTAAGAAGAGAAATTGGCGAATGCTTCAGAATCTTACACGAAATGGCCTTCACAATCACTCTAATCACCTGCGAAGGTCTTCCCTAATTCTAATCGATATCAGTGTTTTTCGCCACTCATAAGTAGAAGTTCAAACAAATGTCGAATGGAGTAATCAGTAAAACTCTGCCGACTTCTCGCCTATATTGATAACAGAAAAGTGGACGAACTGTACGATTCGAGTTGAAATTCGAAATTTTGAGGAAATATATCGGCAAGAAAACTAAAAAAAATAGAAAAATGCTGATGATGATGAAGATGAGGAGAAGAGTCTCTTTGGGAGAGGAAGAGGGCAAATAGCGACACGAAGGGAAAAAAAGAGAAAAAGGCGGGCGAAAACGAATGCCACACACAGAGCAAAGTGGCCGAATGAGTGGACGAACGTCGTCTAACTGAACACTACTGCTCGGCCAATTCAATCAAGACAGAAGAGTTACTGTAGAAGAGATCTGTGCAGGAGCCGCCGTTTCTCATAAAACAGAGAGAATCGTACTTTCACCACAACAGTCACAAGACTGTTTACTTCCTGTGTTATCACATCCCGTACAGTATGACACAAACAGGTCAGATGACGTCTAGAGTTACTTGCGTAATTATTGCACGCAGCAGGCAACAGTTACTTTAAAAAACCGAAAACCAAAAAAACGTAGCATGTTTGGCAATCGAACACTTCCGAGCAGAACGAGACGCCGATCGTACGCTTCCAAAGTACACTTTTCGTCGGTCGGGTCTCTGTTTCGAATGTGTTGCGTGTTGCGCCATCGAAAAGAAAGAGATGGACAAGCCGAGAGGGAAACCAGTCTTTTGCGGTTTGCAGAGCGATGCGGATTCCGCGCGGAAAGTGCAAATGGCGTGTCGTGTGGGCGAGAGACAGAGTTCAGCATTCACCTGTCAGGGCCGAGCACGCCTTTCTTTGCCAGACTACCCCTCTTGTTTACTGCGGGGAGAAAGAGAGAGAGAGAGGGAGAGAGAGAGAGAGAAAAAGAGAGAAACCAATCGATATTAATACGCAGACAGGGAAAACGAATTAGTCGTGGACGGAACACCCGCCTTGTCACTGTAGCGCGGCGATTTTATTTGATTGGCACAGAAAAAATTGGAAAAGACAGTTCAGCAGAGGCCAGCCTACCCACCAGCACACACACGGGCGCAGGGGGACCCAGACCGCAATCTAGCCGACTGTCGAACTGGAGAAATATAATGGGCGACAATAGAAACGGCGGTCGCACAGACAGAGAGATCGGCTGTGTTTCTTTCGTTTCGCGCACATTTCCTGTCTTTCTCTGTGCGGGCCCAATCGAATCGAAGGAAAGGGTGTCTGGTTGCGAGAGGAACGAGAAAGTGTCGGAATGCGCGGAAACGCAGACCCTCAAATGGGTAGTACTGGGAGGGCTGATTCGAGTAGTGCAAGAGGAGGCCTATCAGGAAAACACTTCTGATGGACAGAGATCTTGAAAAAAAAAACGGAGAACTTCCATATTTTATTCGCTGGACACAGCTTTTTTCTAGACACCAACAGCCAATCCTAGCAAAAAGAGAAATATTGCCGAAAAACAAGAGAACATCAAAATCTCTGGAAATTCCGTCTTATCTCACGAAGACTTTCAAAATATCCTACTCTTCCTTATTGAAAGAAAACTGAACATCGCAGTCGCTGACTGAAAATGCTGATGATGGCACTGAGGCGCTGGCGCACGTCATTTGAAGAGGAGAAGACAGCTGCTCTGCGCTTTCGCTTCTCTGCGACCTCTCCTTTTCTGAAACTCCCTCGACGAAGACCTTATTGAGCAGAGGAATGTAAAAATGAGTCAGAAAGAGATTGATAAGAGTCCAACTCTTTTTCGATCTTCTTCCCCTAACAAACGAGAGGGAAAACGAAAGGTTCCACTGGGGTTTCCGTGTTAATTCTAAACGGAAATCCAGATATAACGTCAGAAGTTTGCGAACCCAAAGGCCTATTAAGATTCCGGCAGAGCGCACTTCCACCATACAAATATCCGGGAATGACATCATTTTTCAACACTCTGAACTTTAGTCTGTTTCTGTTTTTGACACAACAATCATGTGAAGATACACAGAGAACAAATGACGCTCGGAAGATAAATCGGAAATTTTTTCTCATCTATTTCTCTCTCTCTCCTGTCACCCGATTTTCATTATCACCGGTGGCCGAGCGATATTTTTAATGGAGGGAAAATTGAGGCGACACTTTTTTTCGAAGAAAAATGTGAAAATTATTACCGGCTTCGGTGCTTTTGGCGCTCTTCAAGGACATTCGCTCGAAGGAAGCGGGGAGATCCTCGCCAAGCATTGCAAGTTTTTGAGAAATGATTGGAAAGTGCTATTTTTTGCATTTTTTTTCTCGTACGGAATAAAATCAGTTGACGTGATTTTGTTCTTATTGCAAAGTTTACGTATATTCTGTGAAAACCGAGAAAAAGTGAGAAAAAACTTTGAAAAATATGGAAAAGCCACGTCATCAAGTGCGCTCTAATGACACTTTTCTCTGTACTCTCCTCCAATCGCGCAGTCTCTCATCGGCCAGAAGTTGCAATTTTGGCGGATTTTTTTCTGAAAAAAATGCAGAGGTGAGCAATGTTTTATGAAGATCACAAAATAGTAGGAATTATGCTTGTTTTTGATACTCGTGCAATAGTATTAATAGTGAGTGGTGAGAAAATGGCAAAAAAAAGCTCGGAAAATTAGTGTTTTTTCAATTTGTTCACAACATTCAATCGTTTCTCGTAGTCCTGCTTCTGCTCCTGAATTGCGCTCAGAATCTGACGATCCACGTCGACGACGCTTCCAATGAACGTGTTTTTATACCTGAAAACATTGGGAAATTGGAAAAATGTGAAAAGTTTTTGAAATTACCGCCAATTCAAATGAGCTTTATCGCCAGAGCAGAGGCTCATGTTGAACGGATTTTCGTAGACGATCGGCGAGTGCCACATGGCAAATATCAGTTTGTCTTTCCTTCTGAAAAATATCTACCAATTCGATAGTACAATAACTGAACATACTTTTTCTGCCATCCGTGGAAAATGAAATCGCTATCGGACCACACAGAATTGGTGAGCCATCCGTCTCGAGCCCACGCAAATCTTCCCTCAAATCATTACATTTTTGATATTTATATCTGGGGACGTCCAGTGAAAACCTTTTCCAAAATGCGAATCTCCTTCATTTTCTCTCGATTCGCTTTGAGTATCTGCTGCGCGCACACCTCAAATGTCGCCAAATCCGAATAATCTTTCGATTTTTGCCAGAATGTTCTCTCGCAAAACTCTTTTTCAGCCTTCAGTTCGGACAGTCCTTTCTCCAGGATTACACTCTGAAGGACCTTTTTTTCTCGAAAAATCACAATATTTGGTGGTCTTCGAAGTGTTGGTCTTCCGAAAAACCATTTTTCAAAGTCTCACATGAACAGCTCCATTGTCGGATCCGTGGAACGAATCGGGAAGTTTCCGTTCGAAATTCGCCCAAAACATGAGAAATTGTCGGGACCAGTGCGAGTTTCGCACCAAATAAGAGCCCGCCATCACCTCGTGATTCATTATCCGATCGTAGAACACTATTTGGGTCTTGAAACGAAGATGATTACTGTGAGGGACCGAAAAACTCAAAGTAAAGTACCTCTTGCTCTTTGGGAATGAAATTTTCGATCAGATGATTTGGGTTGATCACTCCCATATCGCCGTCGAGGAAAAGAAGCCATTGGTCGGGGATAGAGCGCATTTTGAGCGAAAGAACACAGTGGCGACGGAACATAAACTGGAAATACACTGTCTGCATTCACCGACACGCCGCATTGCGTACTGTCGGAAGTACCGTAACCCACATCTTTCTGATCACACTTTCCAGCGATTTCCTTTTCCGTTTCGGCGTGAATGACGTGGCAACCGTATCCGAACCGTTTCGCATAGCATCTGACCGTATCCAGCGCCATACTGTACTTCTCCTCATCCGTCACATTTTGCAACACAATCACCAACCCAATTTTCTCATTTTCCTCTGGAAAAAGTCAACAATTTCAAATTCCCGCCGTATCATACCTCTGGCCACTGTGATCTTCCGGAACACCTCATGATCGTACTGATTGGCCAGATAAATGTAGCCGGTTCCGAGATGAAACTCCTCCAAAACTAAGAAGAGAATCACGAAAAACAGAAGAAATATTATCGAGTAACGTTGAAAAGCACGCATTTTTTAGTATGCTAAGACATTATGCTGAAATGTTTTCGTGTCGAGGCCACACTTTTGTTTCTACTCAAAAAACTGATTCCTGGTGCCAATACCATTGATTTCGTGAAAGATTCGATGCAAAACGTAGTCATATTTATAGAATGCTGTTCAATGTCACAACCAATGCGCTAAAGTGAGTAAAAGAGAGTTAGAAAGTGAGTATACACGAAAAAGGATAAGTACAGTATAATATAAATTACAAGTATGTTGTTGAACACATGAAAATGGCACAGGAAGGAAATCAAATAGAAATGGGCTTTCCCTTCACATTTTTCTTCACAAATTCCGTAAATGTTCGCAGGAATTTCGGATATTCCTTTTTGTAGACGTGTCGGAGAGCCGCTGTCGGAACCCATCCACCCGGATGAACTGTAAATGCATTTTTCAAAGTTTCCGGTCGGAAAAGTAAAGTTTTACCTTGGGAAACGTATATAATATTGCATTTGACATCGTCTCTCGTCAGTTTCCGATCGATGTGCGGATCCTTGACTATCGTTTCGCAGACCATCGAGACGGTGAGCCCGACACGAACGGCCGAGGAGCTTCCCAACGGCACGTCCTGCCTCTGAACATCCCGATTGCACACAATATAAAGATCGTGTGCTCCGTCGCGTTTGTGCTCGTCGACTCGTCGAATGTGCGAAACGAAGAGTGATTCGCGGGGCGCCGCCGGCCAAATCGTTTTGTGTTTCTGATGGAGAACCACGGAATCCGGCGCGATGTGCTCGACGACGCTCATCTCCTCGAGCGTGTGATCCCATTGCATTTTGTACTGCGCGTCGTAGAAGTAGTGCATAAACTCGAGGGCGGTGACGCCGTCGACAGAGTGCGTAGCCTTGAGCGGGTCGACCGGAAGGCCGCCCTCTTCGATCTGCCGGGTGTACATCCGCATCGGACCGTCCTCGGCGAACAGACTCCACACGTTGTCCTCCACTCCGGCGAGCGCGTATTTGAGTTGCTCCAATGCGAGCTTATCGATTGTGGAGAAGAGGCCGTGCTCCTGGCTGACGGACATGTTGTCATAGTGACCAGTCACCGGGCTTCCCTCCTGCAATACATCCAGACTTTAGAAGCACCGCAGTGAAATAGACTTACTAATCTGAAACTAGGACCCTTGCTGCTGGTCACTTCTTCTTCTTCTACGTCTTTTTCAGTCGCCTGCTCGTTTCCGTTCCCTTTGTCATCTGATTCTTTCTTCTCCGTCGTTTCTTCATTCCTCGCTTCCACGTCAAACTCGTCGGCGTCGTAAAATTCGTCGCAATCGCTCGTCACGTCGATATCTGGTCTCGCGAGTACGGTAGAAGCGGTCATTGTCGAATTGTCGTCCGATATGTACTCCTGCTCGACGGACGGTCTTCGGAGACCCGATGAGGAGACACTTCTGGTCGCGCACAGAGGTTCCCGAACAGGGGGAGCAGAAGAAGAAGAAGTCGGAGGAGTGGACGGGGTGTCCGGGAGAACGACCTGGAAATGCAAAGAGTTCGGAAGATCGGAGACGCTTCGGAAGAATACCTTGGAGGTCTTAATCAGGTCCACAATGTGATTAATGTTTACAATCAGTGCCAAGTGCGTCGCTTTCACCGAAAGGATTGTGGCTTGCGGCACAATGGAGCTGACTCCTCCCTGCTCGAGAAGCCGCTCGATCGACTTCATCTGATCCTTACACATTGTTCGGTAGGCCTCCAATTCCGAGAGTTTCGTCGCGAACAGCTTCGTCGATTCATCATCGTTTTTCGGGTTCGTCGACGAAGAAGCGTGCACGGAAGAGATGGACGGATTGCGGGAATGGCTCTTCGTGCTCGTCGAGCTGTAGTCCGAGTCGTTCTGGACCTGAAATTCTTTCGTTCATTCGAAAAATCCATCCATTTCTTCCCAAAATGTTCAATCGAATACGTGTCAACTTGTATGCTATTCTCATCGTTTCCTTTCTCTTTTCTATTGACTTTTCACCGTCCGAAACTAAAAACTACATATTTACTTGCCGAAATCGGGAAAAGATCAACAGGCGGACGGTGTTTTCTAGAGGGGATCGAGGTGTTTGGCCTGTGAACGGAACAAGGATACTCGCAACGAGAACGGAAAAATCGAAGAGACTCAGGCGGACAAAATGATTAGTGATTGGAGAGAACGGAGGCAATTTGCACGGTTTCTCATTGGTTTTCAATGGAATTTTTAAATTTTAATTGAAAACTCACAGTCTCCCGGACCACAGACCGCATCCAGAGAAGTTTTGACTGTGAATTCTCGGCCTTCAGGTACCAAATCACATTTTCGCCCATCGAAATGGAAAATTCACACTCATCGAATTCATGAGCCTGAAAACCATTAAATTTTCTTAAATTCTGAGAAAACCAGGATGCAAACCGAGATGATGGCATTTTTAAGAAAGATGCTGCCACGGCAACCATGTGATTTATCGGCTTTTGACTTGAAATAAACGAGATTTCCCTCGGTTATTTCAAAGTACCGTTCTTGCCATCCATTCACGTAGTTTGTCCACTTTTTCAGCACTCCGTTCGTGGGTAATACGCTAGAAGTAATCGTTTTTAGAAAACAATTGCAAAGTTCAAACTTTGCAGGCAAAACAATTCGGAAAACTCACACTTCGGCCTCCATCGTCGTTCGCGGATAACGTGGTGATAAATGATAAGGAGGGGGCTCTCTTTCGGGGAGCTGTACCCCGTCTCGCCGCAGTTTTTGCTCCGTCTGCAAACAAACGGGCGGCGGATGATGGTGGCGATGGTTTGGCAAACAGTTAAATGGCAGAAAAAAAGAGACAACCTTACATTTAGTCGCTTCTAAACATAGGGCGAAGAGAACCGGTTCTTTGTACTCTAGCGATGTAAATATAGTCGAGGCAGTGTCTGAAAAAGAGCTGTGTAGTCGCGGAGCAAATTTTCGAGTGTTTCGAGTAAAAATCAATCACAGAGTTCAGAAGAATTTATGTGGATGTACGGGCATTTCATGAATTGTGCTTGTTCAGTTGCTTGGTGACACGGAAAGAGGGCAGAAGTCAAGGAAAGCCGATGACAACTGTCATGTGTAAAGTGTCAGGCGATTTTCAGATGTAACACGTCGCCTCGCACATACGCGGGGCAAATTGTTCGTTTCCAAGTGTTCTGATGTCATTTTTCCCGACCAAAACCTGTTTTCCTGCCGAAAAGTTCGATTCGTGTCCGAAAACTATCTAAATCCGTAGCGGCGCAAAAGTTAATGCGGGGCGTCAGTAAGCGCGCTCCACCGAACTTTTGGCCTGATGCCAAGACCCGCATTGCGGGTCTCGGCGCGCGGCAAATACGGTGGCACTCGTTTCGCGTGTGTCGGAGTTTGGTCGAATGGGCGCCGTCTCGCTTTTTGCCTCACTTGCGTTCATCGCTGTCGCCTGTGCTGTTGACACCTGTTCCAAGTCGGATTGTCCGAAAATGAGCACCTCTGAGAGAACCTTCATCGCCGTCAAGCCTGATGGAGTCCACCGGTACGTTTGGCAGCGATATTTAGGCCCTAGAAAGGGCGGTTTTAGGATTACACAAAAATTTAATTAACAATCCTTTTTCAGCGGACTTGTCGGCAAGATCATCGCTCGCTTCGAGGAGCGCGGCTTCAAGCTTGTTGCTCTCAAGCAACTGACCGCCTCGAAGGCCCATCTCGAGGTAAGTCCATCTACATCCCGAGTATTTTAGGCCAAACAACAATAATTTTTTAGGTTCATTACCAAGACCTGAAGGACAAGCCATTCTTCCCAGCTCTCATCGAGTACATGAGCTCTGGACCAGTCGTCGCCATGGTCTGGCAGGGACTCGATGCCGTCAAGCAAGGACGCATCATGCTCGGAGCCACCAACCCGCTCGCTTCCGCTCCAGGAACTATCCGCGGAGACTTCGCCATCCAAACCGGACGTAACATCTGCCACGGATCGGACTCGGTCGACTCTGCCAACCGCGAGATCGCTCACTGGTTCAAGCAGGAGGAGCTCAACGACTACACCAGCGCCCTCATCAACTCGTGGGTCTACGAATAAACTGTTCGTGATCCGGTCACGGTGTGTGGCGTCTCGAGCCTCCTTTCCACCAAAAGAAGCTTCATTTCACCACCATTTCGTATCTCTTGCTGAACGTTGATAAAGTATTGCTTCCAAAACTTTCACTTCGTGGCTTGTTTACCACTCGATCCTGCTCGCACATAAGCCGTTGCTGCGGTAACGCTAATCTGCATAAGCTTCTATTCAGCTGTCGTCAAATTTTTTATTCAACCCGAAAATCGGAAAAGGATTAAATATATATCAGATGACTGCCATGAAATAACGCATGAATAAGTTAGATGAATCATCATTTAAGCTCTAAATTCAGCTACTTGGACTAGTTTGTTGCTCAGATTGGTGTTGTAGAAGTCGGAATCCGGATTGTCGAGGTGATTCTCGAAGTCGGCCAGCTCCCGATATAATTTCTTCTGGATAACCGCCTGCAATCCTTTCAAGAAGTTCGATCCTTGGAAGATGGTTCTGAAAACAAAAACAGGATTTTCCTATATGACGCACGCCTCCTCACTTGGTCTCTTTCCAGCTCTCTCCATCCTTCTCGTAAGCCACGAGTCTATCCTGATCGCAGTCCGCCACGAGCTTCTCGTTCATCACTTGGATGAGCACGGCGGCCGACGAGGTCACTGCGGATATCCGCTCGGCAAGTCGGATGGCGAACGGACTGAGCGACGTCTCCGACGGCGTCGCGTTTGAGAAGTAAACGCCAACAAGCGAGGCGCCGTACTTTCCGTGAACGAGAGAAGTTGCCAGTTCGAGCGGTGGCGCCAGCGGCGTCGATTCGTGGCACAGGGGCACACATCCCGTCACCTGAACACTGATTTTTAATATAATTATTTCAGATTTTTGAGTATTCAGGATACACAAACCGTGACTTTGTCGCCTTTTTTGTTGCCGATCAACAGGCCGAACACGCCTTTCGCAGGATATTTGAGGCAGTGGAGAATGATGGTCGAGTAGGGAAGCGCCTGCGTTTCCACTTGATACTTCATCTGAACAGAACATTTTATTTTTGAAAGCAGCATGGAAAAAGACACGGGGAAAATTAGCCTTTTCAGCGGAACGCGGAGCAAAATCGATTTTTGGAAGGTTACCCTGTTTTATTGATACTGCGTGTGCAAATTTTGAGATGGTCAATAAAAAGAGAGGTAAATTAACAGGAAAATGAATGGAAACATTGAAAAATGTACGAAAATTGAGAAACGGTCATGAAAAGAGATGAAAACACGATGAAAAGTACAATTGTCAATGGAGCGAGATTGCATTAATGACACAAAAGTGAGGGAAAAACGACAAAACGAGCATTAAGGACATTGAGCGATCGCTAGCGATGGAAATATAGTTGAAAAAAGTGCCTAAATTAAAAATTAAAACAACAAGAATGTGCAAAAATGGTTATAATCTGAAGCTGTGTCTGTAAAATAGGTTCTTTCGATGGGCAACATCCGCGTACGCGTCTATCATTGTTTTAGTTAGTCTACTGAACAAATTTCTAATCTGACCAGCCTTTCGGACGGATTCAGAAAGAACCGAATCAGTATGGATCCCTTCGAATAAATTCGGATTGTTCACTTCGAAATCGGTGCGGAAAAAGTCGTCGAGACTGAGAGGGAAGGCGGTCGGGTGTCTTGTCGAAGAGAACAAAGATGCATGATATAAGTAGCGTGGAATCGGATTCTCTGATTTCGGCTTTTCGGCTGTACGAATGGAAAGTGCCTGTCGTTCGGCGCGCCGCGGCTCTTGCAGCACTTTCTCCACCTCTGCAGTCAGTTCTCTTATCAATTGGACGTCAATATTCAGAAATGAGTGTGCGGTGCTCCGCTTATCCGCCGGGGAAGCTTCAGGAGCATTCAACGAAAGAGAGAAGTTCACCGATTTGGATCTTTTTCTCCTCGCCCCATCCTCTTCTTCGTCAATATCAGTGGCTCTCCGTTTCTCAGTGCGTCGAGTATGCAAGAAAGAAGAACGACGGGGAACTGGCGATTTTATGATTTCTCGTTTTGACGAAGATGGAGGTGCTGCAGAAGAAGATCGTTGAGGAGATGGAGCACGTGGCTTCGGTCGGTTGAGAGTCTCATCTCTAGCAGCCATCAAAGATCGGACACTTGTTGGTTCCGCAATAGTTGTCTCAGTGCGCTCCGAAATCGGAATCGAAAGTAAAGTAGAAGTTGGCCGAGCCGGAGGAGCATCAAAAGACGGAAGGAGATCATGGGAATTGGGCGGCGAGTCTGAGGAAGAAGACGTCTGTGCATCGGAAGACGACTCGGTATTAACGTGCTTCTTCGCAGAAGATAGACCCACTGCCAATGTCTCATTCCATTGTTTCACTAAAACATCCGGTCGGACTATTCTCAGCTGAAACGTTTGGAATGAAGTCGGTCGGCGGACGGCTCAAGGGCAGAAGTTACCTGGAGTTCGGGTGAGATTGCAGCTCTCTCAACTGGTTTCTGCCGTGTCTGCATGCTTGACGACGGGAGCTGATTGGACGGAATACTGAGCACATTGCCGTCTAAATCAATGTCTTCTTCTTCTCGTGGCCTCTTAGCTCTCGGGGCACTCCCAGAAGGGACTTCCGCGGGGTCATCTTCCTTCGTCTCCATTCGCACTATCTCCAGTTCATCGTCCAGCGCAAGAACTTCTACAGACGGCCGCTGCGGCAACAGATTTTGCGGTCCCGGCAATTCTACTTCCAACTTTCGTTTTCGTTTTCTGTTGGGGTCCGGCTGAAATTGAAATAGAAACAGAAACAGAAACTGGGAATCTAGTCAACTCAGACACCAACCAATTCCGGCGTTTTGGTCCTCACGAATCCTTCCGGCTCGTACTCCTCAATGTCGGATTCGTTTTCGATGCCCAACTCGTCGCCCAGTTCTTCAATACCCTCTCGCGATCCCACCTGAAACCCGTTCTTGCCGGTTCTCTCCACAAAAAACGAATGTCGTCCGCGCTTCTTCTCCAAATATTTGAGCATTTGAATTCTCTGAATGTTCAGTTCACTTCAGTTCACTCGGTTCTTGATTCTAACCTCTGCGCAGTTATCCTCTTTAACGTGCAGCAGATGAAGTGGCGAATAGCTCCATTTGTCCTTCTGCCTCACATCGGCTCCAGCGTTGATCAGCATTTTGAAGATCTTCAGAAGACCGGCGCGACGTTTGTTGAAAGCCAACTTTTTCGCATCTCTGTTGTAGACGATATGGAGATTGCGGATGCAGATGTGCAACGGGGACTCTTGTAGGCTGTTGCTGTGATCCGAATGGTTAGCTTTCGCCCTGAGAGTTTACATGTTAACGAGTTTGCTATTATGCGACTGAACGAGACTTACTTGAGTAGATAGTAGACCATACGGGGCTGGCAGTAAAGGACGGCCTCATGCAGCGCCGTGTAGCGAGAGTTGCACTTTGCGAAGACATTCGCTCCGGCTGAACGAGGCCACTGATAGGTTATAAGTACGGGCGCTTACCCGTCAACAACTCGATCACTTTTTCGAAATTCTTTTCCGAAACCGCTTCAAGCAGCGCCGTGTCGCCGTGCTCATTCCGTTCTTCTTTCTGTTTTTCCTAAAGAAATCTAGGATGAGACTGATTTCTCTTACTATAGCATTAGCGCCACGGTCTCCAGAGCTGACAATGTGGGCGTGGCCTCGGCGGCCTAATGGCGTTTTCATAAATTGAGCACGTTTTCTCTGATTTTTGTGGTCAAAGGCGATGAAAAATGATTGTTCGACATGAAAACACACCTCAGAATTAATGACGTTTTGGCGCATTTTTCGCCGACTTTGCTTTTTCGCCTTCGCCGCCGTTAGCCACCTAAAATCGGCACTTCTCATTTTGCGCTTTCTTGACCGTTTTCCGACAGAATTGATTTTGAGAATGATAAATCACGTAAATACAAGCATTTTGAGCGCTCGAACCGCGAAAATTACCGAAAAGCAACTGAAATTCACGCAGTTTTAGCCAAAAACCTTCAAACGGATAAATGTCACTTGTGCCCATTGTCAGCTCTGGAGACCGTGATTAGCTCAACCTCAAAGACGCCAATAAGACAAAACAAGCAGTTAAAAACTAGAGGTGCAAGGGGGTAGACGGCTAAGTGAAACAATCTAAAAACTCTTGAGTGAGAACTCTACACACCCATCACTTTATTTTTCCTATTGAACACTTTCCTCTGCGACCCCTCGCGTGACTGCTTTAGATTAGTGAAGTTTGCATACAAATTTAGGATGTCGTGTGAGAGCTGATAGAAACACGTTAATAACTGGGCGAATTGAGTGACACACAAAAAGTTGTAGGGCCCAAACGACGTCTAATACCCTTGTTTCGCCTCTTTTCGCTTCACTCACCTCTTCCGGAGGCTTCGCTATCCGGCAACTTCTCACTGGTCTTTCCATTTCCCCTCTACAATCATTCATTATACGTTTTTTTGGCAAATAACAAATGAACAGTTCAAGTGCTCACCGTTTATTCGACATTCCCTGCAAACTTCGGTCCATCTCTGAAATATAGTTCATTTCAGCACATAGAAGAAAATGGTACGGAACCGATCGGGAGTATATATATATACCGCCCGTTCAAGACAATGTATTTTAACTGCCGGTGGAGATATCGAAAAGTTGTCAACACAAAAATTGTTTAAAAAGAAATTGTGCACATTTCATCAGTTGACAAACTTTTGATATCTCTACATACAGCTGAGATACATCGTTTTCAAATGATGCGGTTTTTGGTGTCATTCTACGGTTAACGAAATGAATGCGAACATATGGAATAACGTAAGAGTGATTTGTGTGAGAGAGAAATGAAAATTGAACGTCTTCATCTACTGGAACTTCGATCGAATCGATCAGCCGTGTGGAAAATCTGAAATGAAAAGTGAGAATGGCCACGCGGACTCATTAGATATGCAGAGAAGTGAACTCTTGTGAGAAGACAATACCACTTGTGATTATTATTGTGAATCTTTGTCAAATAGATCTCAAAAACCAACAAATGACACTTGAGACAAAGAAACAGGAGAAGAAGAAGAAGAAGAAGTCGACAGGAAACGAACTGAATTGAACTGGTTATCAACATTACTATTGTTATAATTGTAATAGAATTAAGAACAACAAAAATAGTAGAAGCTCGAAGACTTAGAGTGCAAAATTTCGGGAAATTGTGTTAACTATGTAGTAAGCAGTTGCCGAATATAGGATTTCCAAAGTTTTAGAGATAAGGCAAACCGAGATGAGACTGACTGACGACAAGGTGATTTAGAAGAGCACAATATAAGAATAGTGCTTCACCTGTGGGCAATTGAGGATAATCGAAAGTGTTGACGGGCGGTGACGGTGTGATCGGGAAAGAGAAACTGGGCAGCAAGGAGTTCGAGTCCGTCTGCGGAAACGGACGGAATGGCGAGTTTGGCGAGAATTGGATCGGCTGGACGGCACTATTCTTCTTCTTCTTCTTCTTCGTCTTCTTCTCCGGCCCACCACCGGCTTCCTCTCCACTCCGTTCTCTCTTCCTTTCGGCACGTTGCACGACTTCCGGAGGCGACGGAAGTTGAGACGAAAACGCTCCGGATGAGCACTCCCAGTTCTCGTTTCCGATCACTTCCATCATGTCGGAATAGATGATGGGTTGGGAGAGGCAGGGATTCGAGTGGAACTGAAGCAATTCTAACTGCAGCGGCATCGACGCAGGATTGGTCGGATCGCCAGTCGGGTCGATTGCCTGAAACTGAAAATTGTGTCAACTTTTTGATTTTGATGGTTCTAACTGTGCTCACCTCGTTCGGTTCACTTTCCGACGGCACAAACTGTGGCTGTGGCGGCGGCGGCGGAGCTGGCTCCTCTTGCGGCACCGAACTCTCTTTTGCGACTTCCAGAGGGACCGCCTCATTCTCTGGTGAGTCGGGTATCATCTCTGGTGAGTCGGGTATCAATTCCGGCTCAGGTTGAGACTCAGCTTCAACTTCAGGATCAGGTACAATTTCAGGTTCAGCTTCAACTTTAGGTTCAGCTTCAACTTCAGGTTCAACTTCAGCTTCAACTTCAGGTTCAACTTCAGGTTCGGGTTCAGGATCAGGATCAGGATCAGCGGCATGAATCAGGGCCGCATTTTCGTCTTGTTCACTTTCACGTTCGTCATCCTCTGCTGAAGCCGTTTTGTCCACTCGAATGTGTTCCCCAAACACCTCTGCCACGTAAGATAGTAGATCCAGTGCTTCCTCTGGCCCTTCCTCCAACATCTGTCTCGTCTCAGTTGTATCCACCACGGGCGGTATCTCTAAGCTCTCTTCTCCGTTGTTTTGTGGCTCGGGCCGAACCTCCGCGATCTGCTCCTGTGTATTCGGGTGTTGTCCTTCGGCTTCCCCATGACTCTCTTCTTGTTCCCCTTGATCGTGCTCCACCGCATCCACTTCCATTGGTCCTTGATCTGGGATCTGTTGTTGATTCGACTGGTCGGACAGTGTCACAAAGCTGCCGATCTCCACGTCAATTTCCGCAGTCTCCACTCTCTTTTCGGATGCAAGCTCGAGCACAATCTCTGGTTCATTCTGAGCAATCGCTTCCAGTTCTGGCTGCACATTTTGTCTTTCAAGCGTTGCCACCGTTCTTACGAGCTCCGAAAATTGGTCGATTTCGAGTTCAGGATCCGCGTGAATGGCTTGCTTCTTCTCCATTAAAGCATCAATCAGTTTATCGATTGGATCTGAGTTCTGCTGTTGCTCGGGCTGCTCCATTGAAAGCTGCGACAGATGCTCGATTGCTTCCGACTCCTCATGTTGGTCTTTCTGTTCCAATTCTGGTTGTGAATGCTCAAGAATCTCCTGCGAGAGAATGTGCTCCGGCTCCGGTTGACGCAAGGGTTCCAAATCCAGAACATTCCATTCGAGCATCTTCTTCGGCGGCGGTACCTACAATACAAACAGTTGAATCTTGAAATGCATTCCCTCCGCTCACCACCACCTCCTCCTCCTCCTCCTCCTCCTCCTCCTCGTCCAAATCGTGAGCCCGAGTGCCGATAAAGAACGCATCCGCCCACTTTTTAAGTTTCGCAAACTTGCTCCCTCTCTCGCCACTCCGTTTGATGCGCAGTCGCATTGCCTCTTGCTGAAACATTCCCTGTTGAAGTGTGTCTGAATCGCTCTTTCAGTTCTCACCGCATCGCACGGAATTCCGACGCTGTTCAGGAGATACTCGACGCTGAATCCCCAGTGATCGGTCTTTTTGATGTCGGCGCCCTTGGTGACCAATTTGTCGAATATCTCGATGAGATCCCGTTCGCGGGTCACGAACGCCGGACGCACCTCTCCTTTCGCGTTGCGGCGGTACAGACTGCGCACGCACAAATGGGCCGGAGTCTCGGAGGAGTAGTTGCACGAGGATGGGTTCGCGCCCGCCCTGCAAACAAACGTTCTTATTTCGAAAAGTCTTGGAGGGTTGAGAAATGCGTGCACGTGCACGGCGACCAAAAACGTAGAAAGGGGCGTGGCCTAGCGTGCACGATTTATCACCATTTTGGCGCGAAATTCGAAATTTAACCCAATTTTTCATGTTTTTCGTCAAAAATTACCCAAATTTAGTACGATTTCGACGATGTAATTGCATAACTTTGTTAAACTAATCATCGCGCACTTTTTGAGCTTAAAACGAGCAGTTTTCATTCAGAAATGAATGAATTGAATCGATGTTCAAGTTTTGTGCTGAAAATGCGCGAATTTCAGTCATTCTCCGATACTTTTTGCCGTTGTAACGCTTAAAATACCGCCCATATTTTGTCGCTGAAACTCAGTCGCGTGCCTTAGAGGATCGTACAGATCGATACAAAAGCGGTCGTGTACGCGCACAAATGTTCGGAAATAGACTTACCCCAACAAATGGCCTACAATGCCTCGACTACAGTGGATCACAGCCAAGTTGATGGCCGGATTCCCGTTGGAAGAACGAGCGTTCGGACTGGCACCGTCTGAAAAAGACACTGATATCGGGCACTTCAAGTTTTGAGACGAAAAGTTTACCTTCGAGCAGGGCGAGTACTTCTCTAGAGGACATGTTTTCGATGGCCTTCAACAGAAGCAGATCTTTGGCTCTCTCCGCTTCGGTCCGAACTTCAATCTATAAAAAGAATGGATGAGACAAGAGGAAAGAGATTGCTGGTGAACGAATAGTCTCGTCTAGACTAGGAACATAGAATCTCTAGCACATTTCACCTTTCGACTTACAGACCCATTCTGAAACGCCAAAACTCATTTCCAATTCCAGCTGAAAGTCAACCTGCCCCGTTTTTCTCCGTTTCCGTTCTCTCTCCCACTCACCGGCGGCACCACTCCGAACTGGCGTTTCGGTTGCTGAGCACGCGGAGCTCTCGTCGACTTACGCCCTTTTTTCATTCTCGGATTGTATCTGAAACACACGAATAACACTGAAAGGGAATCGTTTCTTACTCCGGATCGTCGTCCTCTTCGTTGCGAGTTGCACGCCGGTTCATCATGCTAGTTTTTGCTAGTTTTCCTAGGTTTTTCGATTCTGAAAGGAAGAAATGTTTGTCGGAAAACGGCAACGGAGAGGAGGAATAAAGCGCTCGAAAAGAAGGAAGGAAGAAGTTGGGATATTGATGTGGGCGGGCTGCTATTAACAATTCTCTTCTCGGACCTCAGCACAATGATTTTGAATCAGGATTTGTATTTAAATGACTAAGAGGGGTGTACCTTTGACTGTCAAATGTGTATACAACTGTTTGATATCTCTACCGACATCTGGAATGAACGGCATTTGAATTTCATCTCATTCACAGTCATGAATGACTATGTCCAGTACATTAGAGAAGAGCAATTGGAGCCAGTGCTCATCCCCGCTCTTTTTGTAGTGTCAATTTCAATTCGTTCATTTTTTATTTCCACCAATTAAAAAGTTGGCTACCAATCGCATTTAACATGTACAAAATGCATGAGTCAACTTTTTTCATCGACAACTAATAAGAAACATGAAGAGAGACGAGACAAGAATAAACAAGAAATTGAGATGAAAAAGTGGGTGTGGGGGGAAAGTGAAACGGGGGAAAGGCGAAAAACGAATGGAAATTGAGCCAATTAACAACGTCGGCACACCGATATTATATAGTTGCGGAGGAGAAGAAGAAGAAGGAGATCGAGCCGACGAAATTATGCGTCGAGCGGGAAGGAGACGAAACGAAAAAAAAAATGAAAAATTCAACAAGAAAGAGTTTGTGACAAGTGTGCATGTCTTTTCAGGCATGATTCGAATCCAGTGCTGGTGGTCCGCATTATTGTGAGGAGAGGTGCAAGCAATCGGAAAGTGGCAAGGAGGAAGGAGGAAACGAATGTCGGCGTGGCTTTGGAGATTAGAAGATTGAGGTGTGGAGTCAAGTTGAAGGATTTGAGTACGATGAAACAGCACAACGCTCAGGACTCGACTCGACTCGAGACTTTATGATTTCGGCGATTTGTATTTTCAAAGGTATGGAGCTTAACTCCTTCGAGAGTACATTTTCTGATGGCTGACTCAGCAAGGTTTGTCCTCTATTGGCCTAAAAGCTTCATACCTTTGAGCACAATGACCAGAGTTAAGCGGAATCGACTTTTTGAAAAGGCGGAAGGCGGAAGGCGGAATTCCGCTCAACTCTGGTTGGAATGACCTCCATTGGCTTAAAAGCTTCATACCTTTGAGCATGCTGACAATGTACGGACAAACATAACTCATTTTGAGGAACACAATTCAACTGAACATGTATCTCTGTGTTCGATTTCTGGAGATACGTTGAAAAAGCGCTACGAAACGTGAACATTGCTCTACAAGGTGAATTTCTAAAGTCGCGGCTTTCTCCAATATTATAATGATGCAAAAGGCGAAACGTAAAGTAGAGGTAACCGAGCCGCGCTCATTAGACCCTCCCTCCACCTGCAGCTGCCCGCCCTTTTCCCTCTAAGCTGATAATGAGGGGCGGCGCGTACCTTTGCTCCGAGCTCTGTGTTGAGCCGCGCGAGGCGTGGTGCTGGCAGTGAGAAGGCGGGCGCGAAAGAAAGGGGCAACGACTGAAACCGACAACGCCGTCGACGGCTCCTTTATAGAGGCGACGAGGGGAGGAGGAGGAGCGATATCATTCACGCCCCGCCCCGTTTTGAGGGCTAGAAGTGCGAGGAGAAGTCAACAAAACAAATCTGGAATTCAGGTCGATGTTTGGCTTCAACGCTTCAACGCTTCAACGCTTCGAAGGGCAGCCATAGATTTCCGCCGGCTCCCAGAGAGAGAGTTTTTAGTTTCTCGCACGGCTTACGCGTTTGCCGCCGCGATGTTTCATTTCAAAGTCATTTCGTACCAGCGCCCATCATAATTGGCTCCAATAAAGTTTTAGTTTCGTTTTAAAACATCTATACATGTTTGGGTCTCGCCACGAACTTTGGTTTCTCTCGCTTCAAACTCGTCCGCTTGACAGCACACACAAACACACACATCAAGCCACCTGGCCGAAGCTCTCTTCTAATTTTAGAGATTTTCATGAAATCTAAGGGCTAATTAGTCCTTCCCTTCCTCAAAAGTGCACTGCCCTTTAACTAGATATTGTGAGAATATGAGTCACGCCCCCCCTGGGAGAGTATACTGCTCATTGCGCGAATCACCAACTGATAAACAAATGGAGGATACGCGTGATGGTCAGACACAAAACGGACACAAACTCTAAATGTGCCGTGATTACCGGGTGGCAGACAGGAAATTGAATGGGAAATTGGATATGATGTCGCGGATAGCATAGGCAGGACCGACAAGAAACGTTTCAGATTAGACGGGATTACGGATTTGACGGATTTGTTTTTTTTTGCGAAACGAGGAGCAGAATCGGGCGGTGCCCAGTTATTATCGTCGGACGGAGGGGGGAAGAAGGAGCACAAATTAGAGAGTTGCGCATAAGGACAACAGAGAAGAAGGGCGGCGGATTCTGAAGACTGGATGAAAACAAGCGCATCGAGCCGCGGAGAAATATGCGTGCAGGCGGTGCTCATTAGAAACATGTCAACTGATTCCGTGCCCGCGCACTCGTTTCTCACGCCACCCACCGAGCACTCTCGTGTAGGTGCCGGTGCTCAAAACTCACAGCTACAAGTGTTTTCTTCAAAATTAGATGTTTAGACGATGCTCCGCATTCATAATTATTGGTAGAGTTCTAAAATCAAGTAGGGGTCTGGACTCGAGTCGATGCAGTTTCAGACCGATGCTTTACTCTGAATGGGTAACGTTTAGGCCCCATTCACAATGATAGTATGCGACAATTCAGTACATAATTTGTTCCGATTATCTCGCCAAAGAATGACGGACACCAGCAGCGAAGGTCGTTCGAATTTAAATTCAAAGTTGAAGGACTTTTTTCACTATTAACAAGCGACAAAATCGGAGAGGAAATGTATGAATTCTCAAAGAGTTTGAGCACGACAGACTTTCGAATCCGCGGATTCTGTATTACGAACGTTTTGTTGCGGCAAAAAAAAGGGAATGGAAATCTAGAAATCTGCAAATCATTCATTCAAAGGCAACTATTAGTACACAAGGAGAAGCAGTGGACCCGCGCGGACATCTCGGGAACGCGAAAAGTGATTATAAAGCGGAAAAGTCATGTGCCTAGTCAAAAAAAAAGATCAGTTGTCAGGGTGCCTATCAATAACGGTGAATCAGTCGATACAATCGCGGTGGTGCTCTAGAATTCTCTTCTCGAATTGGATTTTGTGTGTGGGCGGTGGTTGGCTCTGGCTTCCGAAGGCCGGCTCCGACTCTTGCTCCTCGGGCAGTTCCTCTGCTCGACGGCCGCGGGGCAGCGGGATCTTCATCGGCGGCAGCAGCTCTTTCTTTAAATCGGAACCCGCCTGACGTTCGAATTGGATCTCGGCGAAGCATTCGGCCATGTATTCAGCCTGCAAAACGTTTTCACTTTAAGATGATTCAAAAGAAACACTTACAAAGGAGGTCTCCAGTCGCATGTACTTGGTGCGGCTCGGCTGCTCCGAAGTGCTCTGCTCTCCCGCCGTCTCCTTCTCCTCCTCCTCCTCGCCCTCAGTTTCCTCATTCTCCGCCCTCGTGTACTTGAACGAGAAGGCCGTCGCCTCGTCGCAAACACGAAAGTCCTGCACCCGATCCCACTCGATTTGCGTCGAGTTCGATGAGCCGACGTCTTCAGGAAACTTGAGCAGAAGGTTCGCGAACCGGACGACCATTATCACTGTCTGGCGTCGTTTGGGGCGGAAGCAGACGCTCGGCGGGAACGTCACCTGATTGTAGCCCTCGAGGGTGCGCGCCAGCTCGAGCAGCTCGTCCATGTTCTCCTCGTTCTGGATGGCTCTCAACTGATAGCTCTTCCGGTTCGTCACCAGTTTTCCCATGTCCAAATCGGCGACGGCTTGTAGGAAACAAAAGTGTTTGAAGACCATGTCTCGCTTGCAAAGCGCGCGTTCCCGCTCGACGTCAAAGATGAATTTGCGGAGGACGAGGCACGAGGAGGAGGCCGACGAGTAGTTGTGCGTGTACAGTTCGTGCACACTCTCGCTCTCCGACACTTTTCGTTCTGCAAAGTCTTACGATGTAGCATGTTTGGTGAGAAACGATTACATGCTTCGTAGAGCTTATTATTCATTACTCACCGAAAGAGTTGTCGAGCAGCTCGAAAATGGAGCAGGCGGCGGCTCCCTCACGGCTCATATGGAGCCTTCTCTGCGCGCACGCGAAGAACAACGACGCTGAGATGGAGCGACGCGTGCGGATCGACATGGGCTGTCCGTCCGGCAGCATCATCCGGATCTCGACCTCGCACATCGGGTCGCACTCCATCAGAAACTTCTGGACCATCTCCGACTCGGCGATCACTCGGATCGTGCACACCTTCTCCAGATACTGTTCCAGGCCGCGCCGTCGCGAGTCGAGCTGCTGCTCCGACAGTTTGAACGGCCATTTGCCGGGCAGGTGGGGGAAGCAAAAGTCGTAGAATTGTTTTTTGAGTGCCGAGTGGAGCTCGACAAACTCAGAGTACCTCCGCGAGCCGAGCTGTCGGCCTGCCATGTGGATGTTGAACACCTGGAAGACGGGAAAGATGAACGGAGGTAATTGGGGGGCTTAGTTGCAGATGGTGCGGGGAGGCGGCGCATCGAAAAGGATTCGATGTAATGGGAGAAGATCAAAAGCATATGGATGGATGCTCACCGTATACCTCTCCAGCGCATCATTAACAGTATTGTAGGAGGGAACCGTGACCGGAAGTGACCTGTTCTCCGAGTAGTCATGACCGTACGCCATCGAACTCTCCTCTCCGTAGTCGTACCGATCCATCTCCGGATCCTCCACCGAAATCACAATCATTGTCAGTCGGTCGCCGCCGTTCTTGATCAGATCGACAACTGTGCGATGCGAAGCGCCCTCGACAGTGTGCGAGTTCACTTCCAGAATGCGATCGCCCTTCCGAAGGCCCGCCAGATCGGCGGCTCCTTCTGCGAGCACGGCACTCACGTGCTGTAGTGGCATGTAGAGATCTCCGTTGAGACTTCTGAACTGACCGCCCTCGCTCACTTGGCCCTTCACGTTGAATCCGAACCCGGATATCGATTTGACGACTGTGACGAGATGGGGGCGGGGATTGAAGATGGGCGGCGAGGAGGAGGAGGAGGCGGTGTCCGAGCGAGACGCTGAAATACTCAACCAGACGTTGAAACGTGTCAAGTGGTGCTACTAGAAACTCGTACAATGCCTCGAGTGAATGTGCTCATCTGAGGCCGTCTGCGAGTCGTCCGAATCGTAGTCGTACGCGTGCATCATTCTGCTGAAATCACATTCGTTTCGAGAAAGAGGAGACGAATAAACGGAAGGCAGGCGAGAAAAGTGAAAATCGGCGCCCGCCCGATCACCACATAAATCATCCGAACGGACGCGGGCCGCGCTCGACTCCAATTAAAAAAACAGCGAAAAACGAGGAGGGAAAGAGGGAAATCCGACTAGTTTCAGGCCAACATGTTGTGCGTTTGTTTAGGCGAAAAATGAGTGAAATGGAAATGGTGTAGTAGGAGGATGCGTAGAGAGAACTATTAAAAAAGGGTAACTTGCTCAACAATTATAAATTACCGAATAGCGTTTATTCCAATCTATGTATCTCAGCCGCCGGTAGAGATATCAAAAAGTTGTCAATTGATAAAATGTACATCATTTCTTAGTAAACATATTGTTAGTTGAAAACTTTTTGATATCTCTACCGGCAGTTCAGATATAACGTTTTCAATTAACGGTACTCGGGAGTCTACACCCGACTATAGAAAGAGCTCCGAAAAGTGTAAAAACTCTAAAGTTTTGTACTAGAAATTCACAAGGGAGTATATAATACACGAGAATGTTCGTCCTCCACAAATATTATTCGGCTCCATTTCTCTGGTGAGCCTGAGCAACTGACAGGTGTTGCCGCCCGAATCCAGTCATTTTTCATTCGAAAATAAATGGAAATGCATAATTTTTCTGGGCGTGCTAATGTGCGTTTCCGCTCGAGCAAACCTTCTCGAAGGCACGCGCGGATTCTGAATTCTCTCCAGAAGACGTGAAAAGAGGCGAAGAAGAAGAAGAAGAAGAGCGACTAATCGGACGACGAAAAAAGAGGCTTTCGGGGGACACACGATGCCAATTTGCATAAGAAAGACGACGTCAATCAGGGCTCCGCGAGCACACTGCGAAAGGCGCAAATGGGCCGGAAGAGTGGACAGTGTTCTGGCGGCGGAAAATGTGAGAAAAGAGAAAAGATTCTGGCAGGCGGAGACTGTGAATAGTTTATGAGTTGGATCACTTTCAGCTAATGAGCGCTGAAAACTTTTGGGTGCATTCTACACGTCTAATACTTCATTTCTCCAGTTGATCACTTTTTGGTACTACCTTTCCTAAGACTACCGTAGCTCGTAAAAGCCTTGCGAGTGGAGGTACAAAAAAGTGGTCAACTGGAAAAATGGACTATTATGTGTTGAGAACACACTCAAAAGTTTGTAGACAAATCGGACGTCTCCTAACTGTGTTATGCACTCTCAAACTTGCATCTTTATATGTTTGCAGTTAAAGAAAGCTTCATGTAAGCGGACCCCAATTTTAGTTTACATTTTGCACAACATAAACTAAAGTTCGAGACGTCACAAGGTCAACGATTGGAGACTTTTGAGAGATTAGAAAGAAGAAGAAGAAGAAGAAGAAGGAGAAGATTGAACCGAATGGAATTGTGGGAAACATTCCGGAAGTTTTTAAGCGAAGAATAGAGTCGATCGGAAATTGGCAGGAATTCAATTTGAGAGCGAAACTTTAATTGAAAACTGAAAGAAATTAATGCATTTTTGGAATTCTGTCACTTTGCACACTTGCACACAAGCCGAAAACGGGCTAGTTTGGCGTCGACGCGAAAAAGAAAAAAAACGATGGAAAAGGAAAGGAAAGGAAGAAGAAGAAGAAGAAGAAGAGAGAGTTGTTGTGTGTTTGTGTGTGTGTGTGTGTGTGTGTGGACATTATAGATGCACACAAAACCGGGAGGATTCTGATGAGAAAGGGAAAAAAAGAAGAAGAGGAAGAGGAAGAGGACCGTATGGAGATTGTTTTAAATTGGAGCTTTCGAGGTCGTGCTATTGTACCTTTATGCAAATTCGAATGATGGAAGAGCTGAAAAGTTAGGCCACGGCCAGCACTTTTCAGTATGAGGTTTACCGACAACGTACAATGAAGAACAGTTATCTTTCGGAGAGCAATCAGGAATCAATTTTTCAAAAAACCGAAAAAAAACCGCGTATTTTTCGTGTTGCGCATCGAAACGGACGTCTTCTGGGCGCTCGTTTCGCCCCCGAAAAGTTGGTGGGCCCTCGGGGACGGACGAGAGAGAGAGAGACAGTGAGAACGGGCGAGAGGGAGCGAGAGAAAGAGAACAAAAAACGGGGCGGCGAGGGAGTGACGTGTGGTGCGGAGACGCAGACAACGACCTTGTGGACAGTCGGAGACGCAGTGTTTACTGCCGAAATCGAGAAGAAGAAGAAGAAGAAGAAGAAGAGAGAGAGGAGTCGTCATGACGATTCGAATCAAACGAGATCGAGATCGAGGTCATCGGCGATGAGTGACAAGTTGTGTAGGCTTTCATGATAGTCATTTCACGCAAGGGAATGCGTTGCACTTTAAAACTTCTCATGCTCTCTTCATTAGTGTGCGAACCGGACGCTTTCCTTTTTTTCCAAAAGCGACTCAAATTGTGTTGACTGGCACCGTGCCAAACATATTTACTTCTCGCAATGCGCGCATTTCCAGCACAATCGCTTCTTCCATTCGCCGTGAAATTCTCTGACGCTTGTTTCGACAGCTTCCAGAAAGTTCCATTCCATCGAAGCGCACTTTCCTCCTCGCGACCCTCACAACAAAAAGGCTTCTCCTCTTGCTCATTTGTGCTCGAATCCGTCGTTTTGTTGTTGTTTGCCACTCCGTCTTCCTTATCGATTTTCCTCGTTTTCTCTCTCTCTCTCTTTGCCTCTCTCGTTCGCTTCTCATCTGTTGTCCACAATTGCATTCATTTTGGGTCGTACCCATCAATTTTCTACCTGTTCTCATCACCATTTTCGTCGTTTTCCGCGGCCTGACTCATTGTTTTCTCTCGACAAACATTGTCGTCATTTTGCAGAGAGAACACGACGAACACGATGCCCGGAGCAGAGACTGTCGCCGAACGTCGCAGAAAGGTACGTAAAAGTATGCAAAAATTGAGAATCGAAGAAAAGAGTGGGAAAATGAAAAAGTATTCCGCTCGAGCGGCAAAGCGACGACGCTTTTCTTAAAATAACACGCTCTGGTCTAATGCGTTGCGCTTTGAGGCGCAATGGACCGCACTTTCCGAGTGCATCTTGGAAATTAAGATATTCTTTTTCAGGTTCTTGTCGGAGAGCTGCCACCGCATTTCCTCCGTCTGGCCGTGCCAATCCAACACCATGCTGAACCGGAGGTACCTGCCCCTATCCCACAGATTACCTGTTTCCAACCCCATCCAACACAGGTTGTGCAGCCCCGACTCGTCAGTTTCGTGCCTCCGAACACGCGCGGACGTCTCTCGGTCACTATCCTCGAGGCGAATCTCGTCAAGAACTACGGACTCGTCCGCATGGATCCCTACTGCCGGTTAGTCCACGGATTACGCCTTCTGCCGGATGTGTTCCCGTTTAGAATAGGGGTTTTGCGACAAGTGCAAAAACACGCTGCCTTGCCCGTCCGTGTAAATTTACACGCTGCTCATCCCTTGTCAATTGACGGGTTGCAATTTTAGATCGCGGGGGTCTCGCCACGAACGTCCTGTCGTTAGCTTTGAAAAGAAGAAAAAGAGTAACTCGCGTGCCAAGACGGGCGGCCGAATACAGAATGATCCAGACTGTGCGGCGCTCCGTATTCTGACGGTCCGGTAATTCGATTAGACATTAGTGACTCTAGAGCGCCGGGAAGAAAAACAATAACGTGGTGGTGCTGGGCCGGGCCGGAATACAACAACAATTGTACGAATCCAATGTTTTTTTTCACAGTGTGCGCGTCGGCAACGTGGCATTCGACACGAACGTGGCTGCAAATGCGGGCCGTGCGCCCACCTGGAACCGCACGCTCAACGCGTATTTGCCGACGAACGTGGAGAGCATCTACATTCAGATCTTCGACGAGAAGGCGTTCGGGCCGGACGAGGTGATCGCGTGGGCGCACGTCATGCTCCCGCCGGCCATCTTCAACGGTGACAACCTCGACGAATACTTCCAATTGTCCGGGCAGCAGGGCGAGGGCAAAGAGGGCATGATCCACTTGCACTTCTCGTTCGCGCCCATCGATCTGCCGCTGCAGGAGCAGCCGGCCGCCGTGGAGCCGACTCCGGCTCCGTTGCCGGTCGAAATCACGGAGGAAGATACGAAGGAGATCCACGAGATGTTCCCGACGATCGATCAGGAGGTGATCAAGTGCATTCTGGAGGAGAGAAGGGGCGACAAGGAGGCGGCGGTCAGTGCCATTCTCGAGATGACTTCTGCTTCCGCCTAATCTCCCCGACTTCTGAATTCCTATCCAATCCTAGTCTCCACCTGCTTTTCCCATTTGCTCTCTCGTCAATCTCCCCGCAAAAGTTGTGAACGCAATTAAATGTTTATTTATTCGAACAATGTATATATCAATGATTAAATGAACATAATAAACTTCAACAATGTGAGACGGCAATTTGAAAGAGACTGGAAAGGGGGCGGGGCCTAGTTTCTGAACCAACTCAGACCCGAAATGACGACGACGGAGAAGGAGGCGAGCGAAGAGACGACGGCCAGCCAGAAGCAGTAGCCGTAGCCCTGCAAATTAAAGTTTTCGGTAATCTTTCGAAAAAACAGTTTTTGTAAGTTCTCGAACAGCGAAAATTCTGAAATTCAAGAATTTTCGGTTTCAAACTTTAATCGATCATTTCGGACTAATTTCTCAATAAATTCCGCCCGTTTTGGATTAACTTGAGCGCAAAATTATGAATTTTTCACAAAAACACGTTAGGCCATGTCCCTTTGCGCGTAACTCACCAATCCCTTATAAGGCGTTCCTCCGAATCCTCCGGCGAAGAAGCAATAGGCGAAGAGCAGCATTATTGTGATGATTCCGGCAAAGACGACATCGATGAAAACTATCATTTTGAGATCTATCGTGATGCGACTCGGAAGCGCTCTGCAATGCGCTCTTGAATTCAGAGTTCGCCCAGGCTTTTCAAATATCTGGACGTTTTTGGCCCAGTTGTACTTATCCGATCGGTCCCAAACTTTGCAGGCTTCTCGGACTTGGGTTGAAGTATTTTGAGTCCAAATTTCAGACCGATCGTATTATCTGGTCCCGAGATGTGTGGATGTGAGCCGAAAAGATCGCACTTTTCGCAAAAACCCTTATATCTCAGGACCGGACAATCCGATATGTCTGAAACGTAGACCCAATATAATCCAATCCAAGTCCAAGAGGCCTGCAAGGTTTGGGCCCGATTAGATAATTGCATGTGGGTCAAAAGTCGAGGCCTTTTGCTCAGCTCTGGATTTACATTTGTGCGATTGTCCAGAGGATGTAGAGGAACGAAAGGACCAGCACGAGGTACATGAGGATCGCCGTGAGCCCGTACCACCACGGGGCGTACGACGGATAGGGGATGATGGTCGAGTAGGGCGGGGAGACGCCCGGAAGTTTGTAGAGTCCGAGCAGGGTGTACAGCCCGTTGTTGCCGGACGTCCATCCTGCAAGTACACGTTCACCGTCACGCCAACGAACGGACCACCCGTCCGAGACTACCGCAACTCACTTGCTCCGAACGCGGCGATCACGATGAGCTGGATGGTGCAGAGCAGCAGTGCCAAACTGATGTTCCGCGCCGTCTTCAGATCGTCCACAAACATTTTTTCTCTCTGAAAAGCCGGGCCAAATGCGAGTGACTAACTATACGAAACTGATAGAGGTGGGAAGAAAAGGGCGCTTATCACACCCATCCACATGATGACGTGGCACTTCGGATGGGTTGTATTGAAACACAAAGCGAAATTTACAGAAGAGGATGAAAAATTGAAAAATTTCGTAATTATTTCAAAAAAGTTCAGTTTTGGCCATCGGCGGAGGGGGGGGGGTCAAACACACATGATGCCTATCGAAAACCGAGTGAGTCAACATGGAATGCCGATGATGATTATTTCGTATTTGCTATAGTGGTGAGAAGCGAGAGCACATGATAAGGCACCGATAAACTCGCGCTCACTTCTTTCCTACGCTTATTACAATGCAGACAGCGCCTAAAATTTTATGAAACTTACCGGTGGTTCTTTCAGAACAATACATGAAACAATAAAAAATTAATAGGGACATAATAGGGATTTCATATCATATAAAATGAGACATGCAAATATTGAAACATGTGGGAATGATACATGAGCAGAATTATACACGATTTCAAACGTCGATTTCGTTTTTCGCTGGTGTTCCCTGAATCGATCGCGTGCAGCCGTACGGACGATGCTTTCGACTATTTCTCTGAACTCCGATCGATTTTCGTTTCTGAAACGAACTGATTATTTCAGGGCTGGGCAAATGGCCGGCCATGGCTGGCCAATGAAAAGCCCTGGCCGGGCTAGTTGCAAGCGCGCTCCACTGCAACAAAGCCTTGGCCGGCCAATGGTACGGTAAGCAATTCGGTTCACTGAGCGGTGTTTGCACACAAAGCATTTTAAATAAAGAAAAAAAACGTGTTTTCGAAAGGGTTTTCTTTTTTTTCTATGTTTTTTCACTTCATGATCAAATATTTTCACAGAAAAATGCTCTATTCGATGAATTCGATTCATAACGTTGTTCCCATACATTTTTTTCTTTCGTTTCGTTCTCATGCATCTCGTTCTCGTTAATTCTGTCGTTTTCTTTTATTTTTTCTCTTCACTTCTGCTAATTTTCGAAATTTGTCAGCTTTCATTTCATCGAAATTTAATTCACTTACTTTCTTTTCACCTTTTTTCTACTTTCAAGCATGTCTTCTTCTCATTTTAAAATAATTTCTTCGATTTTTTCTTTATTTAAAATGCTTTGTGTGCAAACACCGCTCTGTGAACCGAATTGCTTACCGTACCATTGGCCGGCCAGGGCTTTTTTGCAGTGGAGCGCGCTTGCAACTAGCCCGGCCAAAGCCTTGGCCGACCGCTGGCCGGCCAATGTTTTGCCCAGCCCTGGATTATTTTCATCTGAAAATGAGTAAGTACTTGAGGAGTGGGTACAACACAGGACAGATTGGCGGAGTTTTCAAACGTTATGTTCATGTCGACTTCCTTCAGAAGTTCCGAAGCGGCGAGCACTTGCACTTTGTGGAAGCCACCGCATACGATTCCAAGCTGTTTCCTCAACATATCCTGGCTGATCTCATAGAACTTTTCATTCTGGCAGAATCCCTCTGGTACGTAATCTTTTGGCGCTTCTGTAGGTGAACAGTGAAAGTATATAAAACAAATTTCCTCCTACTGTCAGTGTACGAGAGACGGAAACTGCCGTCAATATCTGCAGGAAGATCGACCAGCTTCTTGATAACTCGGTAGAGCGTTTTCATAGTTTCAATGAACTTCGATTTTGTGTCATCCAAATTATTGAACTCAGTATTGACGAGGTTTTGACTGAACTCCTGCGAATCTAGCCCACTGAAATTTGTAATTGTAGTCGTTGAGCAAGAATTTGTTGCTTACGAGGTAAGGCTCAACTGAACCGAGTCGTCATCTTTGTACTGCAAACGGAAAGTGTACACCTCGAGTATTTTCTCCTCATTCGGCGGTTGGAAGAACACAATCGCAAACTCTCGCAGATATCCTTTCTGAAAACAAAACTGGAGTTGATTTTCGATAAACAGTGGAGCGCACCTCAATCGCTTCTGCAACCCCATTTAATTTATCATTTAATGTGAGAGCGAGCGTATTTTTTTTATCGAAATTTGAGCACTGAATTTTATCTGAAAAATATTTTCCTTAAATCTTCATAGGGATTCCACAAACCTATTCTGCGAGTGACGAAGCATTCGCTAGGAAGAACTCCACGTTTGTCGAGAATAAACGCAGTCGTACATTTGATGAATCGGAAAGCAAATTTGTAAGACGAGTCTTCCACTTCCAAATCACGAGGAAACGTTTCCCCCCACAAGCCGCTTTTCTTAAAAAAATAGTTTTACGAGAAATTCTACTTTTTTAACGAAAAACTTACTGATTCATGTCTCGCTGGTTTCGTGTTTAGTTTCTCCACGTTTCGAGTGGCAGACATTTTGACCAGATACTCCTGAAAATTCAAATGTTCTTGAATTTGTGCGAAAAAAAAGTAGAAAAAACCTGAAAAGATTGGCGGAAAAACGAAAAACGCAGGAAACTCAAATTTGAAGTTTAAGCTGGTTACGGTAGCGGTTCGTTGCGAGACCAGTGACAGAAGCGTATGCGCCTTTAAAGATTTCAACGCGGAATTTAAAAAATAAGCTTTAAAAGTATTTATTTATCACTCGGCCGTTGATCCGATCTCGTATCAATAATCCATCACAATTATCTCGGCCGATCCTTTTTCCTGTCGTTCGCTGCCCGTTCCACGCACCGACCGTTGGCTGTACGCGTTGTCCAGAACCGCCGAACTCTTGCTGTGAATTCCGAGATTTTCCTTCCCAGCTCAGTTCATAATTTTCTCACCAAGATCTCTTCAGAAAAATGAAAAAGCTAAAAACGTTGATAACGATGTGGACGAGAAGAAGAGCTCCGACGATCAGTTCCAGATATTTGTCTTAATTATTTTCAGTTTTTAAAGTTACTCTGAAGCGACTCACTTGTCATCATCAATTCGGGCATCGGCATCGAGCCGTCGATTGAATAGGCGAATCCGAGAATCGTCAACGACGTCAAGACGGTCGTCATTGCCTGCGAAATTCCAAAGAACGTTCAGCGAATAACTCGAATAATTCTCACCGCGAAAACTGTCAAAACAACGAAAATCGAGCGGGCCGACTTGAAAATAATGACAAAAGAGAGCAAACCGGCGAAAATCTGCAAATTTTCAGGCTTAAACTCTGCACAGACTTCTGAAACCGACGTAAACGACTCCGAAGCATTGGGTGACCACCGACGCCGTGTCTCCGGGTCTCATAAAGGCGGTGGTGAAAAGGAGGAAGAGGCCGAAAAAGATGTTCCATCCGCAGTAGACGCACTCGGGGAACATCCCGAACCGGTCCATCCGCGGCTTGCCACGTGTATCTTCGATTATTGGCACGCTCGACGGATCTCCCTCATCGGACCTTGAATTTGAATCGCTTTTCGATTGCGCTGTGCTCATTTTTCGGAGAGAATTCAAAAAGAGGAAATGAATTTATTTGTCCGAGAACTAAGGGTTACTGTAACAACAAGTTTGTGGAGCGAAAAGTTCCGAGGGGTCAAACGACCATCGCCTTGTACTCTTGATAGACGACGATCGGCCGGGACACTGGGAGCAGAAAGACGTGCCAGATGGACTCTTCTCGACAGTTGAAGTACTTCCGCCAACGCGCTTTCAGCGTGAACCAACTCAAACGTCGCCGCGACTCAGAATCGGTCTTTTGGAACTGGAAAAGAGGGAAAAGGGGTACTGTTGATTAGAGGGTACGGTACTCACCATTCTCATCGCCATCGTCAATCCGACGGAGATGATATACGCGTAGGCGCACACGAATCCCCACATGATCCAATGGAGCATCATGAACAGAAACGCGGAGAATTTGATTGCAGTGTCCACTTCTGAATTCACTTTTCTGAGCGATAATGGAAGTGTTGCTCACTTCCGTAGGTGCTCGCAAGCAGATAATAGTACTTGTTGGCACAGAAAAGACGCCAGCACTTGTCCTGCGGAATGTTCATGATCGCACGACGGGACTGCAAGAGTTTTCAATGAGTTTTTCCAATGTTTTCTATCAGTTCGGTGTTTGCAGACTCCTGCTGGCTAAGAACACGATTTCTCACTAATTTCACTGTTTTTCCGCTCGTTTTTGGCAAACTGGCACTTGAATTCGAAACATTTTGTCGGAATCGAGCTGACAATCAGCGAAATCGGCGCGGAAATCGTGTTTTTAGCCAAATATTCAATTTCGAGAGTGGCGGTTAGCGTTACACGGTCTCCAGAGCTGATAGTATGGGCGTGGCCTCGGCCAAATGGCGTTTTCACGAATTGAGCACGTTTTCTCTGATTTTTGTGGTCAAAGGCGATGAAAAATGACCGTTCGACATGAAAACACACTAATTCTCAGAATTAATGACGTTTTGGCGCATTTTTCGCGGACTTTGCTTTTTCGCCTTCGCCGCTTTAAAACCGCACTACTCATTTTGCGCTTTCTTGACCGTTTTCAGACAGAATTGGTTTTGAGAATGATAAATCACGTAAATACAAGCATTTTGAGCGCTCGAACCGCAAAAACTACCGAAAAGAAACTGAAATTCACGCAGTTTTAGCCAAAAACCTTCAAACGGATAAATGTGATTTGCGACTTGCCCAAATTTAAAGGACCAGGGAACCCAAAAATTTTTTGATTGATTTGTGAAATTTTTTTGTGACTGTTTGAATTGGCTCTTATTGCCTCATACACTGGTGAAATGCAGCCTCTCAAAAATGCCAATGAACGAAACGGCATGCAGTTGAAGTTGTGGCCGTGGCCTAGCGCCAATGGCCTAGAAATATGCGCTTCTCGGCCATTTTATTTTTTCCGCTTTTTTACCGGTTTTTTTTCCAAAAATTAACGGTTTCTACTATTTTTCAGTTGATTGACATTTGTTCGGCACTTACTTATTTTTTCACTGCTAAAAATTGTTTTCATTCAGTCGATAAGTGCCAGATGAGTGGTTTCCGTGGAACAAGGGCGAGGTCTTCCCAATGCGAGTATTGCCAGAAAGTGGCCCCGAGAGATTCAATGACAATTGTTCCGAAAAACCCGGAATTAAGAGAACGGTGGATCCGCATTCTTGGCGGAGAGTTTGGAGAAAATCTCTCCAAGCACACCAATTCGTTCATTTGCAAATCACACTTTCGGTTGTCGCTGGATAACAGAAGACGGCCGCATGATTTGCCAATGGTATTTTCTCGAGTTTTATGTTTCCTATGTAGAAAAATAAAACATTGCAGGCAAACAATAGAAACTCCGCCGACTGCGCCAGAAAACTCATGAACCCTGTGAGGCCAATAAGAAATGCGGATGAATCAGCACAACTACGATCAGAAACCGACTTCTGGATGGATGTGGACGAAATGGACGTCGAAAACAGAGTGGACACGGATAACTCTCATTCCCGTGTAAGTTTTTTTTGTCAAATTCTGTATGAGAAGGGAAGGAAATTTCAGCGCGAATCTGATGTATCATTCGGAAAGCTTGAGCGTATTATTGTCGAAATTCCGGCAATCTGTGAAATATTGCGATTCTGTCGAACGTGTAAATCAGTTGATAGTGTACACGTTGATTTTGAACAAAGTGGCGCGGCAATTACTGTGAGTGTGGGCTTTTGATGCCGCTGTAAACAAGTGTTCTCAGTTCAAGATTAACTGCCAACAATGCGAGTCTAATTGGAAGTGGGAAAGCAGTGGTTCTGTGTCATCCGGGAGTAATAAGATGAAGAATGTCAACATTGACATTTATTCCTCAGTGTTTAGCACTGGAAACGACTTTTCCGTGAGTAACTTCAACAATTCACAGTTTGAAATTCCGTTTAGCGACTCACGCATTTTGCTTCAAACTTTCGACTTGCGTTCCCGTCAAAAAAGTCATATCAGAAGAGCCTCCTCAATTTTATTTATCCTGCCGTTGAGAACGTTTTCAAGGAGTGCAATAAGCGCGTTGAAAGTGCACTGGAAAAGTTAGCAAAAGAGGTTTCTGATTATGATTTCGGTGCACATGAAGTGTGATGTTTTAGAACGGCGCTTTAGATCTTTGCGGCGATGGACAGTTTGACAGTCGCGGCTACTCCGCATTTTACTGCAAGTACTCTCTGGTCGAGGCTCGCAGCCAATTAGTCGCTGCCCATAGTGTCGTTCGCAAAAACAGAAACGGTAAAACAACTTCTGTTTGATTGTTGACTGTGTTTTTTTTTCGAATTGTAGAAGGGTCGAAGTCTCTCGAAACTCTCGGACTGCAGCAATGCCTGACAGATTTTCAACATCAATTTTCCCCAAGAAAAGTCTCGATCCGAAGTGTAACAACTGATCGCGCGAAGGATGTTTCGAATATTCTGTCGAGAACTTTTCATTTGCCCCACAAATTTGATATGTGGCACTTCCTACGAAACATTCAGAAAGATCTGTGGAAAGTATTATCACATTCCTGTTCCATGCATAAAATGAGACCTCTCAGAGACGGGGGCAACTACAAATGAAGCCAGTGCGTTATTGGATGGACCGACTCGTGGGTCATTTGTACAATTGCGTAAAACAGTGTCCCGATGACAGTGTGAGATGCGAAGAGATGGCTGTGTCGTTTTTCCAGCACATGCGGAACATTCATGCACATTTCGAAGTAAGACATAACGGAAAAACACAAAAATCCTAAATTGAAAAAAAGGCGTGAACACTATTTTTGGCTGAAAATTCAGAGCGGTTTTATTTTACCTCGAGAAAAAGACGTGCATTGATCAGGGCGCCCCTTCTCTTTGAGCAGAAAGAAGTAGTCCCAGTTACAACTTTCAGCTGAACATGGTGCATGTTGACTCAGATGGCGAACATTTCTTCTGCCCGCACACCGTAAACGCCTGTAGTTGACGCCTTTTTGTAGTACAATCTTATCGGAAAAACGTTGAAATTGCCAAAAATTAGCATTTCACAATTTCGGCGAGACTGCTCAGAATGAAAAGGAGAATCGGACATACAAAAATATAGTTCCTTTGAGACCGTTCTATGTTTTCCGTGAAGCAGAACATTTTTTCTAGACCTGCGAATATTACACTTTCGAAGTGGTGTTATCGTGCTCTCATGGCCCCATTTCCGATGACTTGCCTTGGATTGACGTGTACGATGTGTCTCACCAAAAAGCGTTCTGGCTCTTGTTCGACATTATCACTACTGGCAATAGGCTTAGCGAATTGGGAACAGTTTCTGATAGATGCACCACTTCAGCTGTTGAGTCGTTCAATGCACGGTCCACCTACTACACTCCAAAAGAGAAATACTTGTACGTATGCTAATTCTCATCGATTAGAATCATTTCTATTTATACACACACTCATTTTTACGTACTATCGTTTGCAGTTCGCTTGCCGGATTTCAAAAATCGTACCAAACTTGCCGTCATTGACTGGAACGAAAAAGAAATTGTCGGAGTTGAGTGGAGCTCGGATGCGGATTGGCAAGCGCCATTCATGGTGCAAATCGAGAAAAAAAGGAGGTGGAGAAGTGGACGAAGACCCCAACAGACTATGGATGGAGAAGGAATATTACAATGCACGCTAGATCAATATGTGATCGAAGCACCAACGACGATTCTGAAGGTTCGTAGTGAATAAAACGGTACAATAAAATAAATTGTTGCAGAATGTGCCGCTCATGGCGATACGTCGTCTGGAGCGACAGGAGGAGCACCTGGAGCGGCAGACACGGTGATTGTTTGCGAGGGCACAGTGAAGAAAAATAAATTTTGGCCCTCGTCTCGTGAGCTGTCCGCTGCTTATTTCGCCGGTCGGCGGCGAGTTCTCGAAGCCTATTTTTCGTGCGCGAAACCTTGAGATGCGTGCTGTTCGAAGAACACTGACTCATTTTTCCTCATTTTTTGGGAACGAGTTCATTATGACTGAAACTCGCAAGCGGCAACAAGAAACTCACAGAAAGGTCTAGGGATTACTGCCAAAACAGCTTTTTCGCCGAATGACTGCTTTTTGTGTCTCGTCGTTAGTTTTTATCATAATGAACTCATTCCCAAAAAATCAAGGGAAATGAATCAGTATTCTTCCGATGGCACGCATCTGAAGTGTCGGAACAGCAGAAGAACGCGCGGGCGGCGGGTAGCGCGCTCTCCAAACCTTCTCTATGCGCCGCAACTTCAGATGCATGCCGTCGGAAAAATACTGATTCATTTCATTTGATTTTTTGGGAATGAGTTCATTATGATAAGAACTAACGACGAGACACAAAAAGCACGCATGACCACTCATTTCACGGAAAAAGGTGAATTCGTACTGAACCTTTGAAATGTTTGCGAATTTTTGCTGCCGCTTGCGAGTTTCAATCAAAATGAACACATTTATTACAAAACCGGGTAAGATGAACCAGTATTTCTCCGGCGGCACGCATCGATAGTTCCTAAAACAGCTAAATTCTAAAAGTGGCCTAGGACCTAACTGGCGAGGCGTATTATTACTTGTTCAGCCGGCGGACTCGACGGAAAGCGAGGGTAGCATCCCGGCTCGCGACCCCGGGCCGAATGGACTAGAATTTTCCTCGTCACCTTCGCAGAGAATCACCGTGACGCCGAAGGCGTTCAAGATTAGCGAGTACGAGGACGCGGAGAAGCAGCGCGCGAGTGTGTCTTAGTTCCGCGAGACGGTGACCGTCAACAATCGGCGCTCACGCCAGCAAGTTCATCGAGGATCCGTCGCAGTTGGCCGAGATCCAGCAAGACTTCCTCTCGAGCCTCGCGGCGATTCTAGGCATTTCGACACGGAGGTATTGAGAACCCGCGTAGACCGGCGACCGAGTTTCGGTTTTCGCGAAACCGCCGAGACCGGACTGCTCGACGTGAAAACGGGCAAGATTGTGCACCCGGAAAGGAGCCGACGCTACTCGATCCCACGCGCCGTTCACACGACACTTGTTGCAGGAGACGCCGCGAAACTGCTGATAGAGCAACTCAACGTGCCTGTCGAAGAAGTCGCATTCACCACGCAAACGATCATCACGTCGAAGCACTCGGCGTCGTCGCCAGTCTTCGAACCGCTTCGGTTAGCCAGCAGCCAGCAGCCAGCGGTTAGCCAGCAGCATCTTCAACCGGCCGGACCACCACCCGCAAGTACACCCCGACCGACCTCAACTGGCACGGATCGCCGTCAGAGCTCCGCAACTCGAGCACGGATCCACTCGCCTCCTACACCACGGTCACCTCGAGCGAATTGACCGAAGAGTGGCCGAAAAGACTGTAACCTGTTTTGGTCACGCCGCTTTTCCCATCTTTTTCATTTATAGTTTTCAGAATAAACCTCGACGAGGTGGAGTTTCTCCAGAACCGCGGATACTCGTCGCAGGAGTTTGTCAGCAAGAGCCCAGTCCTCAAGCAGACCGTCGAGCAAATCGAATGGAGGGATGTTCACAATGTAACATCCAGGTCAGCTCCGTGACCTTTGCAACAGGCTCCATCATGACTATCGTTTTATTGTGTCGCCGCTCAGGATAAGGTAAACCTTCTTCTATATTTTGAGTGATCTGTTCGTTTAGCAGGTGACCGAGGCGTTCCGGTATCAAGAGAAGTGGGGTTGCATGGCTCTATACAACATCGGCTGAATGATCAGCCGACGAACACTGGAAGTGGTGCCGTCGTGAGAAGACGATGACGAAAAGGAGAAGAAACGATCGGAATGCGTGCATCAATACAGGAAGGAGCTGCTCAGTTCGATGCGCAAACAGACGAAAACGGTGCAGCCGAGATGTCCGACAGCCCAAAAGAATTTTATTGCGGCGCAAAGGGATCGGGGGAGCTGAAATTTCCGCCCAGTTACTGCTGAAGAAGGAACAAGACGAAGGAATCCGCGGGAAGCAGCAAAGCTCCAGCTCCATTTCCAGCTGCTCCTTGGGCAACATCATGTGATTGGCTGGTTCTATACTTTTGTTGAATTATGATAATATCAGATGCGTGAGCGTAATGTGATGGAGTGCTGGACTGCAATTGTCTCACAGAGGACCTGTTGGAATCGTGGCACCAAACCGCGACGACATCGAAATAATGCTGAATAGCGAGATTGCCGGAGCTCTTGGAAGTGATGTAGTACGTGTTGCGCTGCGAGTGCTTCAAGAAAGCGGCCTCGAACATCTCTGAGTTCAGATCGCCGAGTCGTTCCCGGATGGCACAGCGGATATGGAGCCGGCAAACGTGATCAACGAGTCGATCGATCGAGTGAGGAATCCACGTGGTCCTTCCGGCTAGGAGGAGAACATTGCGATGCCGCTGATTGTGCCGTTGAGCCAGCTGAAAATCGAGCTGGACGTGTCGCTGAACATCCAACAGCCAACGACGCCATCCATCCGTGCGCCGAGCTGCTCACCTCGATCTTCATGGAAATGAGAGAAAATTGCAAGAAGTACCATCTGATTTTTGTGATTCTCGAAAACAATCTGATGAACATGGCGAAACAGCTCGTTCTGTACCACTCGACGCGAACACGCGTCCTCCGGTCACTTTCCCTCTCCACGTACTTTGAATAGTTAGTATACTTTGACAACTGAGATAAATATTTTTGTTTCTCCCCAGAATGTATTTGTTTTCTTATTCTATCGCGAGTTTTTCGATTTTATCGCGAAAAAACCGGTAAAAAAGCGGAAAAAATAAAATGGCCGAGAAGCGCATATTTCTAGGCCATTGGCGCTAGGCCACGGCCACAACTTCAACTGCATGCCGTTTCGTTCATTGGCATTTTTGAGAGGCTGCATTTCACCAGTGTATGAGGCAATAAGAGCCAATTCAAACAGTCACAAAAAAATTTCACAAATCAATCAAAAAATTTTTGGGTTCCCTGGTCCTTTAACGCTCTTGCGCTTAAAAAAATCGTAATGGCATATACAATCGGTCTATCGAGAGACAAATGAGAAATTATCGGTTTTTCGTGGCTAATCTGGCAAAAACACAAATTTTGCTGTTAAAATTTGAACTTTGCGCCAATGTATCGCTCTATTGGGCGGGGCGCCCATTGTCAGCTCTGGAGACCGTGATTACGACAACACGAGTCTGCAAACAGCACACTGCAGAAGCTCACCTGGATCCAATCCCACCAGAAACTGGGTGCGAACAGGAAGAAGAGTCCGGTTCCGACGAGGAGATAGAAGAGGAAGAGGAAGAAGTTTGCCTGGTTGTGGGCGCCGACGCACTGCCCAATGTGCGGACAGTGGTGGTCCATCCGGTAGATGCAGGCGTCGCACGCCTTGCAGTGACTCGTCGACGCGCTCTTCCAACTGTTGCACTTGATGCAAAACTGATCACGAGCACTCTGAAACGGTTTAGAGATTGTTTCGCTTTGTAAGCGATGAAAGGACTCACTCCGGGATTCTTGACCGGCTTCAGTGTTCGGGCTTTGTAATAGTGGAAGATGACGTTGTAGTAGACGAAGAAGGAGACACAGAGGCGGAAGACAAAGTACGGAACACTCTCGCAAACACTGAAGAATGAAATTTTCAGGTTCTGGAGACCCAGCTCACCTCCATTCAGCAGGTATTATCACAAACGCGACGACGAAGGTGACAATGAGAAGGGCGGCGAAAAAGACGAGCAAACAGAGCTGCAAGTGGCGAAAAGATTACGGTAGTTGATGCGGTAACCCACTCTTCCGCCCCACAACGCCACAATCTTCAGCAGGACGTACGGATCCAACCGCTTCACGTCCCCCAACGATCTTTCCACGACAAAGTACACTGGAACCCGCATTTGTTTGTATTTCACAATTTCCAACTCATACTAACCTAATCTATTGAACAACTTGCACACTTCCATGACGAAGACGGACTGTACATACAGCCTGTCCTGTCTAATCGGGAAGGCCTAGAAATGACCTGTGCTCGTTTTGTTTTGCGTCGTTTTGCAAAGGTCACGGAAACAGGGTTTATTGGATTGAAAACAACGAAAAAAGAAGGGTCTAGTGGACGTGGAAGAAGTTGTAATCGCGGACAATTCGATCCGAGGGCACGAACAACGCCTTCAGAATCCATTCTCCGCGACGCACCGCCAGATACTTTCGCCAACGCAAATGGATGATCGAGGGCGTCAACTGCTGCTTCGAGTCCTCGCTTTGCTTGTTGAACATCTTCATGACATACGTGAGTCCGCCGGAGACGAGGAACGCATAAGTGCTCAGAAATGAGACCATGATGATGTGGAGCATGACGACGACGATCACAGTGAACACGGCCTTTCGTCCGTGCCCCTTCCCGTCGTAGTTCTCCACAGTCCACACTTTCCAATTCTCAATCCAGAAATCATACTCGACGTAAAGAACGAGCACTGTCGCGAGGAAGACGTTCCAGAGAAACAGAAAGAAGTGCGCCTGATTGTGCGCCCCGACGCACTGTCCGATCCACGGACAGTGATGGTCCATCTTGTAGATGCACGTGCCGCACGTCGAGCAGTGACTCGTCAGCTTCGGCTTCGGACCCTCGCACACGGTGCACTGCGAACCGGTGGCCGTCTGTGGCAACTTTATCGGTCGGGCCACTCGGGCTTTCCAGTAGTGGTACGGAACACTGTAGGCGAGCCAGCACGCGCAGAAGAAGCGGAGGAAAGTGATTGGGAAGAGGCCTTCTCTTCTGAAATGAATTGAAATCGAGACCTTTTGAACCCCCTGAGTGTAGTACTCGTAATCGTAGGGAATTTGAACGGTGAACAGGAAGAAGACGATCCAAGAGGTCTCGGCGACGGCCACGAATCCGCAGATCGCGTTGAGGATTGTCATGAGGACATCCTCGTTGAGCAGCGCATCCTCCGATCCTCCGATCTTCGATCCGCAACGCAAAGCGGCCACAACTGAACGGACGCAAAATTGCGGATCATTTGAAAGCGGACTTACAGCAACGATTGATAGCAACGCACACATTCATTGTACACTTTCCGAACTTGTTGCCCGTCTCCCTCCTCACGCCTATCAGTGTCTGCCTCGTGGATTGGCGCCCGTTCACCACGTAATAAATCCCTCGCAATTCTTTTGAATTCCGCTCAAACTAGAGCTCTCGCGTCTTTCTCGATGAGCCCGGCGGCTGGGCCCAATTCCCGCGGGTTCGATTGCTCAGCGAGGGCGCCCTCCCCGACACCTACTAACCTACAAAACTCTTTTCTCTCTCTCTCTCTCTTGCAGATCTTTCTTGCTCCGCCGCCGCCGCGAGAGCTTGACTAATGAGCATGCGGCTCGACATATGGGCTCCTCGGCCGAGCCGACAAAAAGTGTCGCGGCACACTGATTGGCACATGTGGGCGCATCTGGAAAGACTATAGTGTTCATTCGATATATTCATAGAAAGCGATTATCGTGATCAAGGAAAGGGGCGGGGCGAAGAAGATCAGTTCGGGAAGGAGTGTGTGTTTGGGCGGGGGGACATTCGGAGAAGGGAAAAACTCATTTGGAGGAGGTGGAGGAGGAGGAGGAGGGCAGTGAACAACCATTTTTCCGGGAAAGAAAAAGAAATTGCAGTCGACGACCCGTTTTGAAGCGAAAATGAGAGGCCGAAAGGGAAAATCCTATGAAATTGTAGTGGGGTTTGGTGGGTTCAGCGAAAACGAAAGCTTCTGGAAGTGGGGGGGGAATCACAGGCGAGATGCTGGAAAACGGAGAGAAAAGCAGAGAGCAAGGTGAGAAAGACACTGGGGGAGACGGGGGAATGGACGGTTCCTAGGCGAAAGACACTTCGTAACGGCACGGGATGTCGGTCAAATACAGCCGGGAATAGTTGGGTCCCCAGCCTTTGCCGACCGATATTACCAGGTTCTGTTGAGCCAGCGACGGGTCCTGCAACGAAAGCGATTACTGTAGACGGACCGGAAGAAACGGGACCCTACCCTGCTGGGCCTTCGCACTTTGGTCCGTTCGCTGGCGGGCGCGGAAGCGGACACTTCTCCCCGATGCACTCGTATACAGTATCCGGGCGACAGCCTCCGAAGCGTGTCCTTTGTCGACGACACGTTCGGAGTCATGGAGAGAAAGAGCGGACGGGTTCCACTGAAATGCACTGTTCTTTTCTCGGAGCTCGGAGCTCTATGACGGACCTGTTATACAGCCAGACGTCTTCTGGATTCGTTGATCCGATCGGGTCGGCTTGTCGTATCAAAGCGAACGAAACTTCGTTTTTGAGATCCCACGGCGAGCATTCCAGCTGGGCATCGTGGACTGGAAGAAGAAGAAGAAGGAGATGGGAGAAAGGAAAGTTGAAATGACGAACCTGATTTGGATAGCACTCCGACGGCCGCGAATGCGCCGTGCAGCCAGACAGTCTCGCCGATCTGCTCCTTCCGTTCGTATCGCATCATCTTTGCCCAAGCTGTAACGTCTCACATGAAACGCCAGAATGGACCCCCTAAAACTCACATCGGCTCGACTCGTGAAGATGATAGTGAATGAGATCCTCTTCCTCGTGCGAACTCCTCGAAGTGCACGGCGGCGACTCGTCGGGTGCCGGAGGCGTTCCGACCGGCACCGATGGCGGCGGTCTGTCCGGAATCTCGGCCGCCAACATCTTCGGAAGTTTGGAGATGTCGGCGTCGTGGGTATCTGCAATTGGGGAGCTTTTTGAGCAGAAACTGGAGAGCAAACCGACCTCGATGCCTATAGGTGATGTGTCCGTTGCCGATGAGTGATGATCTGTGATTGGCGTGAACCGAGTTCTTGTCCGACGATCCATCATCGTCACCGCCATTTGTTTCCGGACGGATCCACAGAGCATAGTGATATGGATTGCAGCAGGAGACTGCAAAGATGGGAACAAATGAAGAGAAAATGTTGCGCTCTCTGCTCACTATCAGAGAACGAGAGAACGAGAGAACGAGAGACGCAGACGCTCAAACACTCACCAGTCGCATTGTTAATGGTCACTCTTCCGAATCGACACCACGGCAGAGCTTCGAGCCGATGCAACGCGGCGTCCACTTGCAAATCCTTCCATCGCCACAGTTTGCAACACAAATACGGCATGCTCATCGGTCGATCGATCTGCGGAATGAGGCCAGAGTCCTCGTCCGGCGGATCCTCCTCCACGCGCTCGTCCATCGGCGGTCCCGGCGCACACGCCTTCGAGTCGACGCCGTCGCTCTCCACTGCCTTCCGTATCACCTCGACGTCTTCGGCGTCGAAGCCGCGCATCAAGCGGAGAAATCTCCTGCGAGCGCGGCGCTCGTCCGATGTGACGAGAAGACGTCGGCGCCAGAGCCGTTCGACGTGTCGCCGCCGCTCGCTGAACACACACCACATGCCACAGTCCATTGCATTCCGGGGGGTCGACGGACGTCCTCCGGCGCGACGAGACCAGCGATGGAGTACGGGGCACGCGCAGGAGACTCTGAACAAGACCGATCGGATGAGTTCGGGGGGAAGAACGGGAAGAGAGAGAGAGAGAGGTGAAACAGGACTGGGCAAGGACTTTTGGGGTTTGAGTTGAAGTATTGTGGGTCCCCTAGATCCCTAGATCAGCATAATATATCTCGGGACTAGATAATCCGATCGGACTGAGACTTGCCCACAAGATACTTCAATCCAAGCCCAAAAGGCCTACAGAGTTTGGGATAAAAAGTCCAAGCATAAACAGGACTTTGAAAAGTTGGGGCCAGAAGTGAAACTAAAGAAAGGTTGAGATGGAAACAGGAAACAAGTTGGACTCAAGGTTCGAAGGGAAACTTGAGAAGTACACTGTAAACAGACACTTTGCAACTTCTTCTTCTTCCTCTTCTTCTGCTTCTTCTCCCCCTCCCGCTCCCTCTTGATCCTTGTCGATTTTCCGTGTAAACACCCATAAAAACTGACTGCTCGGGTGTCTGAAAAGCGCCGGGAAGGGGCTCGTAAACACTTGACTAATACCCGACGACGACGAGGACGAAGAAGAAGAAGAAGAAGAAGAAGAAGAAGTTCTTTCTGTGCGGGAGCACAAGAGACAAAGAGAACAGACGGCAAGAAGAAAGAGAACACGGAAAATAAGTAAATCATCTCCTTCCTGTGTTCTTCTTTCTCTCTCTCTCTCTCTATTTCTCTGCGTCCTCGGGATTTGCGGAAAAACGACTGGAATGCTCTTCGCGGAGCTCTTTGAGCTGAGAAGAACGTAAAAGTGCGAGTGGGAGGGAAAGAGGGAGAAAGAGAGAGAGAGCAGGCTGCGTCCTCGTCCGTTTCGACGTCGTTTTCGGACGAAATTAGCTGCCATCAATCACAATTTATTACCACGCACAATTTGAACGAGAAGGAGAGAGTGAAAGAGGAAGAGGGAGAGGAAGATGAAGGAGAAGAAGAAGAAGAAGAAGTCAGTACAGGTGGCAGAAGAGCTCCGGAAATGTTTGGGCGCCGTGACATCTCCAGGGAGAATTGTTTGCTTGCGTTTTCGTTGTTTCGTTTTTAAAAAAGAAACACACACACACACACGCACTCTTTTGACTTTTGAGAGATAGCGAAAAGAGGGGGTGGAAGAGCCGCGGCAAAACGTTTCGATTTGTCTCAATTCAAAGATTATCCGAAAAGTGGATGGAGCTCTCGAGGCCGCCGCAAAAAAGAGTTCGGTCGAAGCCGAAGCGTTAATTGAGCCCGGGACCAACTTGTTTTTGGCGGGACCGAGAGATGCAACAAAACAGAGAGACGGAGAGAAAGAGGAAGAGAGAAAGAGGAAGAGAGAGAGAGAGAGAGAGAGAGAGAGAGAGAGAAAACGACGAAAAGGCGGCGAAAAAAGTTTGTGAAATACGACGAGCGCCCGCCCGAAATTGGCGGCGGAGTGTATGTGTGGAAGAGTTGGTGGTGGCCCCAAATAAGTAGAAGAAGAAGAAGAAGAAAGAGAAGAAATCCGGGATAGGGAGCGAAGAATTAGCGAGCTTCTTCCGAAATCCCGAGATTTCCGTGCCGACTTCAGAATTGCCGTTTATTCCGGACAATATAGCTCAGCGGACTGTAGAGATAGGAAAACGAGGTAAACTAAGAAATTGTTCAGTATACTATTTCGAGCATTTCATCAGTAGTACACTTTTCGATATCTTCACAGACAGTTGATATACATCGATTTGAATGAACGGTATTGGGGTTCTAGACCCAATACTGTTTCAGACGTTCTAGCTCATCTGCCGGTCGAGATATCAAGAAGTTGTCAAGTAATACATTGTTTTGTATAGAATTTTGTACATTTCGTCTATTGACAACGTTTTGATATCTTAATAGACTGGTGAGATCTATAGTCTTGAATAAAGAGTATTTTCTAGAGTACAGTAGCGGTTCTCAGTGTTCGAATGACTGAAGTGAAATGGAATGAAAAGACCTAACTTCCTAGTAAAAGTGGGAAACCAATTTCCTGGTTTGTTTGAAACTTTGACCCCTTTCTCTTGGTTCCTTTGAGCGACTTCTCAAATGAGAAGTGTGTACAGTCCCAAGGGTGTCCGCATGCACTTTTCACAAAAGTCTGGAGAAAAAAAGGTCGGGATGGAATGGACGGAATGCCCGTACGGAGAAGAGTCGGGCCGAGGGTGTAAAAGGGGCGATGTGTGGCGGCGGCGGCGGCGGAGAAGAAGAAGAAGAAGAAGAAGAAGAATAAAAGCAGAGCAGCAACAATGGACATGACAAAAAGGGGTTGGAGTGCGTGTGTGCGGGACGCAGAGAGCCCCGCAGGCACCCGATTAGTTGTGTAGTGGCGGAGAGGCTGCCAAAGGCGACAAAGAAGAAGAAGAAGGAGAAGAAGGAAGAAGAAGCGGTCCGGGCTGCTCACGGTCCTGACCGGTCGAGCTGAACGATCAGAGGCGGAAGAGGCAAGAGCAGGTAAACTATTGGTTATGGGAGCAAATTATGGGGGAACAGGCGGGACCGAGCGGCGCCACTGGTTAGTGGCACTTACGAAGAGACCCTTCAAGCTTAGGCTCATCGGATCTCAACCTTTTTCAGCACGTGGGAATCTAGTGATCCGAGAAAGGCCAGAAGAAGAAGAAGAATAAGAAAAAGAATGCGAAGAAGTGACATCAAACATTCTACCACTGACTCATTCATCATCATCTCTTACACGTAGCTTTGGAAAGAAAAGGGGCGGAGCTTCGGGTTTCATTCGAAATTAGAAATTTATATTGCCGCGCGCGTGAATACTTGATCGTCGTCTCCATCCACCCCAAACCCCATTTTTTTCTGCGCCGCCGCCGTCATCTGCTTCAAAATTCTCCTCGAAGAAGACGGGAAACCCGATCAGCTTTCGGCTCAATCCGAGAGCAAAAAGAGCACCCCCGCAACCAGCCGGTCCCTGGCCGGCCGCCGGCCATCACACACTCACATAAAAAAGCGCATTTTGCATTTGCATCTCATCACCTAAAACTACCGTACTCCCCCCCTACGACAAGAAACGAAAGAAGAGAAGAAGAAGAAGAAGAAGATGTGATTTGGAAGACGGAGGAGCCCGGGGCTCTCGGAAAGTTACGGGTCCCTTGGGGTCGACGACGACGTCTCCCGCCCAAATGGCCAAGTCGAAAAGTCAAAGTGTATCGGACGGAGGGGTTTACTTGTTGCCTTTGCGTGCAACGAAACGCGCCCAGATTTGTTTAAAAAAGGATCGATTCGCAGGGCCGAAAATATAAACATTCGGACGGGGCGGGGTGGAGAAAAGAGCAGTTTGCACCCACACAGAAGCAGCAGAAGCAGAAGCAGAAGCAGCAGCAGCAGCAGCAACGGCAGCAAAAGCACATAAAATTGATGAACCGGAAAATTATTGTTATGTCGGTCGGTGGCGACAGACGACGTCTATTGTTCTTGCGGCCGACACACACTTTTAAGGATGAAGAGTGGAAAGAGAAAGCAGAAAAGCTTTCGCCGTTTTCGGCTCAAAAATGCGAGAGGAAGAAAGGTTTAGCGCCTGGTGGGAAATCGGAAATGCACCCGGAACCATCCGGGGAGGAGGAGGAGGAGGTACTTGGACACAAACGCTTCAGAATGGGAATGTGTTCTTCAATCTGTGCAGCAGTAGTTGGGACACTTGCACTTCAGTGCAAACTTTCCGGAGCTACACGAGTCTGGAGACGCATACAGAATTCGAGAATCGTCAAACGTTTACGTGGATTTCATGAAACAAATTCGAAAATATCACGGTATTCTTTAAAGGCGCACAGCAAAAATTTTCGACCGGTCTCGCAACGATAAACGCTTTCTATGCTGTTTCTCTGAGGATTTCTTTCTTTCCGCTGTTTTCTTTCTATTTTGAAATGACCGAAAAAAAACCGATAGTTCTCAAAAGGCAGTTGTTTTGTCATTTCCAACTGTTTGCAAACAAACTCCTCGGGTCCCAACACGCAAATGAAATTCAATCCGGGCGGGGAAAGTCTTCTTCTTATTCTTATTCTTCTTTTTCTTCTTCTTCTTCAGAAGAAGAAGACGTGAGCCGATTATGATCTTCGCCGGAAGCTCAAACAAAAGGAAGGAAAGAAGGAGGAAAAGAAGAAGAAGAAGAAGAAGAAGAAGAATAAAGCACATAGCAAAGAAATTCGAGAGAAAATCACAGGAAATTATGGGAATGCTCTCTTTGGAGCCCCGAGAAGTCTATGAGTGACAGAAGAACGGGGAAGCGTGGGGTGGGGCGCGAGGCGGCGAAAAAGAACGGGGACGGGGGTTTGTAGTAGTAGTAGTAGCGGCGCTGTGGAACAATAAAAAGCGAGTGCTCCCGGAGGAGCTCCCGGGCGGCGGCGGCTCCCGGCCTTCGTCTGCGTCTCCGCACACCAGATGATGCCATTCGAAAACCGCAGGAGCCGGAGGAGGATCACCTATCACTCATATTAGCACTTTCCTCTCTTCTCTCTCTCTCTCTCTCTCTCTCTCTCTCTCTCTCTCTCTCTTTCCGTCTCTTTCTGATCCCAACGGATATCACCCCGAATGACGTCATTGATTCGGATGGAGAGATAGAGAGAGAGATAGAGACGGGTTGATCTGCAAAATGATCTTATTAGAGACAAATTATCAGGAATTCTGCAAAAAGATCCATTTTGAGATTGTAAAAAATAGCTAGAACGTTCAAACCTACTGTAAGAAATTAGCTACCTGATACCAATACCGTCCCATCGAAACGATATACCTCGGATTTCTGTAGAGAAGTCAAAAAATGTCAACTAACAAAATGTTAATTACAAAATTGTGAACATTTCAACAGTTGACCGCTTTTTGATATCTCTACCGGCAGCTGAGATATATCGTCTCGAAAAAACGGTATTGGGGTAACTGTCTTGTCAAAATAAAAATAAGAGTTCTGAAAGCTGAAAAACTATATGGTTTTCAGAGAAATAACGTATTCTGAAACGGAAAGCCCTCTCTCTCTCTCTCCCTCTTTTTTCAAGAAAGTTGTCGGGTGTTTGTTGGGGGGGCGTTTGCAAATTACACCCCAATTTGGTTATTCGCCTTTTCCAACAGACCAGAAGCAGTCAGACGGAGGCCAATTAGGCCACTATTGTGTGTTTGTTTGTGATTTTCGCGGACGCGACGAACAACAATCTTTTCTGGCACAACTTTGTCAAAAAAAGGGATTCATTCAGATGATGTTCAACAGATTCGCGCTGAAATTGAAATGATCGCGGAGGTAGGTGTTGAGGATCGACTGCTCGAGCACCCCGATCTGCACGTTCATCGTCTGCAGCTCCTCCTCCAACTTGCTCACCGCCTGCTTGATCTTGACCAGCGGCGCGCCGTCCGAGCTCTTCGCGCCCTGCTCTTCAATCTGCTGCTTCAGCTGCTCAATGTCCTCGCTTATACGGTCCAACGTTTCGGTCCGAGAGCTCACGCCCACCGATGCGGCCCTGGAAGTGCGCAATAGAGCAACAAGTATCGCTCTCCCTCTCCCCACTCACTTATACTTTTCCCTGAGCTCCGCTCTCGTGTCCGTCGCCCTTTTGTACTTGCTCATCATGGCCGTCAACTGCGTGTTCAACGACTTTTCCCTCGTGTTTATCCGCTCCAAAGTCTTCGCAATATCCCTCGACATCTGAAGCCAACCAATGATCTTTATGGACACACAGTGTACTCACAGTCTCCAGTTGCGGTCCCACATTGCTCACTTTCTGCTCGACCGTCTTGTGCATCGAGTTCATCTGCTCCAGGTGCAGCCGCCAATCTTTCGCGTCCTGCCGCAGAGTGATCTTCAGATGCGGAGCCACTCGCTCCACCTCTTGCATCCACGTCAAAGCGTCCGTGTTGCTTTGGAGTACACCTTGAAGAGGCGTTTTCTGAAGTTCATTGGTCTTTTGGTCTCTTCTGTTCAATTTCAAGATCCTACCGATTCGGTGACCAGTCCCTGGGCCTTCAGGTCGATCTCAATGACGTTGTCATCGTCTTCATCGTCCAGAAAGTTCGTCGGCTCTTCGTCAACCTCCTCCTGCTCATTCTCCTCTTCTTGCTCGTCGACCGCAGTGTCCTCATCTTCCTCTTTCGGTGGAACCATTCTGAAAGTGATCATATTGTGTGGCGACAAGTTGGAAGCACTCACTGCTGCCACTGGAATCCAGCCTGTACGAGAGCCGCATCGGCCAGTGAGTTCAGAACGTGAATCGCGTTCTCACCGGCTCCAGACTTTAGCCGAGCGGCCGTGAAGTCCGTCGATATGCCCTGAATCACTCGATTTCATCGGAACACCGACGACTTCAGTGTTGGATGAAAAAATCTGTCAGAGAGTTGTCGAGACGCAGAAGTGACGCAGAAGTGTCCACCTTTTGGGAAGAAGGGGGCCAGATAAGAATCTGCCGCCGACGCGAAACTCTTCCATCTTTCCTCTATTCATCCCCTCCCCCTGTCCTATAAACACACCCTTTCTTGGCCCTCTTCTATGGCTCTCGACAGTCTCCGACTCATTTTCAAAGGTATCACTTTTGGGACGACCCACTATTTGTATGGGTACTCTGTTCAGGTAAACGCTTCGTCAGACTCTTCATATTTCTGTTTGTATGCTTCGGATTTATAATAGCTGTTACTATACTAGCAGGTGAACTTTTAAGTTTGACGCGAATCATCCAAATTCGCCGTTTAGGTTTGACAATTTTCGACCGCCAACACAACCACATAATCCATGACTACGTGGCAAGAAACGATGACATCGTCGTGCTGTCGACGACGTACTTTGAAAACTCGAAAAGGTTTGTCTATTTCGGCCAACTAGAGTTGTCACTTTCCGAATAACCGAAAAGAACGTTCAGTTTTCCGCCCAGTACAGCGGTGATATTGTTCAATTCGGTGCAAGTGTTCCATCTAAAGTACTCGCATCTGAATGTGGTCGCGGAAACGATGCAGGGAAATGTGGAGGTGCAGTTCAAAATTGAGCCGGTCATCAACACGATTCCGTTCTTCTGCAAATGGGTTCCGTACATCGCTGTCGGGCAGGTTCCCGAGGATCACGTCTTGCTCAAGCTCTCCACAAACAAAAAGGACGGCATGGAGCTCTCGCTGCGAACTCCGTTTCAAACTCCGCGCAAAGTCGTCGCCTGCTTCTCCCCGCTCTTTTTGAACGAACGTTGGCAACTTCTGCTGACCACTGTCGAGGCAAGCGCCTTCCGGAACCTTTTTTCTATTCGGTTCTTTCAGATCTACTCTCATTACGGCGCCTTTATGCACTTTTACGTGCGCTCCATGATCACCGACTTGTTCACGCTCATCAAGGAGAACAAGAATGTACATAGCCTTTCAATTCGGATCCCCCAACAAATCCATGATTCCAGACACGAATCTCTCCGTGGCCGTCAATCCGGATCGGAGAATCGCGTGCCGCGTCGCCCATGTTCGACCCGAACACAGAGCTCGAGTTCCGAAATCAGGCGTCCGCGATGACCGACTGCCTCCTTCAGTACAAAGAGTCGGCAGAGTTCGTCGTGTTTCCCGATCCGGACGATATTCTCGTGCCCGCTTTGGGCAAGAACTATTACGAGGAATTCACAAAGGTTCGTTCTGATGCCCCCCCTTTCACTTCCATATTGTCAGTTTCGATGCCTACATCATTCTTCGCAAAGTTCATCCGTTTCCCCCTCCTCTCCGCGTCCTTCTTCCGCTTATCGCCGCGCGGAATCTCGTGAAGAATGACGCGTTTGCAGGCCTTCAACATGTTCCCCACCGCCGGAGCAATCGTGTACAACATGACGCAGACGGTCATCGAATCGTCGACGACTCCGGCAAAGTACTCGCCGATGGAGTTACTCGCCTCCATCAAGTTCAAGGTACGATTTAGTACATACCAGTGTTGAGCGGAATTCCGTCTTCCGTGGTTTTTTCTGTTCCGTCTTCCGTCTTCCGTCTTCCGGGATTTCAAAATTCCATTTCCGCTCAACTCTGGCAGAAATGAGCATGTTCAGGGAGAGCAAAAGTGGGGAAAACTTGTGGTGCGACCGGAGCGAGTGGACAGTTTGTGGATCCACAGATCCTACAGTATCAAGGAGGGATTCGAGCAGAAGGTGATGCCGGTCGATGTGAACGCCTACTATCACTTGCGAATATGGAAGTTCCCCGAGTATGCGTCGGTCAACAAAACGAGTGAGTACTCGTGGAATCTTTCGGCGACTTTGACTCGTTTTCCAGAAGTTTCGTCTCCGCCTTACTATGATCCGTACCACGTGAAATCCACGAAACGGACCATCTATAAAGTGTCCGACGGTCTCAAAATTCAACGAAAATTCAAAAACCGAGTGGCAGAGGGCAATTTGAAAGCGGTACAGTTTCTAGAAAGATCTTTCCATGACAACGGATCCCGTTCAGATCTACTCCCGCCTGCCGAAAGTCTCCCTCTATTATCCGCTCATCGAAGTGTGCTACAATCGCATTTTCTACAGCCTCAAAGACATTGGCACGTGTCGAGGTGGGTCTCGCCACGATCATTCTACAGTAACCGCGTGCTCTTGCAGGTCCCGAGTACTGTAACATTCCGGCGTTCCCCGGATTGCGGTGTACAAACGTGGCGAGCGAGTACGTGACGTACAAAAGCTACCGCAACATCTACATTCATCAGTTGATCTCGACAGACTTTGAGGAGAGCGAGAACGGATGCACTTTGTGAGCGAAACGACGGATTTCAGAAAGTACTTGTCACTCTTTTACGGGTTCTCTTTTCGTTCTTTTTCAAAATAAAGGTGGTTTCTATTCGATTCGAAGTCATATGACCGGTACGATATCATGTGATTGCAAAACTGACGCAATTGACCTCAAACCGGTCAAACCACAAGACGTTTCTCTCAAGTGTCAGTGACCTTTGGGCGGTCCATTTCAGCGGAAATGTATAAAAAGCAGACAGAGGAGAAGATGAAGACCAAGAAAAAGAGAATGAGGATCCTTCTTATTCTCTGCCTCCTATTCTCGTTTCTCTACGCCGCCTCACATCGATCTTCCGGAAACGCGAGAGCCATTCAACAACAGGAACAAGAACAACAACAACAAAACATTGAGAGATTCAAGAGGAACGACTGAATGTTTTTTCACTTTTCTACTTTTCAATAAAACCTTTCTCACCTTACTCTTCGCGGCGGCCATGATATTCGCGAGCGTGGAATTGGGGTCGTCAAACTGGAAATATAAACATCTTCTTCTTCTTCTTCTTCTTCTTCTTCTTCACATTCCCCAACACTCACTTCCAGGGGCATATTGTAGGAATCGTCTCCGGATTTCCGTATGAGCCATGCCGCCAGCGAAGTGAACAAAAAGAACTGCTCGCCGACATTGCGGGATTTGACGAAATAGTGTTTCAGAATGGGTTTGTAAGCGGCGCCAAGCTTCAGAAATCCATCTTCATAGTTTAAAAGTTTCAACTTGTCGACCAGTTCTTCATTCTGAACATGGAAAACCGATATTAACAACGCAAACGGCCACAAACCTTGACATAAAGTTCGTATTCCTTTCCGGGCCCGTCTTCCGAAGGAGCATTTCCTTGAACGCCTCCTGACTGTCCCTCCTCGTGCTCTTCTTCCATTTGAAGACAAAAACGTTAAGCAATGGCAGAACGGAGGTGGCGAGGTGAGCTTTATGCGGTTTCCATGGCAACTTCGGGATGCAAAGAGGGATCTCGGTTTGGAGGAGACGCCGATGGAGAAAGGAGGCGCACCGGTGGCGAGAACCTTCGTCGAGGGGGTGAAAAGAAGTGGTCTTGGTAGGAACATGCTCGGCAAAGGCGCGCCACTTTTGCGCAAACTTTACGCAGCTTTTGCGCAAAGTTTTTTTTCTCTTCACAGTGGTTCTTGTTCTATTTAAACCAGAAAAGAATGTGATATAGTACAAAAGTACGAGCATGTGAATCGTTCAAACATCTTAAATAATTGTGAAGTAGCTCGAATTCAAGTGATTTCATACAAATTTTCAATACTGAAATTTCGCTTGAAATACGGAAAAAGATAGGTAGTTTCAATTTGATAAGCAACAAAAAACAAATAAAACGCATAAAAACAAGCTGGAAAAAGCGAACAGTACTGAAAAAAAGGTGCGAGGACGCTTAAAGTTCGCGCAAAAGTGGCGCGCCTTTGCCGAGTGACTAGACTCTCTCGGAAGGACCGTCCTTTCCGTGAACTTTCCCATCGATCAGTGCGCCGCCAGTTCCGGCTCATTTCAAAAGTGTTTTTCAAGAAAGAAAAGAACGAAATGCGTGGCGAGGGATGTGAAAAATCAAATGAGAAACAGGAGAAGACGTCGCAGAACAATGATAAAAATCGGCTGAATCATCTGAAATGCTATCACGGAGTGCAGAGGAAAGAGGAGGTGGCGATGTTGATGAAGGACGCGGCGGTCGGCATGTTCCTCGTCCGCTCGTGCTTCGTCAAATCCGAGGTGGCACTCGGGCTGATCCTCTCGGTGAAGGTGTCCAAGGGCGAGTCGGACACGTCGATCCACCACTACGTGATCGACTACAAAGGCAACGAGTACGTGCTCATTCAGACGTTCTCGGACGGCGGAAAGTCTGTGACGGTCGAGTCGAAGCCGTTCGGATCTCTCGAGGAAATGATCGAGCACTACCAGGTGGGTCACATCATTTTCTCGCTCATCATTCTCTTCCAGCACCACCGTCTCGCGTGTAAAATGCGTCTGTTCAAACCGCTGAAACGTCCGTCCTGGCAGCTCCGTCACTCGCAAGTCCGCTTCGACGAGTCCGGAAAACTCGGCTCCGGCAACTTTTGCATCGTTTACAAAGGGAAGTTGCACAAGAAAGACGGCGAAGTGAAGGACGTGGCGATCAAAGTGTCGAAGGACACGGAAAGGGACTCGGCGGTGCTCATGGAGACGCGCAACTCGATCTTCGCCGAGGCACGCATCATGATGAACTACCGGCATACGAATGTGATAATGCTCTATGGATTGGCGTGCGACCTGCCGCCATTCATGGTTTGCATGGAGTTCTGTGCGGGAGGGTGTTTGGAGAGTGCACTCAAAAAGTACGGAAAAGAAATGGAAGAGTTCGAGCGGCAGATCCTTCTGATTGATGTGAGCGAACGAGGGAAACGGGAGATAATCATTCATTTTTCAGGCGGCCCGAGGGATGCGATATCTGCATGCTCAGAAGTGTGTTCATCGGGATTTGGCATCGAGAAACTGTCTGATCTCATCCGAAGGACTCGTCAAAATTGCCGATTTCGGACTGAGTAAGACGTTGAAAAAGGACGAGAAGACGTTCAAAGAGGCACTCAAGGAAGCGCCACTGGCGTCAGTTTACAACAAAGCTGCTCTTCTCCGAATCGGGAACATTTCAGATGGATGGCGCCGGAATGCATCCAACGCGAGTCGGAGTTTTCGAGCAAAACCGACGTTTGGGCGTTCGGTGTCGTCATCTTCGAAGTGTACACGAACGCGGAGAAGCTGTTCGCCGGGGAAGAGGACACGGCGATCGTGAAGAAGATCCGGAGGGCGAACATGCCGTCGTTGGAGTCGAAGACCAAATTGCCGGCGATGCAGGCGGTCCTCTCGGCCATCTGGTCGGTTGTAAATGGAACCCACTTGCTTGCTCAACAAAAACATTCAGGGTCCGCAAACCGGACGACCGTCCCGAGTTCCAGAAGATTCTCGAGATGCTCATCGAAGCGCTGACTCCGATCCAACCGTCGGATTTGAAACGCATGCAAATCAACAATCTGAAGGGCGTGGCAAGGACGCAGCTGCCCGACACGCACACCGAACTGGACGAGGTGATGACGGAGGATCGGATGGAGGCGGAGATCTCCGACAAGAACAAGAAGGCGCAGGCGGAGAAGAAGAGGAACACGGCGAATCGGAAGCGGACGTCGAAGAAGAGGCGCGAGGAGCAGCCGAAGAGCCGCAAGCCACGAACGACGGCGGCGGCTCCTCCGTCCTCTGCGAATATTCGGAAGGCGGCCCTCTCCGAGTGATCTCTGAATTGCTCCGAATAAATAAAGCGTGACTTTATCCATTATTCTCCACAAAAACCGTTCACTTCTTGCTGCTCTTCTTGGTGAGCGAATTCGGGCTCACTGCGACCGGGTTCTTCGGCTTCGAGCGTCGTTTCGTGATCGGGTGCAGCGACTCGTCGGCCGTGATCGCCTCGGCCGTAAGCGTCTCTCCGTCCAGCTGCTGCTTCTTCTTCTTCTGTTCCCTTTCCTTCTTCTTCTTGTTCTTCTCCGAAACGATCGGACTCTGAAGTGCCTTCCACGGATCGTGCCGGAAGAACGCGGCGATGTCGGCGTACTCCCACGGGAACAGAGTCGTCCGGTTCTCCGCGTTCGCCCTCTGCAAATGAGTGTTCATGTGATGCGAACGGGTTGAAGGGGACCGACCCATCTCTGATAGGCGGGCATCTGCTTCGTCTCCCAGTCGAACGGATCGAGCCACGAGACGCCGCTCTTCGCGTACACCCTCCAGAATGTTCGGTAGACAAGATGGTAATTGGGGAACGAGTAGTAGTTGGAGGCACGGAGACTCGCCTCGATCGCTTCGAACGCGTCGTTCTTGAACAGATCTCGCAGCTTCGATCCGAGCTTCGACCGTTCTAGAGTCTGATCCTCGAGCGAAGACCACGGAAGCGGCTGGACGAGCTCCGCGAGCATGTACAGAAGCGACCAGACGTCGTCGATGCGGCCCTGAAAACATCTCTTGCACACGACAATCCACGCGTTTCACTTACCAAATCCTGAAACGAGTGGGCGTTCGGAGATGCGTAGACGGGCGTCCCTTTGAAAGCTCGCGTCTTCCGGCGAGCCACCCGCCAATCGAACTCGCCGTTTCCGACGGCGGTGCCCTTCTTCTGCAGCACAAACTTGCGCGAGATTCCAAAGTCGAGGAGGAAAAGGACGCGGACGGTGAGCCCGTCGTCGATCGGACCCATCGCGAAGTTGGCCGGCTTCAGGTCGCGATGCACGTATCCGCAGTCGTGCACCGCTTTTATTCTGAAACCGTATCGTCGGTTTTCTTCGATGCACATATCGAACTGACACGTAAAGGCACTGAATGCCCACGCGGCTCCAGGTGCCCGGAGAGCACGCATTCGGATCGCGGCACCTCTGCCGCAGCTTCTTCAGATTGTCGCCGAGCAAGTCCATCACGAGCACGTGATACTTCAGCTCTTTCCCGCCCGAAATGAATTTTGGACAGAATTTCAGATCGTGTTTCGTCACGTCCACCACAATTTCAATCTCGTTTTTAAGCGCCGACGGGCCTCCGTCCAACCGGTTCGGCTCTACTTTCATCGCGTACTTCTTGCCCTCTTTCGACACTTTGAACACCTGACCAAAGTTGCCCTCGTCAATCTTCTCGTTCACTTGAAACCCTTGGATCCTTCAATTTCACACAATTGGCAGTGGAGCGCACTTTCGATGCCCTACACGTCATCAATCATAATAAAGATCTGCTCAAACTGTTCCACGTTGCTATTTTCCGCCATCCTGATGTGAAATTATATCAGAAAATGAATATTTGTGTTCCAGAAACTCTACAGTAACCCTGTCACGTATTCTCGACCATCCACGTGTTCAAATTGAAGCGGAAGAATCTGGTGACAGGCAAGGCAGACAGCCCCCAACCTCCGTCAATCTCTTTTTCATCGAGACCATACCATACAGAATCATTTTCAATTTAGTAGAGATGCCAACTGAACGATGAACGAGAGAGCAGGGAGTTGAGCGGAATTCCGTCTGCCGTCTTCCGTCTTCCGTGGATTTTTTTGTTCCGTCTTCCGTCTGCCGTCTTCCGGAATTTTTTCTTCTTACCGTAAAAGAGTAATAGCTTTTCAGAAGCCATTTACTAGCCCCGAAGAACGCGAATTTCCACGGGCAGTGACCCAGATCCAAAATTTTTGTTGCTTTAGTTATTTCTAAAAAAAACCGGAAAAAAAGGTTCTGAATTGACGATTTTTTTGTTCCGTCTTCCGTCTGCCGTCTTCCGGGAAAAAAGTTTTCTTCCGTCTTCCGCCTGCCGTCTTCCGTGAGAAAAATTTTCTTCCGTCTTCCGTTTTCCATGTTCCGTAAAAAAAATTTTCTTCCGTCTTCCGTTTTCCGTTAAAAAAAATTTTTCCGTCTGCCGTCTGCCGTCTTCCGGATTTCAAAATTCTATTTCCGCTCAACTCTGGTGCGCACTCTGAAAACGCTTTTTGCTAAATGGTCACGTGTACGAAATGTTCTTTCGGATTGGAAAGTGTTATGATTAGGGCGTTTCACGTGAACCAATTGCACAGGCAAAACCGGAGTGGGTAGAATCAGGTCCACCGACGGGTCGGCGAGGGTGAGTTTGGTACATCTTTCGGCATGAGCGTTGAGACCCTCATTTGACTCCCGGGCGGCCAAAAATTGGGCAGGGGCTTCGCTTGCTCCGTATTCCGCTTCGGTATTTTGATGGTCCCCTCTGATCCAGTTTTATAAATTGGGAACAACAAAAAGAAGCAAAATATTCCAAACATTTCATTCGATCAATAGAAAAAGAGCGTTCTCGATGGCGTCACCAGCTTCTTGCCATTTATCCGTCCAGTTTGTAGCCTGGCTTGGCCTTGCGGCAGAGCACGATCGTGCTGTCCGAGCAGCCCTTCGCGGTCGCAGAGTGCTCCTTGCCCTGGTATCCGTAGCCGTACTTCTCGTTGCGGACGTCAATCTTGGCGAGAATCTGCTTGCCTCCGGGCAGGTTCACCACTCCGACCGAAATGTCGCCCTTGTGGTTGTTCACGTGCACCGGATGCCATTCCTTGTCGCCGAACTTGGCCGCCTCGGGGAACGGAATCCATCCGTAGTCGAAGCCGCGAACGCTGTCCGGCAGGTAGATCAGCAGCTGCATCGATCCGATGTTCTTCGCGTACTCGTTGTTGAACCACGAGAAATTGGCCGCCACCTGAACATTCCAACCCATGAGACTCAAATCTCAAATCGATTTGGTTGATTACCTTTCCTCCCTCATTCCAGACGCGTCCCATGACGGGCTCTCCCTGCATGTACCAGAGGGCCACATACTGGTCGGGATTGACGCCCGGCAGCGTGTCGAGTGACTTGTCAAGAGCCTTGACGAGCGGACGCGTCGGCCACGGATCTCCCTCGCGGATGTCCATCCATTCGTCCCTCTCGACACGTGGCACCGGCTTCGGCGGCGGCGGCGCGGCTCCACAGACCGCACACGGGCAGTGGGGCGGTCCGCCGATGCAGTTGCGCGTAATAATGAACATCTCGTTGAGCTGCGGACCGAGCTGCTTCAGCACTTTGCCGTTGATCGAGAACCACGCCTCCTCGGTCTTGTTGTCCACGTAGCCGAGCAGGTTGCCCTCGGCACGCTTCCAGAAGATCGGGAACGAGTCTCCGCAACGCACCAGCTGGTGCTTGTCATCGAGCTTCTCGAGACGGTCCTTGTACTTGATCCACTCGTACCAAAAGCCTAAACTCTTTCCTCTTAAACTACCGTCTCTTACAACTCTTTCTCTCACCCTGGGTGTTATGGTCTCCGAGGTACTGGAGCACCTGGATCTGCCCCTCCAGCTGCTGCTTCGTCGACAGCTCCGCGTCCTTGTAGGGAAACGAGCACTCGACGACTCCTCCGTTGTTCCACGAGCGTCCGTGAATCGGCTTTCCGTGCTTGTACCACAGCGCCACGTACATATTCTGCTCGCCCATACACTTGACAGGACTCGGCGGGAAAGGCGAGCCGATCGGCTGGAACGCCCACGTATCTTCTTTCGGCGGCGGATTCGGCATCTTTCGTCGTTTGTCGTCGAACAGTCACGGATTGAGCGGCGATGAAAGCGTTGCAATCGGTGATAGATTAACCTCTCCGTCCCGGAAACCGTCCTTTTATAGGCACCGCTTATCGGATGGCACCGTTTCCGAAGGCTATCAGGGGGTCACGCTCACTTTTCCCCTTATTCCCGGCTTCCTAATTTTTGGGAAAATTGGGAACTGTTTCCATTTTATTTCAGCGCATCACCCTTCTTCGCGCCCACCTCAAAGGAAGACGAACGCGCGCCCGTAAAGTGTCGGTCCATGCCCAGCCTTAAGAGCGGGTCTCCCACAGTCTCGGTATCGCTTCTTCGGCTTATTAGCTAAGATCAAAGTGTAGTATCTGTTCTTATCGTATTAACCTGCGGTATACACTCGAATGAGTGTAATAAAGGTTATATGATTTTTGGAAACGAGGGAAGGCTCGGGGCTTGCTCCGACTTCCTAGGGGTCGTCCCGGCGTTGCACTGCTGCCGGGCTCGGCCCAGTCCCCCCGAGGGGACAACAATAAAGTATCTTGTGCATCTGCAAAACATCCACGTGAACTCGCCCGAATGAGAATAATTAGTGCCAAACAAAAAGGGGGAAAGAAAGCATTTCTGATTTGATAGACGGTGTTCAACAGTTCCAAACCGATCATTTCGTTGTCTTGCTGTCAAGGATCCAAAAAATGGACAAAACGAAGTGCTCAAAGAAGAGTGTGGTGACTCGCAGTCAACGGCAGAAACAGATGACGAAGACGCAGCGGAGAACCGACAGAGGCAAGTCGAAGTCTAGCCAGAGTCCGAGGTCAGTTGGAAGTGCACTCCATTGAGACGACCGCATTTGCAGTCAGAAGAAGAAGACGTCGACGATGACGGCGAAGAGAGCGCCGAAGATTGCGGCGGTTCCGTCGAATGCAACCGATCCGAAAGAGCATCCTCATTTGGAGCACAAAGAGAAGAGGGAGGAGAAGAAGGAGGAAAAAAAGGAAGAAAAGATGAAGGATCCGCCGAAGAAGAAGAAGGAGGCGGAGAGGAAAGTGGATGCGACGCAGGAAGACGTACAGGAGGAAGAGCCGAAGAAAGAGGAGAAGAAGGAGGAACCGGCGCCCGCGAAGGAGCCGTCGAGTGGGCTCGAAGTGCTCATTAATCAGGAGAAGGCGCCCGTCAAAATGGACGACGGATACGAGGACTTCGGACCGGGAGCCGCATCGTGAATTCCTTTCAATAAATGTGATATCTGCAGATTACTCCTTTCTTCATCGTTTTCCTTCTTTCGCAACGATTTGAAAGAGAATGGCGCGAAATGGAATAATGGCCGTGGCCGAAGAAACGCAGGCAGCGAAGCTCAGCCGCCGATTTTGTCAGCATTTTTCGTTGGCTAATCTGTTCTTTTCTCCGCCATTTACAGTTCAATTTTCTTGTGAAAAGCTCGAAAACTGTTTCGAGAATTCCTGATGTTGAAGACGTCCATGTCATTTTGTTTAAAGGCGCACGCCCGACCGCTTGGGGCGGGTCTCGTCGCGACAATGACAAAGAGGCTGCCGGCGCGAAAAACACCCTGATTTTGAAAAGTTCCGTCGTTTTCTTAAAAAATTTGAACGCTTCTCGTGAAAAATAAGAAATTTGTCTGCCATTGAGTGCTTTCAAAAATTTGATGCTGCAAAAACCAAAAAATTGAAAAAAAATCCTTGTTTTCCTTACATTTCGTCGGATATACCGTTGTTTTCCATCTTCTCCCACAATCCGATCAGTTTTCAGTCAGTTATGTTCCTCACTCGCAGCGAATACGATCGTGGAGTCAACACCTTCTCCCCGGAAGGACGTCTTTTCCAAGTCGAATACGCCATCGAGGCCGTCAAGGTTTTTCAAAACGCTTCTCACTTGAAATTGCGAACATCTATTTTAGTTGGGTTCGACGAGTATCGGAATCAAGACCAGCGAAGGAGTTCTTCTGGCGGCCGAGAAGCGATCGACGTCGAAGCTGATGGTGAATGACGCGATCGAGAAAATCAGCAAGGTCGATCAGCACATCGGTGAGCAATAAATGCCGCATGGATGTAGAGAATCCGTTTTTCAGCTGTCACTTTCGCCGGATTGATTGCCGATTCGCGCACTCTCGTCGAGCGAGCTCAGGTCGAGGCTCAGAACTTCTGGTTCTGCTACAATCGCAAGATCCGTATCGAGGACGTCACCCAATCGGTCGCCAATCTGGCTCTTCAGTTCGGAGACGATGACGTCAAGGTCAGTGAAATGCCGATTAAGATTTGCAATAATAACAGTTCAGGCGTCGATGTCCCGCCCGTTCGGAGTGGCAATGCTCTTCGCCGGTGTAGACCAGGAAGGCCCGAAGCTCTTCCATCTTGACCCATCCGGCACTTTCATCGACTGCAAGGCCAAGTCGATCGGAGCCGCCAGTGACGGAGCCGAGCAGAATCTCAAGGAGCAGTACCATGATGTAATAGGCGAAGACACAGCTTCATCGCTCATTCGCTTTCTTTTCAGGCGCTCACAATCAAGGAAGGATTGAAAATGGCTCTGGCGATTCTGAAGCAAGTGATGGAGGAGAAACTGAACTCGGCCAACGTGGAAGTCGTCGTCATCAAGAAGGGAACCGACGCGAACGGACGTGCTTTCGGAGACTTCCAGAGAGTTTCGAACGACGAACTTGAACAAGTCATCACCTCCCTCTAAGTACCTGCCTCTTGCGACTTCCTCTCGGTGTCTCAGCTCGTTTTCACTCTCTTCCTCCGATTATTTATGGAAAGTATTTTATTTGTGATGTTCAGCTGTTCAATAAATTATTTATTTTCATTCCGAATCTCGGCCAGTGCATTTCTGTTAATTTACGGCGGAAAATCGAGTGAACTATGAAAAATCTATGAGAATCAAACGACTTCTTTGTGTTGACATGTTTTTTTCTAAATTTCGTCCGGATCGGTGTATTTATCGGCAGTTTTCTATTGCAAAATCTTAATTCCATAACGTTTTATTGTCGATTTACGCGTCAGTTTAAAGGCGCATGCACTTCAGCGGCCGGCGGGTCTCGCCGCGAAAACCACATTGCCGTTGTTTTTGGGAAATATTCTGCAGTTCCCAAAATTTTTCGGGTTTTTGGCTTGAAGCGCATCATTTTTGGCCGTTTTTTTCGTGTTTTATGCTGAAATTATTCAAGAAATTTGTGCCGTTGGCGATTTTATAGACAAACTTTTTTTTTGAAGTTGAGGCTTTAGACTATTTTTTGTGGAAATAATGTATTCTTTTACTAAATGTACTCCTTGATCGATAATTCTGTAATGCGTTCGTCCTACTTTCTTTCTCGGCTCCATTTTCAACCTAAAGTTTTGTTTTCAGGAAGTCTTTAAATCCTTAATTCACCACGATGGTTAAGGGAGACCGTTCGGCTTGGAAGACGAACTACTTCGTCAAGCTCATCGAGCTGTTCGAGGAGTACCCAAAATGTCTTCTCGTCGGTGTCGATAACGTTGGATCCAAACAAATGCAGGAGATCCGCCAAGGCATGCGAGGACACGCCGAGATCCTTATGGGAAAGAACACCATGATCCGTAAGGCTATCCGTGGACATCTCGGCAAGAACCCATCGCTCGAGAAGCTGTTGCCGCACATCGTTGAGAACGTCGGATTCGTCTTCACCAAGGAGGACCTCGGAGAGATCCGTACCAGGCTTTTGGAGAACCGCAAGGGAGCCCCAGCTAAGGCTGGAGCCATCGCTCCATGCGACGTCAAGCTGCCACCCCAGAACACCGGAATGGGACCGGAGAAGACCTCCTTCTTCCAGGCTCTCCAGATCCCAACCAAGATCGCCAGAGGAACCATCGAAATCTTGAACGAGGTAAGACATTGCACTTGAGAAAATAGGCTAATTCTTTGGTTTTCAGGTTCACCTCATCAAGGAGGGAGACAAGGTCGGAGCTTCCGAATCTGCTCTCCTCAACATGTTGGGAGTGACTCCGTTCTCGTACGGATTGATCGTTCGTCAAGTCTACGACGATGGAACCCTCTACTCTCCGGAAGTTTTGGACATGACCACCGAGGAGCTCCGCAAGCGCTTCCTCTCCGGAGTCCGCAACGTCGCTTCCGTCTCGTTGGCTATCAACTACCCAACTCTCGCTTCCGTCGCCCACTCATTGGCCAGCGGACTCCAGAACATGTTGGGAGTTGCCGCCGTCACCGATGTTTCCTTCAAGGAGGCCGAGACCATCAAGGCCTATATCGCCGACCCAAGCAAGTTCGCCGCTGCCGCTCCAGCCGCCGCTGCCCCAGCTGCTGCTGCTGCTGCTCCAGCCGCCAAGAAGGAGGAGCCAAAGGAGGAGTCTGATGACGACATGGGATTCGGTCTTTTTGACTAAAACCTTTCGTTGTTATTTGTTGTTAATAAAAATGTTAAAGCCTATTCGCTCGTAATCTTTTTTTGCCATTGTTGAGTGTCCTTCAAACACTGTCATATCTCTCTGTCTACTGTTCATCCACTTTTTTTTTACTAATTGTGGTCTTGCAGTTACTGGCCCCCATCCGTCAAGATGCTGATCTACAAGGATATTTTCACCGGTGAGTGGAACATTTATAAGTTGATCATCCACACACCTTAAGCCTGTCTGTCTACTTTTGAAGTGTGCAGTTCTTGTTTTCATTTGTCAACGTTCTGTTGATAGATGATATGCAATCTGTTCGTTGCAGGAGTGAATGCCAGATTGGCGAGTTACGTGTGGTAAATAAGTTGAAGACTGTCATAGTTTTGTCTCAGAAATGGCCATTGGTGTGACGCCGTATTTTTGTAGAATAAAAATGTATGTCTAACATTTCAGATGACGAGCTTTCTTCTGACTCGTTCCCAATGAAGCTTGTTGATGGCCTCATCTACGAGTTTCAAGGAAAGCAGGTCATCCGCAAGGAGGGAGAGATAGTTTTAGCTGGAGCCAACGCCTCCGCTGAAGAGCCAGGAGATGAGGGAACTGACGAGCACGTCGAACGCGGTATCGACATCGTCCTCAACCACCACTTGGTGGTAAGTTACTGTTTTTGAGATTAAAACTTCATTTTATTCGTTCCAGGAGATGAACTGCTACGAGGATGCCTCCATGTTCAAGGCTTACATCAAGAAGTTCATGAAGAACATCATTGACCATATGGAGAAGGAGAACCGCGACAAAGCCGATATTGACACCTTCAAGAAGAAGATCCAAGGATGGGTTGTCAGCCTCCTCGCCAAGGACAAGTTCAAGACCCTCGCTTTCTTCATCGGTACAACCAGTGGCCGCTGAATTTTGCATCATAATTACTTTTTCAGGAGAGAAGGCCGCCGAGGGAGCCGAAAACGGCCAGGTCGCCATCATCGAGTACAGAGATGTCGATGGAACCGAGATCCCAACCCTCCTCCTCGTCAAGGAAGCCCTCGTCATCGAGAAGTGCTAAAGCCTCACTGTTAAATCATTATATCGTTTTTCAATGAACTATATATTCCCCCAAACGCATATCAATTGCAAACGAAACATAAATTATTGCCTTTTAGTACCTGACTAGAATTACATAATGATCTGAGGGGCGTCTATTTAAGATGAAAAGAAGTGACCTGGAAATAATTTTGAAGAGCTACGAGCGTTTGATGAACTCTAGGAGCACCGAACATTTCGCCACGAATACGTTCGAGAAACTGGACGAGTCGTGGAAGGAATACTTGGAAAATAGTACTGTACGAAAGCGTAGTAATTTTCAAATCATATTAAATGGGTTACAGATTGAAGACGTGGTTGCACTTCTGAATTCGGACGTCGCCTCCGAAGAAGTTCCAGAATCCCTAAAAAGTTTGAAACTCGGTCTGAAATCTCTGGAATACAACAGAAAATGCATCAGAAATCCGCGCGAGTTGTGGCAGAAATGGACGAGATCGGATGCGAGAGATGGATTGGAAGTGAGGAATTCTGAAAATTAATGAAAAGCACTTTCCGTCTTAAAGTCCGAATTCCGAGTGGTGGCGTCTTCGAACGGGGTGATTCGGAAGAGGATAAAAGCGAAAAAACAGCACGAAATCGATCGGATCGTCGAGTTGATCGCCCAAATTCAAACTTTTCATGACGACAAATCACGTTAGTTTCTGTTCAATCATCGAAGATTTTCCAATTTCAACCGATTTCAATGTCAGAACCGATCGATAGTCTCGTGGACATCGGCGCCGGAGTCGGGCATTTATCGCGAATGATCGCCCTGCACAACAAGCTTTCTGTGATGGCCGTCGAGGGAAATCAGCAGGTTTTTGGGCTTCGGAACTTTCTCTCTAAGTGGTTCTATTTCAGTTTACAGTGGCCGCCAGTTCGCTTGACGAAAAGCTCGTCGAAGATTCGAGAAGAATCGGAAATGCCGATCTGAATCTGAATCTCGGTCAATAATCCACTTCTCCTTCCTTTTAAAACGCTCCCTTTTCGCAGACAACTCGCCGCTCCGTTTCACCAGTTTCGTCACCGAAGAACTCGCCGCGAAGATCGACGAGTTCGCAGAGAATCGCGCGATTCTGGTCGGATTGCACTGCTGCGGCGACTTCTCCTCGACCATTCTCAAAGTGTTCCGGAAGAGTCGACGGGCAAAGGCGCTCGTTTTGCTCGGCTGTTGCTACCACAAACAGTTCGAGTGCTTTCACTTTCTGCACCCGAAAACCGAGAACGGAGAGGTTCGTTTTGTGCAGATCAGGGCTGGGCAAAAGGCCGACCCAGGCTTTTTAAAGGCCTTCTGGCCAGCCCTGGTGCAAATGCATTCTGCTTAATTAGTTCTGTTCCATTCCAGGCTCCGCAGCTGTCGAAATCGTCAGTCTTTCCGCTCAGTCAAAAGTGGGCGGGGCTAGAGCTCGGCTACGTGGCACGGGAGATCGCCTGCCACAACAATGAGAACGTGGCGGCGCGGTTGGGAAACGTCGATTTGTCCCGCTACGCGCGAGCCCATTTGGAGAAGTGGATTTGGGAAATAACGGACGATCCGGACGATCGGAACATGGGAATGTGCTCGGTGCGGTCTTCTGATCATGAAGATTCTGAGAATGAGTGACTTTTGCAGGTGAAATGCGAGCAGGGAAAGACGACGTTCGAGGAGTACATCCGAAAAGCGCTCTCGAAAAGAGGAAATCACTTGTTGGAAAGGGTTTTGAAGGTTCAATAGATTCATTCAGAGTTCTTAATCTCAAAACGTTTCCAGAAAGTGCCCGAATCGGAGCTGTCTGCCTGCGTCTCCTCGCTCCGCTGCCCTCTCTTTGACGCGTGCGAGATCCTTCGGCTCCTGTTCGCGCCGGCCGTCGAATCGGCGATTTTGGACGATCGCGTCGAGTTTTTACGGGAAAAGGGAATGAACGCAGAAGTCGTCGCTCTTTTCGAGCCCACCGTTTCTCCTAGAAATCTTGCCATTGTCGCTTATAAAGATTCTTAAGTTTCTCCCTCGAATTTTGGGTGTTGTGGTGTGCTGTGTCCTTTGATTTACCTTTTTTCTCCAAACTCTTCTATGAATTCTAACTCTCCAGATGACTTCCTCAAAATCCACGTCAGTTCAAGTGGAGATTAACAAAAAGATCAGCATCAAGTTCCCGTTCGAACCGTACGAATGTCAGCGAATTTTCATGAGAAACGTAATCGACGTGCTGGATAGAGTGAGAAGCCGCGTTGATTCATCTCGTAGCCACGTCCCCTATTCAGAAGCTCGACGCCGCATTGGAAAGTCCGACCGGCACCGGAAAGACGCTTTCGTTGCTGTGCTCGACGCTCGAGTGGGTTCAGCGCGAGAAAGAGACGAAGCCGTTGGATTTCGCCACGTGGCAAGCGTCAGGTGTCGGCGGTGGAGGGCCCGGAGCTGCGGACGGCGGACAGCTCAAGAGCTCGTTCATTCCGACGATCTACTACGCGTCGAGAACGCATTCGCAGCTGGAGCAGGTGGTGCACGAGCTGAACAGGACCGAATACAGATGGTCGGAGTGGATATTTAAGTCTGGAAGTCATTGTTTTATTTTCAGGGTGACCACAACAATATTGGGCTCTCGTGAGCACTTTTGCATCAACGAAAAAGTGAAAAAGATCAAAGAGTCGAACCGGCAGGCGCACGTCTGCAGGGCGATGGTCCGCAAGAGAACGTGCCATCAGTACAATAAATACAACGGTGAGAAGAGGTTCATTTCATCTGGACATCTTCCGATTAGTACTTTTCAGTGTGCTCCAAAGAGAAGGCGAACGAAATGTTGAACACTGGAACTGCAATGGATATTGAGGACTTTGTGAAGGTCGGACAACAGAATTCGTGAGCAAGACATCAAAAACTGTTATTTATAATCCGACCCGTCATCTCCAGAATCTGTCCCTATTTCCTGTCGCGTCAACGTTCGGAAAGCGCTGAACTGATCCTCCTCCCTTACAATTATATCATCGATCCGAAGATGAGAAGGCGCTACAAACTAGATCTCAACAACTCGATCGTCATTTTCGACGAGGCGCACAATCTGGAGTCGATCTGCGAGTCGAACTCTTCCGCAGAGCTCACCTCAACCGCCATCGCAATGTGCATCTCCGAGCTGCAGAAAGTGTTGGCTCTTTTGGTGGAGGACGAGGAGACCGCTCGGCAGGAGGCCGACGAGTCGCAGGGATTCGGAACTGTCGATCCATCGCAAGTCATCTCCGAGTACCTCCGGACAGAGCATCTGATGGCGGTGCTCGAGAAGATGTTCTCATTGGAGCAGCAGTTCGACGAGCTATTCAAGTCGGATCTTCTGAGGAGTGTGCCGCCGTTGGAAGGAAAAGCGAGTGACGGAGAGGTTCTGCTGAACGCTCTCGCAAAGGCGGGCATCGACGGATTGGCGGTGGAGAGGCTCACGTCGGTGCTCTCGGAGGCCACTTCCTACTTGATGTCCAAGAACGAGGAAGTTTCATTGGCGGAGAAGGGCGACGGAATGGAAAGAGTCTCCGATTTCATAGTTTCCATTTATACGACGCACGCGCAGGAGGTCGCAGCTGCGGCCGGAGACGAACGAGTTCAGGTGAGAAGACAGGATAAGCTCTAATGTTTATTTGCGGGTCAATTGCTGTTGAACACGTTTCTGATGTAGGCGACGATTCCGGACCTCGGATCGCACTTCTTCAGTTCCGCCTCATCGGACACGTCCGACGTGATCTTCGCCGTCTCGGGTTGCTCTTTGAAACTGATCGTCGCCTGTCGTGACGGCGACTTCGACTTCCACTTCTTCTTGCGCGGAGTTCCAGCCGGCGAGGGGCCCATAGTGGAGGCGGTGGCAACGGCGGCGGTGGAAGTTGTGGGCATGTAGACGGACTTTTCGGCGAGATTCGTGGCCGAAGAGGTGGCGGCGGAGAGCGTCGAAGGAGCACGGAGCAGGGAACGACCCTTGTCGAAGGACGGCTGTAAAGGAATAGAGTCATTTCGTTGAGAGGGGCTGACTGACCAGTGGGGTTTCCGGTTTCACAAATTGCTGAAGACAGCACATTTCACGAAGCGCAATTTCCAGAGAATCAGCTTCCAGCGGTGCATCCTTCAGATCCTCGGGCTCCTTCTTTTCCGTCTTGGCTGCGGGAGCGGGAGCAGTGCTCGGAGCGGTGCCGGGCGGTTGCGGCGGTCCCGTTGGTGGCTGGGCTGCCGGTTTCGAACTCTCCTTCTCCTGTTTCAGCAGCAACTCCGGGAATCGTTCCGTCAAGTCCGCCTCGAGACTCGGGTTCGGCGAGCTGCGATATAAGACGGGACGGCAGGCGATTACACTGAAAACTATCATTTTTTGAAGACGAACAACGCGTTCGCTAACTCGACATATCCGATTTTTCTGTTTCGGTCCAACACGTTCCGAATCGTCGTCTGCGTGGTCTTCCTTGTTTTGAAATTCTGAAAGAAGAACTTTTCAAAATTCACTTTCTAATGCTCACCAGATTCGTGTCGCCGATCGCCAGAAGATAATCACCGAGGCGGAGCGAGTAGCTGACTGGCGATTTCGGCTTCAAACTCATGACATACACCCTCCGCTTGTCCTGATTTATATTGAATCCCGGGCTCTTGCCGTTCAGATAAACTCTGGTCATAAAGTGTTGAAGGCGTTCGTCGAGCTGCACATTCAACAGTTCCATTCGCTCTCTCGGCGGACATATCATGTTCCAGACACGGATTACGGTCAGTTGCACTGGCTGAATGAATGGAACGGGTTGGAACGAAGAGGATAGGGGAATCAGTTCAGTTTACATTCTCTGCCGACTCGGTTTTCTTGCAATTGTTGATCTCCCGATCGAGTTGTCGACGATTCCAGACGGACACTCCGTTGACCGCACTCATCAGATCGCCGGCTATCAGCAACGGCATCATCGGCCGTCTCACCGTAGTCACTATCATGTTTCTGTTCAATGACACATTCGCGAAGAACGTCTTCGTCGCCGAGTACTCCGGCTCGAGCTTGACGACGAATGGGGCAAAGTGAGTGGGCGGCGGCTTCGGAAGTTCGACTACTGTCGTCATTTGGCTCACTGCTCCGGTTTGCAGCATTTTGGATGAGGAAGAGGAGACCTTTAGCGGATTCAGAGTGGACGCATTCTCGTCCTCGTTCAACGTCGCCTCCACCGTTTCCGTTTGGTTCTCCGTCGGTGCCACCTCCGACGCGTCCACACTCACCTGCATTTTACTCGGTTTCTTCCGTGGCTGAAAAAGATTCATCTTTGTGGTTCGTTTTCCTCAACCAACCGGTTTTCCTTTAGGCGAAAGCGCCTGTTTCTCGTCGGCGCTCGGCAGCTTCGGCGCCTCCGATCTCGCCGATTTCTGCGGCGACTGGGCGCTCGACTTGGTCTTCTTGTTTTCCTTCTTCTCGCCTCTTGCCGACACCATGATTGATTTGAAATCACTATGAGTCTCGAGTTTTTGTCCGATGAACTTGTAGAAATGAGTGAAAAGGGAGCAGATTAGGAGAACGTCGGAAGAAGCGCGCCACAGGGGTGCCACGTCGTCGCTAACTGACTGATCTTCTGCAGCTCGCCGATCGCATCGACCCGAAATCGATCGCTCGCAACTGCAAACTCTACATGCAAAAGGACGGCGCCAACGGACGGCTCACTATCAAATACTTTTGTTTCCAAGCGTCGCTCTCGATGCGAATGCTGAAAATGCGCGGAGTTCGCAACGTGCTTCTGGCCAGTGGAACCCTTTCGCCCATCCAGGCATTCACCTACAACATGGGACTGTAAGTGAGCGGTGCATTCGGGCTCCGGGCTACTTTGGATCTTTCAGAAACTTTGGAGCAATCCTCGAAAATGAGCACGCTCTGAAGCAAGTGCCCGTGCTCACTTCCGTGGTAACACGTGGCAAGTTCGGCGGAATCACGGGCTCTTATCAGAATCGATCGAATCCAAACTACGTGGCAGATGTGGCGGAGACACTCATCAGAATTATGGACGCCACACCACAGGGTATCATCATCACGTCTTCTCCCTTTCGATTTGATCAAAATTCTTCCAGGCGTGCTCATCTTCTTCTCCTCCTACTCCCAAATGGACGATCTCGTCGCCACGTGGAAATCGACGAAACGAGCCGCGCATTCGGAAGAGACGTTCTGGCAGAAAATGGAGCGGAGCAAGAAGGTCGTTGTGGAGCCGCGGGCGAAAGATCAGCTCACGAGCGTCCGTCTCAGCTACACGAACGGAGTGTCCGAAGCGCACGGAGCCGCGCTTTTCGCCGTGTGCCGCGGAAAAGTGAGCGAGGGAATCGATTTCTGCGACGCCGAGTCTCGCGCGGTGATCATCGTCGGCATCCCGTATCCGCCGATTCACGACGAGCGAGTGGTCCTGAAGCGGCAGTTCCTCGACGATTTACTCGGAAGGAAAGACGTGGGAACGAAGAGACAGTCCTCGCAGGAATGGTACCAGATGGAGGCGTTCCGGGCAGTGAATCAGGCGATCGGACGAGTGCTCCGACACAAAAACGACTTCGGAACGGTGGTGCTCGTGGACTCGCGGTATGCGTCGGCGAAACTGGAAATGTTTCCAAAGTGGCTCAGAAGCACAATCGGGAAGGGCGATTTGGAGAGCTGCGCGGAGAAAACGGCCCGGTTTTTCAAGGAACGGGTCGGATTGATCGAGACTTCGAAGTCGGAGTACGTGAAGAAACAGAGCGTTTGCAAGTCTTTCAAACAGAAACGACAGACCGCCCTTCCGGATTCACGGTAACCGTCGCAGTCCTTTTGCGTGACAATCCCCGCATGATTTCAGTTCGAACCTTTCGCAAATCACAATCGAAGAGATGTTCTCTCCTGCCAACATGCTTCTTGACCGGGAGAAGACGTCGAAACTTCCGCCGCCCCCGAAGGCCACTTCTTCTTTTTTCAGCCTCCCCACGGTATTTGTACACACATTGTCGAGTCTTTCAGTTATTTTTGCGTCGTTCAGAGCGAAGACGAGTTGAAAATCAAGGCGTGGAAGCAGGAAAACGAACAGAAACCATCCACGTCATCCGCATTTTCGTCGTCGTCGAATAAGAGGAAGTTTAAAGTGGAACACGATATTCAGGAGATTCCAGTCGTGAAGAAGGAGGCACCTAAAAAGAAGAAATTAGTGCTCATTGTGAGAAAATTGTTCAAATATATAGGGAAAAGGGAAACAGTCGATTTTCAGACGCGAGAGACCCTTCCCGATCGATTCAAGAAGGCTCTGGAGATTCCGACTTCAGATATTGTCAAACATGTAAGCATCTTCATTTCTACGGTCCAGATGCGGTTTCAATTGAGACTCATCAAGATCAGTTCATACCTCGAAAACTTTAATAGAAGGGCACCCATTCAAATCGATGTATCTCAGCTGTCTGTGAAAATATCAAAGAGTGGTCAACTGATAGAATGTGCAAAATCTCTCAACGATAATTTTTTGGTTGGCAACTTTTCGATATATTCACCGGCAACAGAGATATTTAGTCCTGAATGAACAGCATTGGACGCTCTGTTATTAAAGTTTTTGTGTGGTAATTGTGCAGAGTTAATCGGATAATTGACAATAGGACATCGTGTCAAAACGGCGACACACCAAACTGGGTTATTAAACGTTTTTTCTGTCTTTTTGACAATAGCATTAGACCCAGTGGTTTTTCGCAAAAACGCAGTAAACTTTAAGATTTCGGACGAGAACAAAAAGCAGTTCGCTGCCACTCTGAAGGCCTACAAATCGGCGAGCATCCAATGGGAAGAGGTTTTCCAACGACTCCGATCCATTTTCGTCCCACACAGCACGCAATTCTTCGTCGCGTGCTCCAATATTTTGCGCTCGGAGGACTCGATGAAGTTCATCAAGAAGGCCATCGACTTGAAAATCTATTAAATCATGTCAAATATTGTCCATCCACTACTCACTTTAAATAATTTGCCCTCATCCCAATGAAATCTCACCGTTTCTTTGTCGATTCATACAGTACCCCTCCCCCACTTCCCCATTCGTCTAATCTGTCATCAGTTTCTGTTCTCTCAAAAAACTTTCGAATTCTCACGTAATCTCGCGACGAACCACATGCGTCTGCTCGGATGTTCGATCTTCCGTCCGCGATTTCAACGACAAATCACTCAGTTGTTATCAGCCGATGGGGACCGGTTTCGCGACGGGCGCCACGAGTCTGCACGAGACAAAAAAGGAGGAGACGTCAAAATGGGATAAGATGATGAAAACGACGTGGAATTCGTTTTGTTTGTCCCTGAAAACCATCAATCTGAACGGTTTTTGTGGGTGGGAACACCCGGTTACTGTACTAAGTGATCGTGCCTTTTAAGTGAAAACCATCCGAAATATTGTCGTACTTTGAATGTTCAGGTTCAAAACATATAAATGCAGGTTTTTGCATTGTTTTTTGAAGCACACACTTTCAATGAACCAAAAACCGATCCATTTCGATCAGTTTGGAATTGCGCGTCAGATCTCCGGAAAGTACAGTAATCTCGTCTGGAGATCTCTCGGCTTCTGCCCTTCGATCGTTGACCTCTTTGCGATCATCTCTAGCCGTGGCCGAACTTTCCCTTTCTCTTCCATCTACCGTACTTCCTTCCACTCCGTGTCAATGATCAGTTAATGATCTCATCACATCTCATCGCATCAGACACGTGTCTGGCGCCGAAACACGTCGCCAGACCATGAGAGTCACAGTTTCTTTGTTCTACAATACTCGTGTGACATCATGCGGTTATCAAGCATTTTCGGTTTTTTTGTTGCCATATTTGAAAAGAAGAAACGAAGAGGACTTATATAGCGCGTCGGCACAGATAGACATTTTTTTTGGCATTTAGCGGCATTTCCGCGAAAATCGCAGAAAAAGCGGTTTCGGAACGAATAGATTTTTATAAAAAGTTCAAATTCGGCTGGTTTCCGTGGCCTAGAAGTTTCGCATGTGCCGCGTGAGCGCTAGAGCGCGTTCGCCTCGATTGCACTTGATCTGTGACGATGCATCTTATAGAGTTTCGGTCCAAAGTGTACACGTTCGCCGCGAGGAATCCTCGTCGCCGGGCCTCCTCATTTTGTGTCTGATCATGCGGCTTCTCGTCTTCGACCGCCCGTCCTTTTCTAATCTTTCGTCGGCCATCAATTTTTCTTTGGATCTTTATTAGACGCTCCCCCCCCCCGCCTCCTCCGAATTTGCCTCCTCTCCTTTTTCGACCATGATCTTTTGACGGCGAAAAGTAGCAGCGCCGTCCGAATCTATCGGATTTCTTCGCCCATTCCGTCATTCCAATTCTCCCCTTCCTTTTCTTCTTCCTTTTTCGATTTGACGTCATCCTTCTCGACTTTCAGAACAGATCGGTCGCCGCAAAATGGTCAAGTTCATCGACCATCTCACAGGTTTGTGCCCGCATTCGTCGTAGTGTCCAATCCTGATTCCAGGAGACGTGCTCGTGGAGGCCGAAAACGGAGAATTCGAGTTTGTCGAAGAGCTCTTTTTCAAATTCCGCGGCAACTACATCGAGGTGATCAAGCGCGACTCTCCGTTGCCGCAGAAAGTGGTCGATCTGATCCACAACGGCCGCATGAAAGTGTTCGATATGTGGCGCGTCGAGAAGGACATTTTCGACGTTGGCGAGAAGCTCGGAGAGCTCGTCGAGAAGAAGATGGACAAGGAAAACGCCGACTTCACCTACATGGTCGACTACATTTTCAATCTGAGGGCCTGGTATCGCGCGCATCGCCAGTCCACCGACATGAAAGTTTATATTGGTGAGTTTGGAATGTATCTCAGCTGCGGGTGGTGGCATCAAAAAATTGTCAACTGACAAAATGTACAGATTGTCTTCATGATCATTTTATCAATTGACAGTTTCTTTATATCTCTACAAGCAACTGAGATACGCCATCTTGAATGGATAGTACTGGAAGACTGTAGAAAACTCCTTTGAAACTCGAGTTCCGAGGCGTTTTGGCTGAAGATTTTCGAATTTTAGACCCCGTAGGTATTACGAATCATCCCGAGGATCTTCAGTAACAATTTCAGCCAGAAATGCTGCTAGTTTCTAGTCTTTTTGGTGTGAAAAAATCTAATTCCAAACGTTTTCGGATGCTAACCCATGCCCGTCCAATTTCCCGATTTTCAGGACCTTCCTCCACCTACATGGCTAACGCCTACGTGCGCAATTTCACTCCGATATTCGTGCGAGAAGAGGACGGCGTTCCGTTCGTTTACATCTTCAAAGAGACCGTTTTCACGGAGGGACTCATCGAGGAGCAACTGAAAGGATTGACACTGAAGCAGGAGGAGACCGAGGAGCAAGAGGGACCAGCGCCGCCGGTGGAGAATACAGTGGAAAGCGATTCGGAGGAGGAGAAGGAGGAGGAAAAGAAAGAAGAAGAGAAGGAAGAGGAGGCTGTGCCGGTGGCTACTCCGGCTGCGACACAGTGAATAATTCCGATCAATGCCATCGTCTAGCCATATCATTTCTTTTGTAGCCGACTGTAATGAATAGTCTACCTAGAAAATCAATTGGAAAACAATTCACTTTGAACAAAATGTGAAATGGAATTATGGATAAAAATCGGGTGGGATGGGAGAAAAATATACTCGTAGAAACGGGCGGGGAATTGGGAATTTGAATTTCGAAACAATTTTGATATCAGAAGAATAAAAAAGGGAAAGAAAAGCTGCCAGGTTCACAATCATGATACAATTAAATTAGAAATGAAAAGGATATGGATCTCAGAGATGAGCTGAACCTGAAGATGTGTTGAGAAAGTCAGAAATGGGGCACATAAAATGGTAGTGGAGGGGAAATCATTCCAAAAAATGAGTGTAACAACAACAAATTAGAGGGAAATTAGTAGCTCCAAAGTCGGCCATCTCCTCCGGATCCCATTGTTTGACGCAGTCGGTCGCGCGGATTCGCAAGCGGAACCGAAGGCGATCCGGCGATTGGCGTGGAGCGGAACACTGGTTCGCGGAGGCTTACTGCAAGAAAATAGGTTTAAAAAGAGATGAAAAGCAAGAGCCCTTACCATTTCCGGTGCTGTTAAAGGAGCTGGCGACGGAAGTGTTGTTGTGGTTGCTAGTGACGGTCGTGTCGACCATCGCGCCCTCTTTGTTGAAGATGTGCATTCGCACGTAGATGATTCCGACGAGGATGGCGATGCCGACGACGCACGTCCACAGAAGAGTGGGAATCGCGTGCGAGTACTTGTGAGCCAGAATCAGGATCACATCAATCACTCCGCGGCTTTCCAGAGCTGAAAATGAAAATTTTGAACTTGTTTACAGCCTGAAATCCTTCTTACCATTATACACTTGTTTGGCAGTCTCGTCGAGCAGTTGCACAGTGACCGGAACTCGGATGCTCTGTCCAGTGACCGTATTCTCAACGGTCACGTGGCACTTCTTAGCGTGTTCCGTGAAAAGCGCAGCCGATTTCACGTTCAGACGGACCGTGTAGAAGACGTTGGCCTTGGCAGAGTGACGGTCGCCGGAATAATACGTCTGCTGAACCGAAACGATGTCCCCTTCGCATCCGGAAACGACAATGTGATTCGCGTCGTAGGAAGGCACCCAGATGGAGAGCGCAGCCGACACCTGATCCATGTTCGAGAACATGAGCTCCTTCTCCTCAACACTGAATGCGAAATGGAACGGCAGCTCGACGGTGGCGTCTTTCACTCGAATCTTTCCGTCGGAAGCCCATTTAGCGACGATCTGCGCGTTGAAATGTTCCATTTCGAGCTCTTCCGGCACCACAATCGTCGACGTCGTCACCGAAGAGTCCAGACGACGAATCTCGCATCCGAACCCGAACGCCGGACTAAAAACGGCGGTGGCGGTGAGCCAATTGACCGCCGAGAGGGTCTTGGCGCGACGGACGAACGACACGTGGCAGTCGAACGGGGCGGTGATCTCTTCGAACGCGCGGAGCTGTTCGGAGGAACAGTCTCCGTAGATGGATGAGATCTTGTTCGTCGAAGTGTTGTTGGTGACCGCCGTGACCGGAATCACGAAAGTCGAGTGCTCATCGTTGCTCACAAAGTTCTGTTTGCGTTCGGCTGGGAAACGGAGAGCAGTCGGCAGCACGACGGAGATCTTCGAGTGTATCGTCTGACGATCCGCGTGCAGTTTTATGAAGGCGTCGCCGGCTTTTGTGAGCTGCGCGACTCCGAGGTTCTGGTCGAGCCAGCTGACACGTCCGTCGCTTGAGCTCTGCGACGACCAGTGCGGCGCGCCTTCCTCGGAAAGAATGCTCGATTGGAAGCAGATGACGTCGGAGACGACGAGATCCTGCGAGTGTTTCTGGGCGCCTCTCGGGAGCATCGATTCAGAAGCGGACAAGCGAATGAACGTGGCGATTTGATGGTTGGCGGCGTCTCCGATTCGGAGCACGGTGTCTCCGGCGGACTTCAACGTGATCGTCAGTGTCAGATTGTTGTTCGTGGCGATGATGTCCGTGAGATCGAAGCGATGCGGCCGGAAGTTGATGCTTGCAGAAGCGGCGGCCAGACTACGTCCTCGGGCATCTCTTGGCACCACATTCAGTTGGATTTGTGCTCCGACTGGCAGGTGAACGAGCGGAGAGTTTTCGAAAGCGCTCTTCAATTCGATGTTCGGAAAGACGTCGATGGAAGCGACGCGGGAAACAGTGACCGGAATGAGCACCGTCTCGTTGTCCGGACTGTTCAGTTTCCGGACGACAATGGCAACTGGTCCCTCTCTTCCGTTCGTCCGAAGCAGACCAGAAGGACTGATCGAGACGCGGTTGGAGTACTCGGATGGGACGGAGAAGGCGGCTTGTGGCCAGGCAGTGACCAGATTGAGCTGGGAGTTTGGAGCGACTCGGACGGCTGAGATGGCCAGTTGAGGGCTGAGCAGAGAAAGAGCATCTTCCACGGCGACTGTAGTTTCGGCGACGAAGCTGGTGGCTCTTCCGACGAAATGCTTTCGAGCCTTTTCGTTCAGTTCAACAACAGCGCGAACTGTGACGGATCCTCCGCGAACCGCATCAAACCAAATGGCGAATTGGTTGTTCGACGGTTCGACGACGTCGCTTCCGAGTGGATGCGAAGAGGCGAGGATGGACGGATCCGAGACACTCCACGTCACTTTGAATGGGTAGATGGCTCCTCCGAACGCGAATGGCTCCTCGTCCTCTGCTCCGGCGACGACTCCGCGAAGACGAATGTTGACTCGGCCGCCCGTCTCCACTTTGCGACTTGAAGCGGAAAGAGTGACTCCGGAGAGAGAAACGACGCGCAGAACGACCGAATCTTTCGTGACATGACCGTCTCCAACACGAACTGTTCCCGTGATGGAAGTGTATCCGAGTTCGGAGGAAGTGATCAGTGCGTTCGGTTCGATGGAAGCAATCATTGAGTTGTTGAGGGAGAAGTCGAGTGGAGGCGTCGGCTGAGGACCTCCGACCACTTCCAGCTGGAATTTGGCATCCGGGATCAGAGTGAGCCGTTTCGGTTGCAGGAAGATCGGGGAGAACACTTGGACTGTGTGTGGGCGGGAACTGAGAAGGCGGCCGGTAGAGGACTTCGACGAGGCGCTCAGAGAGACGGATCCGATCGAATTGGCACGGAGAGTGTAGCGGAGTCCGTCGATCTTTTTGAGCACGACGTGTTGATTGCTGGCGTCCAGCTGAGCGTCGGCAAGTGGGCGGTGTGCCTTTTCGAAGCTTGCTCCCGTTTCGTCTTGAGCAAGGATTTCCACTTCAACTTCCTGTCCGATTTCCACCTAAAACCAGAAATATTATCATGTTCAAAAAATAATAGCATACGAATTGCGGAGCATCAATGGCCAGCGAGTGAATATCGGCGATCCGAACGCTGGCATCGGCGTGTTGACTAACGAGGCAAGCATCGACCACTCGAAGACTAATTTCTCCGTGATTCTTCGGCGTCACAGTCAAACTTCTGGCACGAAGAGCGACAGAGACCGGGGCTCCGGAAGAGGGCAGATTCTCGACGTGGAAGTGACCAGATCCTCCGGTGATCGAGAAGGTTCCTTTGGAGACTGCTTCGTTCCACAGAACAAGACGAGTCGGTTCGAGGTGGATTCCGTGCGTCACCGTCACTTCGTAGTTGGCCGAAAGCGAACCGGCTTGAGCTTTAACTGTAGCCTGTCCTTCCTTGCGTCCAGAAGAGACCTCCGTCTGAATTCCTTGTCGATTGACCTTCAGAAGAGCGGATTCAGAAGTCGTCCATTTCGGAGAGAGACCGTTGATTGAGGCAAGTGGCGTGACGACTCCATCGCAGTTTCCAGAGCCACGGAGCACAAGCTCGGCGTGCGAGTCGACGAGCATTGTGTGCACGTTCAGAGGGCACTTCGCAGGACGTGGCTTCTCTTCGAAGATCTCGAGACGAGTGGGCTTCGCACAGCAGACGGAGACGGTCACGACGGCGTTCACGGGCAACGGGAGAGTCGACGAGCGCTCGTTTCCGATGCGAACCCGCACGGTCTCCGTGCCTTCCGTCGTCGCGCACTTGAAAACGACCTTTTCATTCTCGAACGTCAGCTGCAGATTATTCTTCTTCTCCTCGTTGTCACGTCTTTTGTAGAACGACGCCGGATCGAGAATCCACGGTCGAGGTCCTCCGGAAAGAGTGAGCGGATGGGCACTTCCCAGAGCGATTGCCGTCGAGTCCTCGGAGATTTGCAGTTTCTCGTAGACAGCCACATCGATGCTCGCCTTGTAGCCCATGAAAGTGACGGTGATACGAGCGTCTCCAGAACTCAGTCCACTTAAAGTGATAGTTCCGCATCCAGTTCCGACCTTCGGTATAACTGAAACCGCGTCCGAGTCGTGGCGAAGCAGGGAGTTATCCGAAATCTGAACATGCGGTCGAGCGTTTCGACAGTCCGACATGTCCACGTGGATTCCATCAGAAGTGACTCCGGAGACCTTCAGATTCAACACGAGATCCGAGCCGACGAACGTTTCGCGAGCAGTTTCTCCGTACGCAATGCCGGCCACTTCGAGCACGTGCACATTGGCTCGGGCACCGAGATGCGAGTTCATCTTGTCGGTCACTTTCACGGCCGTGTCTCCGATCGACATGGCCGTCAGTCGTCCGGTCGTCTGGTCCACAGTTGCCACGTGTCCGTCGGCGGTATTCCACGAAAAGTGTCCACTTCCTCCGGTGGCGGCGAGTTCGATTTGGGCACGAGTTTCCGGAATGAACGGTAGATAGACAACGGGCGGGATGATGCGGACCGGGTCCACGAGGATCGCCCTCTGCTCGCCGCTGATCTTTCCGCTTTGAGCTATTCTCTTTCCGTTCGCATCTATGATTGCGACGAATTGAGTGCGAAGAGTGGTCTTGGCCGGTTTCAATGGCGTCACGACGAACCAGGTGCCGTTCTCCGATTTGTAATCGACGCGCAGAAGGTCTTCGTCGATTTTGGTGTCGAATCGCGAGTTGTCGGCGACAAACATGACGTTTCCGTGCTCGTCGAGCAATTCCACGTTGATCGTGTACTGTTTTCCGGTCTCCAGCATCCAGTTCTCGCCCGAAACGTGCCATTGAACGGATTCGGCGTCGACGACGTGGATTACGGTGGATGGAGGACGGAGTCCCGCTTTTGCGCGCACGTCAACATCTGGAAGAGCTCATTTAAAACTCAAAGCGAATTTCGCAAAAACACTCACGACTGCTGAGCAGGTGCACGGCCGTGTTTCCCTTTGCGAGCGCACGCACAGATGACGTCTTCTTGTCGAGCGAAGCCACATCACCGCCGTCGATTTGCAGTTCGTAAGAAGGATTCGGCATGGTGACGATCTCGGTTCCGCGCTGTTTGACGATCAGAACTTGGAAGGAGAGGGTCGAGTGGACGGGCATGTAGATGTCCTGGGAGGGAACGAGAAGAAGATTGGCGACGACGGCCAGTTCCACGTTGTGAGCGGCGACTTTCTGAAAGGATTTAAATAATTGTAAAGGTTTCTGTGCATTCAAAACTCACTTGCAAGTAGGAATCGCTGAACTTGGTGGTCAGCGTGGCAGTTCCAGTCATAACGCCCTCAATCAGAATCAGATATCCCTTCTTGCGACTCTTTTCCAGTTTCACAATCTCTGCGGGCGCTTCGTAAGTCGACTGCTCGAACGGAACGATTCGGAGAGGCTTTGCTTTGTTCGTAGACGTGGAGGAGAGCTCCCACTCCAAAGCGATCTCGCTGAGAGTCGAAAAGCGATCTCCGTCGGCGTTGAACGCATCGACGGTCATTCTGGCGGGCGCGGCATCCACGAAGAGCACTTTCGTCGTCGTCTCAATGCTGATTGTGGCGATTTCGTCGACAGTCACTCCGCAACTCAGAGTCGTGCCGGATCCTGAAAGAAAGAAAGGACAACCCTTCAAAAACGAAACTTTTTCTTACCTTTATCTTCTGCGAAAATCACCGAAGAAAGTTCAGAGCTTCCGACGCTTCCTGGTTTGGCAACCGACCGAATTTCGGCTTTATCCGAGCATCCGACCCCATCTGTATCAAGACTTTTGACGGACACAATGTCTGGACGAGTGGATCTCCTGAAAATGCAATTGTTGTCAATATTTTCCAGTATTTCATAATTTTCACCAATTAAAACATCCTCCAGTCGGGTGTGTCACTTCCAGAACAAAAGAAACGGGTATTGTTGGATGGTACGGAAGCAGCACACGCGGAACATTCAGCCGATACGCTATTGCAGTTGAAAAAAGGGCGATAAGGAGAAGAAATCGTAATGAAGTCATCCTTCCACCCAGTTCTCTCACCTGAAAATGATTGTTTGGGAAAACCTAAATTTCAGCCGACGAATTTAAGCTTCTGAAGGGCAGCTTAGCAAGAGAATGAAAAAAAGAACAAGAATAACCGTTTGAAATACTTATTTTGCGAAAAGATTCGCCGAAAAAAACGAATTCCGATGAACTGTGCAAGGAAATTTCAAAATTCTGTTCAAAATTGTTTCGTTGTGTGTAAACACCGTGCGCCAGAATTTACGACACTGAACCGATTTGTCAACCGTAGCCAGCTGTAGATTGAGCAGCGGTTGCTTTTTGGTCCCGTTTAAGAGCTCTAATTCAGTAATTCGGTGGACAAACTTTAACAAATCGATAAAAAATAAATATTTCACGTAAAATAAGTTGAACCGCGGCAACCATTAAAATTTGACGAGTTTACAGCTCAGATTTCTGAAAAGTAATATTTTTGAAAAGCAATCCGGCTTTCTTGAAAAGAGTGCTCTGAGCTCGATTACTGCTGAAAACAAATCTGAAACGATGCACTAACAAAAATGATATAACAAAAGTGGAACGGGTCTTTATTCGTTCATAAACGGTGAGAGAATTGCCTGCTTGGTGATGGTTCGAAGGGGAGGAAGAGAGTTTTTTGTAATTTGAGTGGGTGCTGCCCATTTCGGAAATCGTGTCCTTGTGTTATGTTAAAGTGTTAAAATAAAGAGAAAAAGTCTGCTGCAAAATGAAAAAAAAAAACGGAAAATTGTCGTCTTTTTTTGGAGATTTTTTTGTTGTTGGTTGAGTGGGGGGATTAGGTTCGAAAACCAGTAGAGTCTACACAAAAGCATTGGGGAATAAGACGGGCGGGAAGGGGGGATTAGTCGAGATGGTGCCACTGAGCAACTTGACGGCCAGGGTTCTCGAGCACTTCGACGACGTGCGAGTCCTCCATGTTCAGCAGCGCTCTTCCGATGACGTCGTTGCGATTGACGCGGTCGTGGTTGATCACCTGAAAACGGAACGAGTGCATGACTCAGAAAAGGCACAATTATGGTCTCACCTGCAAGTCGATGACCGAGTGTTCCAACCGATCTTCGGGCAGTTCAAACACGAACGACTCGTTGTAGACCGGATTCAAAGTGGACCGTCTCACGTGGGTCCGCTTCTTCACGATGCGCTCTCCGCTCTCCTTTCTCAGGTACAACTTGACGAACGGGTCGGCGGTGCCGGCGTCGTTGCGGCCTCCGAGTCCGCGAGCCTTGAGCACGACCACAGTCAGATTGTTGAACGCGGCTTGGTAGGTTAGCGAGAGCAGAAGCTCTCCGCGCGCGGCGACCGTGTCCGTGGCGCGGGGCAGGAGCGGCAGTTCCACGCGCATCTCGTTGTGCACCTGGAGCTCCGCGTCGGCGAGTCTGTAGACGCACTCGCCGACGACGGTGTCGCGCGAGTAGCGGTCGAACGCGACGACCTGGAAGTGGAGCGTGGCGAAGTTGACCTGCTCCTGATTGACTCCGTACATGGCGAACTGTTCCTCGTAGACCGGGTTGGTCGTCGAACGAACAATGCGGGTCTTGACGCGATGTTCGCGCTCCGGCAGGAGTTGCAGTTTGACGTAAGGGTCGAGGAGACACTGTCCGTCGCGCGAGACGACCATCTCGCACAGATTGCGGCAGTTGATGATGCTGACAAGCAGGGTCAGCGTGTGCTGATCGTAGCTGAGTGTGAAAGAGATGGTGCCGCGCTCGGATGGCAGTTCCGACGGGGACAACTGGAAGGAACTGGAGGGTTGATCCCAGAATGGTTTCAATGCTCCCGTACCTTTCTGGTGCGATCCTCGAGAAGGGTCTGTAGCGGAATGACGGGCGACGGGGTCGAGTCATTGGAAAGCGGCGATTGGAGGGGCGACGGGGACTGCTTCAGACCGCCCGGACCCTTGGGAAATCCTCCGCGGACGGCAATCACCTGCAACGGCTTCAATGTAGTCCTTGGTAAACAAAAAAATGTGGCTTAATGAAATTGAGGAGGGGGAAGAGGAAATGATCGGGCTTTCCCCCCGTTTTTCTATGAATAACAACACTCTGACGTCGTCGTCTTTTTCATCTAAAGTGTAATTAATTAATGCTTGAGAGAGTTCTCGGGAACAGATCAAATCGAGGGCGAGTGAATAATATGAAGCACAAAAAGAGCAAGTGCACTTTTAGTGTGAACGCACTTTCGTGAGGGGCTGTCAGAGAACATACCTGTTTTGGTGGGAGCAAAAGCGACGGGTATTGACGGCGTTTACGGACGGCGAGAAGGGCGGCGACGGCGACGAGAGCCGCGAGACCCAGGGCTCCACCGATGCCCAGGTAGAACCATTCTGAAACTCGTATTTTCAACCTCTTCTTTTCCCACGGCGTCATAATGAGTATCCCGTCCCCCTTGGTCGTTATGAATAATTCGGAAGCTCACCGTCAACATGTCTCTAATCAGAAAAGAACAGAAAACCGACAAAAAGGGCTTAGGAATACTTGTCAGAGTCAACATTTTCATTCAAGTTAGCAGTTCGAAATGAAGATATCGATGAGTTCTATAGAGACAAAGCAAAAAAACTCAGGTGATTCCAGATGTCTTCCGTTTTCATGACGTCATCGGCCCAGCTCTATTTTGAACTTCGAAACTTTGTGTGTGTGTGTGCGCGCGCGCCGGAAGAGCGTTGGCTTTTCGTCCGGGGAATCGGAGCGCACGGAAAATGCGTTTTTTTTTTTGCAAAAAGTTTCCATTTTCTGTTGAGCACACAAGCCCAGAGCCCAGAGAGCTCTCACGTAAACGGATGATGTCAGGGAGCTTCTGTTGGTCAGCAGAGAAAGAGCTCAGAAAAGGCATCTATGAATTGTTTACTAATATCTTACAAGCTATAAATGGAGCACTTGATGACGTCAACACAGGCTCCGAAGAGCCTGAAAAGTTTGGCTCCTTTCAAAAAGTGAAGTGGGTGTCGGATTACTAGGCTGTTTCCTAGAATTTGGGTGACAAAAAAACAAGGAAGGCAATCGGGGTAATGGGCTTGAAAACGACTATTCGATTGGTCTGGGGAAGTGACACACTTGTGCACCGAACCTTGCGGCTCCTCCTGTCTACCGTACCCATCGGTCCCTCGAAGGACTTACCGTGTCCCGCGCTCTTCGCCACCAGGCCCGGCTGATAGTGGGGCATGTGACGCGAGGTCGGTGCGGGCAGCTGAGCGGCAGCGACGACGACGACGACGACGAGAAAAGTGAGTGCTTTGGGGGAGTTTGGCGAGCCGAAAAGAAGAAGAAGAAGAAATGAGAAGGGGGAGGGACGAGAGAAAAGTGGGCGGCGCGAAGCGAAGCGAAGAGACGCCGTCAGCTGGGATGACGAATAAGTGTGGAGCACTTGCTCGCCGAGCACAATCGATGCCGCGACGCGGGCCGCACCGCGCCAAAGACGTCACGAGAAGAAGAAGAAGAAGAAGAAGAAGAAGAAGAAGGGAAAGGAGGTGTGAAAAACGGATAGAAGAATGAGATTGGATGTGTGAGGAAGATTGAGTAGGAGAAGAAGGGGGAAGAGTAATTGGAAAAGCCAACGGATTACGGTGCTGATTTATGAGCCTTTCGCTCTTTTCTCTCTTCTCGTTTTTACGGCTAACGAAACGTTTTTCGCCAAAAACAAAAAACATTGGAGAACTTCGTTTGAACTCTGAAAAAATGTTAGTAATCCTTTCGCGAAGATTAGTCGGCAAAAGTTCAAGGCATCTGCAAGCAAATGCCGTTTCCTTTCCCGGAAATTTCCGGAAAAGGGCGACATTTCCTCCTCACAAACCACACTTTTGACGTCGAGCACCTGCTGTTTCCGTCTGGGCTTCAAGAATCACACACACTTTGGCAGGCCGGGAAATCAAGACGGCGACGCGCTTTTATGAACTGTTGGGATGAAGATTTGGAGCGGATGTTTGATGTTGCTCTTCGAAAAGACTACGGTATTCAGTTGCAAGTATTTCTCGAACGATTTCTGGAAAATGCCTTCTCCAGAATGGCGTGACTTCACCGTAATCCGCTCGTGCCTAATCCGATTCCATTCACGAGCATTTGCATAAATACGAATCCTTGTGAATCGGCGCCTAATTGAATGTAATCTACGTGAAAAGTGCTCAGCCGTCCCCCGCACTCATATCCGGAGGGCTCAAGTTGCGGGCGGGCGGGCGGGAAGCAAAAGGCAAGGGACATCTTCCGAAAAGCGTCAAACAGTGCGCTCTCCTCAAATATCACTTTTTTCAAAAAACTAACGAATCAGAATAGGCCACAAAACTCGGGGACCCAATCCAATTACCCTCTTCTTCTTCCTTTTCGGCTCATTTCCAACTATATCGGCGTTCTGAGAACTTGGCCGCCAATCTCGTGAATTATTCGCTACATTTTTATTCGCATACAAAATGACTGCGAACTAGAAGAAGAAGAAGAAGAAGAAGAACGAGAGCTGAAACGGAGAAAAAAGAAGGAAAGAGAGAGAGAGAGAGAGAGAGAGAGAGAGAGAGAGAGAGAGAGTGTGTGTGTCATTTCCGAACAATGTTCTGCACGAGACAAGCAAAAAACGGGATTAGTCACAATACGTGTAGGCGGCGGAGCAACTTTGATCGGTGATGTGCCACGTCACCATTCTCGGCCAACCAATCAAAGTGGCAAGGCGCCACGTCACTTTCCCATTTCTGCCACGTCGGCTGAAGGCCATTTCTCTTTCACGTGATTGACGTCTTTTTAAGATTGGAAACGAAAAACGAAAGAAATTTGGGTGAAAAATGAGAAAAACAGAAAAGCAGAAAGGTACAATGTGTTGGCGGAGCTGCATGTTTTTTTTGTCTTAAAAGATTCGAGTCATGTGATCAGAGTCGAGGCGTTGAACTTTGAACCTTTTGAAGATCCCGTGTGTTTTTTTGCAAACTTTTCCGAACCTTTGAAGAGTGCCGAACTTTCGATCATTCAGACCACTGTCAAGGGACTCATGAACTCCTTTTTTCCGCCCATTTTTCGAGTAACTTCATTCGAAACGAACAAAAAAAAGCGTCGGTGTTTTGCGTTCCTCAAATCTTTGACTCTTTTCAATGTTTCCCCCGGGGAATTGGCTCTCTTTTTTTGGGCGTGCGAAATAACTGCGAAATGATAGATCTTCTTCTTGTTTTTCGTTTCGTAAAATTCGTTTGCAATCCGGGCAGAAGAAGCAGCAGATTCAATAATCCGTGCGGAAAGCCGCCGACGGGAAACCGAAAGAGAGAGAGAGAGAGTTTTTGGGGCAGAGCTTGTAAACTCATCAATTTCATGTAACAAACGGAAGAAGGCGGACGACGAGAAATGAGCGAAAAAATACAGAAAGAGGAGAATGTCTAATTAAGATTCGGAAAGTCGTTGGGATTCAGAAGACTTCCTCTTCTCGTCTCCGGCCAGTGGTGGGAAGCACACAAACTGAATATTTGCATGAGTGCCTGTGCCAGAGTTGAGCGGAAGAACACGGAATAATTTTTATCTTTTTCACGGTCTCCAGAGCTGACAATATGGGCGTGGCCTCGGCGGCCAAATGGCTTTTTCATGAATTGAGCAGGTTTTCTCTGATTTTTGTGGTCAAAGGCGGTGAAAAATGATTGTTCGGAATGAAAACACACTAATTCTCAGAATTAATGACGTTTTGGCGCATTTTTCTTGACCGTTTTCAGACCTAATTGAGTTTGAGAATGATAAATCACGTAAATACAAGCATTTTGAGTGCTCGAACCGCGAAAACTACCAAAAAGCAACTGAAATTCACGCAGTTTTAGCCAAAAACCTTCAAACGGATAAATGTGATTTGCGACTTGACCAAATTTGACGCTCTTTCGCTTAAAAAATTCGTAATGGCCTATACAATCGGTCTATCGAGAGACAAATGAGAAATGATCGGTTTTTCGTGGCTAATCTGGCAAAAAATACAAAATTGGAATTTCGCGGCAATGTATCGCTCTATTGGGCGGGGCGCACTTGCGCGCCCATTGTAAGCTCTGGAGACCGTGTTATTTGGAAAATTTTTTCATGGAATGTGATCAACTGACGAAATGTATAGCAAAGTGAACTCTGCTCATAGAAAAATAATTGGGGCTAACTGGGAAGACGGAAGGACATTTTCACGGAACAACTCGAATAACTTTTTTGTATGAAAAGTTAAATTTACAATTATTTTTTCTATGAGCAGAGTTCATTTTTCTATACATTTCGTCAGTTGATCACATTCCATGAAAACATTGTCTAAAAAAGATAAAAAATTTTCCGCTCAACTCTGGCCTGTGCTCATTTCCATTGTTAACCTACATGTATCCTTTGAATGTTCTAGCGAAGAGTACCGGAAAAAATGAGCAACAGTAACTTCATTCTATGGACAAAATGACTCAAGAAGAAGGACTCTTTCCGCACAGGTATCCTTGAATTGTGCGTGCTGGAATGCTGCTGAGAGCAGACGCCACACAACTGAAAATCGCATGTTTAGAGACTACACTTTTTTTTTGAAAACCGTACTTGACATCATCCAGCGCTCCGGGAAACCAATTGACATTGTTGACGACGGTGTTGGCGGAGGCGAAGAAGAACGAGGCGCAGTTTTGGTTTCCTCTGAAATTCGGTTGGATTTTGTTGCTAAAAAGGGTCGCTGGAGACCCGAGAGCATTGTCCGGTTGACTGGCGTCGAGCCAGGAGAAGCCGGCGGTTCCGCTCGTTGAGCTGTCGGTCCAGTAGAAGGAGGTCTGATAATGAGAAGGTTAGAGCACTCGAGTTGTTCCGTGTCTCACAGTCTTTGAGCAAGTCGAGGTGAGTTTGCTTTGAAGGCAAGCCGAAGTTCTCTGGGCCCCGATCCACAAAGATCCGGTGCTAGAGGCTAGGTTCGAAGAGGCGGTCTCTGAAACGGATAATATCAGAGTTTGGGGTGAAGAGCAAAGGGTGTACGAGCGATGTAGGCCATCTCGGTTGCGTCCTGAATTCCAGAAAGAACGGCGTCATGGTTGACGCAGTTGCTGACGGCGTCCGCGTAATCGATATTGGCACCGGAGTAGACCTGAAAGGGGGATAAAAGAGATGCGAACGAGGATTAGTGTACCCTCAGGCACCAGACACCGTTCGGACGGCTGAAACTCTTCCATCCGGTGCCACATCCCGAGTTGGAGCTTCCCTGAACATCTTCAAGTGAAATCGTAACAAATGGATGTGTCTCACTCCTCCGTGATGGTGTCGGTGCCTTCCGTTTCCTCCTCTTCCTCTTCCTCCACTGCTGCTGCTGCTGTCATCGTCGCATTCGCTGCTGTTCGAATCGGAAGACGAATCGGAAGCGGCGTGAGCACTCAAAAGCACGGCGAACAAGAGCGCAACGAAACAAGCCATTTCGACAAGGAAAAACGGTTGGTGAGCACATTTCGATCCGAATTTATACGGGGGACAACGCATTTTTATTGCAAGCAAGCGCGAGGCGGCGTTTACGAGGAAACATTGAACCGGAGATCGGTAACGTGTCGGCAAACGGAAACGTTCATTCGAACAAAGATTCAGAATACACTTAGGTTTTCCGCAGGAAGAGCACTACACAGTCCAGAGTGGCGCTGGAGAATAAAAATGTAGTTCGTTCAGTTGTTGTTCAGTTGTTGAAGTGAAAGTTAGGAAGCCGGCATTGCACACAAGTATCCGCGGATCTTACGATTCTGATTCGCGTCGAATTGAGTTGGAGCATTGCATCTGAAAATAAGAAGAACAGAAGAAAACCAAGAGAACTCTGAAACTCACTGCACATCATCAATAGCTCCGGCGAACCAGTACACATTCTTCAGTGATTGGAAAATGACGGCACAGTCCTGGGTTTTTCCGTAATATCCATTTGTACTTTGCACTTTATTTTTGCTCCTTTCCACGTAGGCGTTGTTCGGCTGACTGGCATCGACCCAGTTGAGCCCGGTAGTTCCGGTCGTGTCTGTGTCATTACTCTATCCAGTCAAAACAAGAAAACACATCAAAAATTGTTTATTTCTACGTCTGTCCAACGACCACATTGTAGTCTTTGATGAATTTATCGTACTTGGCAATGTTGTCGTGCGTCAAGATGGCCGCGTACTTTTCCTTGTACTTTTCGAGGAAATAATTGAGCATCACGCGATGGATGTACAGGTACTGAAGGTCGTTTTGGATCGAGTAGGCCCGCTGGTCGCGCAGCTGTTTCACCAGTTCGGGCATCACCTCCAATTGCTTTCCCTCGGCGATTCTCTCTGAAGAATTGAGACGCGGGTTCGACGTGTTTCGGCGGATTCCCACTCACCGAGAATGTACTCGATGGCAACGATGGTCCCGGTGCGTCCGATGCCTGCCGAACAGTGCACCACAATCGGAACTTTGGATCCGCGCACCGCCGAGAGCAGCTCCAGACTGGTCAGTTTGCACGGCGGAACTCCGCGATCGGGCCAGTCGGTCCAGTGCAAATGACGCACCGAATGGGTTCGGTCTTGAAAAGTGACCGTCAGTTGGGAGATGGTGATCTCGGGATCACGGTCCATTGGGCTCGGACCGGACAAGTTCTCGATGGTGATCTTCGAGGAGGTCACCAGTTTTTCGCCCGCCTTCGCCGGCCAATACTGCGCGCACTTGTACTTTCCCTGCAAACGAATCGTTTCGTACCAGTTCATTGTTGCCCACGAACCGTTTCGATCGTCTTGCACAACATCACAATCTGCTCGACCTTCTCCTGCAGAATCATGAACCAGAACTCGTCGACCGTCTGGTCGAGCGGTCCCTGAGTGCAGATGAAGCGGCGATCGGGCAGCATCGGACAGCCGACAAAGTTCGCGTGGATGTAGCTGGTCGGCGCTGGCGGCACCAGTTTGACGATGCAGTGGTCCTGGCAGGGCACGTCCTGGTACCTGCAAACGGGCGCGGTTGCCGGCCGACAGCACCCCGCTCACTCGCCTGTTCTTCGTCGTCGTCATGTCGGGGGTCTGGCTCGCGTCAAACGCCGTCTTCGTCATGTTCTCGCGCACGTACTTGGCCAGCTGCCGGAACTCTTCGCGCAGCTTCTCCACGCCCGCGTCGAGCGCCCTCTGCACCCACTGCTCGACGATCGGATGCCCTTGCGATGGCGCCGCCGAGATCTGCGTCTTGCCCGTCGGCTCGGCCTTCTCCCTTTTGACGCGACGCGATCCTTCCGTCGCCGTGTTCTTTTTCCTCGCCTCGCCCGCCGTCTTCTTCTCCTTTTTTCCTTTTTTGTAGTCGACACCGGCTGCAGCACGATCCAATTCGAACGATTCGCGGGAATCGGATGAAGAGAAACGATCGGTTGCGTCCATGATTTTGATTGGTGATGGAGCCTTCTTTTCACTGATCGTTCGGGATGTATCCGATGATTCAAATTGAGAACTAAGGACATCCGGAGACGAGCGGCCTATTTATGCTGGAACACTACACGTGGCACCCTTCATTAGAAGGATTACACGTCCCAAGACTTCGAATCACGACTGATTTATTAATGATGTTTGAACAAGAAAGGGACTGATCGAACCCCGCTATAAAAGAGTCCAGGAGGTCCAAACCTTCACAGAATTCCGTCTCCCAACATTAACTTCTTTTCCTCTTCTTCCTGGTTTCGCTCTCGACGGCTTCCCCTTCTTGCCCGGACAAATGGATGAAATCGATGGTTATGATATATCTAACAGCTCATTCTCCACTTTCTTCCGAGCATTTTTCAGAGCCAATCAGAACTGCGTCGTAAACCGGTGAAGGGATCAAATTGGAAGGGCGGAACGATGGTTCAGTCAGTTCCGTTCGTGTCTAGAGCTGTGACGTTGTGTTTACCCGCGCGCGTTGTCAGGTTGATTGGCAGCTTTATAGGAGAGCATAGTGTTCGGTCCAAGCGAACGAGGTCTGGAATCTCAAAGGCTTTCAGAATTGTTCTGATTGCAAGTGACCGTGAGTCTCTGTCCGATGCACGCCGGAGTCTGTTCCAATCCAATCCACAGAGATCCGGACATATGGGTTCCAGAGGCTGAAATCCTGAGAATAAAGAAAGATATTGAGCAGTTCGGTGCTCAATATCTTTCGCGCCGTCAAAGTGATGGTGGTCGGTGCGATGATGATCTGGAAAAAGAAAGTGTTCTCGAATGAATAACAACCGAAAGCATTTTGAGCCAGGACGGTTCGAGAGAAGCGGCGAGAAAGAGCAGTTAGGCGAAGAGGAAGAAGGATTTCATTTCGAGTTTAAATTGATCATACCTCCTGCCGGCTGCTCTTTTATTTGTGCTGGCGTGAAAGTCTGTGTTCAAAAGATTCGAAGATCAATGATAATGAGCGAGGGTAGTTTGTGAATTCATAGGAATAACATGGAAATTATCAGAAATGAAATAAAAATTGAAGATAAGATGGACCCGGATGAAGTTTGTTCCCGGGGCGGAGTGCAGATTCCCGTGTACTTGCAGATGTCCTCTGCGTAATATCCTGCGGATGCGTGGACTTCCAATGCATCCTTCCCTCTGTTCATGTATTGACAAGAAGCTGAAAGAAACAATACTTTCACAGGTCGTTTTCATCTGGAAAGCACTTCTCATCAATGCTCCAACTACCGTAATCCTTCCGTCGATCTTCCGCACAGCTCCGCCGCCACTGTCTCCCTGAAATTGCTCCATAGACTGAGGAAGTTGAGGATTATTAGAGTACCGGGCAGACAATCGAGGTCTCAGTGACGCTTCTCGTGTAGAAAAGGCGCGAGTCCATGCGCTTCGACGTGCCCTTCGGGTTCATCTCCCGCACTTTCACCTTCTCGTGTCTCAGAACTCCACCGGTGCTCGAAGTTGTATTCTCGTTTGGATTGGCTGAAAACAAGTGCGTTTGTAATAATAGATAGACGGAAAAATACTGACGATTCTGTCCGAATCCGAAGAAATCGAGAACAGTGCCGGCTTTGTTGTCAGTGATATCCCCTGCAATTAATTACTCGCAATGTTCAATGCCACAAGTCTGACTGGCAAGACAAGCCGGTTGGAGAATCGGAGAGTATTCCACGTCATCCGCCAACTCGACTACCATAAAATCGTCTGCGTACTCGAAATAATACTCTCCAGGGGCGATCCGACAGAAATTGAAGAGCACAATCGAAAGGACAATCATCATCGGGAGGCGAAAGACGGTCAACTCACAAACTTGGCCCTGCCCACGAGGGTTTTGTTCCGATACACCGTCACTTTGCTGGCCAACACTTCGTTGATCACTAGGTTACTGTAATGCAAGAGCGGTCCTCCCTAAAAAACTGTCCGACTCACCCATGTGAAGTGCACGTGCTTCTATCGAAGTAAGTCTTCTTCAAAGTGATATTCATCCACTTCTTCACCGATTCGTCATGTTTCGCGATGCAATGGGATGTCGAAATGAGATGTCTGGGGGAGAGAAGAGTGCCGGTGCACGAGCCGTTCGGAGTCGAAACTTGCACGGACCACGGCGCCTCTTCCGTATCCGCCTCTCTTCCGTTGAACACTTTCGCTGCAACAGTACCATTGTCTTGGAGAAAGATTCAGGAAACATACGTCTGTGCACTTTTCCGCACTGTTCCAATCGCTTCTCATTCTCCTCGTTCGTTAATTTTCTGCTGTCAAGACTAGCAATTAGACAGAGAACGATAAGAAGATATCGATGCCAACTCATCATCGCTTCACAAAATACTACCGGAAACTGTTTTGCGGGCACGGTATCGAATACAGAACAGTTTAGGGTAACACGGTACCGACTGTATTCGAACAGTTCAGTGAGACTAGGGTTTCCGTGCGGGCGGCTGCCGGGTGCACCCGGATGCAATCTGACGTGACGGTGAACTCTGCAGAACGCTGCTGCACAGAATGCACCAATTGGGGTCTGCGCTCTTACTTGCTGCAAATGTCGTCAGTCATGATGTACTGTACGCAGAGTTCACAGACAGAAATGGCGCTCTGTTGAGAAACTCTTTTTGCAGTGCAAATTGAACGACCTCGGGGCCGAGTTTGAAAAGTTAGGCCACGTTTTCAGTGGAAAATTACTTCGCGGCCTAGAAATTCGGCCAGATTGCGAACAGCGCGCCCTTTCTGTCCGGTGCCCCAATAATACCGGAGGACCCGGGCGGGCGGTGCGCGCGTGCAAAACACACACCCGCATGGAAACCCCCTAAGTGGAACAACGCGATCCCGTGAAGTGTCGGTCCATGCGCAGCCTTAAGAGCGGGCCTCCCACAGTCTCGGTATCGCTTCTTCGGCTTATTAGCTAAGATCAAAGTGTAGTATCTGTTCTTATCGTATTAACCTACGGTATACACTCGAATGAGTGTAATAAAGGTTATATGATTTTTGGAATCGAGGGAAGGCTCGGGGCTTGCTCCGACTTCCCAGGGGTCGTCCCGGCGTTGCACTGCTGCCGGGCTCGGCCCAGTCCCCCCGAGGGGACAACAATAAAGTATCTTGTGCATCTGCGAAACATCCACGTGAACTCGCACGAACGAGAACAATTAGTGCCAAACAAAAAAGGGGAAAGAAAGTATTTCAGATCCGGCGCCCGCGAAGGAGCCGTCGAGTGGGCTCGAAGTGCTCATTAATCAGGAGTAGGCGCGCGATACGAGGACTTCGGACCGGGAGCCGCTTCGTGAATTTCTTTCCTTTCAATAAATTTGATATCTGCAGTTTTATCCTTTCTTTATAGTTTTCCTCCGTTCGCAACCATTTGAAAGAGAATGGCGCGAAATTGAATGATGGCCGTGGCCAGGAAACGCGGAATTTTTTATGGGCGAATCTGTTCTTTTCTCCGCCATTTACAGTTCAATTTTCTTGTGAAAACCTCGAAAAAAGTTTCGAGAATTCCTGAAGTTGAAGACGTCGGTGTCATTTCGTCTAAAGGCGCACGCCCGATCGTTTGGGGCCGGTCTCGTCGCGACAATGACAAAGAAGTTGCCGGCGCGAAAAACACCCTGATTTTGTAAAGTTCCGTCGTTTTCTTAATGAATTTGAACGCTTGTCTCGTGAAAAATAAGAAATTTGTCTGCCTTTGAGTGCTTTCAAAACTTTGATGCTTCAAAAACCAAAAATTGAAAAAAATCCTTGTTTTCCTCACATTTCGTCGGATATTCCGTTGTTCCGATCAGTTTTCAGTCAGTTATGTTCCTCACTCGCAGCGAATACGATCGTGGAGTCAACACCTTCTCCCCGGAAGGACGTCTTTTCCAAGTTGAATACGCCATCGAGGCCGTCAAGGTTTTTCAAAACGCTGCTCACTTGAAATTGCGAAAATTTATTTTAGTTGGGATCGACGAGTATCGGAATCAAGACCATCGAAGGAGTTCTTCTGGCGGCCGAGAAGCGATCGACGTCGAAGCTGATGGTGAATGACGTGATCGAGAAAATCAGCAAGGTCCAGCACATCGGTGAGCAATAAATGTCGCATGGATGACGAATACCTCTCCATCCTGCGAGAGAAACACAAAAGGAGGATGGACAGTAAGAAAGACTCTAAAGCCAAACCGACAATAGGACAAGTGGTGCTGTTCCAGGATCCGGACCAACCGAGGAACTTCTGGAAAACGGGACAGATCACGGAAGCCAAACCATCAACGGACGGAGTGCTAAGAGAGGTTGTACTCCGAACGAAGTATAACAAATTCATCAAGAGGCCAATCAACCTCATCACGCCACTGGAAATGGACGTGGAAGAGGAGTCGGACGAGGAGAAAGAACCTCAACAGCTGCAACGAACGGAGTCGGGAAGATACAACCTTCGGGAGCGGAAGGGCAAGAGCAACGCGGAAGACGAGGACTCAGACGGCAACGAGCCAACGGAGACCAGCGACGACGTCAATCGGAGCAATTCCAGGATTATCGTCACGTCAATTCAGCTCCGAGACGCAGAGGACCAACCCCGACGCGGGGAGGGTCATCCATTTCTTCAAATGAATGTATTCAATTGCCCCAATGTCATCGATTCCGCTCACATTCCGTTTCCGTTATGCCCTGACCACGCCAATGATATATTTCTATCTGCAGGAATGCCACGTCATCAACACAGTCGAGACATCCACGGGAAGCGAACGCGCGCTCTCCGGGGAAGAGGAGACGAGAGGAAGATGAAGAGGATGTGCGTGTGGACCAGGGAGGAAGATCCCTAATCAGAAGCGTGGTCACGATTCCTGCGCGATGCCCCCCAGCGGAACCAGAGGAAGTGAAGAAGGAGCCGGGAGCCAAGAAGTTGAAGAGCCAGGTGATCGTCGGACCGAACTAACTACCAACCGATCGAGGGACCGTACCGGTCCCACCGAGTCCTGGCGAAGAAATCGCAACCCAATCCGAAGATCCGAACAGTCTGCGTGGCTGACGTTCACGGCACAGATAAGTACGTTTGTGCTTCAAAAGAGATGTAAACAGAAGCACTTTTCGCAGACATCACTGCTCGTGTCACATGCTCAATCTCATCATTGCCGAATTCGCCAAACTTGCCCAAGTCAAAAAGTACTACGAACCCGCCCAGGGACTGGCCACTCATCTCGCAAAGAATCAGGAGCACAAGCGATGCGGGATAAAATAAAGGGGCTTATAGAATAGGGGGATAAAATAGGGGAGAGAGAGAAGAACGGAGCGGGTGCTCCGCATGAGCGCCCCGCACACACTGCCGTGCGTTCGTTTTTCGCGCACTCTCTTGCGAGAGAGGAGAGGGAGAGAGAGTCACAGCTGGTTGGTCCCAATCATAGATTGTAACCCCTGACCTGTCACAGAATACTTACTGTTCCTGACTATCTTGTTTCAAACCTTATTTCTTTGCTTCTTTCCCGATGTTACCCGACTCAACTGATTTTCTCTTTTATCTTCCAAATGTTTATTGTTGAACAGCGGGTAAATATGAAGAACAACAAATGAAACAAATAAACAACGAAAAATTTGATGATGGGGACATGGGAACAGTGCACATTTGGAAGTTTTAACAATCGAGGGTTTGGCCGAAGCCGTTGGCTTTTAGGCGAATAGGTTGCAGAGCCACGTGAGATGGTTCTGCGGGCATAGCTCGCAGGTCCGCGCCTTTGTGTATCGGCACTTTCCGGAGTGGCCGGCGCCACAGATCAGGCACAGCCCGAGCTCGACTCGTCGGGTCTCCCTCTGCTGCTGCGTCTCGAATCTGGGGCACGTCGCTGTTTTGTGCCCATCCATGACGCACAACACGCACGCGAATGTCTTTTTGGGCTGAAATGCTCTTGTATTGACCACTCTACTCTCTGTTGCTTTACCTGTTGTTTTTTCTCCTCCTTTGCCTTTCTTTTTGCCTCGATCCCTTGCATGTACTTCTCGGCCGGCGTCGGTCTCGAGATCTTGGCGGGATTTTCCGGCTTCTCTCCCTCCTCGTTCTTCCTCTTGGTGAGTAGCTTGGTCGCTTGGATCGCTTGGTCACGGGCGCTCATGTGCTCTTGACTCCTTGGTGTTGTCTGGCGAGCTCCTTGTTCTGTCTGATGGCGACCTCCAGCTGCTCGTAGCGCTGCTCCGTCTCCTGCTTCCAGTTCTTGATGCTCTCGTCTGTGAGTCTTCTCCATTCCTTGTGCCACTCGCGTGCCAAACAGAACTTGCGGCAGGGCTCCTGTAATGAAATGTCTCTTTTAATGACTCTCTATTTCGTTTTCCCTCTCATCTATCTACTCTCTTTGACTCACTGCTTTTTTCCTCGAGTCGGGCGAGGGTGGTCTCGAAACGTTTCATCGTCGCCTCAATCTGCTGTTGCTCCGATCTTGGCTCCGGCGTTTTCTCTCTCCGCATCGGATCTTCGTCGATGATCCAACTCAGGGCGCTGTCCGAGAGTGGGGATGCGGCCGGGCTGATGACTCCCTTGCCGTCTTCCTCCGTCTCCCTTTGCGCAACCCTCTCGTTGGTCCCCTGCTTTTATTCCTCGTTTACTTGGATGGTTTGCACCTTTCCTTTGCTGGACTGCTCCGGCTTCTTTGGCTGTCGGGCTTCGCTGCTTGTTGGAGAACTCATCCTGAAATATCGATTTTTTTTATTCTGCCCAAGGCCTCGCTAATTTCACGGGGAAGACTACGTAGAATTGCCTCTGGCGAGCTAATGAATGTGTTTTTTCATGATTTTCCGGGTTCTGTTTGTTACTGATTCGGTCTGTATGCACCATGTTTTGTATGCCTAAAGCCCTAAACCCGTTCACGTAACACAATCCATTCAAAACACCAGATCTCTTGTATAAAACGATTTATTTCTGTATCTTCGGGACTGGGCTCCTTTTCTCTTCTCACGAAGATCAAGAGCCCGCCGAAAGGGGTAATGTGTGGCGGACCGAAGTCTCTATAACAACAGGGGGACTGAAATAATACGCTAAACTTGGGGGAGATCAACCAACGGAGTGACAACAAAACGAGAGAATTATTTGGGATTGTCGCGTGACGCGTGACTGCCAGTAGACCTCACGCGGCGGGCGGCAATTCAAAACAGGCGGCAGTTCGAAACGGGGCGCGCAGCTTGTGGCGCGGCGCGTGCGGAAACTCTGGAAAAGAAAGAATTATTGTGACTGTCATAGGGCTCGTGATAGAGTATCTTTTAGATAGTCGTATTCGCGACACGAACAGCACTTGCGGCAGGGCCTCTGTCATGAAATGTCTCTTTTCATGACTCTCTATTTAGTTTTCCCTCTCATCTATCTAACTCTCTTTGACTCACTGCTTTTGCTCTCGAGTTGGGCGATGGTGGTCTCGAGCTGCTGCATCGTCGCCTCCATCTGCTGTTGCTCCGATCGCGGCTCGAGTGTACGCACGACACGCTCCTGAAAGGCGATGGCGCGGGAATTCAAATTAAGAATAACTGAAAACATTGCTTAAGAGTAATTGCTGGGCGTTAATTTTTGGTTTGAGGGAAAAATATGGAAGAAGTTGCGGTGGAGAGGGTTATATACTCTCCTCGACCGCAACTACTCCCGAGGGAACAAAATAAATGAAAGGGAGCAAGAGCCGATGGAAAGGTTCTTCAATGACAAAAAGTCGAGACGTGAAACCCCAAATTATTCGGTCGATTCGATACTAGCTGATCAATCCGATTATTGTTTTCGATGATGATGAGTTGGCATCGATATCTTCTTATCGTTCTCTGTCTAATTGCTAGTCTTGACAGCAGAAAATTAACGAACGAGGAGAATGAGAAGCGATTGGAACAGTGCGGAAAAGTGCACAGACGTATGTTTCCTTAATCTTTCTCCAAGACAATGGTACTGTTGCAGCGAAAGTGTTCAACGGAAGAGAGGCGGATACGGAAGAGGCGCCGTGGTCCGTGCAAGTTTCGACTCCGAACGGCTCGTGCACCGGCACTCTTCTCTCCCCTCGTCACGTCCTCACAACATCTCATTGTGTTGCAAAAGCGGACGAGGAATCACGTCCACCCAGAAAATGGATGAATATCACTTTGAAGAAAAATTACTTCGATCGGAGCAAGTGCGAACCGCACGGGTGAGCCCTATGACTCTTCGGTGAATCTTCTAAAAAACTCCCATCTTTTACAGTAACATTGTGATCAGCGAAGTGTTGGCCAGCAAAGTGACGGTGTATCGGAACGATACAATGGTCGGGAGGGCCAAGTTTGTGAGCGAATTTATCTTTTGACTCCGCCCACAAAAGGTTGCTTCAGTTGGTGTTGTTCAGTCTTTGCCGGATTGCAAACGAAGGCTATTACTACGAGTATCCGGATGACATTATGGTAGTCGAGTTGGCGGATGACGCGGAATACTCTCCGATTCTCCAACCGGCTTGTCTTGCGAGTGAGCTCCTCTTGCTTCAAGTATTCAGTACCTTTGTGATTGAATTTAGGAGACATCAGTGACAACGAACCGGGAACCGTTCTCGATTTTTTTGGATTTGGACAAAATCGTCAGTAACTCTCCATCCGTCTTTTATTGCAAAATTGTTCATTTTTAGCCAATCAAAATGAGAAAACGAATCTAGGTTCCGGTGGAATTCTGAGATACGAGAAGATAAAAGTGAGTAGTTGGGAAATGGATTGAAAAGAAACGTGCAATCAGGTGCTGGAGGAGAACAAAAAGGGCACTTCGAAACGGATGGATACCCGAGTGTTTCATACGAGAAGCGTCACTGAGACCTCGATTGTCTGCCCGGTACTCTAATAATCCTCAACTTGTTCAGTCTATGGATCAATTTCAGGGAGACAGTGGCGGAGGAGCTGTGCGGAAGATCGACGGAAGGATTACGGTAGTTGGAGCATTGATGAGAGGTTTGTTCGTTTTAGCTTAGCACAGCTGAAGAAAGAGAACAACTCAGGTACCTGCGAATTTATGAAAAGAGGAAAGGATGCATTGGAAATCCACGCGTCCGCAGGATATCACGCACACGAAATCTGCAAGTACACGGGAATCTGCACTCCGCCCAGAAGCCAGTCGTCCGAGAGACTAATTCTAACTGTTTCCTTTGTCATTCCCATATTATTCATGATTATTTCTTAATAATAACACTTTTCAGTCTGGTACAATAATTAGGTGCTAGACAGTGGTAGAAGAAGTGGAAGACGTGGTGGACGAGGAGGAAGACTTGAGCAGCGCCTGCCAGCCCCGTACAATCAATCTGTGCTCGTCCGCCTGCACCGCTTTCTCTTTTGGGACGGCAACTTGAACACCCTCTTTCTCCTCCTGAATAACGCTTTTGTTTGAGACTTTAATAAAAGTCGCCTACCGAGCTGATATCCTTCTGAATGACCGTGGAAGTTGTGGAAGTGGACCTCGTCGAAGAGGAGCTCTCTCCGGTCGACGCCGTTTCCGTCTGGCTCTCCGGCTTCGGCGCGATCTTCAGAAACTCCTGCAGCTCTTTGATGATCGGGTCCTTCGGCTCCACGTATTCGGGAAGGAGCCTCTCTTTTTTCGAGGACAGCTGCCGTTTAAGAAGCGAAGTGAGCGAGTCCTCGCGTTTGAATTCCCTCGGTTTGTCGGGCACTTTTGAGGAGAACTCCACTTCCGTGCTCAGGTCGATCACGGGCACTTCTTCCGGAGCGGTCCTGAGCGGCCGCACGTACCTGGGCACTTCTTCCACAAACTCTTCGATGATCGGCGGTTGGACTTTCGCCGGAACTTTCTTCCGAATCGGAGTCGCGTACACCGGATTGATTTCCTTTGCCTTATTCACCAGGTTTCTCGCATTTCGCGTCCACTTCTTCTCGGGAGTGCGCGGGCGGCCCGGTCTTTCGTAGGATTTCGAGCGTCGCATCGCAAACTCCTCGCCACGTTTTCGGTACACAAGGGGTCGGAGTCTGAAACATTCACATATCCGTGGCTCTTTCTTGACAATTTCAACCTGGAATAGTCTCTTTCGGGAAGCGGAGGCGGCCCGTAAATCTCATCATCATCCTCGAAATCGCTCTCATTGCCATCCTCCAGACGCCTTCTGGTTCCTCTCAATTCCAGCCACGAGGATCTTGCCACGTCATGTCTCGTCGACATTTCGGATATCAAAGAGTCTTCCGACTCGGCCAACGGAGACGATATCATCTCGAGCTCGTCGATCACTCGCTCCATGAGTAACTCTCTGAACGTACATGTCTCAGTTAGTTCGACAATATCTATTCATCTAGCTACGATCTGTCACGTTCCTCCATTCGATTCCCATGCCAACCAACCACCAATTGAAATGAGAGAGAGAGAGAGAGAAAGAGACAACACATGCTTTATTTGGATGAAAAATGTGGAAAGAAATTTGAAATTGAAAGAAGACATTAGTTGTTCACAAGACACAATCACGGGATGATGATGAGACACATTGCGGCGTCTATTCCTAACAAACATGCACACAAGAACACGGATCACAACTGATCGACGATGCGGTTATGGGCGTCTCTAGTCTGGTACAATGCGAATATCTCCTGGCTCCTCGCACTCGCCGGCCGCCCCGGCAGCTCGTTCGGATCGGGGCTCGCCAGCATCAGAGTGCTGCCGATCGGCGAGTGCGCGGGCAGTACGAACTCTTGCGATCCGCCGAACTGGGCCGAGCGGCGGGAAGACGGCGACATGCTGCGGTGACGGAGCGAGCGGTGCGAAGCGGAAGAGTCGTCGGGCCGCGAAGAGGACTTCGAGCGGCGGTGGTATCTGCAAGTGAAAGGTGAAAGACCGCAAATTTTACGCAACTTTGATTTTGTAGTTGAGGAAAAGTTGCGCGGACTCTTAACTTAAACTCTTACGTTATCGGGCTTAAGCCGAGAAATCTTGGGGCTTACTAATCAATACCTATTCTAACGCAATAATAAAGAAGCGCTGTAGCCAATAAGCACTTAATACAGTTTTTCAAATCCGCGACCTACCTTTCCCTATGATTATTCTGCTCATTCTCCCTCCGCTCCTCCAAATACCCATTGCTCCTTCGGGACCATTGACCCGGAGAAGCCGAGTGAGCGGCGGCTCTCTGTCGATCCGGCACGATGTAAAGAGGACTGAGTGGAGCAGGATACGGCGGCGGTTGGGACCTGGAAAGGGAAAAGGAAATGAATGGATCGGGTTACACTTTATAAACCAACCTCAAATCTTCTCTGGAATTGCTCATGATCATCGGATGGGTGACCGGTTGAAAAGAGTTGAGAAATGGATTGGGTCGGTAGTCGTGGTGGATGTAGTTGGGCTCGGGAACGGGCGCGATCTCATCGTACCCGCTATTGTCGTCCCGGTACCTCCGATCGCTCTCCTCGATCAACCGCTCCTTCCACTGCACTCCCTTCGGCGCCTCCCTCAGAATGCCGCCTTCTTCGGACGGCATAAGCGAGTGCGTCCTTCGATCGTTCCACAATTCGTGGGCCGGTCCGTGGGCTCGGACGAGCAAAGGGGCTCCGCCGTACGGGGACGGCGTCAGGGAGATCATCGGGTTGTCGGGGTCCATGGGCGCTCGGAACACCTCGACCGTAGTGGTTGTGGTGACCGCGTCGTTGAGGAGCGCGTTCTTTTTCGACAATTGGATGCCGCCGGACGAGGCATCGTAAGAGACTTGCGATCGGGATATCGGGGTTTGCCACGCGGGTTCTTCATGTTTCTGGAACACACGATTTGGTCATTAAAAATATGATTTTTTAGAAAAATAATCTACTGAAACCTAATTGAATTTTTGCCGCTCTATGCAATGGTATATGTAGTTTCGCTGTTAATTTTCAATGAAGAATCTTACCGTCTCTTCAATCAAACTGTGCTTAAAATAGTATCTAGTCGAGGAAATCATTGCTCACAAAAAAGAAGAAAGAGCCAAGTGATGTTTGTGTCCGCCCGTGTTGGGTGTCATATTTATATACACGTACTCGCCGCCTCGCCTCGCCCAAAAGTATCGAATTGCCACCGTGTTGACTTGGCACCTCACAGGGGCAAAGTTCCAAAAACCTCTAGATACATTCGCGGCAAATATTGACAGAGATGCGCTCTGTTTCGTCCTCCAAGTGATTGTGACCAACAACCATTTGACAGTTGGATTCGAATTCAAATAGGGAATGAAATAAAATGACTCACCGGGCGGAAGACGTTTAGCACCAGCTTCGTCGGCTGAATGAACTCGTCGGGCGGTGAGTCACGGCCCTGAAATGTTCAGAAATGAAGGTGGTGGAGAGGGAGAGAGAGAGAGAGAGAGAGAGAGAGAGAGAGAGAGAGAGAGAGAGAGAGAGAGAGAGAGTACGGTACCTTGAAGGAGTAGATCGGAGAGGGCGGCGGAGACGGCGGCCTCGTCGGCGTCTGGAATTCCACTCGAGACCCGCTCGTGTCGCGTTTCTCTCGTCCGACCGAGACCAATGTTTCGCGTGATGTACTGGGTACCATTTGAATTGGAAGCGGAGAAGACCTCTGGAAGTTGGAAGCTGCCAGAGCTGGGCACAAAAAGTGACTTACATGGAGGGATGTGTTGGATCTGATCATGTCTAACCGATCGTCGAGGCGTCTGGAGGGCGATTCCGGGTAAGGAGACATCCAGGAACCTGTAATGGCTGATGTTATAGGTTCGTAATGCTAGGTACTGAAGTTTCAACTCAAACTTGGATTACCCTAGTAATTTGTAAGCAAGAGCAGATGGATGTCCATTCGGAATGGTTTTAAACTTGAAATATCTTCAAATTGACTATGAGATTTGGTGCAAATGGTCCTTAGAATTACGTTCTTTTTTGCTCTTTGCAGTAATAGCCTCACTAGTTACCTCGTCGTTACATTTCTAATATGATGATTTGCACTGATTCTCATCGAATTTCATTTCGATCGCTCAAAGGCTACATCCTTAAGCGTGGGTCTTTTTTTCTATGCACTGTCGAGGTCTCTGATCAAGAGAACTTCTGCCAACTTCATACTATCGCTCATTCACTCACCATGACTGCCGCTTGTACTCGGCGCGGCGGCCGACTGAACGGCGCTGTGCACGACGAGTCCGTTGTGCTGTCCGCCGCTCGTCGTCACCGTCGTTTTCATGTTGATGACCATTTGTCCGTGACCTCCGCCACTACCGTATCCTCCACGTGGCGGATATCCGTTCGAGCCGCGCATTTTTAGGCCAGCGGCAAGGGCACTGCGCGTGAGCGGTGAGAGGGTAAATCTGGAAAGTCATCAATCATCAATAATGGAGGGAGAGAGAGAGAGAGAGAGAGGAAGTAAGTAGTACAATAAGAAAAATAGTATTTCAATTTCACATTTCCGACAGATTCTCTTATCCATAAAAGGGCGCGAGGGAGAGAGAGAGAGAGACGCAGCAAGTGCGGAGAGACCATGCATGTTGCTTTTCGTTTTCGCCGATTTGTTTGTTCAATGCAGCAAAGTGTACATGTTGGAAAGGGGGGCGAAAACGAGTGGAAAAGGCAGAGAGAGAGAGAGAGAGATTAGGCAAAACTATACGGAGAATCAAGAAAAGAGAGCAAAGCAAAAAGAGCATCGGAACGGATTAGGCGAGCTGAATGAGGATGTTGGAGGTGAGAAGCGGGTTGAAAGGAGAAGACGAAATGAATAGTTTGAATGATATTATATGCTCACTAACAAGTTTTATACATAACCTGCTAAAAGTTACATGAGGTTTCAGCATAGTATTTTTCTCGAAAATCATACATATTTATGGGGTTATTCAGGCTGTGAAAAATTTGATTTTTTTCCGTTTCTTTCGTTTTTTTACGTCAAAAAACCCAATTCAGCGATGTAGAAAAAACAACAAAAAAACGGAAAAAAACATACGCTGAATAGCCCCATTAGGGACTGATTTGGAACCTCAAAATCAATTTCACGTGTTTCTTTGCCTTCTCGTCGCCCTAAAGGACATTATTTGGAAACTAGGCCGCAACTCAAAAACGACGGGCTTTGAGATAAAATTGTAAACTACAAAGTTATTCAGCACAAAATTTGTAACACGTTTTCAGTTGATCACTTTTCAAAATAATTATCGGATCTCGAGATATAGGTTTCCGAAGATGAGACATTTTCAGAATAGAGCAATGAAAAGCACTCCGAGGCCACGAATTAGGAGGTCCGTAGGGAATTTGGATAACAAATTTGGATCCTTGAAAGCATGTTCGTCATGCTCGGAAAGGTCAACTTCTATGCTCACTCCCCTTTATTAAAGTCTAAAACTTCCTAGAAAGGTAGGAGAAGCAGGCTAGGTAAGATAATTAAATCGGACTGAAACTTCGAAGGTGTATACTTTTAGCACAAACCAATTGGGAACAGAACATTGCAAAAAGTGTTAGAAACATTGAAGTAGTACGACCAATGAGACGATCTGACTCACACGGAAAACCGCATTAGACCGGACAACAACTCTCTTTCGAATTGAATTTTCCTACTCGTGAGACCTCCCTTTTCCGCTTTCAACACGTAGGTGCGACTGAAACTTTGATCGAAAACTGATCGACAGACTGATAAGCACCAGTGACAATGATTATATTATAAATAGAAATGGAAATAGAGAGCCGGGAGCCCGGAGCCAGAGCCTCTTCCGTTCAAACGGTGTTATTTGGACGGGAAACGGATAAGGATATCAGTGACTAAAGAGGATCGGAGCACACGGAGCATGTGTCTCTGTGGCCGGAATGACACAAAAAATGAAGTGCTTCGAGCGGCGAGAGAGTACGGGAAAACGAGAGACGAGGGCGCGTGACAGACTGGGCAAACAGTGCGAAGAAACGGAGCGGAGGGGTACCTGGAAGCTGCTGCTCGACTTAAAAATTCGATATTCGAAATTTGAAATTTGAAACCTCGGCGCATTTTGGAACGCGAATTCGGAATGAGCATGAAATTGATCGAGAGAGGACGGTTGGTAGATTCATGAAAAGTTTAAAGTTAAAACGTTTCGAGGAACAGTTTGGAACAAAAGAAGTTTGAGCTGAAAAGCTAGAAGAGATGCTTGATCCGATGCCAAGAAAGCGAAAAAGAAAAAAACAGCGCGAAAGTTTGTATAGATCACAGCAAAAAACAAATATTTGCTTGATTCCTCTTCTTTTTCCGATTCTCAAGTGACATGTACTGATTCCCTGAAGACCTCCAGTGTTTTTCAGTCTATTTGACACTTTAGAAACACATTGATTAAGAACCTTTAGTGTCTAGATGAATAGTGAGGACAAGTGCAAGGGCAAGGAGAAAGAGCAAGGAAGAGAACAAGAAAAACTACGCATGGACAAGGAAAAGTGCAAAGACAAGGACAAGGATAAGAAGAAGGTCATAGCCGAGTATGAAGACAAGAATAAGAACATGGATAGAGAAAGAAAAAGGGCAAAGGAAACCCAAGGGCAAGGGCAAGGACAAGGGGAGAGACAGGGAGAAGGATACGATTTATGCGCAAGGACAAGGGCAAGGAACAAGTTCAAGGACAAAGATTATACAGGCCTAGGGACTTTGGTTTGACCGCTTTTCTGATCAGCTCCGTATCAGTGTCTTCATGATATCATGCGAAAAAAAGGGTCTGACATGGGTCCAGGTGGAAAAAAGGCCCAGGTGAAAAGTAGATCACAGTTGAATCTAGACTCTTGAAAAAGTGAACACTTCTAGTCCTCCACTCGTACAATTCAGCGTGAAAAACAGACCAACTTGTGCAGGTGGCGGGTGCTAAAAGCCTTCTTCTTCCCCTTCTCTTTCTTTCCTTCTCTCCCCCTTCTTCTTCTTCTTCTTCTTCTTCTTCTTCTTCTTCTGCTTGTGACGTCGTCAGTCAGGAGAATGGGAGAGAAAGAGAAGGAGCGGCAGGCCTACGGATAAAGCACATTTGTTGCGAAAAAACGGAGCCGTGAGAGTTGGAGTTGTCATGGGAACCGCCCGAAAGAGTATTAATACTTTGTGTTGGCAGCTCTCTCTCTCTCTCTCTCTCTCTTTTCGCTGATACCTTTTGGCGAAAACTTGAAAGCTATTTCAAGCGGCACGAGGGTAGAAGAAGAAGAAGAAAAGAGAGCGTTTTGAAAAAGAGGAAATGGACTATAATGGACGGCGCGAATGACGGAAAATGGGTTAGCTTGTTGAAGAAGAAGAAGACGAAGAAGGACGAAAAGAGGACTTGTGAACGATCTGGATTACTCTGGTAATTTTCGGCAAGGGTTCGGCATGAAAGCAGCAGTTTGCTACGGTATTCGGCAGTTTGCTCCTAGAAACGACAAATTTGCCGATAGCACGAATCGGCAAGGAGGCAGCAAGGAATCAGCAAACTGCCGAAAATTATGCGGTCCAACATAATAGAACCGGGCAGAATAGAACCGGCCACAATATAACTGTTTGGAGCGCCTTTTAAACCTTTCTGTAGAATAATTTTTCGTAGAAAAGATAATTTTGAATCTTGTGATCGAGCATTGATTAATTTCACTTCCGTCGTGATCCCTCTTATCTACGGTAACGAAAACCCACAGAAAATAATTTTATTGTACTATCAAAAACAAAAGGAAACGAATTTTCTAGGTTTAAACTGTGGTCTTCTGCTTAATTGTTCGATAGACGAAAAATTTTGTGAAAGTTAATTGACAGGAACGGACAAAATGCTCATATAAATACACAAAAACAGTTCTATTAAGTCGCGGTTCTATTCTGCCCAGTTCTATTATGTTGGACCGCCGAAAATTAACTGAGTAACTTTTTGAGGGGTTCACATATAAGTTTTGACCGTTTTCAAGCAAAATTGGTTTTGAAAGTTAGCAATCCCGTAAATACAATAATTTTAAGCGCTCTAATAAGTAACAAAAATTCACGAAATTTTAGCAAGGAATCTTCAAACGCATAAATCTCAATTGCGACTCGATCAAATTTCACGCTGTTTGCGCTTTAAAATATCGATCTGACCTTTCAATTGAGCAAAAATGAGAAAGAAGAAGTTCTTGATTTTTCGCAGCTAATTTTGCGGAAAACACGAAATTTGCCTTCAAACTTTGAATATCGCTCCGAAGTTCTGCTTTGTACAGCGGAGCGCACTTGGTAGATCGCCAATTTGATCGCCAATTCCTTTATTTTTGCTCTCTGACTTGGTGTTAAAAAACATTTAGAAAACGCACTGCCCCGTGCACCCATGCGAGTCGGCGTGATTTCTTTTGAATTGCTGTAATTAAGCGAATTCGTGCCTGTAACCGACCTCTGGCCAGGTCATTTTTCCTCCTTTATACGGTTATACCAGCAAACCCCCAGCATGAGGAGAGGAGACGTCTAGACCCGCCGTGCGCGTGGTCTAACTTTCTCAAGCACCGACTCTTCCACCGCCATTTTTTCGTTTGTTTCGTCTCGAAAATACCCGCTATTTTCTTTGTTTTTCAACAATTTTCCGCTCGGTAACAATGACATTCACATCTGGAAAGATGGTCAAGTCGCCGGCATCGTCTCCAGATCGGAAAAAGTCCAAGTTGGACGTGTATCCGATGGAAGTGAGAGATCCGAAAGAGCGCGAAATCAATCCGACGCTTCTTTTGAATTTCACAACGGCGCTCTCCGGCTTTGAGATCCCGACCGAGGTAATTTTCATCGATTTTCTAGCGGATATCGACTTTCGTTCAAAACATTTCGAAATAATCTGAAAAATTGAGCTTTCAGGAGCAGCTCGTCACGGTAAAACGAGATGAGTTCCGTCACCATCCGAATGAAGACGTCGAGCAGTACTTCCGTGCGAGCACTCAATGGGGAGTTCCGGCGATCGCCTGGAGCATCGTCCGCCCGGCTTTCCTCTGGAAACTCGAGGTTTTTCACTTTTCAAAATGGCTGGAATTGATTTTTTTTTGTTCAGTTCTGCATCACCGAGTTTATGGTGGTCGAGAAGCGAAAGAAGGAGGAGTTGACGGGACCGCAAGAGAAGCCGGACCCGGAGAAACAGCCAGACACTCCCGTCAAGGAGAAACTCTCTATCATGGGTCGTAAGTCAACGAGTTTCGAACAAAATTTGAACTTTCCCTCTTTTCAGACAAAGTGAATCTAATCAAGACGACGCCGGTGGTATTCAACACTGAGGAGGCGATAGAGTTCGTGCTATCGAAGGCGAAGACGTTCGACGGATTCCCGTTCACCTGGCAGAGACTCTGCGAGCTTCTCATCGATCCGATGCGCCATTACAACTCGATTGACAAGTTTTTGCGCGCTATTGATAAGGTTTCACCAGGGAAAATTGGATTTTTAGTTGTATTTTGAATTTTTAAGGTCATCAACGTCGTGACGACGATCAATGAAAACGGAAGCCGTCAGTTTGGGGAGTGGGAGGTGCCGAGCAGCACTCCGCATCACCTCGAATCCGTCTTTTTCGGCGCAGTTGTAAGTTTTCCTATTTAGAATAGTCGCCCATAGAAACTCTATTTCAGGACGAGGTAGAGGCGATGGAGATGGAGGAGAAGCAGAAGAACGAGTCGTCATCGAACGAGGAGCCGCTCGACATGAGCCAGAAGACGTCGATGCCGGCGCCACGTGTCTCCAACTCGTCCCCGGTCCCACCGTCGTTCGCCCCGCCCACAGCTCCCGTTCCCACTGTTGCTCAACCGGAGGAAAACGAGGAGGAGATGCCGGAAGCGCCGGTCGGAGAGGAGGATGAGAAAGAGAACAACTCGAGTCTCGAATAACTTTCCTTTTATTTTTTGATTTTCCAAACTTTTCACTCAATTTGTGAGATCTCCTCCCGTATTTTCCCCAGCGAACCCTGGAAAAGGTTGTGTTGTGTCCCTGTTCCAGTGTTTATTTTTCATTTTTATCATCATGTAAGTCGCCGATCATTGTATTATAATATAAACTGTACCTCCTTTATTTTCGCCCCTTTTTCCCTCTAATCTCACTTCATTTTGACAAGTGTCCCGTGCTGTTTGCTCATCCGAGAGACTGCGCAAAGTGGAGAGACGCCGAGAAAAAGAGAGTGATCCGTCCGATATCCTCAACTGATTTTTCTTGTTCTTTTTTTCAATATGATAATTTTCGTTCTTCTCCTTCTTACCCTCCAAAGTTGCGATGGGAGTCAAGCGGAGACAAAGTTGTTCACGGATTTGTTAAAAGGTAAAAAACGGTAAGCATTTTCAGAAAATCCCATGCAATTTATAGGCTACAACCCTCTGGAACGGCCGGTTCTCAACTCTTCGCAGCCGTTAGTCGTCAAGATTAAACTGTTTCTGCAGCAGATTTTGGACGTCGACGAGAAGAATCAAATCGTTTCGGTCAATGCCTGGTTGAGCTATGTTAGTCAAAACGGGCAAGAAGAACAGTTCTAGAATTCCCGTATTCCGCAAAGCATATTTTCATTTCACATCCTGCGGAATCGAAGAAATGGTTAAAATTGATCAATTTTTGAACTTTTTTGTGAAAATGTTCTGAATTGTTTGTAACCTCCATGAATGTCTGCTTTCAAAATCTCTGTGTTTCTCAGACGTGGTTCGATCACAAGTTACAATGGGAACCGAAAAAGTACGGAGGCATCCAGGACATTCGATTCCCCGGCTCGTCGGATCACATTTGGAAGCCCGATGTGCTTCTCTACAACAGGTAACGAACCATATTTAGCAGGCAAACAAAAAAGTCATTTTTAGTGCGGCCGAGGACTTTGACTCGACGTTCAAGTCGAACCTCCTGACCTACCACACGGGCACCGTCGTTTGGATTCCGCCGGGCGTTCTCAAGTTTGTATGCCAGCTCGACGTGACGTGGTTTCCGTTCGACGATCAGGTGTGCGAGATGAAGTTCGGCTCGTGGACGTTCCACGGATATGCGATCGATTTGCAGATTGACGATGACACCAACGGCAGTGAGTTTATAAATGGATTCTAGTGTGATGAGCTCAAATTTCAGCTCAATCCATGGATCTCTCTACGTATCTGGTGAACGGAGAATGGCAAGTGATAAGTACGAATGCGAAGCGGATCGTGAGCTTCTATAAATGCTGCCCCGAGCCGTATCCGACTGTCAACTACTATTTGCACATTCGGCGGAGGACACTTTACTACGGCTTCAACCTCATTATTCCCTCCCTTTTGATCTCCCTCATGGCAATCCTCGGCTTCATGTTCCCACCGGATGCCGGAGAAAAGATCACACTCGGTAAGAGCTCATTCTCAACTAGTCTCGACATTCAGTTTCCCTTCAGAGGTGACAATCCTGTTGGCAATCGTCTTCTTCCTGAGTATGGTCTCCGAAATGACGCCGCCGACGTCGGAAGCAGTGCCGTTAATTGGTCAGTTCGAATGCGATCTCTCTCCCTTTTTGTTCTTTATTCTCTGCTTTGCATCGAGTTTGGAAGATGTGTTATCATTGCCGAATTGGGTGATGATGCCATTCGGAAAACGGAAATGAAATGGATCGAGGGGAGGGATGTGGGAAACGGAGAGACGCAGAGATTGAGAGAAAGAGAGAAGACGAGTGTCTAGAGAACTTCCACGTGTTTCCAGCATCAAACGTACCAAAAATCTTCCGTTCCAGGCGTCTTCTTCTCGTGCTGCATGCTCGTCGTGTCCGCCTCCGTCGTCTTCACGATTGTCGTGCTGAACCTGCACTTCCGAAGCCCCGACACGCACGAGATGAACCCGATGGTCCGTCGGGTTCTGCTCGAGTTCCTTCCCTGGCTGCTCTTCATGTCGCGTCCCGGCTACAAGTTTGTGAAGGCCAACGTCATTGACCAAACGGACAAGATGCCGCGGAAGCCGAAGAATCCGATGGACTGCCATCTTCCGTCGAATCACGCCGGCTACGAGGCACAGATTCTGCTGCTGCATTCGGTGCACACAGAGCTTCGGAAAGTCGTGGCCTTCTACAACAAGGAGGAGAACGACGAGCGGATCCAGACGGACTGGCGCTTCGCGGCGATGGTCGTCGATCGGGCGTGTCTTCTGCTTTTCACCGTCTTCATCGTAGTCTCGATATTGTCCATTTTAATGTCCGCACCACATTTGATAGCTTAGAATTTGAATTCGACTTCATTGAAAACCAATCAAAAATAAATCGTAATCATATAAAATTAGGACATATAAGGAAAAAGAAAACAACACCAACAAATGTACAGAAAATGGAGAGAAAAAGCGAAACTAGTCAGCCTAACACTTATTTTCCCTGTCCGACGTATGCGTTTCCGGCTGGCAGAGGGGCCGAGTAGACGGCGGCGGAGGGCTGGGCGCCGACTCCGATGACAGTCTGTGGCGGTGGTGGTGGCGGGGCGAACGCCGACGGGGCCAGGTAGGGTCCGGCGATCGGACCGGCCGGATACGGACTGAAAAGGGCGTGGGGTGGATGGGCACAAATGGGATGACTTACGCGGCTCCGCATCCTCCTCCGCAGGCGATCGGCGGTGGTGGCGGGGCGGCGCACGGAGAGGCGGCCGGTCCTCCGCATCCGCCGCCGAGTCCGAGGCCTCCGAGGCCTGGAAGACACGCGAACGAGACGGAGACAAGCAGGGAGAGGACTGCGAAACGGGCGATCTGAAAAAAGGGAAATGCAACGAAAAAAAGGAAAGAGAAGGGAAAACTTACCATTATGACAGGAAGAGTTGTTTGAATGAAAGGAATGGAATGGCTCATTGGCATGCCGTCAGCCGTACCTTTTATAGCGGATCAACGCAAGCACCGCCCATGCTTCGCGCTGACATTCGGAACCCGTTTCGACGTGGGGGAGGAGCGATTATGGCTCGATCGGCGAAATCCGACGACGGCGACGACGACGACGGCAGATTTGGCAGATTTCCGGGCGCGCAGAAGATGATGACACAGAGGAGTATGGGGGGTGTTGAATGGGTTGTACAACTTGGTGGGAACGAGAAAACGACACGAAGGAGGAAGCGATACTTGATGGGATTTGAGAAGAAGCTTTCACTGATATTATATGTCCACACGAGTGCTGACAATACTGTAGGTTAGATAAATTCCTCAACGTCTTCCCTATAATCACCATGATGAGCCTTTAAAATCTAGCATTCAGAATGCATGCCTCAAGTCGAAACCCTTTCTGAAAGCAAAGTAGCTCCATTATTCCATTTCGTACTTTTCACGTACGAACATCGCCAATCAGATTTGCGTAACACAAGAACAAACAAAGATATTGTTGACTTTGGGCCGAGTCTGAAATGGTCTGTGACTGCTTCTTCTCTCCTTTTTTCGGCCGTCGTCCGTCATCCGGAACCCTTTTCTCCCACTCGCGCTCTCTGGGCGATTACATAATACAAGCAGAAAGCAGTTTTCCGCGCGGGAGATAATGTCCGAAAGTAAAAAAGGAGAAGAGGAGAGGAATAAGCCGAAAAGTAGTCGTTTCACTTTTCGGAAACAACTTGGCACAATTGAAAGCGAGATTATTTGGGGGAGAGGGGATGACGCAAAAGATTTGCGAGAGAATTACATGAAAACACGAAAAATTAACAGAAACATTTATTGCTTTTCGGTGGCAAATCGGCCGCACAACGCTGCTCTCGCGAACAAATCATCCGCGCCCGCCTTCGGAGTGTCGCACTTCCAGTTGTCCAATTTTGTGTGCTCGTCGAGCCGTCCGAGTTTCGAGGCCCTCATTTGAATGCAAACCTGATCGATATCCGCCGATGGTTGGGTTGGGGACCACGCGTCCGAAGTGCGCATCCACGAGGAGAGGTTCAGGTTCGGGTCCGTGAATTCGTATTGCTGACAGGTTTTACGTGACTTGATTCATATCTGTTTTCCTGGTTACCTGGACCCTTTGGCTCACATTGGCACTTTGCACATCCGTGAAGTCGGTCCGTTTTCCGTCAATCCACACCGACACCAGATCCTTCGGTGCTTGCCCTTTGACCACAAACTGTGCGGCAATCCCAGCCGTCCACAATGCTTCCACTCGGCTCTCCAGCCCACTCAGCATTCCTCGCGCGTTCGTGCACGCATCTCTCGCTTCTTGCTGCGTGTACAACTGCCGCGGGCCGCCCACGACCTTCTTTCGGGTGGTTATCACAGAGAGTTCTATGGATGGCCTTACTTGGAGACACCAGGGGGCCCGGTCCCTTTCGAAAAGTTGCCAGCCGTCGGCACATTCGTAGGCGCTGTAGTAGTTGAAAACGAGTGCTTCGTCGATGAGCGACAATGTGTAGGCGAGGGTTTCAGTGACGTTTCCCTGAAGACAAAGTTGACATACGTATCGAAATGGGTCACTAACTGTGAGACCATTGAAAGTTGGCGGACAGATGAGCTCATCGAGATTAATCTAAAGTTTAAAGGTGAAATGAAGTCAAAGAATCCTATACCTTTATAGCGATTATGTCCGCGGAACCCTTCGCAAGAGACACTTTGGCCAATGCTTGATAATCACAATAGTAGTACGCCTCGCCAGTACTGTAGGCCATCATGCATGCCGTAGACCGCCCGCATCCAACAATCGCCTTCCTCCAAATGGAGCTGTGCACTTTGGAACAGTTCGAAACATCGCTGATCTCACCCGAGAATGTAAGCATGGTCATGGACACCTGAACTGGAACTGTTATGACCCAAAACTTGAGTATTATGAACTCACAGCGAGTTGGGCAAGGGACAAAAGCCACGAGATCCACACGAACAGACACATTTGAAAAAGTGGAAAAATGGGGGAAAAGAACGGAAGAGCTGGACCTTGGATACCAATGATTTATCGTGAGGGGAAACACTAAAAACACTAAAAGTTTGATTTATTCCTTTCGAAAGTTTTCGGGCTCGAACAGACCCATAACAACAGTATTTAGCACAACAAAAGAGAGGTCAACCAATAAAAAGTGTGTACTTTCGGAATCCGTCCGGCCATCTCGGATCACATTCTCTCGGCCTCCTTCCGTCCGTTTATCTGCTCTTTGAGCCGGTCGCCAGCCAAAAAGTTGTCGAGATCCGATTTGCGAAGGAATTCGATCAGACTGAAATCGTCCTGGAAGTCGCTTTTCGCCATGTCGAGGCTCATCAAAAAGTGTACGCCCGTGTTGCGTTCCACACCGAACATCTGAATTGAAAGAAATGGGTTAATGCGGGGCCGCGGTCACGGTCTCCAGAGCTGACAATATGGGCGTGGCCTCGGCGGCCAAATGGCGTTTTTGCATGAATTGAGCACGTTTTCTCTGATTTTTGTGGTCAAAGGCGATGAAAAATGATTGTTCGACATGAAAACACACTAATTCTCAGAATTAATGACGTTTTAGCGCTCATTTTTCGTCTTTTCGCCTTCGCCGTCGATCGCCGCCTAAAAAGTGCACTTCTCATTTTGCACTTTCTTGACCGTTTTCAGACAGAATTGGTTTTGAGAATGATAAATCACGTAAATACAAGCATTTTGAGCGCTCGAACTGCATGCGAAAATTACCGAAAAGCAACTGAAATTCACGCAGTTTTAGCCAAAAACCTTCAAACGGATAAATTTGATTTGCGACTTGACCAAATTTGACGCTCTTTCGCTTAAAAAATTCGTAATGGCCTATACAATCGGTCTATCGAGAGACAAATGAGAAATTATCGGTTTTTTGTGGCTAATCTGGCAAAAAAACACAACTTTTGCTGTTAAAATTTGAATTTCGCGCCAATGTATTGTGCCTATTGTAAGCTCTGGAGACTATGGCGCGGGGACGCTGTGGGATACCTTCAAATCCGACACAATATGTCCGACGCCATCGTGGTAAAGCAGGAGCACAATGACGAATCCGACGGTGAGACCGGTGAAAATAGTGAAGATGACGATGGAGACGATGAGGATCGTGGCGTAGCTGTCGACGGATTCCACAAACTCGGTCAGACAGCCCTTTGTGTGGTAGGTCCCCGATTCGGGCATCACAAAGTAGGTGAGCATGAGATGCCAGTCCCCGTTCGCGTGGTACGCCGTCGCCAATTTCATCTCCTCGTCGGTCAGGTTGCGTTGAGAACAGATTCTGAAAGAAAATAGGATTACTGTAGGTGCCTGAAGCCGGCTGACTTGTCGATGCGTCGGCAGCACGAGATCGGGAGACTGAAGAAGCGGCGTCCGTCGAGGGCGAACTCGCGCGTCAACGGCTCCTCCTCGGTCTTGTTCGTCAGCGGATTACGGTAGCGGATGATGAAGTTCTCGCGGTAGTCCTCCGGCCCGTTGATGCCGCAGCACTTCATCCGCATCTGATAGTTCGACAACGTCTTCATCGTCTCCGGCGGGTACAGCAACTTTTTATGGATGCCCTCTTTCACAAAGTCCTCGCCGTTCGCTTTGAGAATCGCTGGAAATACAGTGTTTTTCTCTTGTCATTTTGTCATTTTCAACACACCCAAGTTGATGATGGTGCAGATGAGGATGACGGAGAAGCAGAAGTTGACAGTAGTCACAATGACGATTCTCGGTGTGGTTCGACATTGGTAGACTGCGAACTGGCCGACGATGAGAAGGCAGAGAATGAGGGAAACCCAGAAGGCGAGCGAGTTCATCGTGGAGATCCACGTGATGTTGCCGATGATTCGGTCGGATTGCAGGGGCGACAGCACGGCGATCCGCATCAGAGCCAGCACGATCGCGAGGATGATCACACTGCAAACGAGTTTGAAACGCTTGATCCGGCGGTGAAGTTACTAACCAGATGAATCGAATGAGCTCGAAGGCGGATCCGATGTACATTCCTAGGACGAGTTCGGGACGGAAGTGTTTCAGGAAGCGTGTCACGTACTGCCACTGTCCGTGCATCATCAACTCGTACATGGCGACGATGCGGAAGATGGAGTACATCTCCTCGAACGGTTCCGGCTCCTCCTCGCTCATGCTCGACGATCCCCGCGATCCGTCTTCGCTTCCCGCACGCGCTCGCCGACGATTCAACATTTTCAAAGGGAAATGATTGGCAAGGGATTGTGGAATCCTCCGTCCCTCATTATCATCAATTCAGGGTTCACGTGAAACTCCATATCATAATCCCTTCTGCTCGGACCCGGAAACTTGTTAGTAAACAGGAGGGGGCTCCCCACCTCCCTCTCTTTCTTTCTCTTTCTCTCTCTCTCTCTCTCTCACTATTTGCGTTGATCCACGGGCGGCGAGAGATCAGGGGATAACGAGAGGGCCGACAGACGCACATCGGCTCCCAGAGTGTAATGATGTCCTGGAATCGCCCGTCCCGTCGTCTTGGCACGCAGCCGTCTCTTCGTATCTCTCTATCGATTAGTTTGGCGCCGTCCGTTTTAGCTTTTCGATTGTAGCCGATTGAATCCACGACGATGAGGTCGTTTTGGACGCTGACCGCCGTGTCGGTCGTGCTATTTGTGCTGTTTTTCGGCGCCGATCCGGTGGATGCCAGGAAGAAGGACAAGAATCTCAAGGTAAGCCCGTTCTCCCGAATGTTGCCGATGTTAGCCTTTGTTTCTTTGTAGGTCACAGTGGCGGATGACGTGCCGGCTCCGACGCCAGCCAAGAAAGCGTCTGGAGCGAAGAGCGCCAAGAAGCCGGCTGCTAAAGAGGCGCCACCACCACCACCTGCCAAGGTTTCTGAGAGCTTCTCCCCAAGTACACTTTCTTTCGATTCTCTCTTCAGACGAGCTCAAAGCACAAGGACGACGATAACTCGATTGACGACGTCGACGAGGACCGAATCGATGAGATTCTCAGAGACGCCTCCAAGAATCTGGTGATCTTCTTGTGTAAGAGTTCGATGGAAATCTGGATGGAATCTCTGTCTTTGCTTCCAGATGACGGAAAGGTTCCGTGCCCGACGTGTGTGGAAGCTCTTTCGGAAGTCGAAGAGATCGACGACGACATCGAGGCGACCGGGTACGTGCAAGTGGTCAAGACGGACGATCGATCGGTCGCCCGCGAGCTCGGCATCAACACTTTCCCGGCGCTCGTCTACTACCGGAGAAAGAATCCGATTCTCTACGACGGTAAGTAAGGGGATGGGCTCACAAAGTCGACTTCTCACAGAAACCTTACAATCTCATTTTGAAGAACATAATACAATTAAAGCAGGGTCCTTTATGTTCGATTTCTGGGGATAAATTGAAAAAAACCGCTAGACGCATGTGTGAAACTAGTCCTCTTCCTCGTTTTCCAGGCGACTTCAAGGACTCGGAGACGTTGTTGCGTTGGCTGCGTGCCCATGAAGAGGTTGCCACGTGGGATCTGACCGACGACACTTTCGAGTCGCGCACCGATTCGCACTCTCCGGACGAGGGCGCCATCGACTGGTTCGTCATGTTCTACGACGCCGACGAGGGAAACAGCAACGCGTTTGTGCCGCTCTGGGAGACAGTCGCTCACAAGTGAGTCATGAGGCATGAGGCATACAAGAACGGAAGAAATTCAGACTTCGCGGTTTGGTCAACGTCGGAAAGATTGAGATTTCGGTGAATGACGACGTGACGGAACGCTTCCACATCGAGGAGAGGGACTGTCCGGTGTTCCTGCTGTAAGCATCAGAAGATCCTTATCCGAACAGCCTCCCTTTCAAAACTGTTTAGGTTCCACCGCGGAAAGCTCTACCGCTACAAGGATTCGGCCAAGGACGTCAGAAGTTTGACCAACTTTGCTCTTCACAAGTACAAGGAGCAGAGAGGACACAGGTTCGGAAGAAACCCCGTACTCTACGTATTTCTCATTTTCAGAGTTCCGGAGCCACCAACTGCCATCGAGCAAGTCTACGAGTTTGCCAAGGAAAAGATTATGGATGTGATGGTGAGTTCAGTGGAGCGTGCTTCCAATGTGTACTCCTTTTTTCCGTGCAGGACGACAACCAAACGCTTTCGGTGCTCGGCGTCGGCGGACTCATCGTGATCGTCGCCGTCACGCTCATCATCAAAGCCTACAGAATTCGTGCTGAGAACAAGAATAAGGTCGCCTAGATTATTCTCCTAACTTTCTACTCTACTTGCCGCTTTCTATCATCAGTTTTATTTTGAAATTGAAATTCCAGCATCTCCCCCCAAAACTATAGGTTAACTCTCTCTCTCTCTCTCTGTATGCACCCCATTTCTTCACGTGGTTCCCATCGCTATACTGTTATTATTTTTCTTCTTTCTATGTTTGCCGGTGCTTCAAAAACGTCTATTCTTTTTTTTATTCTATTCAAAACGACAGACGACGTGCCGCCGCGGAGACACACACACACACACACGAAATTCGACATTGAAACGAAAAAAGACGGAGGAGGCGAACCGATCATTTTCAATGAGGACGACATCTGCCCGCATTTCATTTCAATCTTTTTTCGAGCGACAAAAACCGTTAAAGACAATTTTCGGGATGAAAGCGCGTTATTACACACGTCTGGAGCAAGTTTCGTGCGTCTCGCGGCCACCCACTTCTTTTTGCGCCTTTTCGAGTTGACACGTTACTGTAGTTTTAAAGGCGCTACATGTTTTTGTTGTTCGGGTCTCAAGTGGAAGAGTCGTATAGTGTTTACGCTTGAAATCAAGATCTTGGAGAGTTCCTTCAATTTTTCAATTTTCTTCCAGATAAGACGTATTTTTCTAAGTGTTTACACGAAAATCTGTAAGAAACCAAACGTTTTATAGACAAAAACGCATTGCAAACCAATTTATCGTTCATTTTTCGCGCAAAAGATTCTAAATTCAACAGAAAAACTTGTCAATTTCTCTGTCAGCTCTCCTTGTCCGTCCGTCCATAACTGGCTGTTTTTCTCGCAGTCAAACCACGCGCACACACGAAAAAGCAGCAGAAAAGAGGAGTGAAAGCGAAGAACGTTCCGTCGAAAAGGGAGGAGAAGCAAGAAACGCAGACGGCCGGTCGAACGGCCCTCGAGTGCTTCCGCTGTCGGCCTGCGTCTCCCGATTTGGCACGAACTCTCGGCGGGAGACGCAGACGGAGACGACGCTTTTCCGACGTGTCCGTTGTGCCCGCCAAACACGTATCCTTTACCATTTTCGTGGCTCCAGAGCCCGTCTTCGGCTTCTGCTCCGATTCCGTCCGTTCCGACCTCTTCCGCCTCGCTCTCTGCTTCTCTACACCCTCCAGCTTCTCCGTGCTCTCTTGTTCGTTCGTTATCTCTCAAACAACTCGGCCTCTTTTACCTCATCGACAATCGTGGGGGTCGCGACCAGTTGAGAATATGGAAAAGTGTGGTGTAATTGTGAAAATTGACTGGAATAGGGTTTGAGGAACACGTTCAGACGGCGAAAAGTGGGTTCGAAGCCCCGAATTTATTGATTTTCGCCGCGGAACATGGGCAAAGGTCTCGGCTAGCGAAACTGGACGATAAATTGCGGGAAAAGTGAGTTTTCATTTTGAAAAACTATCGAAAAAGCAGAAAACGAGATCGTTGCCCAAAAATGTACGCTCGAGGCGTTTTTTTGGGTAAGATCAGAGTTTTTTGAACATTTTCAAATCATTGAGATATCTAAAAAAAATAGAAAATGTTCTGCTTTACCCGACTGTCGCACTTTCCGCTCTGGAAACAGTGCTAGAAACGCTCCAGCAGCAAATCTCGCTGAATTTTCATTGAAAACGTCCCCGAGAGTTTTATGAACACCCCAGAAACGTGTCCTTCTTGTCGACCACAAAGAAAATTAATTTTTCTGTCACAAAACACACTTCTCGTTAGTCATACTGTTTTTGTGTTGACACAGATTGCTCATCTTGTAGCGCTTCCGTTTCTAGAACAAAAAAAGAAAGAGAGAGAGAGAAAGAGAGAAAAACGTCCTCGGCTCCAAAATGACTCCAAATCAAGCCAATTTCGGTTGTGTCCCCTTCAAAAAAAAAGTGATGCTCCGATGCTCCCTTCTTTCCGAGTCCAAATGACCAGCTGATCAGAGTGTCAGGCTCCAAAAGCTCCAAGCTCCAAACCACAACGATTATAATGTAATAACACGTCTGAAATGTAATCAGTATTCTTACCGTCGTCGCCCGTGGCTACGCGCTCGCGCTCCGTCCTCCCCCAGCTTGTTTTCGTCCGTCGACGCCGAAAAAGTTGATTATAGGCTTCTGGGGCCGTATTTTTTCACTTTTCACCGAGAAAAACGAGGTGCTCGTTGTGATTTACATCTGGTGCGGTCCAGTCTCTACGTTGGCACGGTGCCAGGTGCATTGAATGCTGAAGGAGGATCTCGAGCACTTCCGGAAGTTAGTCTAGTCCTCTAATTACCTTCAAATCCAGTTATAGCCTACAAACTCTGAGGACTTCCGTTTTATTTTCATTTTCATTATTATTATCGTCTTCCTTTTCCATGAAGCCACATCTCATTAGGTGCTCCACCAGCGGTGCTCTTATGATTCCTCTGTGTAACAAGAAGAATAAAAAGAAAACAATTCCATCCCAAAAAAGAAGAACTTTTTCTCATTGTTTTCTTTTCTCTTCCCCACCCGCTGTTCAATGCTCTTCAATATTTCGGCTGGCTCCAAAAGACGTCGTCTTTTCTTTTTCCTTCTTCCTCGTATTCGTCGTTTTGGCTTTCAAAGCGGAAAATGAGAAGAGGAAGGCGTGGAGAATGAGACGTGGACACCTAATTAAGACGAGTGTGTGCGTGTGTCACATTTGATGTGTTTCTTATTCATCAAATTAAACGAAGCGGTAATGAAACCGAATTGGAGCTGGAAAGTGATGAAATTTTGATGAGAAGCGCTCGGGCATTGGGCTCAGAAAACGAAGAACAGCTGCAACGGTGAATAATCTGAAAAGCAGCGAAAATGAAAATTTCACCTGCGAGCTCCCGATTCGCCCATCTAGCTTGCTCACAAGCTCTCGGCCGAAATTTAATTTCGCTGAAACGTTGTTCCATTCTCCTCCTCGCCCCCTCCTTCGCCTCGAATCCTCGCCAATTCCTTCTGCTAATCTGATAAGCCGACTTATCAAAAACTTCTTCCCTTCCGAAGATTCGCCGTCATCTCACCGCATCCGATCACAAATCAGTCTCAGACAGATGACGTGGCGGCGGCCGGCGTCTCTCGCTCATTACGCTCCGCGTGTCTTTCTTGTTGTGCTCTCTCATTTAGAATTCATGAAATCAGAATCCTCTGACTCTTCGATCCAAATGAGAGCCTGGAAGGATAACAATAATGAGATTCTTCGCGCGCGCGCGTGCGCACGTCCTGCAAAAAGTATACAAATCCCCGGCGCGGTGTGTAGGATTTCGCAAGTCGCGGAATTATGATAGTCACAACTTTTTTTGGTTCAAACATTCGGTCAGGGGTGTGCGGAAAATGTTTTTGTTATCCGAGAATGTTCGAGGAAAGTTCTTCTTTAATTTTCCAAAATCCCATTCCAAAAAAGTACATCTCTCTGGAGGGTCTCGCAGCGGAGCAGAGCGACTGTTCTCAACTGCGCGCGGGATTCTCGTAGATTATCAGAAAACACAGCTTATTTTTCTTCAGAAAAACATGAAATTGTTTGGTTTTCGGCCTAGGCCTTTTTCGGCCTAAGCTTTCGCCCGCCCAATTGATTCCAAATCATAATACTTTATTGTTCCTGAACATTGTTCAAAATTAGAGTATTTTACGGATAAAAAAGTGTTTTTCCGGTTTTTTCCGAAATTTTCCGAAAAATTGTTTCCGCACACCCCCGACTTTCGGTCTCACCGAGCAGCTGAATTCATTTCGGAATTGACGATGAAAATGAGAAAATAAGGTCGGCAGATGCTAGAGTGAAAATGGGATTACAGTAGAATCGGAGGGGGCAGATGTGTTTCTTCCGCCGTCTCGGATCCTTCAGCAACTATGTAGTAGTAACATACGGCGGGGGGAAAAGTGACCAACTCATTCCCGCTGCGTGAGCCGCGAGTGAGAGAGCGGGAGCCCCTCCGGCTTCTTCTTCTGCTTCTTCTTCTTCTTCTTCTTCTTCTGCTCGGCTGCTCGGCGAGCACGCACTCACACACACACACACACACACACACACACACGCTGTTGTTGGTGGCTGGTGGATGAGGGCGAGGAGAGCGCAGAGAAGTGATGAGATCCCCCTTTCTGTTTCTCTCCCTCCCCCTTCCACTTCTTCTTCTTCTGCTTCTCCTTCTCCTGTCGTCGTCGTCGTAGTCGTCGCCGCGCAGGCCACAACGTCTTCTCGGCTCGTTCTCTCCTCCTACTTCTCACCCTCATCCAGCTCTACCATGATGCTCCCCCCGAGCACGCACAGACACCGCCGCCGCCGCCGCCACCGAATGGCCTTTGAAGGAGAAGGCGAAGAGGCAGAGAGAGAGAAAGAGGAGGCGGAAAGGAGGAGCCACGCCTTCTCGATTTCTCTGCTCCTCTCCGTTCCGCGCACTCTTTCCGCGCATCCGCTCTGTGTGTGTGTGTGCTCCGCGACGGCGGTGTCCACACATTCACGTTGACCAGTTAGGTTATACGTATGAGCAACCGCCCGTTTTGAATCAGGCTTTCTTGAAAATTCCGAGTTTTCGGTTTTTCCGTCGCTATTTTCTGATTCCGATTCCAAACAGTTTTTTATTCCGATTCCGGGCCACTCTGACAAAAACCCTTTTTTAAACTGAACATTAGAAATAATCGGAATTTTCGACGGAATTTTGGAAAGAAATACTTTTATTCCGAGAAAGCCTGGTTCGGATGGATTTCTGAGCCTCCTCACTCTTTTTTCCGTTCCGCTGATATCCGTTCCTTCAATTTGCCCGCCCACTCATCCAATTTCAGCACACACGAAAATGCAGAAAAGAGCAAGGATATTGGACAATAAAAACATGAAAAGACTGCACATTAACCGACGCGGCAGGTCCGATATTAATCAGAGGTTCGCATCTTGCCGAAAAAAAAGAGCCGAACCTTGTTTTATTTTCAGTGGAACGCCGTCATTTTTGTACGTTCGAATGCTGCTCACGTGGATGTCGATGGTCGTGCTGGATGCGGTGACCGGCTTCCGATTCGAGTTGCTGTGGCCGATGTGGCTGCTGCTGCGCGCGATCGCCGAGTCGATTCAGATGAGAAATCAGCACTGCGTCACCACGATCGCCAGTCCGGCCGCAGCGGTATGCACTTCTTCTGAATGAGGCTAATCACGCTCTATCGCTCATGTCGCAACTTTTGAGCAGCATTTGCGTAACTTTCACGCAACTTCAGAAGAAAAGTTGTGTAATGTTTGCGTAAAAGTGTTTTTCTCCGAAGATTTTCATCGAACATTCGGAATATTCAGGCGTTGGTTGATTTTCGACAAGTCGGGGTAAAAATTGGTGATAAACCAGTTGAGCCGCCTGATTAGCGCATTCCTTCGCACAGACGAAATCAGAAAGTTTTGCAGAAGGTGTCAATACTGTTCGTGTGCATGACGGCCACTTCGGACCTCATTTGTTACCTGTTCATACCGTTCCGAATGCTCATTTTTCTGGCGACGACGTACGTCTGGATGAATGTTTACTGTCACGCACAAGGCGGATTCCTCAGGACAATCGCCACGTTATACGGTTCGTCGGAAAGTGAAAGGGGGTGTGAAGGCCGATTAAAGAGCAGATTATGGGTGTTCTCAAAGCTGTTGTTTATCAGTGGGAAGAAATTCGGAGAAAACGAAAATAAATTTAATTTTCCAGGCGGCGAGCGGTCACAATCGTGGGCGATTCTATTCATCATGTCGTTTATAGTCGCATTCGAATTGTTCGTCAGGATTCGGTTAGTATTTTACTCGATTTCTTGCCTAGCACTTACCATCTTCTTGACAAGCTTCTTTTTTAGAATCACAAAGTTCGACTATATATTTTTGTTCAGAAGTCATCCCCTCCTTCTGAGCATCTTCCCAATATGTGAGTATTTAATTTCGGACCAATCATCCGATGGTCTCTGTTTCAGTTTCAATAACAGAATGGGCTGGAATCCCGCCGATCTGGCCACGCAGTCTCAACAAGATGTTCGCGTCGCACTGCATCGGCTATCCGATCGTTCTGGTCACAGTTTCATTACACTATTATTTGAAGTGAGTTCTCGCTCCATTGAACTCGCCGCTCAAATATTCGTTCAGTGAATGGAAGTTGCGACGGAAACAGGGCGACGTGTCGAATAGGAACGAGCAACTTTTCCGGATACTCGTCGAGAGTCTTCCGGCCGAATACGAAGGTCCCAAGGACTACACGGCTTCGAGTTGTCTAGACGAAAACGGCGAAATGTACTACCTGGACCCGCTGCCGAGTTCACAGCCGATGCAGGCGATCGCAGCCGCACCGCCGACAGCGACGCCGCCGACAAAAAAGAACGGAAGTGTGCACAAGATGGCGTCGTCGAAAAAGAAGAAGAACGGGGCGTACAATTCGACGCCGCCGAACGACAAGAAGAAGGGAAAATCGATACGAAGCGAGGCGGATTTAGACGACAACGACGACTCGGACGCCGACGACTACTCGTGGCGCGAGGACGACAAGAAGGGCGGCGTATGGATTATTCGCACGCTTTTCGATGTCATCGCCTGGGCGTTTTGCGTGCTTTTCACTGTGAGTTCCCGTGGTCACATACAAATTTAAGTCAGAACCGACTTTTCTTTTTTCTTCTCCCCTTATGAACCCGTCAAACTACCAGCTATCAATGATCTAGTGCTCAAAATGACTTGATTCTTGCAACGAGAAATTGGAAAACCGTCATTTTTATTAAAAACATCTGAGCAACACAGTCTGATTCCAGGGCGTATCATCAGCAGCAACACACAAGAAATCACCACCTCCACCTCCGCCAGCACCGCGACGGTTGACAGAAGAGGAAGACGAAGAGGAATCGACACTCGGCGATGAAGTTCTGTTCGAGAAAAAGAACGGACGGACGGACTCTTTGACGGTGACGACGACGAAGAGCCGCGCGAATACGATGCCGTCGTCGACGCGGACTCAGAACAACAATCAGAACAAGGCAAAGAACGGGAAGCCGAGCCATCATCACCATCAGAACAACCATCAGAAGACGAACGGACAGGCAAACGGACACGCGAGAACGACGGCGGCAACGGCGATTCGGGACAGTTCACATGACACGAATGCGAGCAATGAAGCTGATATTCGGAGGTATTCATAGTTTATCACCTGCTTATTCAAATGACTGATTTTGCAGCATGACGCGAGAGCTGGAGACTCTCCGCGCGGAGCTTTCGTCGCGTCGGAGCCTCGAAGACGACTTCAGACTGCAGATTTCAATGCGCGAATCGAACGAATCCCGCCTTTCGCAGCAGTTGTCGAACATGAAACTAAAGGTAGAGCAGATGGAGATAAAATGCTCGACGCTCGAACGGCATCGTGAATCGGACAAATCGCAGTTGGAGCAGGCGGAGCGGAAGTACGCGGACATTCTCGGAAAGAAAACGGAGATCGAGGCGACGTTGAGTGCGGAGCGGAAGGCGCGCAACGAAAGCGCCGGCAAGAAGATCGACGTGGCCGAGCACCAGCGGGAACGCGAGCGACAACTCGAATCGGAGATCGACAAACTGCGCGCTGAGCTCAAATCGAAAGAGGAGTCGGCGTTGCGGACGGAGAGCGAGCTGAGCAGTCTGCGCAACTACAAAGAAGAGAACGACATCGAGGCGATCAACATGGAACTGCGGCTGGTGCGCGAGAAATCGCAGCAGATGGAGGAGTCGTTGGCCGGAGAGAACAAGCTGAAGCAGTCGCTTTTCAAGTGTCTCGGCGACGCGCGCGATACTATCAAACAGCTCGAGAAGCAGATTGTCGATTTGAGGGGAAAGGGCGGGAGTGCGAAGGACGAGCCGCTGATGATGAACGGACACGCGGCGGAGACGAACAATGATAACGATACGGTGAGAAGAATCAAGAATGAGGCGGGTTTCTATCGTGAAGATGAGGTTTATACGTTGAAAATTCACAAAAAGTCATTTTTCGGAAGATTTTTCGAACATGAAACATTTGAATAATCTCAGTCACATAGTGTCCGAAAACCGTGGAAGATGCATAAAATCCTATAACATACCCTGTGTCAGACCGCTTCCGACCAATCGTCACCAAACCAGCACTCGGCGATGGCCTCCCCGGTCCCGTCCGCCAAAATGCCGCTCACCGTGAACGTCTCCAACCGCGGCGGATCGCCCCCGTTCGAGAAGATCTCTCCCCCGATGGCCGCGATGATGCTCGGCGCCCAACCACCCCCGGACTACCTGGCTGCTGTCGGAGCAGCGGCAGCAGCAGCAGCCGTGGCCGCGCAGAAGCAGGCGTGCGGGTACTCCACCATCAGGTGAGTGCCATTTCGAAGAGAGCCATCCGAAATGAACGCCTTTTCTGCAGATACAACGAATTCAAGCACATGCCGACCGGAGAGCACCGTCTGTTCGACACCGGACCGTTGGCGCACTCGGCACCCTCGCCCACCGGCTCGAACCCGGACGACGACTTTCTGCTGAGCAACAAGGGAAAGTTCGGCGCTCCGTCGAATCCGGCCACTCGTCTCGCCTGATCTTCTTCTCTCAATAATAATCTCAATGCCAAACGGTGACTCGATTTCGCATTTCTTTTAATTTCTCTTCTAGTCGATTCTCCGTCCTCTCCTTTTCCCAGTGTTGCCCCCCACACAATTTCCCTTAATTTTGGTAACCTGAGCATCTCTTCCACTCTCCGTCTTTTGGTCTCTTTTCGCAGCTTTTCACAACAGCCCACCACTATATTATCACCTTTTTCTCCTTTTATTTAGTGTAGATAGCTGGAATCGCCCTTTTTTTTCGGCCGATTCCAAAAACTTTAACGCAAGCACTCTAAAGCACACGCACGCACATAATAATTCGTGTGAGCCTCTTCTCCTAATAATTTAGATGCATAGCTTTATAGTCATACATACAATAGTCATAATTAGTCGACGCAACCAACCAACCGACCCCTGTTTGTTTTCCATTTCCCCGGCTGGCCCCATAACTTTTTTTCAGTTTTTTCTCTCTCTCTCTCTCTCTTTTCCGGGCTCTTTCTTTTTTCACGCGCATTTTTCCCGTTTCTCTGTAATTTGTTTCACGAACATGTACATCCATTCCCATGTTACTTTTGTGTGAATTCTTCGTTTTCAACCCCCAACCGATTGGATCTCGAGTTACGGTTCCCGTCCTCCTCCGCAACAGCAGCAGCAGCACCATGGCGCCGTTTTTGAGCGTCTTCGCCCCCCATCCAAAAATTCTCTGTTTCCCTGCAGCTTTCCCCCTATTTTTTGGCAGCTAAATACCTTTCTCTCTCTCTCTCTTTCCCTCTTTTTTCCATTTATTTATTATTGCCCACCCCTCTCTTTCTCTTGTTCTCTGCGTCATGCTGATCCGATTGAAACAAGCCAAAAAGAAAGAGAAAAACCAAAACAATGAAAATTGGTGTTAACACAATTTGGATTATAATTTTATTTCGGTATTTAACAATGGATCTCAATGATTTCCGTTCTTGATTAGCTGTTCGAGCAAATCGCTCGCCGGGCACAACGACGACAAATCGGGCAGTCCGCAGTGGTAGGTGAGCGTGGGCGGCACGATCAGACCGCTTGGAATCAGCGAGTGCGCGTACATAATCGTGTGCGTCAGGAACTGCCGCCGATCCGCACACTGTCGGCCGCACATTGAGCACTGCCACGTGGAGGACGGCGACGGGCCGATGCCGTGCATCACCATGTGCATTCGGTGGAGGATCGCGTCCGAGAAGAGCAGCAGACACTTCGGACAGTCCTGGAATGACTTGTTGGAACAGAGTCGCGAGGGGTTTTTTTTTTGTTTTTTTCTTCAAAAAAATGTATTAAAAATCACATTTTGCATGCTTTTTTCGCGAAACAGATTCCCTTATTGTTAGGAGATGAGTACTTACAAAAAACGTTTCAAAACGCGAGTTTAGGATAGCTGAAACCAGAAAGGCCAGGCCAGACTTGTGAAAATGTTCATCTCGGCTCCGGCCCGGCCTGCTGCCAGTATTTTTTTTGGCCCATTGAACATTTTCACTTATCCGATCGGACCTTATCTTTGCACGCTTGTTAGTCTCAGTTCAGCAAAAGTTTTACTATATAGAGCGTGTACGACGAAGCGCATACGTGCGTTAATTCGAATTTCGAGGCAGCAAAAATCGCTCGTTTGAGGGCGGCCTAGCGACTCGATTTGAAAAGGCTCCGAATAGATAAGTTTATCTTCATTTTCAGGTCTGAGACAAAAAACCTAGAAATAAAGAAAAAACTGACCAGGACGAGCTTCCCGGCCGCTTTCTGCTCTTCGATCTTCTTGTAGAAGGCGGTTCTCCGAACGCGCTCCTCTTCCGACAACGACATGTCCATCGGGGTGTCGTGACGGGGCACTGCGAACATGAACGTGTCCTTCTGAAAAAATAGTCGTTTTTTCAACCAGACATTTTGCAACCACGTTCGAATTCACAGCTTGCTTATGACCTGTTCTATCAGTTGCGAAAAAAACGGCTGTCACTCGTTAGCATTTCGAAGGCTTTTTGCGGTTGTAATTTTTCGATCGGATCGTTTTAATTGAATTATCTCGAGTCCAAGTTGAAGACCGATCGGATTATTTACTCTCGAAATATATAAGCAAATAAACCTGGTTTCAGTTCTCAACAAGTCATCGAAAAACCTGAGTAGGCTACTTGTAGTGCTTAGGTTGCGAAAAAACATTTTCCAAGCATCAGAACGGTGTCGTCACGATTCAATTGAAGGTGAACATTTCGTGACGAGACCCGATAGAAATTCAGAACATTGAAGCCCAAATGAAATCCAGCAATGGAAAAATGCGATTCGCCCCGCGGGACACCTGCAGCACTTTCCAATTCGTCACTTCCGTCTCTTAACCAGAATTTCGGCCTCAAGGATCTCTGTCTCGCGAGAAGAGTGCAGCTACCAATTATTTCGGAGAGACTCCGCGTGACGCACTCGCATTTTTGGATTTTCCCCCGAGATGTCTGCAGGCGAAGAGTTCAGAATTCTAGAAATGTCAGTGAGTCAAGGAGAGAGTCAGATTCCGAGTTCACATTAAAACTCATTAGACCGGCGAGATGGCCCAAAATGATCGGGAGTTAGTCATGTTCTCGGAAGCGGTGGGCATTGCTATTTTTAAAAATATTCTTCAAAAAATGTGTGAGTATGCTGCTAACACGAACACAAGGCTAGTACAGTAATGGAGAGGCGAGACGCTGCAGGCGTACGCGTCGCAAATTGAATAATTGAATAATATTTACGAGGCACCTCTTCGGACGAATTCGACGCCGACGACATCAAAACAACGGGAAATGAGGAGACGTCGTCGTGATCTGCTAAATAATAATAATAATGATGATGGTGATGATAACCGCGGGGAAGGTGGTCGGGCTCAAAGTGGGCGGGGCCAGACAGACATGGCTAACACACGCTAATGAGTTCAGATTTCGGAGGGAAATTCGAAGGGAGAGCGAAAAAATAGAGTTTGACTCCATTTGGGATTGCGGAGCGGAGGGCAAAGTGCATCGGAGCATTAATTCTTGGGCGTCTGGAGAGTCGGAGACATCGGAGGGGAAGTGCAATGCGCAAGAGACCAGGCAACTAGGGGGAATGGCGGTCAGGTGACACGGCGAGGTATCACAACAGACAAACATTTATTATTGGCATCATGCATCTTCGGCTCAAGAGTCGTTTTCGCTGCTTGGCGTCGGGTTTAAGGCGTACGTGTACTGTCGTTTTTCCGGACGCACGATCTGAAAAACGAATTGGTTGTCGATTTTCTGTTGCGAAACATTTGTGTTCAGGCATTCCAGTTTCACTTTCTTGCATTTATTTTTTGACGTAGCTATACTGTGACTGTCGGGTTCAGATTCCGCTCAACTCTGACCGTGTTGGAAAACATTGACTACTGGGTGGTCTAACCAAAAGTAATTATTATTATGAACTCAAACTTATGCTTTGGAAAAAACATCGGACCTCTTTATAATCTGGATTGCAAGGTATGCGCCTTTAAACATAGTGTACTGTAGAAGCCCGATGTTTTCCCTTTTTGAATCAGGTTAAGGTTCTTTCAGGCCGATACTATAGACATCCGATGCGTTCACATGAATCAGTGAAATAAAAGGGCGGTCTCAAACAGTATTGTCCCCGTGTAACTCACCGTTGCATAGACGTGAGCCGAGATGACGGCGACGAGAAACGCGGCGACGTAGGTGAAGAAAAGGAATCGGCAGAACACGTCGACGGGCTCTTCCGAAGTCGAAAAAAGGGCTTTCAGGTCGACGCTCGCCTGAAAAAGCGCCCAGCTGGTCCGATAGAAAAGGGAAATGCTTACAACAAAACCAGGGAAAAACGTGATTGCAGTGAATAGAAACCAAATCATGACGATCGGAGGTAAAGTGAAAAAAAAAACGTTTATTAGAGTTGAGGAGCAACGTGGAAATGAATTGAAATTGAGTAGGATGGTCACGAAGAAAACCCTGGGGGGAAAAGCGAAAAAAAAATCACCGAGAAAAAAATGGAGTCCCTAAACAAGGCGAATATATTGTGAATCACAGGCTGGTTGGTCGGTTGACACGTTCGTTCGATTGCTCTTGCTGAAAGAAGAACAGACAGAATATAATATTTTCGACCTAAAAACTGACGAGTTCGGTTCGGGAAGGCACGCGGGACAGGTAGTCGAGCAGTTCGTTGTTGTCCACAAAGTTCGGGTTGCGCAGTTTTTTCGAGAATTTGTTGGTGCCCCACACGAGAATAATCCAGCGGAGCGGCACAAAATAGAGGAGGAGGAAGGCGAGCGAGAGCACGAGGACGGCGAGCGCCGAGAGCCAAATGTCGGTGAAGTTGAACGTGTTGCGGATCTTTTGGAGGAGTTGCGTGGCGAAGTGCAGGTGGATCTGGACGGACAAAAGGATCTCCTGGACTGAAGTGATCGCGTCGCGGATCCCGGTGCCCGCCTTCTCGTCCTCCTCCTCGCTCTTTTGGCCACGTGGCAGCGAGCGGCGCGGCGAGTTGTTTTCTTCTCCGGAAGTCTTCGATCTGACGAAATTGTAGGCGAAGATGGCTAGAATCAGGAGGGGGATGAAGAAGATTTCGAAGAAGTACACGAACAACATGAATATCTGAAAACTTTGGGGTCTAAAAAAGTCTCAGACCACATGGACTCACGACATAAGCAGTGAGAGACTTGGGTTTCGAGTGCCACGACAGCAGATATTCCACTTGGTTCTTGTAGTTGGCGAGCACGTTCACCACCTCTTTGAGCTCTCCGAAGTAGGTCCGGAAGAGCGAGGCCTTGAACTTCTGCTCCTGGCTCAAATACTTGCGCTCCTTGGGCTTAAACGTGCGGACGGCGGCGCGGACCGGATTCCAGATGACGTCCATCTCCAGAAGCACCTCCCCTTTCACCCGTTTTCTCAACTTTTCATCTTTGAGCCCGTACCACCGCTTCTCGCAATTTCGAATTGATTTTAGTGGAATTTGGACGCGGCCGAGGAACTCGAACCGATTGTTGGGATCTTCGTCGAAAATTGTCACTTGGAGACACGTGTGGATGTCTTTGACGGCACTAAAAATGAAGTTTCAAAAGCAAATTGACGGAAGGCACACACGTACAAAGTGTAAATCTTGTTCCAACTCGGGCTCAATGTCTTGTAGATCGTGTTCGTTTGAACGCGTGTGTTCACCAATTCGAGCACTGCGAACGGGTCACTTTTCCCGCCAAAATCCTTGGCGACAAGGTCCTCAGCACCGAAAACTGAGAAAAATATCCATAAAATGATAGAACAAATTCCTATACACTTACGCTTGACAGTCAATGTTCCGATATCGGACAAATCCGCGAGGGAGTTCGTGATATCGTACTTTTGGATTCTGCTGTTCCGGATGTCGTTGTAGTTGAATTCGTCCGATTCGATAGTCTCTCCGGCTCCATGCGATCCCGAAACTGTTATGAGCAAAAGGACCTGAGCATCGTCCGGAGCACCTTCCAAATGGTGCCAGTTCTGAACAGTCTCGTCCAGAGAAACATTCGACAGGTCTATGGCCAATCTGAAACCAGGAACCTACAAAGATCGTGATCCCAGTGATTGCGGGTAACCTTCCGATGATCGAATTGGTATTCCGATCGATGCAGGCCATCTGCAGCATCTGATCGGCCGCGTCGACCACGTGCAAATCGAACTGCTCGATCCAGGCGGGCTCAATGCTCGAGCACACCTTCGTCTTGTACTTTTCCTGTCCCAATTTGAACTTGCAGAACGCGTCCGGACACCGTTCGTCCACCCGAATACCCTTTCCCTCGACGAGTACGATGTTCACGATCTTTGCCCATTCTTGCGTGTTTGCTGGAAACTCTGATAGTTATAAGGATGACGAACTGGGGACCGACTTCGCTCCTTCTTTTTCTCCGACGTCGTCAGCACACCTTTAGTCGCTTTTTGATGGAATTGTTGTACTTCCAACTGGGTCATCGGGGTGATTGTCACACAAATCGACACTTTTCCAGCCGGATGATTGACCTCATCGAGAAGGTCCACCCGGAATTCGGTGGGACTTAAGAGAACATGGTACGGTTTCTCCGTTTCTTTTCCACTCACGTGCACCATTTGACCTGCGACAAGTCGACCTCGGCGGCGCCCATAAAATCATCCGTGCAAAAGCGATCGAAATCGAAAACCTCGAGCCGAACGGGGCACGTGACGTCATCGACGATCATCTGAAACTCCTCGTCCCACGACGGATTCAGGTTTTTGAAGATTGTGCCCGATTTGTAGACGACGTTCTCTTTGTAACGGAACTTGACGTACGGATCCGAGCTGCCTGGAATAGTTACATGTTTTTAGGGTGATCTTTTTTTTTTGGAGTCCGACCTGAAGCATCCTTGACCGGAAGATCCTCTCCGTTGTTGAGCCGGACCTCCAGGAGCAGAGTGACCACATCCAACTCGCCGTTTTTCTCCTCCGACTCTTCATCGTTCTAAAACACATTAAATCCGTGATTTGCATTGTTTTTAATGTTGATTTCTCTAGAAAACTGACCACCAACGTCGACGACAAACTTCGATATTTCAATTTGGAAATGTGACTTGCGGAAGTGTTGGAATTGATGCGCCGCACGATGCTCTTCAGATTCAGATTCACCATTTTCAACGGTTTCGATCAAAATGGCGGCGAAAACGAAAAGGAAGAGGAGAGAGAGAGCGGTTCGCAAGGCGCAATATTATTGCTTTTTTCCATGAACGGACGGACGGATCGCCTCGTTTTATTTCCGAAAAATGATCGCAACGCGAGAGAGTGCGCAAAAGAAAGAGAGGGGAGAGAAAAGAAAGAAAGAGAGAGAGAGGGAGAGATGGAAAGAGCTGAAACTCACGGCATTCTGGTCGAGCGAGTATTGTGGCTTCAGGGATCTGTAATTGGGAAACGCATTTTGACTGTATAATTAAGAGAACAGTAAAGTAAGCCCATCAATATTGGCCCGATCTGACTAGATTTTTCATTTCACAAAGAGATCCTGAAGTATATCTTTGTCTAATCTTTGAGTTCTATGAAGCTTGGATGAACGAACGCTTCTCATTGTCAGTCGTCTAGAATGGATCATTAAAAACGCCCCAAATATACCGTTTGTTAGTTGCTGAACCTTCAGGACGCTTCCAATGATGTCCCACTAGTACAGTAACTTCTTATTCTTTCAGATGCCTTGCTCCCAAAACATGGACTTTTTGTTATGCATAGACACATGAATCACACACCCACACGTCATAGAATGAAAAAGTGACAAAACTATACGATTCAAAAGTCCAAAAGGGTCTCGAAACGAACGGATTGATACCTGGTGAATGTGAAAGTGTCGAAAATGCGTCGAAATCGGAATCCGGGCGATTTTCGTGGCGAATGTGCGGTTTTGTCGGATGAGGAAGCTCCTGAATACGTAACATTTGGGCTTTCTAAAAAATCCGAAAATATTCTATGAGTCCCCCCAAACCGGCCTACTTCTCAACACCCGATAAGACATGAATGTGGGCTCCCGACGAATTTTCCGCTTTTTGCGCCGAAATATCAAAAATATCCGAGCCAAAGTGGAGAATCGCATGTTCTGCAACCGAAAAGGGAACGATAATGTTATTATGGAGGGGGCGGAAAGTATGAACATTGACCGGAAAGATGGTTGTGAAAAAGGCGAAAAAGGAAATGATGCGATTGTTTTTTTTTCGGAAATGTTTTCTTTTCTTTTCAAGAATACACTAGAGAGCTGAAAATGTGCAAATGAAAATCGGAGAGTGAGAGAGAGAGAGAGAGAAGCAGAGAAGGAAGAAGACGCCTAATTTCTCCTTTCGGTTCATTTTTTCTGAGAGAGCCAAAAAGATGTGCTTCACTGCTTTTTCTTCTTTTTTTGGGTTTCCTCACTCTTATCTAGAGATTCTTGTGTTCTTTTAGTGAAAAAAGGGAGAAAATTAATATGCTGCATTGGAAATCCATCACTTCAAGAAGGGAAATGAAGTGAGGAATCAAGAATCATAGACCGGATGAGGAGAGACTTTTGATATTATAAAGCTGATGAACTCATTCCCCAACCGGTCTTGATAACTCACCGACGGCGGCGGACTTTCTGCGTCTTCTGGTGAGCGGCGAGCATCCGATGGAGGTCCTGCCGCTCGGTTCGTCGTCGTTTTCCTCGGCCGGCGGATCCGCTTCCTCATGCCCCGTCATCTTTCTCTTTCGATCATTTCGCCGTCGCCGCTTTCGGCCGAACTGAAAACAAGTCATTTCTGAGCTGAGCTCTTCGGGTTCATTGGAAGGGACCCAAAGAGGAAGAGGGAGCAGAGAACGAGAGGGAAACAATTGGAGAGTGGGAGGAGTGAACACAAACAAACAATTATTCCCTTTTTCGGAGCTAGGTTCGTCGAAATGGGCTCAAAGACGAAAGGAAGAGAAAGTGAGAGAAGGAAAAGGGGAAACGCATGAGGTTAAGAAGCTCATCTACGCATTCTACACACACAAATTTCATTAATTTCTGTGTGTCCAAGTGTAAAGGGAAAGCGTGTCAGCGGCGAGAAGAGCAAGAGCCTGCTCATTTTTGAGCTCTTTGAATCAGATCCGCTAGGGGACTTTTAGAGGTATCGGGGGATAATATCAGACTTGCCAAATCCCGGGCCGGCCCGCCGGGCCGGCCCGGCCCGGCCCGGTTTTGGCCCGGCCCGGCCCGACCCGCTCGGGCCGGGCCGGGCCAGCAAATCGTCGGCCCGGCCCGGCCCGGTCGGCCCGGCTCCGCCCACTCTTGAGAAAATTTTCGTAATTTTTGTGAAAATTTTGCGACTTTAAACAGCAATTTCTATTTTTTAACAGGTTATTATGCTATAACATTGCCTTTTTAAGTCTATAAAATTTTAAGTCTATAAAATTATGTTCGTTTCGAAGTTCTAGTTCGCTTTGAATTTTTAGGTGCATCCTCCCGGGCCGACCGGGCCGGGCCGGGCTGGGCCGGGCCGGGCCGGGCCGGAAAATTTCCATTTTTGGCCCGGCCCGGCCCGGCCCGTTGCAAGTCTGGATAATATGATCAATTACAAAGTTGTTAAGCACAGGTTGCAAAACAAAACGCGGTAGAAAAAGTGGGACTTCAAATTTCTGGCTACCGTAATAACCAGACTTGCAACGGGCCGGGCCAAAATTGGAAATTTTCTGGCCCGGCCCGGCCCGCGGCCCGGGAGGATGCACCTAAAAATTCAAAGCGAACTAGAACTTCGAAACGAACATAATTTTATAGACTTAAAATTTTATAGACTTAAAAAGGCAATGTTATAGCATAAAAACCTGTTAAAAAATAGAAATTGCTGTTTAAAGTCGCAAAATTTTCACAAAAATTACGAAAATTTTCTCAAGAGTGGGCGGAGCCGGGCCGACGATTTGCTGGCCCGGGATTTGGCAAGTCTGGTGATAACCATCTATTCAAAACGATGTATCTCGGCTACAGGTAGAAATATCAAAAAGTTGTCAACTGATAAAATGTACAAAATGCTTTAATGCGCATGTTGTCAGTTGACAACTTTTCGATATTTTCACCGGCAGATGAGATACACTTCTTGAAATGAACGGCGATTGACACAGATGCAGCTGAAAGCGAAAACAAAGAAAAAAGTGATGATCTCCCAACAACATAGTTTTTTGGTGGGAAGAAGAAGGGGGAGAAGAAGAAGAAGGCAATATATAAATTGGTGATGTGAGCATGTTTGCGGGCGCCGGAAGCTCCGAGAACACCACAAAACACGTCGTTTTCTCGCCTTTTCCTCCTTCTTATGGACCGAAAAAGGGAAAAATGATGGATAAGACTTTCCTTATTTTAGGCAGACACTTGTTTGTAAAAGCAAACAGCCTAACTAGAGAACGAATCGGAAAAATTGGAAAACAAGACCATTTCGGAGCGGAACTTTTCTTTTTTTTTTTGTTGAAAAAACGGAAACAGAAAAGCCAAAAAGACTTCCGAAAACAGCAAAAGATCGGGCATTTGACACCGCGCAAATTGGATTATTTACAAACGGGAAAATATGAGCATTTAGGCGCGAAATTCGCTGTTCGAACGCTCAATTGACTTGAATTACTTGAATTTACGAGCTTTATTATTTCCGGCACTAATTTTGTCTGAAAAATGCGGAAAATGAGCGTTTTGACAAAAATGCAACTTTTTCATCGACATTCAATACAAATATCGCAAAAAAAAGAAAATTCGGAAGGTGTCATAGAAAAGGAAAAGAGGGTGAACAAATTGAAAATTCATGGAGAATGAACGGGTTGTGCAATGATTGTCTGTGCAAAAACATTTTCGATTTCCTACCGTAATCTACAGTAATCGTAAATTTAAAGGCGCACAACTGCGGTGAACAGCGAAACGGCCAAATTTTCTAGTTTTTCGGATTTCCAAGAGAAAAATTGCAATTTTCGGCAGAAATTCTCCACGTCACGAACACCTTGTTCAAAAATGCATAGAAACCTGCTTCGAAAAAGCGGAAAAGAAAAATGGATTCAGGTGAAAATGAATGCATTTCGAGTGCTCCGTTTCTCCGTTTCTCACTCTGTCTGCTCGCCATAAAATTCAAATTTCTCGCCTCTCCTTCTCGCCTTTTTCGCCTATTTGCACACATTTTTGCGTCCAAAAAAGAGGGAACGAAAAGGAGGGCGCGAAAGAGTTTTGGTGGAAAAAGTAGAAAATGTCGTCCCTGGAGACAGATGGCAGAAGCCAAGAAGTCGAGAAGAAGAAGAAGAGTGTAATTAGGCGAAAGAGAAGAAAGGAAAACGAGCGAAAAATGGAAATGAACAAATAGGAATGGGAAGAAGAAGAAGAAGAAGAAGAAGGAGAAGGGCATGGGAGCGGAGGCGAGAAAAAGTAATCTAGATGCGAAGAGAATGGAAGATGGAGATGGAGAAGAAAAAAGTATTCTTTTGAGAAAAAAAAATATGTGAGCAAGACTTTTTTGGGACTTCATCAGAGCACAACAGAGGGTTAGAGCCGTTTGCTGTTTCTGAGAGTTTTCTCAAACGTTGTCGAAATGATCCAATCCTCGAAAGTTGGAAAATAGGGTTGGAAAACTGTTTTCCGACGTCAGTTCACAGCTAAATCGGAAAATGTTCACCTAGAACTTTGAGAGCTTCCGTACCAAACCTCATAAACATCATCCCTACGTCACAGAGAAGCTAACATTCAAATTTGGTCTAAATCGGTTTAGTGAGAGCCGAAATAAGTGAAGCAACATGAAAACAGATTCAAGGACGAAACCGTTTCATCCTACTAAAAGGGTACTTATCCTGACAGATCCATTAGTACATATGACACTTTGCAACAATTGTTTGCAACAGAGAATAGAAGAGCCATAAAGAGTGAATAGGCGCGCACAAAAAGGGTACACGCTCACTGGAAATATCACCAAAAGCTCTGCAAATGTCAACTATAAATCGTGTGCAAGAACAGCTTGCAGACGTTTTCCGAATTGCGCTTTGATTTATGTCTTACTTTCAAATTAGCCTTTTTTGGGAGTTTCATGGCATATCGTTCTGATTATATATGCGCGGGAAGAGGAAAAGGGGCGTGGCCTGTCAATTAATTATTTTTCTTGGAAAATACACAAATTAAAGCTACTCTTGATGGAAATTAATTGCTTTCGAGCGTTTTTAGAGAATTATCTTTGCAAACAGATAGATTGAAACGAGATTCTGAACTTTAGTTTGGGTATTTTCCAAGAAAAATAATTAATTGACAGCGTGTGCACATTGCATGTGCGGCACTTGCAGAAAGGGGCGTGGTCTTTTCAGCTGCGAAGCGGTCGCCTTGCGGCGGGGAATCGGAGGCAAGAATATTAATTTGATAGTATGATTTCAGTTCTAACGTTGAGTGCAAATTCACAAATAAGCGTTACTTGTCGAGAAGAGCACGAAATAACAAAAAAGGAGTGACTAAGCATCTAGAAAGTGTGATTAAACACTAAGTCTGCTCACAACTGATAAAAATGAAAACTAAAGTGATACATCAAAGCGCAAGCGTCCTTAGCTTTTTCAAGAACAACCAGATAATCCCGTCTTTCTTCGAAGCCCTTTTTCAGTCGGAAATTCGAGAATATTTGGGGGGTAAAAAGAGGAAAAGAAACAAAAACGGAAATGTGAGTGAGTGAGTGGCTGGAGGATTAGGCCGAAAGGAAATAAAAAATATAAAGAGTAGGGAGCACACGGTCTCCAGAGCTGACAAAAAGCGCACTTCTCATTTTGCGCTTTCTTGACCGTTTTCAGACAGAATTTGTTTTGAGAATGATAAACCACGTAAATACAAGCATTTTGAGCGCTCGAACCGCGAAAACTACCGAAAAGCAACTGAAATTCACGCAGTTTTAGCCAAAACCCTTCAAACGGATAAATGTGATTTGCGACTTGACCAAATTTGACGCTCTTGCGCTTAAAAAATTCGTAATAGCCTATACAATCGGTCTATCGAGAGACAAATGAGAAATTATCGGTTTTTCGTGGCTAATCTGGCAAAAAACACAAATTTTGCTGTAAAAATTTGAATTTCGCGCCAATGTATCGCTCTATTGGTCGGGGCGCACTTGCGCCCATTGTAAGCTCTGGAGACCGTGAGCACATGGCCTTCCTTTCAGATTTCATTATATTAGAGGCAAGGAGAAATGAAAGAGAGGAGAACGGAGCTAGAATTGCAAATTGGACAGGAGAACGAACGAGAAGAGCGGAGCATAACAAGTGAGCTGCCCAATTAGATATTCCTGTTCTCTCTATTTCAGGAAAAAACTGCATTCGACACATGACGTGACACTAGATAAACATCTGCTGATAAAGACAGATAAGACTGCAACTGATAAAAGTGTAAACTTCTCGAGGAAAACAAGTTTGGGAAACGGAATCAGTTTTCGAAGATGAAGTTGCACACTCTTCTTCTCGCCGCCATCCTCATCCCATCATCCTTCGGCCTCACTCTTCCGCTCAGTAGACTCGAAAACGAGAAAAGACTTGAAACGTGTGGAACTGCAAAGCGCGGTTAGTTTTGGGCTGGAAAAGACAGACAACTGAAGAAAAAGACAATGTATGACGGAGGATTTCCGGAAAACTATAATACCGTTTGTTCAAAACGGTATATCTCAGTTGCCGAAAGAGATAGGAAAAAGTTGTCAACGGATAAAATGATCACTGAAAAATTTTGCACATTTTGCCAGTTGACCACTTTTTTATATTTCTACACTGACAGCTCAAATATGACGTTTTGAAGTGACGTCCAAATTCCAGGAAAAGTGTTTCGCGGCGAGAATGCGTCTCAACTGGAGGCTCCGTGGACCGTGATGGTCCGCAACGGCGGAATGCTGTGCACGGGGACGGTCGTCTCGCCACGTCATGTGCTGACTGCCACGCACTGCTTCGCCGGTCGGCTCAACGAAGACGGCTGGGGAGCTGTGCAGCGGAACCGCGCGATGTGCATCAACGGTCACTTTCACATGTTCGACTTCATGGAACTCGATCCGGTCGCCATCGTTTCCGATGAGAAAATCGTGGCGCACAGTGCGTCGAACATTATTCTGCTGAACGCGTGCCTCGCGAAGAAGACGTCGGGCCGGCTGGGAAGGGCGCAGGTTTGGGAGGACATTGCCATCGTGACGCTCCTCGAGGACTTGCCCTTCTCGGATACTCTGCAGCCGGCGTGCGTTGCTGGTGGGTCATGGCCTAGGTTTTCTGGGATGCGAGACTAAAATATGCTTTCAGCACCTGGAGAAGTTCCTGTCGGCCTCGATTTGAAGTACTATGGATTCGGAGCCTATCGTGAGACTTTTCGGGGGAAGTTCACTGCTTCAAGTTGTTTGTTTTCAGCGACATTGAACGGCTACAATACGGGTGTTCTGCGACAAGAATCGACGCAGACGTTGAAGTCGGAGCTGAACATTCCAGAGTACTTTTTCGAAGCGAGAGACCCGAACGGACGCACCATTGCCTGTCCGGTGAGCGAAGAGCACTAACACAACTGACTGTTCTAATTCTAATTCTAATTTAGGGTGACAGTGGCGGCGGAAGTGTGAGCATCAAAGACGGAAAAGCAACTATTGTCGGAGTCCTTTCGCAGAGTAACTGCAATATCATGGAAAAAGTCGCTCAAAAACTATAACCTTTCAGCCAACTGCCACGCGAAACGTGGCGACGGCGCCGCGCACAAAGAAATCTATTCGTCGGTGCCGTACTACGCGAAACTGGTGTGCCAGTTCGAAGGAATCTGTCCGGATTCGGAGACGTTCGAGAAGATTCACGTGAGGAGACACGACGAGTTGGTGCCCAAAAAGGAGAAGGTCGAGGGCGCGAGCACTGTGGACACGCTGCCGTTCTTGGCTCTCGCTTTGATGTCTGTGACCGTGATTTGGCTGTGAATATGCGTGGACAAACTAATAAATAAAGGTGTTGAATGGTTTTCGGGTCTTTATCAGTGTTAAGCGGAATTCCGTCTGCCGTCTTCCGTGGTTTTTTTGTTCCGTCTTCCGTCTTCCGTCTTCGGGATTTCAAAATTCCATTTCCGCTAAACTCTGGTCTTTATATTAAAAACAATTGAAAACGTGAAGAACTGAAAGCGAATCCCTCCACGTCCATTCCATTCCATTCCCAATAAATGAATCGATTCTCGGTTAGGACGTTGTCAGTTTCTCTGCTTCTCTTATTCCTCTCTCACTCTGTCAACTGTGATCCGCTCACAAAGGACGAGAATGAGAATCGACTGAAGACGTGTGGAAAAGCTATTCAATGTGAGTCCCTCGGACACTTTTTTGTTGCAACAACTTGAAAAACCTTTTCAGCAAAAGTGTACCAAGGGCGTGAAGCGGCTCAATCGGAAGCCCCGTGGTCGGTGTTTGTGAATGTGCTCGAGGGGTCGAGCGTGACCGTCTGCACGGGAACCGTCATTTCGCCCCGCCACATCCTCACCGCCACTCACTGCTTCACCACAATCACCAACGATGGATGGGATCAAATCGAGGACGGCGGACGGGTTTTGACCGAAAAGAAGGGCACAAACTACGTGATTTCCGCTAAAGAATGGCTCAAGAAGGTGACGGTGAAGTCGAATGGAAAGGTGATCGCCGAGCGTCCGGAGAGACTCACCCTCATTTCTGCCACGTCGAAGAGGGCCATCGCGAGCGGGGAGAGTCCGAATCAGCATTACGAGGACATGGCGCTGATCGATTTGTACGAAGATGTGGTGTTCAGTGAGAACGTGCACGCCGCTTGTGTTTCCCGTGAGTCCCGAAAACTCTTAGGCCGGCAAAGTCTGGAAATTGTGAAGCTGTAACTTCCTACAGAAACCTCACATTTACCTGACTCATTTCGAAGAACAACAGCGATTTCTATGTTCGATTTCTGGAGATACATTGAAAAAATCGCCGAGCTGAACTGTTTTCAGAAAGCGTCGACGAAAACAAGGAACAGACACAGTTGGAGATCTTCGGATTCGGACTGAATCGTGAGCTCTCGCCCGCTCTTGACGATTCCTAAACTATGATGATTTTCCAGCGAAAACACTAGGTCCCGGCACCCAAACCGACAATACCGGCATTCTGAGACATGAAAAGATGCAAGTGTTCACAATGAATGTGAAACTGGAGCCCTTCAACTTTCTCGCCCACGATCCGAACGGAACGACCATCACTTGCTCGGTAATCTGAAAATATTGAGGTGTGAAGGTTTTGATTGAATTGACATTTCAGGGTGACAGTGGCGGTGGAGCAGTTTCGAAGAGTAACGGAAAGACGACAATAGTCGGAGTCTTGTCCTCAAGTTTGTGATCCTTTCCGATCTGTTCAGTGCATCTTCTCATTCCAGCCAACTGCGCGTCTCCAAAACGTCCGATACTTGCCGAACTCTACTCGTCCGTCGGCCACTTTTCCGGTCAAATCTGTCAACTTTCGGGAGTGTGCGAATCGGCCGATTATGATAAGCACCACAGTGAATACGTGAGACAACCGAAGCCGATCCGAACAACCGAACCTCCGGCAGTGAGTCAAGGCAACAACGGCGGATCGGGAACGGGAGAGACGGGGCAAACGATCCCGGATGGGAGCGATTCAAAAGATGAGAGTGGAGGACAGAAGGATGTTGCAAACGGTGCGAAGATCGGAGGATATCTCGGACGGATTCCGATTCTGCTCACTTTTCTGCTCTTTTTGTAATTCATCGTATAATGAAGTTCGACACGGCGTCTTGAAGCGTATGTTTGCGAATCAAATTTGAATTTCGCGAGAAAAATTGAGCGCACGCTTCAACTCGCCGTCTTCAAGTTTTTGTTAAAGTTATTTTGAGACGACCTTCAAAACGTGAAGAACTGAAAACGAATCCCTCCACGTCCATTCCATTCCATTCCCAATAAATGAATCGATTCTCGGTTAGGACGTTGTCAGTTTCTCTGCTTCTCTTATTCCTCTCTCTCTCTGTCAACTGTGATCCGCTCACAAAGGACGAGAATGAGAATCGACTGAAGACGTGTGGAAAAGCAATTCAATGTAAGTCCCACGGATACTTTTCTGTTGCAACAACTTGAAAAACCTTTCAGCAAAAGTGTACCAAGGGCGTGAAGCGGCTCAATCGGAAGCCCCGTGGTCGGTGTTTGTGAATGTGCGCCGGGGAGATCTGAAAGCGACGCAGTACTCGAGCATCGCGTGCACGGGAACACTCGTCTCCTCCCGCCACATCCTCACCGCGACGCACTGCTTCGCGGAGATCAGCGACGCCGGCTGGGACACCATCATCGAGGCGACTCACGATCCGAGCAACTGCCGAGGAAACGACTATGTGATTGAGGATTCGGAGTGGCTGAAAAGGATCAGAGTGGTGTCGAACAAGAAGCGAATCGCCCGTCATCCGGAGAGAGTCACCCTGCTCGGAACCTGTATTCCACGGCAGATCGCGAGCGGATCGCGGGCGGCGTACACTTTCGACGACATTGCGATTATCGATCTGTACGAAGAGGTCGAGTTTAATGAGAATATCCACTCCGCGTGTGTCTCCAGTGAGTTCGAACGTATCTTCAATTCGACTCTTTCATTTCAGACAGCACCATTGAGAATAAGAACGGCACCGAACTGGAATACTTTGGTTTCGGGCTTAATCGTGAGTGTCATCACGCCATCGACTCCCAAACAAATGCATAATTTCCAGCGAAAGCAGCCGGAGAAGCGCCGGATCCAGCGGGTAAAACTGGCACATTGCGATACGAAAACATCAAAGTGTTCAAGAAAAATTACATCTTCACGCTGCCCGATTACTACTTCACAGCCGCAAATCCCGAGCACAAAACGGTCACTTGCCAGGGAGACAGTGGCGGAGGATCAGTCTCGAGGGAGGACGGCAGGACCACTATTGTCGGAGTCCTTTCGCAGAGTGAGTCATCTGTTTTTGAGCAATGAAAACTCGAACCGTACTCAGCCACGTGTCACGTCGTCGGCGCCTCGATCAAGAACGCGACGGAGCTGTACGCCTCTGTCGGTTTCTACGCGGAGACGATCTGCGAGCACACGGGCATCTGCGCCAGTTCGGACCGTCACGAGAAGCACCACAAGGACTATGTCCGGAAAGCGAAACCGATTCGGACGACGGAGGCGCCGAAGAGCCGGAGGTTGAACGACCAGATGCAGGGGATTCCGGACGGCAAGCGGAAGAGTGTGGGAAGGCGTCGGAACGGAGGAGGAGCAAGAAGAAGAAGAAGTTTCCAAGGAATTGTGCTCAGTTGTGTGCTTTTTTTAAAGATGATATTGAGAATGAACATGTAACTTTTCTTCCTTTTATGAATTGATGCCGGAAAAGATTATCGTAGATATTGAAATAGAAGAGCACTTCTACTTCAAAACGATGCTATCTGGCGTTCGGTAAAAAGATAAGAAGGGAAAACCCCATAGAAATAAGGAAGGTTATGAATTGATGATTTCAAAAACATTAAAACACGCAGCCTACCTCGAGAAGAAACAGGCGGCTCACGAGGCCCATCACGCTGCTTCCTCCAATCCATGAATCATAGAGATGAGAAATTTTTCAAGTATAAATGATGATTGTATCGCATAAATTGTCGCATAATCGTGACCGTTCCACCAACACCGTACCCATTCCACGTGGCTTTTCTCGCACCGGTCATATTTGTCGGGAAATCGATCGCGCGAGAATCGGTCCATTTCAAATTTCCCAACTCTTTCGATCTTCTTCCAAAAATCGATCGAAATGCCGGGGTCGGAAAAAGAGGAAGATCCTATGAAGAATGTAACGTTCTCTGAAGGCAAAAAGTGAGATCCAGCAAAGTTTCAGCCGCACAAACAGAAGCTTTCAGATTCGGTGAATGGAGAATCGGCAAAGTGTTGGACGAGGGCGGATTCGGCAGAGTCTACATTGCAACGAACGTGAACGATCCGTCGAAGATCGCCGCGTTGAAAGCCGAATCGAACGAGGTGGAGGGCGGATCGGCGATCAAGTTGGAGGTTTGAAGGTGGTTGCCGGACGGCCAGTTGCAAAGTGTCCCTCTTCAGAATATGATCCTGCAAAAACTCAACAAGAACGGACCGGCGCCCCACATTCCGGTCGTCTACATGTGCGCTAAACGGCGTCGCTACTGTACCCTTGACCCCCTTGTTCTACCGTAATCTACCGTAATATCTTGCAGGCTACATGGTGATGACGTTGTTGGGCAGCAATCTGAAAAGTCTCAAGGCGAAGAACAAGGTAGTGAACAACGGATTCTCGCGCGGAACGTGGAGTCGCGTCGGCATCCAGTGCCTGTACAGTCTCAAGTTCGTGCACGATAACGGCTACATCCATCGCGACATTAAACCGCAAAACTTTTTGCTCGGCAACGAGAAAGACCGCGAGCGGGCGCGCATCGTGCACATTCTCGACTTTGGACTCGCCCGCCCGTTCGCCAGTTGGGTAAGCGCCGTCTAGTTTCCGCATCCTAGCCCTCCCCGGGTTTTGCAGAAGGACCGCGAAAAGAAGTGGGTGGTGCGGAAGGCACGTGGAACTGCCGAGTTCCGCGGAACCCTCCGCTACACCTCTCCGAACGTGCACCTCAAGAAGGAGCAGGGACGCGGCGACGACGTCTGGGCCCTTTTGTACGTGCTCATCGAGCTCAACGGCGGCAAAATGTTGCCGTGGCAGACGGAGGACGAGCGGGACCGAGTCGAGCAGATGAAACTGACGATGAGCCATCAGAATGTGATGGCGAACATGCCGGGATGCATGAGCAAGATTATGCCGCACCTGGCGACACTCAACTACTACGAGAGACCCGATTATCAGTGAGGGACTAACTGTCGGATCCTAGGCCATCCTCGCGTTTCAGTTTGTTCTTCAAAGCTTTGTGGCAAGTGATGGAGAACGAGAAGGTCACTCCGAGCAGCAAGTACGATTGGGAGGTGGACGCTCCGGATGTAAGGGCAAACTTTTTCTTATGGTTTTAGAATATTCGTTCAGAAAAGTCTGCCGGCGGCCGCGTGGGAGAACCCGGCGGGTCCGTTCTTCACCGCCGATCCGCTCGGAATCAACAGAGCCCCGATTCCGGGAATTCCGGGACAAGAGCCGACGATTCAGGCATCGGAGGCGCCGACGGACGCGCTCAAGAGCCCCAAGATGGACAACGACAATAGCTCGACGCCGGGGAAGAAGAAGCCGAACAAGAAGTGAACACACAGCTGCATTTTTGGTGTCAATAAAGCAAGTGATTTCTGTGTCGCCGTCAAACGCCCACGCAAGGACTTTCGCCACTTTTGTGTCCGGGCGGCACAATCGAGTTATGTCCGATCACGCGCAGCCTGGAATCAGCCTTCTTTCTGCAAACGGGCGGTTTTTGCTGTCGGTGATTTTGGGTGGAGAAGTTGAAAACTTTTTCAAGGGGTTGGTCCTGAAAAAAGGTTTCAACAGTAGAAGTGAAGTACTAGATATTAAAAATTCACTGAACATGTATCGACATGTTTCTTCGCCTCAAATTTTTAAGATTTGATCAATGCACATTTTTTTGTGCGCTGCAAATGCTGCTCGGCTCATAAATCAGTGCTTCCTGCGCACAAATCTAATCAAGCTCCATTGAGAGGCCGAAAGTTTCGCTGACAAATCGCTGGATCACATGTTAGTTTGCGTGTCCAAAAAAACAGAATTACCTCGAATATTATGCGATTACTTGTGTGCCGTGTGAGCCAAGTCCCTCCCCTCCGATTTTTGCCTATAAAACTGCCATTTTCCGCTGTCGAAGCTCACTTTTTTCACCTGTCCAGTCACGATGTTTATGAAAATCACCGAATCTTCTTCGACCTCCTCGTCTGGATCCACTGGATATTCTCCGTTCGAAGGAGGCGCTGCCGCCGCGGAGCCTCCAAAATGGGTGGGATCCGCCGAGTTCGGGCTCTTCGTCGCCGAGATCGCCATCAACATTTTCACAGTTTTGCTCAACACCGTCGTCTGTTTCGTGCTCTGGCGGGCTGTCAAACCTGAGTATAAGGTGAGAAATGGGGAGGGAAAGAAAAAAGGATAAGAAGAGCTAGTTTTTTAGGCGTGCTTCTACATCATCATGCGATCTTTCAACTGTTTCGTGGCTCTCAATGCGCTGGGCACTCTCATTGTTATCATGAACAGACAGGTAATTGGGGTGATTTCATATGTTTGTTTCGTCTTAAACTCAGAAAAACGTGTATCCATGCTTTCTTTCTAGCCAACTGAACTACCGTAGTGTAATAGAAAGGCACCCCGACACCGTTTATTCAAGACGCTATATCTCAGCTGCCAGTGGAGACATCAAAAAGTTGTCAACAGATAAAGTGTACACCACTTCTTACTGAGCGTTTTGTTAGTTGACCACTTTTTGATATCTTAAACGATACTTGAGATAACTAGTCTTGAATAAAAGGTACGGGAGTTTCTCACTTTTGAACTCATCAAACATTACAAGAGCTGTTGTTGACCCAAAAGAACGTACCTTTTCTAGGACTCGGACTTTGTCGAGTGCTGGTGGATCCAGGGAATCTTCATTGTGAACATGTTCACGTGCATCGCCTCCTCCATCTGGCTCTTCTACGCCGGCCTCAATCGAATGATGGTCCTTGTCTATCCTGGAAAGATCATCAAGGCGTGGGGATGGTAATTTCTTCTTCTTTGTGCATCTTCGATCCCGTCTTTTCTGCAGCTGGATAGTCCGTGTTACCCTGCTGCTTGTCTCGCTGCTCGCCCTCGGCCTCTCGATTGTTTACCAAAAGTTTTGCGGAATGTACACCCGTTACGACGCCGTTACCAACACGATCCAAGTGGTCGCCGATAACATGGCCGAGGTTAGAAAGCCATTTCTTTGCTTCCTTCCAGACAATCCGATTTGCAGCCGCTGACGATCGCCGTCTACGTTTTCCCGCTCTCTTCTCTGGCGTTCTACGCGGTCGCCTACAACAATCTGCAGAAGAAGCGGCTTCTGGTGACCAGCGACAAGACGAAGGCGATCATTGACAAGGCGGAGCGGCGAACCCTCAAGATCGGAATGATGATCATGTGTACCTACGCCCTCTCGCTCTTCGTTCACATCTTACTCACCTACTTCTGCACCGACGAAACGTTCAGTTCCATCTATAATCGCATCGATGAAATCGTCTCGTGCGCCCCTCAAATCGCCCTTCCGCTGGCCCTTCTCAGTTGCAATCACAAGTTGTTCCGAATGGTAATCGTTCGTTCTGCAATCGGACAATATTACTTCTCTTTTTTCAGCGCAAGTTGTCATCGGCCGTCTCTTCTCAAACCGGCACCCTTCAGGACATTTACCCGAAGGACACGTTCATGTCCGAGGGGAAATCGTCGAAGGTTCACATGGACAAGAAGATGTCCACCGCTTCTAATTGATTCTGTGAATAAAGTGGTTCTGATGTTAAGAAATCGCCTTATAAGCTACACAATGTTTCATGAAAGCATCCCCCCTCATCCCATTTCAAGAAACTTCATGTTCCCATCCATCCGTCCATCCATCCATCATACATTTCCTTTCCTTTCGCCCCTTGAGACATGTCAGTCTCAGAATTCATTTTTGGGAAACAAAGATCAGAAATGAAGTCATTTGGGGATTGGAAAAGATTTTTCGGAAAACGTTTCCTATCGTAGACAACAACAACTTCTTCAGGAATGTTCGGATGATTCAGTTCATCCCATCTTGATTTTGACCGTTGGCCTAACGGGCGGAGGGGGTCTAGACACGTCAGTGTAATTAGGGCTAGAGGGATTTGAATTATTTAGGGAATGCGTGAGTAAGAAGGTTCCAGAAGACGCCTGTGACTTTCTAGTTTTCCAAAAAAAATCACTAGACTCTACCTCCACCAAGGTTCTTATAGGACTACGGTAGTTGTTCTGACTCTGACGTTCTGACTCCAAATCAAATCTATTATCGCGCTGAAAATAATTGAATTGAACTTTGTTTCCACATAAAATCATACTGAAAGTTCTGCAAACAATTCGACGGAAGCAACATCTGAGCCCTAAAAAACATATTTATATTATAGGGGCACCGTTTCCTGTGGAAAATTACTTCGCGGCCTAGAAATTCGGCCAGATTGCGAACAGCGCGCCCTTTCTGTCCAGTGCCCCTATAATACAAAGCTGATCTTCGAAAGTAACAAGTGTCTAATCCATCGGTAAAACATTAGATTAGGATGGCGATTTCTTTGATTACATGAGCTGAAATAACGGCAAAATGACGAAATAGACAAAAATTGGAGGTTTTCGCAAAATCTGTAAATTTTTAATGTTTTTTCGGTCAAGGCATGAGCAATTACTGTTTACGAACGATTTTGTGATAGAAAAAGGCAAAGAAGCAACGAGATTTTATGAAAATGCAGCAAATTGGCGACGAAAATGAAAATGGTCAAGAATTGATCAATCGATTGGTGAGTGCAACGGAGCGCATTTGCAGCAACGTAAAATGGACGGTCTGTTTCTCGGCGATGTCGCACAGAACAGCGGCCCGGTCACAAATGTTCTCGGGATTGCCGCGCAGCCGTCTGTCTTTAACGGTCTTTCGGCCGATCTTCTGCCAGGACCGTCCTCTTTTTTTTCTCCTCGCCCGCTGTCTTCCCAAAGGCGAACCCCTTGCGCAGATCGAGAAATTTTGTGGCATTGCACTGTCTCCCTAATAGCTAATGTAAGCGCCGCGTTAAAACGGAGTGTCGTTGAAAACAAAAGCAGGTCTGAAATTTCTAGATTTTTTCCGAAAACCCGAAATTTCATCTGAAAATTAGAAAAATTAAGTAAAACAGAGAATTTCCGAATAGTTAATGACAGCCGTGACCTTAAATTAGCGTTTTGCCCACAAGAAAGCACGTGTGTTCATTCAGAACTCCCGCCATAAAAATTTGAATTTATTTTCGAAGGGCGCTACGCACCGATTCAAAATTTTCGTTTGCCGCATTTACGCCGGCGTACGCCCATTGGCTGCGTGTCGCCCCTGTGCAAACACCGTTCTAGATATTTTGCGTACTTGGCACCAGATACTACGCAAATTTTAGGCCAGCTGTTTATTTATTCAAATTAGAGAGTGCGAGATTGAAGAGACGCCGACGATGTTCGGTAGGGCGCGCTTGCATGCGCGTAACAGTTCGAACGCTCGTGAGAAAGCGCGCATTATTACACTTTTCTGTGAATTTCAGTCCTGATCCTCAAAAACTGAAATTTCTCAGTCATTTTTGCATTTTATGGGCCGTCTCTGTGCTCAAAATGACCGCCTTTGTCTGCTGAACAATCGTGAGGCGACTGTTTTTCGATTCTGTCAACTGTTTTCTCAAAACTTTCGAAAGTTTGTTTTTTCAAGCCAAATTTGAAAAAACGGAATTACTCTTCGAATATTCACTTTTACACGAGCACTCTGTGATCATTTTGTAGCTATCGGTCATATGAACAAACTCGAGGCAATAGTTTTGAAGTAAAACTGTGCATAATCCCAAAAACTCGGGAAAACATCAGTTTCAGTTGAAAAACCGTGTCCCGTAAATCGACACTGAGAGCCGCACGCAAAAAAGCGCGCGAAAATTTTTTTTCGTCGAAGGGGAGACAGTGCATTGCTGCGACAACCGCTGTTACGATTTCCTCTTTTTGTGCTCCGGGTTTTTAGTACTAAACTTTCAAAAACAAAGAAGGTTCTTTGAGCAATTTTTTTCACAATCGCGCCTTTTCGTAAGTTTGAGTTTTCGTTGAAACCCAGTCGCCAATAGTTTTGATGCTCTTACGTATTTTGTGTGTCCAAAATGTCCAAAATGTTCCCAAATAATGACTTTCTTTTCCTCGAAGCACCCAATTACTCTGAGACGCTTTGTTCGTCGAATTGTTTTGAGTGTCCGGTGCTCTATTTCCAGAGCAAAATAGAAAGTTCGAACGTATAAAAAGTAAGTATCGCCGCCTCGTTCCTTCGCTTTTTCCGTTCTTTTCCTTTTCATTCGACTCTTTTCTACTCAATCTTAACTGAACAAAACACGTCAGAGATCGGCGATGCGCACAACGCCTCGAGCAGCAGACAGCGAAAAAAGAAGGAGGAGGAGGAGGCGGAGTTCTTGAGGAGTCAACGAAGGACGACGGGCCCTCCGATCTGTGCAAGTACTTCTTAAACTTTTGATGTTTTTGTGTGGCACATCCATATTTCATGCTCATTTTCGATTCGGTTCGGAATTTCTGAACTCTCCACCACGTGCGCCAAAGAGATTTTCAGGCGGATTTCCCGAGACATCTCATAACGTTTAGCCGTTTTGCAACTTTGAGACATCTCGCAACTTTGACCTGTTTTGCAACTACTTCTGCTCAACTGGAACAGCTAAAGTTTTTACCACGCCTAGGAAGTAGTTGCAAACCGTCCTATACGTCCTAAGCTTCACCAAAAGTGTCTTATTGCCAAGTAGACAATTTACAATCAATGATCGTTTTGCAACTCCAAACTGGCTGGTTCGTTCGATTGCAAAGTGTCCAATTGTCAAGTAGACGTTTTGCAACTGACTCGTAGCCTCGTAGAATTAGTACTCTGCTCTCGCCTTCTTCAAAACTTCCTTATTTCTCAAATTTCTAACCTCTGAAAGTGGCCTCATTTCCGGGTGGCGCATTCATGCAAAAAGGTCTCTTTGACCTCTTTTCATTCCGAAATCCCGTCTTTGTTGACACTTGCAAAAAAGCGGCCAAAATTGAATCTGAATATCGAGTCCACCCTATCAATCAGTTTAGTGTTTGAATTCGAGAGGTTAGAAGAAGGCGAAGAAGACGAAGAAGACGTCAAAGTTCGTTGTGAGCCAATCCGACATGTCCGCCCGTGGTGTAAACACTAATAAATAAGGGGCGAATCCCAGAATAGAATCCTTTTCCCCTTCCTCCAAAATTAGACACCTTCTCGCAGACACGTCTTCCGGCCCGCCCATTCCAATTTGATTACCTCACTGCCGACCCATTCATCCGCCTTGTTTTCTTGTTTTTCTCGCCCAAAGTGCACTGATATTGAATGGACTGTTGATCGGCAGTTCCCGGAATTCCGGCCGGTGCTCCCAGAAAACAGCCAAGTTCTCTTTGGTCTTGTTTGGACTTTTACTTTTTTTTATATGAAATGCTCATTTCTCATACTGTATTTTTGTAGTTGACGCCTTTTTCGAACCATCACTCCGTGGAGTAGGTGCGTTTCAGTGTCAACTTTGAAAAGCTACAGTACTCCAGGGCTTGGTCCTGGAAAAAAGATGTCAACTATCAAAATAGAGTAGCAGGTATAGAGATTTCATGAAACATTTGCAAGATGCATCTGGAATATTTATGATTTCCTGGCTGTGCAATCCCATCAAGACTCCAGGACCTTTCCGAAATCTCTTGTTCCACTGCTCTTTTCCAAATTTATCCTAAAATGCACGTGTCCAACTGCAAAACTCATCGAAGCGGGCGTCGAAATGGCACGACGTCTTCTGAATTCGTCGCCACTTTTCGGGCTCACATCCGGAAGTTCCGGGTGGCGAAAAGGTCCCTTTCGGGTGGAAATCTGTGCGTTTCAATGTTGCAGAAGCGGAAACGAAAGAGAAAAGTGGAGATTCCCCTGGAGAAAAGCCGCCGATTTCCATTTTCGTGGGCGGAAGCGAAGAAAAAGAGAAAGAAGAAAAAAGAAACAATGAAGGAATGGATGACAAATCTTTTAAGAAGTTCAAAAGAAGAAACTAGATTCATTTGGGGAAGGTTTGGAGCCTCTCTCATGGCTCAAGAGCCGCTACGTCCACATGCCCTTTTCCTTCAGCTTTTCCCATTAACTCTTTCATTATTCTGATGACGTGGCACCGAAATTATTGTGAAATAATTCTGATTTGATTTTAGCGTGTTGCTGGAAGTGTGTTTCCACTTCCCATCTTGTTTTTCATTGCAAGAAGCATTACCTTAGCATTGAAAAGTCTAGATATTCATACATAAAAAGCTAGGCCACCTAGGTATTCGGTTTCTTTACCATCACCTTTAGTACTTTCTCAATAAAAGTTAGGTGGCCTAGCTTTTCCGAGGCCATGACTACATGTGATCGTTTTCTGTGGAAAATCAAAAGATTTGTGATCGAGTTGAGCGCCCGCGTTTATGACTATTACATTCTTCCACAGAACTCGACGTCATGAGGATGTTCGCTTGTCATTTTCACTCGGATACACACTTAAACCAACTGACATGCTCTCTCTCTCTCTTTCTCTCTCTTCTTCTTCTTCTTCTGTTTTCTGGTCATTTTTCTCTTTTTTCATTTTTTCCTCTATTAATAACCGGAATCCCGGAAAAAGGTGCATTTGCGGAGAGAGAGAGAGTTTCCGCCTGATTTGAGTGCTTTCGGGGGAGAATAATGAAGAAGAAGAAAAAGAAGAAAAGGAAGAGAGAGAGAGAGAGAGTGACTTTTGACTTTTGATGAAGAACTTTCAAAAGGACATGCTGTTTTATGTCTCGACCCGGCCCGCACTGACAGGCTTTGACGGGCCGGGCTGAGATTTTGCGAGTGCGCAATGAGACAAATCACCGTACTTTAAAGGCGGGTACCTTGTGCGTCAGGGAAACTTTTGCATAATCCGGTTCAAGTCATTGGTTTTGAGAAAAACAACGAAAAAATAAGTCAAAGTGTCGCACCCACCACAATAAGTGTGAGCTGAAAGTCTGGAAAGCAAGAGCAGCTCAAAATACCCGAGGTTTCAGTACTTACATGTTCTCAATCTCCTCCTCCTCCTAATCATGCATTCTTCTCGAATGCGTCTCACCTTAATTCGTTGTCGGTTGCCACGCGCCGCGCCAATTTGTGTGAAAAGTTATTCAACCCGAAACGCCTCTGCTCCTTTTGCTCCTTTCTCATCTGTTCACGAGCCGACACAACTGGCAAAACGTCATTTTGCTCGTCGAAATGCCATTCTTCTCCGCTTTTCCACTTTTTTTCGCGATCAAATTGGGCGGAAAAGTGTGGGCGCGGCAAGACTGATTGCCACGTGGCACTTGTCGATTTTCAGAAAGTTTTGGAGTGGCCTATGGTTTTTCTAGGTCACGGCCTTCCAGAAGTCTCTGGCATTGTTTTTTTCAGAGCTCTGCCCCCATTTCTACCCCTCGAAAGGTCCTTTCCGGACGGGTAGAGATGCCCTTCCGAACCCGCTTCGCTCTTTTTCCCATTTGTTGCCGCTGTTTTTGGCGTTTTGTTATTGTTGAGCAAAAGTGCGAATCTTTGGAAAATCGAATGAACTACTTAGAACAGACGTGTAGAGAACAACAATATGCAAATTTCAAGACATATTTAAAAAAGAGCATTTTTCGGTTAATTTTCGGATCAAAATGAGCGAAGAAATAGTTGTCGGGCCAGTCACTGGTCGTCTGCTCAAGTTTTCTCACTTGTATCTTTCAAAAACTGTCGTATTTTGTTTAGTTTCCAATGTTGGAAAACGAGCTATTGCCGTAATTTAAAAGCGCATACCACGTGTCGGAAAAATATTTGCCCAAATTGTGGTCTTTCCACGTCATCAATCTCCGACCATTTTTCGTGAAAGCATAAAAAATAACCAATTTTGAAATTTGCGCCTTCTGGAAACTCATTGAGCGGAGATGAAAAAAGCGAATCTTCGAGAGCTCAAATTATTTTTCGATTCACGAATATCTGTGCGAGAAATCGCACGTAGGCGAATTTTTAGTTTTCTTTTCGAAATTGCTTACCCCTTTTTTAGAGATCATTCGAATTCGCAGGCTTCGCGCCGAAAGGTAACCCTATATTCTTGTTTTCTTCAATTTCCTATCCGTTTGTATCGTCGCCCGTCTAATTTCTCATTAATTTTTCAAAATATCCATGTGTCGTCGCTACCCGTTCTTTGTCTTTGTGTCCCGGAAGAAGTTCGCGAAAAAAGGGGCGCGGTTTGTGTAACGGAAAGAAATTTGGTGGGGGGAAGAGGGCTAATCACGCCCCCGGGGCGAAACTCACAGAAACCCGATTAGTTTTTTGATGTTTTCCCATTCGGCCTGAAAACTTTTACGTTTTTGTTCTCGCAAAAGTGTTCCGTTTATGACGTTTTCTCAAACATTTTCGCTTGCATTCATTTTCTGGCTAGACAATTCACACAAATTTCGCCTCGTTTTCGATTTCCACAAAAAACAAACAAATGGGTGGGAGGGAAAAGCCCCGATCGTTGGTCAGACTCACTGATAAAATGAAGCGGAAAAACGAGAACGAATAATTGAGCAGAAGGGAATTTTCTGGAATTTTCTGCAATGTGATTAGCCTCTGACTTGTGAGCTCTTGTTCCAGACTCTTCGAAGAAAAGTTATCCTCTCGCTGACTAACCACGGCCTAGAACCCGTAAGAAAAACTTAGGCCACTTCTATTGTCTTTGACATCAGACTCCATTCCTAAGCTTTTACAGTGGACTAGGTTTTCAGCTGGAGAAAACAAAGCCACCCCCTACAGTGGCCCAAGTTCCGTTGGAGAAAGTTAGGCCACCCAGACATGGTGGCTTAGGATCCGAATAAAGGCCATCTCCCGGGAATCTTCCATTGTCTTCCTTGTTTTCATTTGGTCTGAAATTCAGACTAGACACTCTCGATTTCCAATTAAGAGACCGTCTCGGCGAATTGCCTAATCTCTTTTTTCTCATCTTTTTCTAGCATTCCCCCTATTTTCCCCCGTTTTTCTTCGTCGTCATTCCGTGCGCCTTTTGACCTCAATCGAATTTCCGTTTTTGCGATTACGGTAGTCTTTGAGCAACAAGAAGACAAAGGAGAAGAAGACGGGGCGTTTCTTGAAGTGCTCTCCTTCTCCTCCTCCTCAAAATAAGAGAGTTTCAAATCCCCTTTGGACCCAATTCACCCAATTTCGCTTTGTTTTTTGTTCTACTTTTCAAGTGAGCACTTTGGACAGGAACTCGTTGATCGTTCGGAACGCGAAAATCCGATTATCTCATCGGAAATTCAAAGAGTGAATCGGGTCAAATTGCCCCTGCGAAAGTTCAGAAGAAATCAAGGATATCTGATTCGTGAGTTCTAAGAACTTCTAATAAGAGTGGAGTTTTCGAAGAACTCAATAAAAACGTTGACCTACTTTCTTGACCGTAATCTACTTTTCCGAAATTAGACAAAATTGGACTTCTTTTTCGTTTCAAGTCAATTTCTTCGATGCTTGTCAAAAACTGAAACTCTTTGAACCTTGACCACACAACTTATCACTTTTTGAGCCAAGTTGCGCTTGTAGACTCAAAAGCGAGCTTCAGACGCACATTTCTCTTTGCAAAATTGTGGAAATCAGAAAATCGTACTTCTTCCGCTCGCATCCACCCCCACCTTCCTCTTCTGTTCAAATAACCCGAGGCCATTTGAGAAGATTTTTTTGCCGCCTCAAATCCCAAACACGTGTGGAACTTTCGCAACGAAGAGAGGTCCCTGCTGCTGCTCGCGGAGCCACGCCGTAAAAGAGAGAGAGAGAGAGGAAGTGTGATACTTGATCCAATTACATGTATATCACAGTTCAAACAAAAACTAGCGGCTCTCCTTTTTCCTTTTCGTTACTGAGAGAGACAGAAAGTAATAGATGATGATGTGTTTACTTTTTATGTAGGAGGAAGAGAAAGTGTTGCCTCTTTTTTGGGCGGATATACATCCGGTGTCAAAAGTGTCCAGCAACTCCTTTTTCTAAACAGTTTTCCTCAAAATTGATTTCTTCACTAGGAAATGAATCATTTCAACAGATCACGATCTCTATTTACATAATTGGAAAGCTTTTTCATGAGGAATTCCAAAAATAACACCCATTTCTGGTGGCTGGCTCCGTAATTCGTAATAAAAAACAAATTTTCATCCGTTTTGTTCGTTGACCCCTGAAGACCCAATCTCAAGTCTGTTCTGCCGAAAAATGGGAACGAAATCCGCCTTGTTTTGCGGTTTGCTTCGGAAATGTATGGAAATTCATCTATAGAGTTGAAACTGACTACAAAAGGGTGTAAATTGCAATTATCAATTTTTCCCAGTTCCTGGACCACCAACTGGTTTCAAAACGTCCGTTTAGTTGTTGTGTTTTGCCCTTTCCCATGCTTCTGACCTTTCCAATTCTCAAGTTTTTTTTCTCGCTTTTCTTTTGTTTTTCCCCCCACTCTTTGACATGTTTACCATCCAAAAACAGTACCCTTCCCTGCTCATTCGTACTCTTCTATTTGAGCAGACATTGAAATGCCAAAAACCGATGATCAGGTAGATCGGTAAAGATCGAATTTCAGTTTGAATTCCAGCAAAAACAAGTGAAAGCCACGTCACCTTTTCCAGAATTCCTCTAGTTTGCTCCCTCGTGCATTTCCGTTTCTTTTCCTCAAAGATTCGCATTTCCTTTTCCTCCTCCCCCTCCTCCATTTTTTTTCCGTTCCACCGCCCTAGCTCGAATGATGTCAATTTAAGTGCATTCTGAGGATATGTTCCGCGGAATTGTGTGGTTAGAGTCCGAAATAGTGACAGATTCGAACGTTCTCTGATCTTTTTATACGTTCACAATCACGCGCGGGTTATCACAATTGAGTTGCCGTGCAATTTGGCCGAAACGGAAATACAAACGCCTAAAGGTTTAGAAAATTTAGAATGATGTGAAAGTTTCATTCAGGGAAAACCTAAGCCACGCCCCTTTTCGAGTACAACTGGGAGAGCTTTGATGGGAAAAAGTATAGAAGTCTACTGAGCATTTCTAAAGAAAAAGCCATTCCTGACTCCCGAATATCTCTAAACACCGAACCGGCCGCCTAGACGGTGTCATTTATATTTCCCCTAGAGGCTTTAGGATACCTGGACTCTTCCCTTGTCTCGGAACGAAGTGTCTATTTTTAATGTTCCTCTCCGTTCGCATTATCTGATATTTAAATGAGGTCGAAAATCTTAAAGTGCAAGTCTCAGAAAGCATCATGCCCTGATTGTTTTTCTTTGAATTTTCCTACCATTTCTCCGTATCCCTCCACTACTTCTTCTTCAACTTTTCTTCCTTTTTTCTCAAACTCGACAGTTCCAATTCAGGACAACTCTGCAAAATGCGATTACCGGAGCAGGAATGCTCGGTGATGATCAGTGCGTACACAGTGATGATCTCTTCCGTTTTCTCACTGTGTCTCGTGCTCTCACTGCTCGGAAACGCCATTGGTAATTCCTCTCCTTTTTGTTTCATTTCGATTTTCTTAAAAATGACGCGACGAGATGAAAATGTATCTGAAAATGGATATCTCGAAGGGAAGGGCGGAGGGGGTGTTGAATATTTCATGTCCAAAATCTCTTGTCTTTCCTGTTTTCTGCCACTGAGACCAAGAATGGGACGGACTAGGCCTGAGGAGGAAGAAGAAGTGAAAGTGAAGGATGTGTTTGGGTTTTGAACCCGAAATATGTGATATGTTACCCACGGGGCCACTGACGAATTCGAGGGAACTAGAAAAAAGCCTCTAACTTTAGAGGAACGGCCTAGGTCTTGCAATTATTCGGATCCAGAATATTCTATGAGAGAATTTCGCAAAAATGCGTTGGAATTGGAAATATGTGTAGAAGTCGTGCTTGGTTGGACCAAAAGATCGAAATATTCAGTAAAGTTGCAGATTTTAAGCCTAAAAACTTTCTGGTCAAGCCTTGAACCTTAGCAAAGTTATCGCTATAGAACGACACCATCATGCTGTTCATTCAAGACGATATATCTCAACTGCCAGTGGAGATATCAAAAAGGCGTCAACTAATAAAATGTTCATTAAGAAATTTTCTACATTCTATGAGTTGACAACTTTTTGTTATCTCTACAGGCAGATGAGATACCTCCAAGTTTTCAGTGATCCTGACCATCCTGGGCAAATCGCACCGCTCGCGGAGCATCACAAACTTCTACCTGCTGAACCTGGCGTTTGCGGATCTCCTCCGCAGCATCATATGCATTCCGAGCACTCTGCTCGGCGAACTCACTCATTGTTGGCTGCTCGGCGCTGCCATGTGCAAGATTGTCGCATTCCTTCAGCGTAAGTGAGCAGGAAGTAGTGAGTTCAATTAAGAGAAGAGATTATAGTGGTGGTGGTGGAGACATCAATCAAAATGTGACGTTTTGAATGAAAAGAAAGACGAAAGATCAGAATGAATGAATGGAAAAGAGAAGAGTTTTTGGGTTTAGGGACGAGCTGGGCGTTCTTGGAAAACAGAAATTTCTTGCGAATGGATATTGGCACCAAACGATAATATCTAGGGCTAAACAAAATACCAACTTCCAGATGACAAAAGTACGAGTTAAATAAATTTATATCAAACTCGAAAACGTTTGAAAATCTAACTGAATGCGTGAAACTTTCAGCCGTCGGCGTGTGCGCCTCCGCCTACACACTCGCCGTCATCGCCATCGAACGATACTACGCCATCTGTCGGCCGTTGGAATCGAGGAAATGGCAGACAAAGGTACGTGCGATCTCCTCTAAGAATCTCAAAAAGAGCTTTTGCATTCAAAAGTATATCTTTTTTTATCCCAAAACTCTTTTCAGAAACGTGCCCTGATCACAATTTCGCTCGTGTGGTGCTTCTCGTTTTCCGCCAACCTCGCCAGCCTTTTCCTCTACGACACAGTGCCGATTGGCTCGAAATTCACGTGTGACTCCACAAAAGGCCCCCTCGTTGACTTTATTTATCAACTTTATCTCACATTCGTAAGTTCTCTTTCAAACAAAAAAAATCGCTTATATGCCATGCCTTCAGACGCTTCTGTTCGTTCCGTTGGCTCTGATGGTCGGGCTGTACGGAAATGTGATCATCACTCTGAACACTGCGATTAACAGCGATAACCCGACGGTCGAGCAGCAGATGATTGAGAAAAGTGAGTCTCAGAACGCGTCTACAATACCCATTTCCGTCTTCAGCTCTTCCCTCGAGGGCTTCATTTTCCGACTGGTTTGTGAGTGCGGTTCAGCGCGTTCCCAGCATGAAAGTGGTGTCGAAAACGGTAAGATTTCCCTCGATTCTCCCTTCATTTTTCCATTACTCTATTACAGCTACAATTCAAGGAGAAGAACTCTCTGTCGATCCCGCAGACGGGCGGTCTCTCGGCCCGTCCCAGTCGCTCCTCATTCTCCTCGTTCTTCTCGACGCCACGTGGCTCTTTTGACGCCACAATGCTTCTGAGGAGCACTAATCAGGTATGTTTTATCTTCTCGAAAGTTCTAGAACCAGTGTGTTTTGCAGGAAAAGATCCTGATCGCGAAGAAGAAGGTGACACGGATGTTGATCACGCTGGTGATCGTGTTCGCCTTCTGTTGGGTCCCTTCCTACATGTATTGGCTCATTTTGCGGATGGCCGATTTGGCGGTGAGAATTGAATATTCAATGATGATTATGGGAATGATCAGAGAGCAAATTAGTGGGAAACTAGGCAATAGTTTGCTAAAAGTTAAAGTAGAGTGGAGTCGAATTTCGAATGGTTCAACTTTGAGAGTGAACAGCAGAATTGAGAGATCCGAAAGTTTTTGAGTGAACGGAGATTGCAATCACAAAACCTTAGAGCAGTATGACGTCTCCTAGCTTTACTATGCACGTTCAAAGTTAGAGACTGAAAGGAAAGTTGCCCTGCTCTGAGGATTTACAAGTGTTCTTCTAACTCAATTTTTTAGGCGACGTCCCTGTGGAATCCGGGGCTGAACTCCTCGCTGACCATCCTCACTTACATCAGTTCGCTGGCCAATCCGATCACCTATTGCTTCATGAACAAGTCGTTCCGATCGTCAGTTCTGGCGTACTGCCGGCCGAAACCCAAGCGAGTTTTGGTAAGTAATTCTCCCTTAACTTAATGTGATCTTCGGAATTCAGACGAGATGCTCGGCGATGCCAACGCGAAAGAGTCCGTCGAAAGAGTCGCCGACGCATAATATTCCAATGATCAAGGTTTGTTCGGAATTCGGAGCTTTTTTGTAGAGTCGTAAGAACTTTTGATTTCAGATCGATCTCGTGCTCGACAGCAGTGTTCACATTTAACCACTTTTGTTTCAATATGGATCTCTACTCTGAATACGCGCCAATTCCTAGCCTTTTCCGGGTTTGAATGCCAAAAATAAATAGATCTCTTTTTAAATGTTTTATTGCACCACTCGATTTCCATAGTAATGGAAGAAGATACAAGAATTGACGAAAACCGCCTGAGCATGAGCTTCTCCTCGAGCAATGACGTAGTGCTCCTGAAAGCAATGAATGAAAAAGAACCTTCCAGAAGTCTCTCACCTGTTGAATTCTTTCCTTGACCCGTTTTTTGTGCGCCCGTACATCCCGTGGTTCTCTGGGCTCTCCGACCTGCGGAACGTCCGGTCGGAACACGTCGAACCCCGGCACCACAAAGAATTTGGCCAGTTTCACGCCGATCGGAGCCTCCGCCGCAAGCGTCACAATCTCGAGGGGCACCGTCCGACGGGCCCGTTCGGTACGTGGATCCGTGTGCGGTATCGAATCCATAAATTCTTTGTACGCATTCCTGAAACACATCGGGTTAATGAATATTGTGAACTGGAACCGACATGATGTTCCATTTCTGCTCCATCGTTCCGTTGCTCTCCCGCCAGCGACGCATCTCTTCGATGAACACGCAGACGAGCGCCCGATTGATCGTTTTCCCGTCGCCCGCCGCCATTTCTTTGTTGAATCGGACGTCCCATTTGTGGTGCAGAAACAGGTAGTGATTGCGGCACAGGAATCGCTCGTAGCGGGCGGCCCGTTCCGTTTTCGGCAGCGCGTACATCTCTTTCACCTCGTCCACAGTCCACATCGTCTCCGGATTGTACTGAGGAGCCAACCGACTCGGGAGATGACGTTGGAGGAATCCGATTACGAATGCGTGGTCCTGAAAGGCTGAGAAGAAGATTCTAGAGGAATGTTAGAGCCAAACTGACTTCTGGATTCGTGACTGTTTCCTGATAACCCGAGAAGACAGAGTAGATGAATCCGGCCAAAATCGCAGAGCTGAAAAATCAATAAACTGGCGGTCAATCTGAATAGAAATCTTACTATCCGATAAGTTTATCGTCCCGATAATCCGACGCCAGAATCACCATGATCCACAGAAGGACGATGAGAAGGAGTCCGACCAGACAGAGGACCTCATTCTGCCGACACTTCTCAATCCGGCGCCCTTCTCTCAATCCGATCTCCCGTTCAATCTTCAAGTCCAGTTTGTAGGCGAGCAATGGGCGACGGCTGAAAAAAACAAGAATGGTTTGAAGTAGTAGTAAAATCTTACAATTTGAGTAGAATACTGGATTCACAGATGGCGCCACCGAAGACGACGACACAGGAGACGAGTGCGAAGATCGGAATCCACATGGTCAGAGTGGATTGATTGATGACGCCGGCGCACGTCCATGACGCTTCGAGGTGGTACCAGCCGACTTGGAAAGCGATGAGAATCCAGACGGAGACGAGGAGGAACGCGCCGACGAGCCGCGGAGCGATGAGCGTTCCCCACGCCCGCCGGCCGTTCCAATCGCGTTCCCATTCGTTCGTGTGCACGCAACGCAGCACTTGGTTCACGTTCCAACCTTCGCAGAGCCATTGGGTCATTGCTTCAAACATTTTCTGTTTTACTTCTCACATCAGCTTGTTGTTGACTTACCGATAAAGTAGGAAAAGTGTAAAACAATGAAGTAAAGGCGACAAGTGAGATTGTTGATACCGAGAAGTGTCGGATTGCTGAACAGGCACATGATGATGCCGGCCATCGTGGTGCTGAAGATCCGAATTGTTTGGTGAGTGGTTTGTGGGTCCTGCAACGAAAGGATTACTGTAGTAGTGGAGTTTCTCGTTTCCCAGACTCACATCTCCGTCGCCTGCTTGTGTCGTGGCGCACATGACGCCCACCTTGATGAACCGACTGATCAGCCCGCTTATCGTTATTGTGGCGCCCACAAATCCAGAGTATCCAAAGTCCTTGAGGAACTGCTCGCGACGGTTCCTCTCGCATCGATCGCCCGAGTATCCCAATCGACATTTGCACTGAACCTCGTCCAAAAGACTCACGCACAGCCCGTTCTTTCCGCAGTACGTCGAGTTGCACAGATCGGGTGTGTACCAACATCGCGACATCTGAAATCACGAGAAACTAAGTATAGGCAATCAAAGAAGTTATAACTAACCGCGTATGGCGATTTGCACACGCATATGTAGCCGTCCACCACTCCAGACGCTCCAATCACTTCCCGACACTCTTTCGTGCCTCGTCTGAAGCACTTGTCGCAAGAATCGACCGTCTGATTGGTCGTATCGACCATCTTCCAGCCGTACGTGTCTTCCTCGCACGCGATCAACGAAGGATTCGCGTAGATCGCCCCGAGACTGCTGCAAGTGACCGTCACTTGGCGTTCATTTCCACGCAAACATTTGATCGTCGCACTTTGTTTCGGCTTGATCACATCGATTGACGTCGAGTAGCTCACGTCGTACTGATAGGCCATGAACAGCTTTTCTATGTCACACACTGGGCTTTCACAATACTCTGCAACTATTGCTTTGTACGCGCCACGACGACCAAAAGTGTAGCGAAGGGGCGTGGCCTAATCTGAGACGCGTTTTCTGAAAATTGCCGCAATTCCAGCTCACTTTTCCGATATTTTTGTGTTTGATATCGACGAAAGAAGAGACATTAAAGAGAGAAAACATCGAAATTTTCGTGAAAACGCCGCGTTTGAGACGTTTTTGGCATCATTCGCAATAGGCTCTCCGCGGCCAATCGCCGCCGCAATTTCGGAATTTTCATACCGGCCGATGTGGATAGTTTTGAGACGAAGTGAGTGTCGGAAGTGATTAAGCACACGTTAATACAAGTATTTTAAGCGTTCAAACGGCAAAAAGTGTTGGCGAATGACTGAAATTCGCGCATTTTCAGCACAAAACTGGAAAATCGATTCAATTGGTTCATTTCTGAATGAAAACTGCTCGTTTTAAGCTCAAAAAGCGCGCGTGATGATTAGCTTAACAAAGTTATGCAACTAAATTGTCGAAATCGTACAAAATTTGGGTAATTTTTGACGAAAAACATGAAAAATTGGGTTAAATTTCGAATTTCGCGCCAAAATGGTGATAAACCGTACACGCTAGGCCACGCCCCTTTCAATTGTATCAAAAATACTCTTTTATGACCTACGTGGCAGCACACAAAGCGCCGAAATGTTGTCATGTTGCTCGGAGATGCCGACAGTCTTGACGACGGGCGCATTGAGCAGTGTCTGGTTGAAGATGCTGTACACGTCGGCGATCTTTCCGAACCGTTCCGCTTTCGATCCGATGCCGTTCGAGTAGAACCAGTTGTGTCCTTGTTGCGCCGAGAACTGTTGAAGCAGTTGGATGTCCGAGTTGAGACGGATCTTGTCGAGAGATGCGAGAGTCTGTCGATCGGTGGCCATGCAGTAGGAGAGCGCCGACTGGTAAGATTTGACATGTGTGGACGGGGCGACGAGCTGGAAACAGAAGTCGGCGCCGATCACGTATCCGTCGGGACACTGCAGCTGACAGGCGGAAGTCGTTGCGGATTCATGAGTAGTTGTCGAAGACGTTTTTGTGGATGATGTCGGCACGGTAGACGTCTTCTTCTTTGCGGTCGCTGCTGTTGACGTTGTTGTGGGAGCAGACGGAGTTGGTGTCGATCGAGTAGTTGAAGTGCTTTCAGGAGATTCCGAGGATGTACTCCTTGATGAAGACGGCCGATTTGTTATAGAAGACGTCGTGACTGAAGGCGTCTTTGTTTCTCCGCTGGATGACATGGTCTGCATTGAACTGGAAGACGGAGACGTTGGAATTGTTGAAGTGGTGGATAATGTCGATGTCTTCGGTTTTGTGGTTGTGGTTTTTGTAGATGATGAACCCGAAGTACCATCAATTGAAGTGGTCCGAGAAGTAGACTCTGAAACGTATACTGTGACCTAAAGGATGGAGATATGACATCATACCGGTGGGAAGTTGGGAGGAAGGAGTTGACGAGGAGCTTCTTGACGACGACGCCCTGGCAGAGGTTCTTTTATCCTCTGTTGTTGTGGATGTTGAATCGGTTGTTACACGTGGCAATGAGGTTGATGTTATTGTCGATGTCGAAGTAGTTGCTGAAGGAGTCGACGTTGGCAAACTCTGTGTTTCCGAAGCTGATACACGTGGCAGAGAAGACGTTGTAAGTCTGGTAGATGTGGCCTCTGAACTTTCCGTCGAAGGCGAAATCCCCTGTTCAGTCGTCTCTAACCCTCCCTTTTTGCTCGTATCTAACTCCACTGCAGTTGAAATCGCCTCACTAGTAGTTTCCTCCGACGTCTCCATGACCACAGAAGTCGTAGGCATCGCAGTGATGGATAGAGTGGAAGTCGTTGAAGTGAGTGAGGAGGAAGTGGAAGTGGAAACAGATGACAGCTCTGTTTCCGATCGGAACTGTGTGGATTCTGATGGCGATGTTGATTCTGTTGAAGAGAAAGTCGACGACATTTCTGCTACCGATGCTTCAAGAGCATCTGATGTCACTGTTGATTGCGTTGGAGTCGTGGATGCCGGAGAGGATGTAGTTTCCATAGTGGTTGACTTTTCAGTAGTTGTCGTCGTGGTAGAAGTAGCAGTGAGAAAAACGGATTTCGTTGGAGAAGGCGTGCTTTTTGAGGATTTTAACGAAGATTCCACGGTTGGCTGCACGGGATCTGACGTAGAAGAAGTGTCAGCAAACGTCGTGATCGGAGGAATTGTACTTTTTGAGGACCCAACCGACGAATCCGTTTGTGACTCCTTGGGATCCGTTGCAAATGAAGTGGTAGAAGGCAAAACGGTTGTCGTCGGAACAAAAGTGATTGGCGAAGACGGCGAACTACTAATTGAGGCTTCAGTTGTAGACTCCTTGTCCGACAATGTAATTGAAGCAAATGTGGTGGCCAGCGAAGTAGACGGGCTAGTTGAGGCTTCAGATGAAGTTGCAGATTCAGAATAAGAAGCTGTCGAGAAGGAAGTCGTAGAAGAGAATGGAGTATAAGTTGAGGAAACGGGAGAAGAAGCCGTTTTCGTGGATCCAGAGACGGACGTCGTTGGAAGCGTACTTTCAATAGAAACTTCAGATGTACTTCCCATTGTTCCCCTCCTACTTGTACCCTCAGAAGTTGACGTGGATGTCGATGACATGGAGAATCGAGCAGATGTTGAGGAGAGTAAAGTGGAGGTGACTGATGTTCCCGTTGTGCCACTGGGCCCATTCGAAACATGCGTGATAGAAGAAACCGCTGGAGACGGCGAAGTTGGGGATTCAGAATAAGGCTGATAGAATGTGGAATCTGACGAAGGAGCTGGATCCGAGGGGTCGGATCCAGTGCTCGTCTCTGTTGTTTGTGTCGTAGTGCATTCGAGAATGTCGACGTCCGAATCTGGCTCTCCGTCGGATGTTGTCACTTCGACACGGGAGGAGGAGGAGGAAGGGGAGAATCCGGAAGAAGTCTGAGCTGGCAATCCGTCGGTCGATCGCGTCGTTGTCGATTCGGCGGGACTCGCAGTCATGTTCGTCTGTTTTGTCAAAATTGTCGGCATTGTAGCACTCTTTGTGCTCTCTGTCGAGATTGAAGACTGAGTCGATTGTGATTTTGTATCGCCTGATGATAAATTACTATTACGTCGTGAAATTCTAATGCATACCGGGAGAATCGACTTGGCTAATTGCATTCGTATGAAATAAAGCATACAGAAGAAGAAGAAGAGCACGCCGAAAGGTGCAAGAGAGCATCTCGGCCGAAATGAATGCAACGCACCGCTGCGCCCCTTTTTATGGAGTCAGATGTTACCAGGTAACCTGATTTATTTGGGCCACGTTTTCTAAAGTTGAAGGACCCTTCAAAAGGGAAAGCAGATGCATTTACGAGCGGTCGTTTAGCGTTACGGTAGGATTATGGTAGCGATTGGGTGTGGAGAGCCAATCGGAATCAGCATTCCTAGTAACTCTTCGCCAGTCTAGAACACTTTTCAACGTTGTTTATAATTCAAGAATTCAGAAATGACTTTAAACGAATTTATGTTAATCTTGCAATAATGTTGAGGAAAACAACAGAGAAAATATTTGATAATACGTCACTTTGCATTAATATTGCATCCGGTGACCTCTTCATAAGCGTCAATAGCAGTGACGTAGACCGTTCTGAAAAGTAAGAATGCTCTTAGTTTGTGATCAGTTTAGATTACGAGTTGAATGTCCATTGTCCAAGGTCGTTACATTTGAAGACAACTCCTGTATGATTCCTTGTGAATGGTGTCAAATAATCATAAACATTCAGGTCGGTCGTTGGATATGCTACCATGGCGAATATAACAGGTGGATCACGAACTGTTACATCTGTGAAGGACATATTTCCAATCAAACATCCATCTACCACTGTTATTCTGAAACGAGACTTTGCAAACAATTATAGAAGAACAAAACGTCCATACCGTTAATCAAATTTGATTTGGCTTTTCGGTTATTAAGACAAAGTTTTGATTGTTCGCAACTTACGTGTAGATTGCATGCAGACCGAACGCCGTGATTTCTTCGCTCTCAATGGTTTGGTTTTTCCATTTCATGGGATCACAGGTTTGACATCCTGCAGAAGATTGTTCTCAACTCTCCAGATATTGAAAGTACCTGGTAGTGGAGTCGTGGAATTCTCGGCACGAAGCGCCACGACGAGAAGAGAGAAGACGAGGAACGGATTCATTGAAACGGCAGTCGACTGACAGTCTCTCGATCAAACCTTCCTTTTGTACATTATGATAATGACATTCTAATTCACACTATTCGCCCAATTATTCCCTATATTGTAGTCTGTGCTTCGGTGAAAGTGTGTTTCTGTTGGCGGTTCACAACACAGTTACCACAGGGCCGGCCCGCGCTTTCGTTGAACTTTTGAATCACTTGCAATATTCCGATCGGACCCAAGCTTTACAGGATTGTTGGACTTTGATTCAAGTATATTGGGACCAAGTTTCAACTCGATCGGATCGTTAACACCCGAGATATGTGGATCATTGGCCGAAATTGGCCGGAAGCCCGGGCTTTTTGGAAAAAAATCGGCCAATGATCCACATTTCTCGGGACCAGATGATCCGTTCGGGCTGAAACTTGGTCCCAATGGCCCTCAATCCAAGTTCAACAATCCTGCAAAGTTTGGGTCCGATCGGATCATTGCAAGTGGTTCAAAGGTCAAGGGTGGGCCAATTGCCGAGCCCTGAGTTACCAGGTTACTAAAAGGATTCGCTCAAAGAAGAGTCGGAACTTGTTTTGCAGGATACGGACTGCTCGGAAACCCAGTGAACCGTGGCGAATCGAATTGGAAACCGGATCCCGTCTCTTTTTGTGCGCCGTTTCAATTTAATCCAATTTCGTTTTATCCCGCCAAAGATCTTGCTCTACACTTCTTCGGTTGACCAAATAAACAAGGGAGCGATCTTTGAAATACTTTTTTGAGAGAAAATGGGCAAAAGTTCGACTTCCAGATGAGATTTTGTGTTAATAAAAGACTGCCTAATAAGGATTCATTCTGGCGGCTTTCGAAATCTTATTAGTCCTCCTCTCTTATTCTTCTTCTTCTTCTTCTTCTTCCACTTCCTTCCAGTCATTCGATCCGTCTTTCGTTTACTTTCCTCTCACACAGCCAATTTCTATATTTAGTGGCCCTCTCTCTCTCTCTCTCTCTCTCTCTCTCTCTCTCTCTCTCTCTCTCTCTCTCTCTCTCTCTCTCTCTTTTCCACTTGAGCCGGAAATGTATGTGAATTTTAATGTGTAGTATCCCAAGATCTTTCATTCGCTTCGATACACTTGCTGGAAGAAATGCAATCATTTTCGAAGCCCTTTGATTTTCAATATTCTCCGGCTTCATCTCAATGCTCAAAGTTATTGATAAAGTTCGGTCATCGCCTAGATACATAACTGCCGCAAAAAAACGATCGACTCCATTTCTCTGCTGGTTTTCCAATCATCAGCCATTGTCTGTAGCAGTTTTGAGCGGAATTCCGTCTTCCTTCTTCCGTAAATTTTTCTGTTCCGTCTTCCGTCTTCCGTCTTCCGAGATTTTTTCTTCTTACCGTAAAAGAGTAATGGCTTTTCAGAAGAAGCCATTTACTAGCCCCCAAGAACGCGAATTTCCACGGGCAGTGACCCAGATCCAAATTTTTTGTTGTTTAGTTATTTTTTTCAAAAAAAAAAACCGGAGAAAAAGGTTCTGCATTGACGATTTTTTGTTCCGTCTTCCGGGAAAAAAGTTTTCTTCCGTCTTCCGTTTTCCGTGTTCCGTTAAAAAAAAATTTCTGCCGTCTTCCGTCTTTCGGTTTTCAAACTTCCATTTCCGCTCAACTCTGGTCTGTAGTGGCCTAGGAAACTGTCAAGTGCAAAGTAAAGCCACTTGACCAATTGCCGGCCTAGAAACTTCTTCCGGTAGAATCCTAGTCGTGTTTTGTCATTTCCCCCTAGCGGCTCCTCACAAATCATCCTCATCTTCTCATCTTTGCATCTTGATGCATATTCAATGATGTGAACGTATTCCCCTTACTCTCTCTCTCTCTCTCTCTCTCTCTCTTTCTTCCAAATCCGTCCCCGAGTTCGTCCTTGGACTCTCTAATTTCATCCAAAACTATGGGAGCAAAAGCGAAAGAGAAAGAAGAAGTAGAAGAAGAAGAAGAAGAAGAAGAAAAAGTCTGTCAATGTGCCACTCCACTCGTGTGTTTCGCCGTTTCCGTTACGTACAAAGGTAATCATCTGATGTCCTGGCAGTTGGTTTCTCGTTTCAGCCGTTCTAAAGACGCGTAACTACTAAGCTTATCCAATTTTACAGTCATCATACCAAAAAAGATGCTGTCAAGAATTGAACTAGTCACTGCGAACATTTTACATTTTCAATCCGACACGCCCCCCACCCAAACAGTGTCATCGAGAGTGATGAAACGATGACGTAACGACGGCTTCTTCTTCTTCTTCTTCTTCTTCTTCATCTCCCCAAAACGCCAGAAAAGACAGAAAATAGTCCGAGATTCTCTTCTTTTCGCCACTTGTGTCCGTCTGGCGGCGTCTGAATCATTCATGAGCCGCCGCAATCAAAACCACTCATATCCACTCGCTCTTTCTTCTTTTTCTTCTTTTCGGGGAGAAATCAAAGCGTCGCAAGTACCGTATCCTCCCACTATCTTTCCCGAAACCTCGTAAAACGTGTTGTTACCTGTGTGCTGCTCCCTCACAAATCCCATTCATTTCATAATCCCCGGGGCCCATTCAAAAGTAGGACCCCTACGGCTATTTTTGGTGGTCCCTCTCTCTCTCTCTCTCTCTCTCTCTCTCTCTCTCTCTCTCTCTCTTTCTTCGTCCGCCTCCCACGCTCCTTTCTCCTCCGTTTTTCTCCTCAGTTTTGCCGATGAACTCTGCCGTGCTTTCCGATGTCCGCACTTTCGGCGTTCATTTGTTCTCCGCTCTTTTCGCCGTCTCACATCACAATTAGTCGTTGTCGGGGCCAAATGGACGAGTGTTCGGTGAACATCTAAAGGGAAAAAGAGTTCAGTATCTGGATCCTTCCACCGCGGGCCGGAAAGGAATACGGAGGAGTGGAAATTGTGAAGCTGTAACTTCTCTCAAAAACTTTACATTTACCTCTGACCTGGCTCATTTTGAAGAACCCAGTAAAATTGAACTCTTATCAAAAAATCGGAGGTCCCTATGTTCGATTTCTGAAGATATATTGAAAAAACCGAAAGTCCTATGTATGAAGAGCCGGGCCGTGTCCACGTTTTCCTGCGATTGCCAACTAATCGATCAGTGATGTTCTCTCTTGTAAAATCGCAAATATGTAGGCTCTGAAATCGACGCGGAAAGAAGCGTGCATCAATAGAAAAAGGATAACCTAAAAGATGTCTCTGAAAAATCCGGATCCTTGTTGCTCGGCACCATTGAACCTTCTCGGCCAGCCTCCACAGCAGAGATGTTGGGAATTCCGTGTTCCGTGTTCCGTGTTCCGTGTTCCGTGTTCCGCGTTTTTTTGCAATATTTTTTCCGTGTTCCGTAAAAAAAAAAATTTTCCGTTTTCCGTGTTCCGTGTTCCGTAGAGTAAAATTTTTATTCCCAACATCTCTGCTCCACAGTTCAACTCATTTGTGTTGTTGGCTCGATTCGGAGTGGAATATCAGTGGGTGCACTTATTGTTTACTCCTGTCATCTGGTATCCAACTCTCTCTCCCTCTCTCTCTCTCCCTCTCTCTCTCTCTCTCTCTCTCTCTCTCTCGCGGTTTCTCCTCTAATTCTGTGCGCCTTTCCAGTGTTTTTGTTGTCGTTTCCACCATGGCTGCTGCTGGACCCCTTATATTTAGAGCCCCGTCTTTTCCGTCATTTTTTTTTTCGAAAAAGCCTTCGAGTGCCGTTTAATGATTATTTTGGGATCCTCTCGGGATAGTCTCTAATTTGCCGCCCCCTCTTTTTCCTTTTCTTGTTATTATTCCTCTTTTACTTTCACTCTCACTCGTATTCTTCTTTTTTCAGAGATTTCCCACAAGACAAAGAGACGAGGCGACGCGAAAACGACTCAATTCTCATTAGTTTCGCCTCCCTTTTTTCGATTACGTTTATTTTTTTTTCGCCGCCGCCGCCGCGGTATCTGATGATGTTTTAGAGAGCAGCCGAGATTTCATGGCGACACTTTGCAACCAACCAGACCTGGTTGCAAAGTGTCCGTGTTCCGAAGATGCAGTTGCAAAACGTCTTCAGTTCCTCTGAGTCACACGTTTTGATCACTAGAATATCACATTCAACTGACGAGACGTTCTGCAACTAACAGCAACTGTTCCGATCCAAATTCTGGTTGCAAAACGTCCGAATCCCCGCCGAGCCTCAAGGCTTGGATCCATTCGTTCGGCGATCCCAGTCCGCAACTAACAAAAACTGTTCCCATCGATTTCTTGGTTGCAAAACGTCTCCAATTCTCTTTTCCTTTGATATTTTGCTTATTTGCTCATTGAAATCTTTCATTTCACTCAACATTTGCTCACTTTTTAATCTCCCTGCACCACTTTCATTTCATTATTTCTCGTTTTCCGTCCCGTTTAAATCCGTTCAGATTGGTGGAATCGCTGGCACTCGGACAGGCGGACGCACGGTCCCCATCAGATCATTCAATTACTCACCCGTTCCCTAAGATGATATCACTTTCACGGAAACAAAAAAGACAGTGACGTAAATTGTTCGCCAATTTTAATCCTCTCATCCGTTTTCCACACTTTTTGTTTGTCCACAACATTGAAATCTCTCTGAAAGTGGGCCCAAAATGAATTTTTATAATTTTCATGAAGCGGCCGCTGCGGATGACCAATTTCACAGTTTCCACGCACTTTTTTCTATTCTTCTCGAAATTCGTGCTTTTGATTTCATTTCCTCTCGCCCAGAGACCGTCTTTCGACAGTTTTCAAAGGAAACGTTGTGAAATGCGGTGTAAAACATGCGTTTCTTGCCCATGAGCACCTGAATGCGTGTGAATTGATATGCGAAGCGGCACACTCGCACACACACACATTATTGGCCTTCTCTCCTTCGAGCACATAATAAAAGGCGAATTGAGTTAGCCCACCCGCCGACGCGCCAGTATTTCGGTCTTCTCTCCTCCCTCTTTTCGTCTCTTATCAGGCCGAAAGAGAGAGAGAGAGAGAGAGAGAGTGAGTGAGTGGAAGAGAGAGAGAAAGAGAGAGA